GAAAAAAATTGGTGTGTAATTGTATTTTTGCATAATCAGTCATTTAAAGAAGAGGAGTGTGAATGGTATTAATACACTAAACGAAATCGATCATTCCGACAACCTTTTCTATGTACATGTATATATAGTGGTCAGAATAATTATGAATATATATACTTGTATAGAATAATTACAACGATTCTTGTATAAACACTTATCATAGTATCATCATTTTATATCAGTAAATGCATTTTGTAATAATTCAATCTTAACAAGAAGCCAATACTTGATTTGGCATATATTTTGAAAACTCGAGCTTATCTGCAAGTTTAAATCTTAGTACTTATAAGTTTCATTAAGTATAGATTGTTTGATTGATGGAAGTTAGACTCGGTTCCCCCGTGAGGCTTGAAAGGAGTCACTTTTCTCACATTGAGGAGAGTGTTAATTTCTTATGGTAAACGCATCTAGATCTCAAAGAACAAAAATACACAGACCGTCCAAATTGTATTGCCCGATTAGTGATGGATATGTATAACATCGCTAAATTACATTATTTAAGAAGAATATTCAAGCAAATTATAAAAACTTACATCATCTGACAAATCGCTCTCCGCCATGTTGGATCTCCTGGCTTAAAATGAGCGGCAATGCATCATCACAAATTACAAGTCACAACTTAGAAGTCACAAGTCATAACTCCCAAGTCAATAGTCAAAAGTCATTAAGTCAGAAGTCAAAAGGGCACTCCAGTGCTTCCATATATCAGCAATCTGTTACTATTAATAGATTCTATAACACTAACATACAACGTGTAGTCACGTGATTCTTACAATAGAACAGGGAGAATCTGTTTATAATTAGATAAAATAATGAAATATAATAGGTGTCATATATGGTGGCATATTTCTGCCACCAGATAACCTGATACCTAACTAGTTAATTAAGAGGTTAACTAGTTACGTAACTAGTTAACCTGATACCTAACTAGTTAATTAAGAAGTTAACTAGTTACGTAACTAGTTAACATGATACCTAACTAGTTAATTAAGAGGTTAACTAGTTACGTAACTAGTTAACCTGATACCTAACTAGTTAATTAACAGGTTAACTAGTTACGTAACTAGTTAACCTGATACCTAACTAGTTAATTAAGAGGTTAACTAGTTATGTAACTAGTTAACCTCTTAATTAACTAGTTAGTTATATGGTTATCTGGTGGCAGAAATATGCCACCATAGTCATAAGATATAAAACAACCAGATAATTTAAATGTGTCATTTTAAATATCATTCATGATTTATCAATCATAAAATAGCAACGCTTGACACTTAGAAAAAAATAAAAGTATCCCTAAATTCAATGACTGGTCCATAGGGATACGTTATTAATTCATTTTATGAAAATTGTAATGTTGCTTTTTAAGATGTCAATATTTGTATATTTCATTTCATTTAGCAACGTTAATTTATTTTTGAATTTTTAAGATTCTGAAAAATAATTGTGGTCCTTAATTGTTCAGTAATTGATTTGCTTTTATTTTCAGATTTTAAGGCCTTCTCCTACCATAGATATAATATTAAACTGTTACAAATATAGTCGCCGGTTTCTACCGGCGACTAATCAAGCACCCTCATACCGATCGGAATGATCGGCTTTTATTATGAATAACTATAAAAGGCTCGAGAAGTTGCTGTCGCCCTTTCACAAAATCTGATTTCATTACATATAAAAGGCGCCGCGCTTCGGCGCGGACGCCAATAAAAGGCGCCGCGCTTCGGCGCGGACGCCAATCAGAATCTAGCCAATATAATTATTTTGACTACGGGTTTTTCCCACCTTAAGGTAGTACACCCCTAATGGGCACTATAAGGAATTGTAAATTTGACAACATAGGACAGTTATATGCCTTAAAATTTACCATGTGGTTAATGAGTTACGGACATTTTTATGAACTAAAACTTTGCCATAAGAAGGGATTTTTTCAGACATGAGGAAACTCTAAATAATCTATATAATATCAACCCTACCCCACCCACTTTTAACACTAATTTGACCATTTCCCTATATAAAAAGCCTTATTTAAAATATCCCTAAAATTTTCCAAAATGAGGGGCTATTTTCAAAGTTTGCCTAAATTTTCTTTAATGTATATTGGTTGGTCTTGCAAAATATAAAATACTTTTACCGTTTAGTTTTTATTTTATTAAACTTTGAAAATATCTGGTATCATATTTGCTATTAAATTTGGCATTATTTAGTAAATAAATACCTACAATAATTATATAATTAAAATAAAACACTTTTTTCTTCCATAGGGGGTCTGAGAGATTAATAAAAAATGTTAAAAAGAAAAAAAAGAAAGAAAAAAAATTGCCTCTTCTGGTGTTTGAACCCACGCCCCCTCAGTTACAATACACTTTACAGTGATTTTAGCCTATTTGAATACTCTTCAAAGTGGAGACAGTGCATTAGGGGTGTACTACCTTAAACCGAAAGTACAAACGTACTCGTAATTTGTTTGTACACCAAGATTAGACAGAAAAATTGACATGTTATTTGGAATCAAATACCAACTTAAGTATATTTCGGACAAAACAAACTGTATTGCACAACATAGAAACAGACGGTGAATAGAAATCAATTGTCCACGACAAAATGGCTACAGGACATGTGGATACGGATATTTTTACTGATGAAACACTTGTACTATGTTCATCATGCAAAAATCGAGATAAAAACACTGAATGTGTAGAATGTCACGATTATTTCTGCGTGAAATGTCTTCAACTTCACAACCAAGATCATCACAAGGTTTTAGAGGATAACCAGGTTAAGTCGGTGTTGGATGAAAGCCATGTTAAGTCGGTGTTGGATGAAAGCCAGGTTAAGTCGGTCTTGGATGAAAGCCAGGTTAAGTCGGTCTTGGATGAAAGCCAGGTTAAGTCGGTCTTGGATGAAACCCTAGTTAAGTCGGTGATGGATGAAAGCCAGGTTAAGTCGGTCTTGGATGAAACCCAGGTTAAGTCGGTGTTGTATGAAACCCAGGTTAAGTCGGTCTTGGATGAAAGCCAGGTTAAGTCGGTCTTGGATGAAAGCCAGGTTAAGTCGGTCTTGGATGAAACCCAGGTTAATTCGGTCTTGGATGAAAGCCAGGTTCAGTCGGTCTTGGATGAAAGTGAGCTTAAGTCGGTCTTGGATGAAAGTCAGGTAAAGTCGGTCTTGGATAAAAGCCAGGTTAAGTCGGTGTTGGATGAAAGCCAGGTTAAGTCGGTGTTGGATAAAAGCCAGGTTAAGTCGGTGTTGGATGAAAGCAAGGTTAAGTCGGTGTTGGATGAAAGCCAGGTTCAGTCGGTCTTGGATGAAAGTCAGGTTAAGTCCGGAATCGGCGAAAGCCTAACGAGTAGATCAGAAGAGCATTGTGACAAACAAAGTCATAAACACATTGATATGTACTGTCAGAATCATGATCAAGTTGGTTGTTCTTCATATACATCAGATGAACACGGGTAAGCTTTTTTATATGATTATTACATATATTTAGTTGCAAACAAAAGAAACTATGTACTTTTTTACTTGGAAATTCTGTGTGCATACAAAGGCAAAATAGTGGCAAATTTGTAATCAAAATTTGCAGAACTGTATTGACCATGCAATGGTTTAATTTGTAGTGATATTTGATAATTATCAGAAGTTTAGTTACGCGCAAAAAGTGGAATGGTAAAAAAAAAATTGTGAAATTGTGATATTTAACGCTCTTTAATTTACTTGTTACTTGACCATTTATTGTTCATCTCTATATACACGTATCAACGAACGTAATTGAGACTGCATGAACTTGACGCAACGCCATATGGACATGAATTCAGATCCATCCATAAATTCAAGTACCCAAAGACAAAAAAAATCCTAATACAAAAATGTACAATTCTGCAACTTTTATTTTTCAACTCTCAGCTGATTACGCGTAACCAAAGTTCTGATAATTAACTTTCATGAAGTCGAGCGGTGGCTCTTGTTATAGTATACAGCTGGTATTTTTACAAGTATAACAAAATGATAATTATCTTTACATAAATACCGTTTTATTTTGATTGCCAAAACAGAAGAACATGTATTTTATCCCTTATTAAGTATCATCAAAGTTTTTCACTTTACTATGGTGGCATATTTCTGCCACCAGATAACCTGATAACTTACTACAATGTAGTTAATTAAGAGGTTAACTAGTAACGTAACTAGTTAACCTGATACCTAACTAGTTAATTAAGAGGTTAACTAGTTACGTAACTATGTAACCTGATACCTAACTAGTTAATTAAGAGGTTAACTAGTTACGTAACTAGTTAACCTGATACCTAACTAGTTAATTAAGAGGTTAACTAGTTACGTAACTAGTTAATCTGATACATAACTAGTTAAGTAAGAGGTTAACTAGTTACGTAACTAGTTAACCTGATAACTAACTACATTTAGTTAATTAAGAGGTTAACTAGTTACGTAACTAGTTAACCTCTTAAGTAACTAGTCAGTTATATGGTTATCTGGTGGCAAAAATATGCCACCATACTTTACGCTTATTAGAACCATTATATTTAAAATTGTATTTTAAATTGAACATGTAATGTAGCGTTTATAATATATCAATTAGTGCGGGTTTAACATGTGCAAATCAAGATGAAGAGAAACTGCAGCAAAGGATGTCAGAGTTGCAGGAAAAAGAATTTCTTACTTCTGGGGTCAATAAGGAGGGGTCAATAAAGATCAGTCCCCTCCAAATAAACAAAGCCGAGGGTACACTTGATGAGGAATCTCCAAACAGAAATCAAACGGAAGCGTTTGTTGATATAAAAATAACATTGGATGGAGAAACTTCTCATGTTGTTAACAAATGTTTAGAAGACACAAAAAAGAAAAGTGCTACGGTTGACAAAGAAAGTCAACCAGATGGCGAGAAACCTACATCGTTGTTGGAAGAAGTGAATACCATTGACGTAGTTACAGAAGGAACTACTGATGTTGCTCGTCACTTGCTTCAGATGACAGCAAACATGTCTTTCTGTGTTAAAGTAAAGTCTGATAAAGATGTCTGTAATATAGTATGTGCATGTTTTATGGAGGATGACACGATTATTATAGCTGATAACAACAACAGGAAACTTAAACGTTTAGACAGCAACAATTATAATGTTACGGACTACTGTGATATATCTAAAGATCCAAGGCAGATTTGTACAATCAATGAATCACAAGTAGCAGTAACTCTAGGATCAGAAAAAGAAGTTCGGTTCATTTCTCTTGAAGAAGAAATGAGAACAGCAAACCGGTTTAAAACTGGCTTCAACTGCTATGGGATTGCCTATTCAGGTGATAAGCTATACATATCTGACATTAGCAGGGCATTATACATCTACACATTGTCTGGCGAGCAGCTTAAAAAGATCAGTGCTGGTGCATTAGGAAGCGGACTGTTCTCTGACATATCCAGCCTAGCTGTCAGTAGGGATGCATCTAAGATTTATATTGCTGATTACTTTTACGGATTTATAGTTTTGCGCAAAAAGCCTTCTGTTCGGGTTTTAAAGAAATTTAATGACAAACAATTAAAGGAGGCTAATAGTTGTTATCTGACAGAAGCTGGTAGTGTTTTAGTTTCTGGAGAGAAAACCAACAATGTTCTACTTTTTGCACCCAATGGTAACTTGGTCGGAGAGGTTGTAAAAGCTGATGATGGTAAGGAGTCGGTGCAGTCAGTGTGTTGTAATAAACAAATGTCTAAGATGTGTATTTCTAGAATGTACGAGAACAGCATTGATATTTACAAGGTTAATGATTGAGCATAAGATACTGTCTGGTTTCGCTATCATTTAAAGAAAACATTAATTCAAATGTTGAATGTAGATACTAACACGAAGAGATGGTCAATCAATTTCGTGACATGACAGCGAGGCAGACACACATATAGACAGACAGTTAAACAGACAGACATACAGAGCACAATAATGGGAACATTGAACTATTTGAAATTCGTTTGTACATTACCTTTTCATTATTATTTTGTGCTTTCTTGTGAGTTTAATCATCTTCCTTAACGTTTGTTAAAAATTCTTACCATACATGTTGTCTCAACTAAATATATATATTTCTATCATAAGCTCGTTATCATTAGATAATAATTTATTATTGTTATCATGAGTTATCTATCTTGTTGTCTGTTGATTATCATCGAACTTTTGCCTTTTTAGGATTGTAAAATTCAGATGGCCACTTATTGTTTTGTTTGTTATTGTCAAATAGTTAGTGATATGTTTGCTAAAGTTTGTCCGGACTACTTCTCTTATACCACAAATGCAATTTCAGTAGTGTTAAAATAAGACGAGTAATCATACGAGCAACGTCATACGTTATGAGCAACGTTATACGCTATGAGCAACGTCATACGTTATGAGCAACGTCATATGTTATGAGCAACGTCATACGCTATGAGCAACGTCATACGTTATGAGTAATGTCATATGTTATGAGCAACGTCATACGTTATGAGCAATGTCATACGTTATGAACAAAATCATACGCTCGAAGAGCACGGTATACGTTAAGGGAATACATTCAACAATAAAGGTCTTTGTTTCTTCTGAAAACTGACATTCTGTGTTTGATGCTCGTCAAGTATTTTTGAAATATAATTAACAACTGTCTTGTAAATGATTACTTTAAATAGAAAGTGAAAATATGAACGATCAGGAAAAAAATCGAATTATACAACAATATTATTTTAATGCGGAAAATCCTGCAGCCTATGCCAGCGCAAGAAAACTGTTTCATGTACTTGATAAAAAAAACACCCAGGAATATTTACAATAAAATCGGTATCTCGGAACATTTACCTTAGATTACATTAAACATTTATGGTAGAAAGAAATGAGAAATGCGGGGGACGTTATTAATATCTGTGAACCCCAAACACAGAATTACTCAAATGAGTACTTAACTTTCATTTCTCATTTGATCTACCTATTCAAGTGCTTCCACGTTATAAATAAGAAAGTTTCGAAACAGGCGTTTGAACAATAAGGACGTACGCACGTGTACCACTTTTGTATTCTATATAAAGTGGCCACCTTAGGTAGGGAGAGAATTTTCGGGTTTGATCGAGAATGAATTAATTTACTATTGCTATTATTAGAATTTCCAGCTAACCTTTGAAATGAAACAGTAGCGAATAAATTCTCAGCTTTGTTGTATTTTAAAAACACGAGGATTTCTGATCCTCATTTACATTTAAATCACCCTTTAAGATATTTTACTAACTTTCAGCGAAATTATTTTTTATAATGATAAGCTAATAATAGAAATACATACAGTGCATCATGCATGATAACATGCAGCAATGCTGAAATTGTACACACTAGCCTTTCAATTAGCCTTATTCAGCTATTATATACATTTGGAAGAAAAGTAATATGCGAAACGCAAAGAGACGTAATCGTAAAAGTTCTTAAAAGTTCCACCTAATTCCCCATCACGTAAAAGTTTAATATTCGTTTACATTACACGCCACAACGCACATTGTACTACATTTTTGCTTTTACACTTCAACAACTACTTAATTAACAGTTTCGTGTTCATACGGTTATGTAAAGTCTTCTTATTGATCACGGTGAAAGGTATAAGTATTTTACTAACTCAAATAAAGTATTTTGTATTATTCCGTGGCGACGATTTAGTATAACCTCAGAATAGGCAAAAAGAAAGGGTAATGTTTTTTATAAAGAGGCACCCGCTAAAACCACAAGTCTACTTCCTTTAAAATAAGGTAAATAGCACAGTAAAACAGTACATTATCCAATATAAAATTTTATTACAAAATGTCAGCATTAAATATTTCAGTTATTATAGTAAAGACAAAAGTTCGCTGTATATTCACTGTATAAAACATCACGTTTGAACATCTTTAAATGTGAACATATTCTCCTTGTGGAATGTCCCTCAGTTTCACCTCTTCAACGTTGTTGATGACTACTTCATTCTTCCAGAATAAAATGGTCCACCATTTATCTGCAATATAAAATCACTTACTTTTCAACATTTAAGCTTAACAAGTAAAGAAATACTATTTTTAATGGATATATTTTTAAAACATCTCACCTTTCAAAATTATTTAACAGTCCAGTGAGTCAGTACTCTTTCTTTTGAAATCTGAAGTCAGAGTTTAAACGAAATGGTTTACACATCATTTACGGTCACAGGTAAAATATCATGTATAAAAATATGAAAAAATGTTAAGTAACCTTAGTAACGAGGTATTTAATCTCTAGGTTTAAAATTGAAATTCAAATGTTTGGTTAACGTTATGGAGAGTTTATGAAATAAGTGATGGGTATATTACGTTTAAAGGGCTGTGTAAAATGCAAATCGACTTTTTAAAAAAATAAACTACAACCTTATGTACACGAAATCAGTCATTTGAGAAACTGATAAACATTCTTATTCTTATTTAAAATAAAACTAGAGTAAAACATACCTTTTGTAGGATTATATTAATTCCACAAACCACTTTTTTTTTATCTTTGTCTGTGATGCAGTTGTAATAATTCCATATTGCGTTTAATTATATATTCCAGATATGAATTTATTTTCATAATAAATTCGCGGAGAAACTATATAGCATGAACTTATATTCCAAACATGAATTTATTTGCATCAACATTTCACAGAAAAAAAATTATTTAAACTTGAAAAAAATCATCATAGTCATTCTTTTATAAGAAAAATACAATGCTTTATGTTATACACCAGTCCCAACTTGTAAATTTTAAATAAGTTAGCACCGATCCCAACTTGTAAAATATTTACACGTAGGCAATTTCGTTTTTATTTGTTTGGGTCGTCAGACCAAACAAATAATGGTAGCGAAATTTCAGAGTCTGATGCTGTTAATTTCAAATGCCGAAAGTAGTCCGCTTTTTTGAAGTGGTTACTTCTTTTTATATGTACACTAACGCCGAAAAATTCAGGGGAGATCACTGCGTAAAAATGGTCAAATGACAGGCGCATTAATTTTTAAGCAAAATAGTTCCCGAATGGTCGAAGATTTCTAATATTGTTTTATTCTTTATAGATATACATGCTTATAGTAAGCTCCCTGATTATTTTCATCTGTGTTAAACAACAGTTAGCGTCGAAATAATCAGGATTACAAACCCTAATTTAGAATAATATGGTTTTCTTCAAGCAGTGAATATATAACTTCACCGTGGCCGAGGGGTTAGCGCGCTCGCTTAGGAAGCGAGAGGTCTGGAGTTCAAATCCCTGTTAAGGCATTTCATTTTGTATTTCCACATTGTTTAAGTCAAATAAACATTGGATTGAATATCAGTGTTGCAATTAGTCTTATAGCCGATTTACTACAATGAAAACGCTTGAAAGCATTGGTGGCACTATACAAAAACAAGTTGGTTTATAATCTCACAACCTTCACCTTTCTGACATTCTGAGACCCAAACAAATTCAGCGCCTTCTGTGCTTTGATTACAATTCGGTATCTAATGAATACTTCAATTTCCAACCGAGAAAACATTCTTTCAGAAAACCACAAGGCATTTCATCTTTTAAATCCCCTACAGACACTTAACTATGAATATCCAGATTCTTGTATCCAAATTATCAATTTTATGCTAACACTTTAATTCACATGTACAGGCTGACCTAGTTAATTATAGGGTGTGTTTTTTAACCAGGGAAAATTTTAAATATGTGTTATAGATGGAAGAGGATATTTTTGGACCCATAGAAGACAATGAGTCCAGTCATAGCGACATTGAAGATGACGCATCTGCCACCTCAGAGAAGTCTTTGATGACCGATCCTTGGGACAACATTGTAGATGAAGCGTTTCAAAAGTGCCAGTCGCAGTATGACTCTATGGTAAATGAGCTTATGGAGGATGATACCGACATCAGTCTGAGTGAAGCCAAGAAAAGGACTTTCAGGAACATGAAATGCACCTACAGGAAAGCACTAATGAACAGTTTTGGTAGTAAAGTGGTGTGGTTTTGAAGCAATGAAAAAAGATCCTATTTATAAATCTATTAAAAAGACAGTGAATAGGTTGATTGATACAGATGGGTACGACAAGGAGGAAGCTTTGAAATACGGTATACTCAAAAGGCAGTTTTTATTTGACAAGGTTCTAAATAGTTACGAAATTCCAGAGCTAGAAGGACAGGATGCTATGGAACATCAGGAAGACTCCGAATGATTGTGTAAAACCTGAAACATATAGTTAAGGTGTTGCGTGTGCCAAATAAACAATACATTGTAAAATGGACACATTACCTTTCACATTTCAACCCTTGTGTTAAAGCTAGAGATTTTCAATGATTTGAGTAATATTATATATACATGTATAATTTGTATTAATAAATCTTATTGTAACACTGATGGTATTATGCTTTCATTATATTGTGTAAATATATTGTAAAATAAATTTACGTAGTACTATATGCAATCTAGTTATTTTAATGTGCAAAGCATGAATAAAAATCTGGCACATGCCACTCGTCAAAGTAACACGCTTTAAGTCACTGTTTTCCATAAAGTAAATAAATGCTATTTTTTCTATGTTGGGTGTAAAACATTTTAACTCGATGACACATGTCCTATTTAACGACAGTTTTATATACTATGTAGGTTCTTTCCTTCATGCACCAAAATACGAACCTCACAGTCCGCGACATTTTGCAGAAACTTGCCTAGACTTCCAGAAGTTAGTGCCGGCTATGCGATTTTCTCCTCATTTATACAAACGTACGACGTTTTGCGTCGGTTTCAAGTACCCTAGAAGATCATCATACGCCTGAAGCTCACTTGACAAAAATATATATATATAAATAAATAAATAAATAAAAAGATTTATAATGACTATAACACGACACCATATTTAAAATTTTCCCTGGTTAAAAAACACACCCTATAATTAACTAGGTCAGCCTGTACATGTGAATTAAAGTGTTAGCATAAAATTGATAATTTGGATATATTCATAGTTAAGTGTCTGTAGGGGATTTAAAAGATGAAATGCCTTGTTGTTTTCTGAAAGAATGTTTTCTCGGTTGGAAATTGAAGTATTCATTAGATACCGAATTGTAAAAACGAAATTGCCTACGTGTAAATATTTTACAAGTTGGGATCGGTGCTAACTTTTTTTAAAAGGACTGGTGTATAACATAAAGCATTGTATTTTTCTTATAAAAAAATGACTATGTTGATTTTTTCAAGTTTAAATAAAAAATTTTCTGTGAAATGTTGATGCAAATAAATTCATGTTTGGAATATAAGTTCATGCTATATAGTTTCTCCGCGAATTTATTATGAAAATAAATTCATATCTGGAATATATAATTAAACGCAATATGGAATTATTACAACTGCATCACAGACAAAGATAAAAAAAGTGGTTTGTGGAATTAATATAATCCTACAAAAGGTATGTTTTACTCTAGTTTTATTTAAATAAGAATAAGAATGTTTATCAGTTTTTCTAATGACTGATTTCGTGTACATAAGGTTGTAGTTTATTTTTTTAAAAAGTCGATTTGCATTTTACACAGCCCTTTAAACGTAATATACCCATCACTTATTTCATAAACTCTCCATAACGTTAACCAAACATTTGAATTTCAATTTTAAACCTAGAGATTAAATACCTCGTTACTAAGGTTACTTAACATTTTTTCATATTTTTATACATGATATTTTACCTGTGACCGTAAATGATGTGTAAACCATTTCGTTTAAACTCTGACTTTAGATTTCAAAAGAAAGAGTACTGACTCACTTGACTGTTAAATAATTTTGAAAGGTGAGATGTTTTAAAAATATATCCATTAAAAATAGTATTTCTTTACTTGTTAAGCTTAAATGTTGAAAAGTAAGTGATTTTATATTGCAGATAAATGGTGGACCATTTTATTCTGGAAGAATGAAGTAGTCATCAACAACGTTGAAGAGGTGAAACTGAGGGACATTCCACAAGGAGAATATGTTCACATTTAAAGATGTTCAAACGTGATGTTTTATACAGTGAATATACAGCGAACTTTTGTCTTTACTATAATAACTGAAATATTTAATGCTGACATTTTGTAATAAAATTTTATATTGGATGATGTACTGTTTTACTGTGCTATTTACCTTATTTTAAAGGAAGTAGACTTGTGGTTTTAGCGAGTGCCTCTTTATAAAAAAACATTACCCTTTCTTTTTGCCTATTCTGAGGTTATACTAAATCGTCGCCACGGAATAATACAAAATACTTTATTTGAGTTAGTAAAATACTTATACCTTTCACCGTGATCAATAAGAAGACTTTACATAACCGTATGAACACGAAACTGTTAATTAAGTAGTTGTTGAAGTGTAAAAGCAAAAATGTAGTACAATGTGCGTTGTGGCGTGTAATGTAAACGAATATTAAACTTTTACGTGATGGGGAATTAGGTGGAACTTTTAAGAACTTTTACGATTAAGTCTCTTTGCGTTTGGCATATTACTTTTCTTCCAAATGTATATAACAGCTGAATAAGGCTAATTGAAAGGCTAGTGTGTACAATTTCAGCATTGCTGCATGTTATCATGCATGATGCACTGTATGAATTTCTATTATTAGCTTATCATTATAAAAAATAATTTCGCTGAAAGTTAGTAAAAAATCTTAAAGGGTGATTTAAATGTAAATGAGGATCAGAAATCCTCGTGTTTTGAAAATACAACAAAGCTGAGAATTTATTCGCTACTGTTTCATTTCAAAGGTTAGCTGGAAATTCTAATAATAGCAATAGTAAATTAATTCATTCTCGATCAAACCCGAAAATTCTCTCCCTACCTAATGTGGCCACTTTATATAGAATACAAAAGTGGTACACGTGCGTACGTCCTTATTGTTCAAACGCCTGTTTCGAAACTTTCTTATTTATAACGTGGAAGCACTTGAATAGGTAGATCAAATGAGAAATGAAAGTTATAAGTACTCATTTGAGTAATTCTGTGTTTGGGGTTCACAGATATTAATAACGTCCCCCGCATGTCTCATTTCTTTCTACCATAAATGTTTAATGTAATCTAAGGTAAATGTTCCAAGATACCGATTTTTCCTATTGTAAATATTCCTGGGTGTTTTTTTATCAAGTACATGAAACAGTTTTCTTGCGCTGGCATAAGCTGCAGGATTTTCCGCATTAAAATAATATTGTTGTATAATTCGATTTTTTTCCTGATCGTTCATATTTTCACTTTCTATTTAAAGTAATCATTTACAAGACAGTTGTTAATTATATTTCAAAAATACTTGACGAGCATCAAACACAGAAGAAGAAACAAAGACCTTTATTGTTGAATGTATTCCCTTAACGTATACCGTGCTCTTCGAGCGTATGATTTTGTTCATAACGTATGACATTGCTCATAACGTATGACATTACTCATAACGTATGACGTTGCTCATAGCGTATGACGTTGCTCAAAACATATGACGTTGCTCATAACGTATGACGTTGCTCATAGCGTATGACGTTGCTCATATCGTATGACGTTGCTCATAACGTATGACGTTGCTCGTATGATTACTCGTCTTATTTTATACCTACTAATTTTAATGAAACTTTACAGGATTGATCGACACATGTGATCACTGATCGCTCTTGTAATCATCAAATAGTCACTTATTGTATATGTTCGTTATCATCATATAGTCACTTATTGAATATGACTGTTATCATCGAATAGTCATTTATTGAATATGTTTGTTATCATCAAGTAGTCACTTATTGAATATGTTTGTAATCATCTTATAGTACTTATTGAATATGTTTGTTATCATCTTATAGTCACTTATTGAATATGTTTGTTATCATCATATATTTACTTATTGAATATGTTTGTTATCATCTTATAGTTACTTATTGAATATGTTTGTTATGTTTGTTATCATCTTATAGTCACTTATTGAATATGTTTGTTATCATCATATAGTTACTTTTTGAATATGTTTTTTATCATCTTATAGTTACTTATTTAATATGTTTGTTATCATCGAATAGTCACTTATTTAATATGTTTGTTATCATCATATAGTTACTTATTGAATATGTTTGTTATCATCATATTGTCACTTATTGAATATGTTTGTTATCATCAAATAGTCACTTATTGTATATGTTTGTCATCATCATATAGTCACTTATTGAATATGTTTGTTATCATCTTATACTTACTTATTTAATGTGTTTGTTATCATCGAATAGTCACTTATTTAATATGTTTGTTATCATCATATAGTTACTTATTGAATATGTTTGTTATCATCATATAGTCACTTATTTAATATGTTTGTTATCATCATATAGTCACTTATTGAATGTGTTTGTTATCACCTTATAGTTACTTATTTAATATGTTTGTTATCTTCGAATAGTCACTTATTTAATATGTTTGTTGTCATCATATAGTTACTTATTGAATATGTTTATTATCATCATATAGTCACTTATTGAATATGTGTGTTATCATCAAATAGTCACTAATTGAATATGTTTGTTATCATCATATAGTTGCATATTGAATATGTTTGTTATCATCATAGGTCACTTCTTGAATATGTGTGTTATCATCAAATAGTCACTTATTGTATATGTTTGTTATCATCATATAGTTACTTATTGAATATATTTGTTATCATCATATAGTCACTTATTTAATATGTTTGTTATCATCATATAGTTACTTATTGATTATGTTTGTTATCATCGAATAGTCACCTATTGAATATATTTGTTATCATCATATAGTTGCATATTGAATATGTTTGTTATCATCATATAGTTACTTATTGAATATGTTTGTTATCATCATATAGTCACTTATTGAATATGTGTGTTATCATCAAATAGTCACTTATTGAATATGTTTGTTATCATCATATAGTTACTTATTGAATATGTTTGTTATCATCATATAGTCACTTATTGAATATGTTTGTTATCATCATATAGTTACTTATTGAATATGTTTGTTATCATCATATAGTCACTTATTGAATATGTTTGTTATCATCATATAGTTACTTATTGAATATGTTTGTTATCATCGAATAGTCATATATTGAATATGTTTGTTGTCATATTATAGTCACTTATTTAATATGTTTGTTATCATCGAATAGTCACTTATTGAATATGTTTGTTATCATCTTATAGTCACTTATTGAATATGTTTGTTATCATTATATAGTCACTTATTGAATATGTGTGTTATCATCATATAGTTACTTATTGAATATGTTTGTTATCATCTTATAGTCACTTATTGAATATGTTTGTTATCATTGAATAGTCACTTATTGAATATGTGTGTTATCATCAAATATACACTTAATGAAAATGTTTGTAATCATCGAATAGTCACTTATTGAATATGTTTTTTTATCATCAAATAGTCACTTATTGAATATATTTGTTATCATCATATAGTTACTTATTTAATATTTTTGTTATCATCAAGTAGTCACTTATTGAATTTTTTTTATCATCAAGTAGTCTCGTATTGAATATGTTTTTAACATCAAATAGTCACTTATTGTATATGTTTGTTATCATCAAATAGTCACTTATTGTATTTGTTTGTAATCATAAAATAGTCACTTCAGAGAGGTAGATAATCCTAAAATCAACTTTAGCAAAGTTTTAACCATTTTGACTTATTTTTTTCTTTTAAGGTCAATTTTCAAAATCTGTCAAAGTTGATCAATTCCGACTTACAATACCTGTTCAGTTATTTAATTGTAATGCACTTCTAAATTTCTCAATCATGCTCCTTTTTAAACTTTCTTAACTCTTTCATTTAGGTACAATCCTGAAAAAAGATCAAATCTGATAGTATATCATTATTATAATCACTTTAGATATTGACTAATCATATGCTTTCTAGTTTTACATCTATCTAGTACATATATATTATATAATTAAATATGAGTAAATATTTATTTAGTTCTAATCTATTATAAGAGTAAAGTTTTCATCGTAAATAATAAAAGGTACGAAAAGTTTTGAGTGCTGTTATAATGATTTAATGATTTGCTGACATTGTGTGGTTGAGTTTTCCAATAAACTTAGTTATTGTTCAATAAAGTTGTTCCATTTTTTCAGGGGGAGGGGGGCAGCTTTTTCAAGTGTGTGTTATTTTTTTGGGTGAAAAAAGACCTGCTGGGAAATGAGCGGAACACTTAGGGAATCACACCTGTCTCCATAAGAGGTAACCGCTTATTAATTATTCTTACATGAAAATATTTCTGCTAGATAATGTTAAAGGGCAAAGTAATTTGAAATCAGGTGGAACGTTAAGTCACTCGTGTTATATTCACAGCGTAACAATCTTGTAAAAACAAAGTATGGCAGTGCCATAATTATAAAAATAAAATTTTTATAGCAATTGAATATATAAGTCATGTTTGTAGCATTATTTAATAGACGCACGTTAACTTAAAAAGTCAATTATAAATATCATAGTCGAAAAGGTAATTATTTGTAAAATTTCCCTATTTTTTATTATAAATTAATCAATAACATATATTGGCACAGCAACAATGCATACCTTCATTGTGGACAATATAAAAAAAGTCAAGTTCACTTATTCCTCACAACACTTTTATTAGAAAGAAAAGATAAACAGAAATGAAATAATAAATACATAAGTATAATATCACCAAGTAATGATTTTGAAATAGATAAAATATTTTTGGTCCTTAGAAAGCAAAACCCAAGCTGGACATACAAGCGTTTATATTAGCTTTAAATATTTCACAGAATGAAAGAAACGCAAACATAAGATAAAGCAAGTTAAACAAACAAAACATTTTAAAACTTTTTCAAACAGTTTTCATTTAGTACTTTTCTTCATTATGAACAAATGATATTATTTAAAAATATTAAAGATGATAAAGATTGTTTTAGTGTTGAGTTAAAAGAATCCATTAAATGTAAGATATAAGGCAAGTATGACTAAAATAACATTTTTCATATAACATCATGTTATTACACTGTGTTTGACCATAAGTAGTTTCTACACAACACAGATCAAATATGCATATACAATGTCCAAAGTGTCCGCCTTCAAATATTGGCATTTTTGTGCCTCTTCTTATTGGTAACGCTTAACGCTTGCCTACCTAAAAATATTGGCAATGTTGTGATTGAAACATTTGCAATTTCAGAGTCTAAACAATAATTTTATTTGTTTCTAAATATTTGCAATAATGTGATTTAGATATTTTTGCAATAATGAATTTATTTGTTTCGAAATATTGGCAATATTGTGATTCACCTATTTGCAATGTCAGCGTCTTAACACTGAATATATTTGATTTATCTCCAAATATTGGCATTATCGGCATCAACAATGTTGTGCGATCAGCTTTGTAAAAATGTCGGCATTCACATCAAGACATTAATTCCTAGGCACGAGTATTCCTCCTCTGTGGAATTAATGCAGGGGAGTGAGAGTGTCCAGAAATGCGTATTTCGTCCTCCTTCACACACGTGGATGGCATGAACATGTCGCTAATAGTTGCTTCATGGCAATGTTCCTGGTTAAATCAAAGTTCATCAGTTAATTTATAATGTAAACATTCACAAATATCCTAGCTCGCAAACTCATAAATACTTTCGACTTCTGTTTTTTTAAAAGTCTGTGCAATGAGTGGTACATTAATTAAATCATACAACTTCATTCGACATTTCTATTCATTGACATAAAGATTTAAAGTACAAGTATCTATATAAGCAAATCATTTTTGAACAACTCGAGAGAACGCTTTCTTGCATATCAGACTGGCGTTTCCGTTAGTTTTACCCATGCCGGAACACAATTTCATTCTGGCATGGGGGCTGTCAGATGGCCAGAATAAAGATGAGTTCGCGTGATTTTTGTACAATGGCACGAATATAAAGATGACGTCATAAATTTGAACCTAAAATATTAATTATAATGATTTTGTAGCGGTTAATTCGCCCCGCCATACGCTGTTGAACTCGAATGCCTAGTTTACCGCCCAAATGGGCGGGTCACCTCGGGACGGATATTCCGATCCGAACCGCAAAATATGACAGATATTATTATTCTGGAACTAACCAGAACGAACTGGTTGAGGAAACATGGGCGTGACTTTTAATTAAAAAGGACTTTGATCTAAGATATCAGGTTTAGAGGTAGATACATTATCCACTAGGTCGCCGATCCTCTCAATAACAGTGTGTAAAAGCAAACATACTTAATGAAGAAATGATACAAGGAAATTAAGTTAGAGTGAAAATACAATATTACGATAAAGTTAGAGTGAAAATACAATATTACGATTAAGCGATTAAGTAAGAGTGACAATATAATAGTAAGTTCATTTGAACATTAGTTCAATATTGTATTTATATTGTAAATATATATTTCTTTCAGACGACACAATACTCACATGTGCATACGTCATGCCATTCCTCTTTTCAGCAGGAGATGCGTTCTTGCCGATCCAGACAAAGATCTGTTCACAGGAGTCAAACAGGAACACGTCCTAAAGTTACAGATTAAATAATTATCAATCAATGACTAATGTTTTATGTTTTTTATTTCAATGCATTTTCATCCGCCTGTTTTCGCAAAAAGATAAAGAATGAACTTCAGGTGTTAATCTATCATCGAACGTTTTCGTTTATGATAGATTATTTGTATAACCTAGAATAAATGCAATCATTAAAGGTCACAATAAATTGCTTAACTGCAAATAATGCGGGCTCAGTGTGATACAAATACATGTGCATTTGTACATGTCTGTGGCGATAACAAATTAATGAAATCTTTATTCAAGTGATAATTGTCTTAAATCTCAAAACAAGAGCCACCACCATACTGGGGGCCAAGCTCGACATATCTTATTTCTAAAGTCAAACTCCTGGAAAACTTTTTTAAAACAAAGTATACTTAGAATTTGAAAATTGGCCTTGATGGTCAAGGACATTCAAAGGTCAAGGTCACATTTTAAATAATCAAGGAATGAATCAAATCCATAAATTAATAACGAAGAAAAGGCCAATAAAAGGTCAAGGTCATATTAGAATAATTCAATATGTCAATTTTCCCATATATTATTTTTTTGGGCAAAGCACAAATCAAATATGCAAATTAAAACACAGAAATGACAATTTAAGCTTCTTTCAATAATATGGCATCGACAGACAATGTCACTTAAAGGTCATGGTCATAGCAGAATGATTCAACATGCGTTAAGAAAAAAAAGAGAAAATATAACAAACAAAAAACCCACTTACATCACTGCCAAGGTCTTCTTTTTCAATTTTTCCTGATTTCACCTCACTGAAATTAACCTTTCCTGAGGCATCAGATACACTGCAAAATAAGCAAGAACGGAGGTTTAAAGACATATCTCTGAATTTGACTATCAAAATACAGTTGTAAACATTAAAAGATAATATTTAACATCTTTATAATGACAAATGCTGTTATATATAGATAAATTGTATGACAATATTTAAAAGCGGAATCAAAATTAATGTTATAATTAACGTCACGCGAGGATCTTGCAATAAGTTCTGGCAAAAGTAGGCTTCGTGGTCCTTTCTTCCAGATAACCTAAAGCTAAAGATATTCGCTTACATCATTAAAATCGCTTTTAAAATCACGATGGTGCCCGTTTTGAAGGCCTGGGACCTCTTTTGTGAATGCAAACATGACTCTTGTAAAAGTTGTGGTATGTGATTGCCGGTTAATGAAATATTAAAATTTACTGACATCAGAATCCTGTGTGAAAACAATCGTGAAGAATCGTTTGCGCCATTTGGTTGTCACATTTGCTTACTTAGGAGAGCAAATGGAGATTCAAAGGCTAAAAATTTAGGTTGTTTAAAAGACAAAATTCGATAACAAATAAGGAAATCTGAATGAACATATATGAACCACTAAGAACAGCTCTTGAAAAGGAGTGCGACTGTAAAATGCCATGAGAATTGTCAATCCGAAAAAGAAATACGCAATTTTCAATTAGCAGACCAGTTGTTGGCATTGTCCATATGAAAATAAAGTTACTATGAAATTCTAAATAAACACTTTATAGAAGAACGTGAAAGAATTAAATCATTCAAGTAAAGGATTGTAAGGGTGCGGTTATATTATACAGAACAACGACTCTTTTCACAAGTATGACATTGGAAATTTTCCTAACCGTTTCATTTGAATGTCTATTTAAAAGAAAATGCTTTTAGGAGGAAAACTAAATCAAAAAGTTCTCCTGAAAGTACCATTTTTCATTTTCTCAAAAAGATACCTACAACAATAATTATAAAAAAGAAGAAAAAATGCAGTTAAGGGCGAATACTTTGGATGTTTGTTATGGGTTTTTTAATAGCACCTAGCATTTTAGAGAACCGAGACAAATATTAGAACTTTTTGCAAGACCCTCTTGTGGTCGATAACCACCGCACAAGGAAACCTGCAACAATTTGCCATCTGTGTTAAGAAAAGCATTTCGCAGCATTTAGGTCGTCTGCTACATATCACTGAGTCTGTCAAAGATTCTTTGAGTAATATCAAATAAAATTCATAGGAAAAGTAACCAGTCATTTACTTTCCTTTACATTTTCAGTAACACATACTGTAGTACATGTACATTGTATACATGTATATTTCATTAACATCTATATCAAAATTATTTTCATCAATGATAAAAACACTTCTTCTTTTAAGTAGAAATGTGTGTCCTGTATCTATACAGAAAAATATACAGTGTATATACAGATAAGTGAACACAATCATAACCAAAAACACATTTATACTAAAACAGTAATAATAAAATAAAGCGTAAAAGCAAAAGAAAGCAAAAAGCTGTTTAAAAAGATGAAGATTTTTTTACGCATGTACATTGTCACAGCGAGTACACTTGTTTAGCATAATAACAGTCGGTCCAATTTAAAGACACATAGACGACACAAAATATGTTAATTTAAGTCCCATCAATGTAAAAAAAAAAAAACAACGTAATACATTAAAGGGACTCCACTGCTTTTTTTAACATGAAAGGGCAGAGAGTATTTTTGTAGAACTGGATGTAGGTCCGGACAAATAACAACTGGGCAAAATTTCTGATCATTCTCTCACTCCGCTTTCCTGGATTAATAATAAATAAATTATATTGTGCAAAGCTTTTCACTAAAATCTGCCAAAAAGTCTGAAAAAGTCGCATATAAGATTTGATTTTTTTTATTTAATATTAGGTATATTTATACATTATTTGTTACATAGTTTGCCATTTAAGTTCACAAGTTGATCTATGACATATTTTTCTTTAATTTTATGATTTTAGGCTATTGGATCTTAGTGGAGTTCATTTAAAGTTTAACAAATTCAACGGTGACGTTTTAAAAGGTTCCGTCCTCATACTGGACACTTAGATAAAGCCAGGTTTAATAAAATCAGAACAATCTTATCCTGTTTGTAAGGTTTAAGTTCAAACAGCTTTTTGATAAAATGTATTTCTAATATTTTCATGCTATCTTGCTTTATACATTTAACATGTAGATTACATTCAGGCCGTATGTGTGCGTATGAGGTCGAAACCTTCCCTTCTTTTCATAATCTACACAACATTGCTATAAACGTATTTGCCGCGCATTTGAATAATATTTGTTTCACTAACCGCGACCTGTGTTCATGTTTGAAGGAAAACATTCTTTCCTTCTTCAGTTTATTAAATCAACGATTTCCTAAAAAATGCACTCTTAACTTGGCATTGACCCTTCTTGAATCATCTTTTTAAAAATTCCTAATAATTTTCGTAAACAATCTGGCTACTGGAAAGGGAAACAAATATATGTATTATTTGTATTTTCAGCCCAGCTGGGTGACATATAGTTGCAGCATGAATATATGGAAAGCTTTCTATAATAACTGTACAGGTATTTACTTACTTGACGCTGAAAATAGTAGAAAATAATATGCATTAACAAACCAATAAATATTTGTACGTTTACTTTTGATAAAGACCTGGGTGCCGTTTTAGGAACAATCGTACGCCCAGTCGTAGGTAAGATTTGGTCTACAAGATCGCAGTTACGACCATCTTTGTTGATAAAACGGCACCCAGCTTTTGCCACCCTTTTAGGAGCAGGCTAAAAACTGCACCTCTTTGCAGTCCGACCAGGCTCTGTAATGGTGGCTTCTCATTATTTCGTATTCAGATACCGAAATCACTAAAAGTTCTATTGTGGAAATCCAAAATCAAAGTAAGTAATTTGCACTAAACAAAGTCAGCAGGATACAATAACAAAAAATATAAAAAGAATAACCTTGCTTTTTTTAAAAAAAAATACGGTCAATAAAAAACTATAGCCCTGAGACTTTGGTTTGTGGAAAAAAAGAGATAAATTGTTATTACCAGAACAGCTTCTTGTCACTAGGGAGTTCAACCTCTTCGAATTCAGTAGCAGCTTCATTAGCTTCCAGTAACTTGTAAAACTCGTGCTATAGAGATATCAAACAAGGTTGAAGTTACAATGCATGAAATGAACAAGTTGAAAGTTACAAAGTATAAAATGAACACACTTTGAGTAACAAAGCAAGAAATGGACATGTTGAAAGTTACAAAGCATGAAATAAACAATTAATATCTCCTGCTCAATATATTTAAAGAAATACTGCAAACAGTTTTTTTGTAAACAGTTCAGTATTCGTTTTCATTAAATAACTTCTCCCTGAATTGATACATACGCCTTCGCTGATACTGTGTTCGTCAATAACTTCTCCCTTACAATGGCCAGCCCTTTCACCTTCAAGATTTTGCAGAAATTCCATACACTGAAGAACGAATGTAGTGTGATATAAAATAAAGCATTTAATTTAAATAAGTTGTAAAAGGCATGAAAATACCATGGTAAGAAATACATTTTAGGTTTGTCTACAAAATAGTTTCGGATATACATGTTTTAATAAAATATAGAAGGATATATGCGCATCCAAAGAGTCTAAACAGATCCTATTCATGTATCATTTTGAAATTCTTTCATATAACAGTCAATAAAACCCCTTGATATATCGCTAAGTATATCGCTAATCAAAGATGGACGATTACATGACATAATTAATGAGCCGCGTCATGACAAAACCAACATAATGGGTTTGCGACTAGCATGGATCCGGACCAGCCTGCGCGATCAGGATTCATGCTGTTCACTTACAAACCCTATAACAAGTAGAGAAACTGATAGCGAACAGCATGGATGCGCAGGCTGGTCTGGATCCATGCAGGTCGCATACCCATTATGTTGGTTTTGTCATGACGTGGTTCAATTTTATTTATAGCATAAAGTTTAGCCTACCCTGGCTTTCTCAAATGGACTAGCATTGTTCCCGTTGTACTGCCAACATGTTGTACCAGCATCCAAAATGAATACGTCATCAGAATTAAGACTGCACTTGTTCAGAGGGACCTGTAAATGCACAATTTCATTGATAACCAATGAGTAAGTTATCAACTTATCAAAATATCGTACTATATTGCTTTTCGTCGTCCCTTTCCGTATATAGCTTATAATTGGGTAAGTTGACAACGATTTTTGTATGATCTTAACTGTCTTGTACATGTATGCTTAACCATTACCCTAAAATTGATCATCATGGCTTTGGCTAACAGTAGGTATCAGATTGGGCGCCGAATGTCTCGGTGTCTCTTTAGGTATCAAATTGGTTTTAACAGTCACCCTCAGCAAATTTTATTTCGTGAAAATTGGACAAAATAAACAATTCAAGCAGACGACATTTTCATCAGACGATAATTTTCCTTATCAAACGAGAGTGTTCTCATTTTTTTCCATTAATCAGAAGACAGTTTTCTCATTTATCAGAAGACAGTTTTCTCATTTATCAGAAGACAATTTTCTCATTTATCAGACGACAGTTTTCTCATTTATCAGACGACAGTTTTCAATTTATCAGACGACAGTTTTCAATTTATCAGACGACAATTTTCTCTTTTATAAGACAATGATTTTCTCATTCATCAAACAACACTTTTCTCATTTTTCAGACGACACATTTCTATTTTATCAGGCGACAATTTTCTCGGAATACGAAGGGTTCATACTTTACCTCTTGGATAGCAACTTTAGCTCCCTTTCCAAAACATTGCATTAACCTTATCTTATATTTCTTTGGCTCCACGTGACGGAAGCCAGTTTCAGCACCACCTTCCATTATTCTGAAAATGAGGATATGAAAATTGTAGTTGTTTACAATTGAGTTGGTTTAATACCACTTTTAATTGAAACTAAACACATATGAATCAAAAATTGATGCAACAGAAGCAAGATAATTTGTATATACAAATAGATGCGATCCGGGCACCTTAAGGGTAAATTTTCTTATGATATCTTATATATATATATATATAAATGAAGTTCGATTCCTTGTGTGGATCTCAAGTATAGAAAAAGTATGTTTTGGGAAATGCAGAGTACAAAGTTCTGTAATTTTTTACCTCTTTTTAAACGTATAAAAAAATAAAGAACTTTATACTCTGCATTTCCCAAAACATACTTATTATATATATTATATATATATATATTTGTAAAAAATCGGGAACCTTATTTGCACATATATATATAAATATTAAGATCGTCCAGCTGAAAATAAGACAAGAGGTTGGGGGTGCGTTTCTGTCTAATGAATAGACCTGAAAACACTTACACAATCTCCTTAAAATAAGATCTGAAAAGTTCTGTCTCGAACCCTTCGACCTCCCTGTGCTGGACCGCCTTATCATCCAGGAATGTATCCAGCTCGACTGTCTTATAGGCAGCTGTACCATACTCATCCTATTGAAAACGATATATACATAATTTTTACACGAGTAAATTTCATAATTGCCTAAATTGGATAGCACCGTGCATAAAGTTGTTTCGGCATAATTTGTTTAAATTATAGTATATATCAAACTCAATTTAAATTAGAACATTATTTACATGATTACAAAATTCTGATCTTCCTTATTTTAGTGTTGTGTAGCTAAGGGGGACGAATCTGCAATGCATAAAATACTCCTGTTTTGTGGTCCCTAGAGAGTTGTCACCCTTAGAAGTAAAAAACGGCTGTCTGTATTATGTATTTTTAATAATATATTTACACTCAAATAAAATAAAATAAATAAATAAATAAATAAATAAATAAATAAATAAATAAATAAAAAAATAAATAAATAAATAAATAAATAAATAGAAAGGTCGCTATTTTGGGTAAGAGAAAATAGAATCTGCTCACTTTGTAACCAGCAAGAAATAGGTGATGAATTTCAATATATATTTAAATATATTTTACTCATGAAAGACACAAGTATATCAGTAATTACTATACAAAGTTTCCTAGTATTTTAAATTTTCAGGTTTTAATGTGTATTTATAACAGAAATACTTTATTTAATCTAGCTATGTTGTTAAAAAAATAATGCTGAAACTTCACAAAGTCATCTTCCTTATTTACTTCTATGCCATGTTTGTATTATTATTTGATGTAGTGTTGGTTTGTTCACTCTTATGCTCTTAAGGCCATGAGTTTTTGTTTATAAATAAATAAAAAATAAATAAAACTTTAAAAACACAACATTAAAACTAAATAATAAACTGCAGCTCTTTGTATATGATTAACAAAAAATAAGAATTGGATCATAATACATCTATCTATTAATTAAAAAAGAAGACTTTGTTGAATTAAAAATAAAAGTAATGTAAGAATGGAGACGAGAATGAGTGCAGCGACCTTCTTACCTGTGAACTTTTTGACCCGATCCAGAAATGGACGTCATACTTGAGATCCATAGAATCACCTTCAAGGTAGGACTGTAGACAAATAATTAAAATGAAAAAGAAAAATTGTACCAGCTACATACATGTATATGTAATTGGTAAAAATATGTATATAAACGATCACGGTACAAAACCCTGTCTTTCAGCCAATACAATTCAATGAGAACCCTGACTTGAAATAATATTTATTTACAAACACATGGTACTTCCGAGCACTCTACCCTTCTTGGGAGCTTACAAGTTCCAGGCGTGGGACCAAGCCCTACCCCCAGGTACAATCTAACAATTCTTTAGTATGAGTAGTTTATAGTATCAGTAATTTGTTTTAGTTAGAATAGCTTAATTTTGTATTAACATGTATTTTGAATGATAAATTTGTATGTTGGGGGTTGAATGATATTTGTGTAGTATGGAGAGTCTTAACGCCTGGGTCCCTGTGGGTATAGGTTCTTGGTCCCACGCCAATAACCTGTACATACACTTGTTTGTGTTTTGAATATGGCTGGTGGCTCCCGCTAACAATACACATGTATATATTATTCCATCTCAGTTTCCGTCCACATTTCAGTGTTAACAGGATGTATCTATTTAACTATCGTATTCAGTGTTTCCATTTCCTTTCTTCATTAATATTTAAGCTCTCATTGCAGTTTTGTTCTTGTGATCATACAACATTAATTTCGCTCGCACAGTATATTTCCGCTAATATTTCCCGCTTATTCAACTAAATATCTGATCATTCCGCAGATTTTCCGCCAGTACTGGGATAATGTTACTGATCATAATAAAATGTTTTTTGTCTTTCACATGCGCAATAAAAATAAATGCAACCAATTGCATTCTAAATATTCTTTATAGCTACTGTTAAATTTTACTAAATTTCAACAAAAAGCATACACATAAAATATTAAAATGTTTTCCTCAAAAAACCTGAATGCGTCTTTCATTGTGTCAAACTTCACAAAAAGTTAGTGAGAATATTTGATTTTCCACACTTCTCAATGAGATATATTCAATATCACTTACCAGACAAAACAGACAATACAATTGTCATCTATATAAACTTACGTTAAGAATAATGTAGGAGTCACCGCTGTAGAATTTACCGTAGTCTTCTTTAGGCCACTCCGTGACAATGAATTTCTAAAACAAATGGAAAAAAAGAAAGAGATCTATATATGATAAAAGTTTCTCAATACAAATATGTTTAAACTAATAAAAATTATCAATTTCATGAAAAATTCTCCTCTCTGTTTTATTTATTGATATTAATTCTTAAATTTCACATACCACAATTCTCCAAATCTGAAGCCCAGGCTGGGTCCCGGCATCTTTCCATGCTGGCTCCCCAAGCGCAGATGCTTCTACAATACACACATACAAATAAATAATATGTCTTCAAAACAGGATATCAAAATTATCATAGTGCCAAAACAAATCAACAGTTTCTCATCAAAATAATCGCCATTCCACACTTTTAGTAAGAAACATTAGCGTATCTTCAAAATAAATTATAAATATCATCCCAAAACGAAAATTGATAAACATTTTTATAATAATAAAATCTCACAGGAGGTTGAAATATCAGAAGATGGCAATGAAGTATTTACAGATAAGAGTGAAATATAAACATACAAGAGTGAAGAATAAATAGACGAGATCAACACAAGAGTGCAAAAGATCCACAGACAAGAGTAAAATATCAACAGATTGTCAAATATCAGTAGACGAGAGTGGAATATCAACAGACAAAAGTGAAATTTCAGCCGACAAGAGTGAAATTTCACCCGACAAGAGTGAAATATCAGCAGACAAAAGTGAAATATCAGCAGACAAAAGTGAAATATCAGCAAACGAGAGTGAAATATCAGCAAACGAGAGTGAAATAACATCAGACAACAGCGATATATCCACAGACAGACGAAATATGAGCAGGCGAGAGCAAACACTTACAAGACGAGTGGGAAAAATCAGAAGATGGGAGTGTAAATAATGATAACTATATTCATTTGTATCACTACTAAAATCGTGTTCCAATTTTATGCGCCAACATTAACGATTCTAACTTTACGGTATTTTAGAACAAAGCACTTTTTAAAGAAATTTACAGTTACTTACTCTTGACTTGGCGTTCAAGGTCACTTCCAAACAGCGCCATGTTGCTGTCCTTCCAGTTGTATTTCTTCATTTTAACAAGACCTGTAAATGTGATATCAGCAATTTTAATATGTTTATGGCAGTTTTCGACTGCTAGAATAGAAAAACCCTTAGAAATAGAGGATATTTGTTTGTTTGTGTGTAAGATGAAATTTTATTTCATCGAGTGGGCTTTAAAAACAGTATTCTCACGAGTGGCGTAGCCACGAGTGAGAATACTGTTTTTAAAGTTCACGAGATGAAATAAAATTACATCTTACACAACAAACAAACAAATTTTCTTTTTATTTTATGCTAAAAAACAAGTTTAAACGAAATTTCCATAATATTAACATAAATATTAAAATCTGTTTCTCCCATTGAGAGCCCCATTTCGTGCGAATTTCTCATTAAAAACAAGAAGTCTTGAGCTGAAAAATAAGTCCGACAATCAACATTAAATGACAGTGATATTATTTATTTTGTTTAAAAAATATGAATGATCGCTTGTTTTATTAATAAAAACAAACAATTCGTGTAGGAGAAAATTCCAACCATCCATCCATATTTCTGTTACTTACTGCGAATTTATATTAGACCTGGCTTTGTTAAATGTAAGCGGCAGCCATTTTTTAAAGTTGTGTATTTCACGGGAGGAAAATAATTGTGTTTGATTCAGAGGGATATCATTTGGAATTGTTAGTCATACACCTTTTTAAAAGAAAGAAAACATATTTGAGGATTGAAACAGACAAAAAATAAGTGTTGACAGATGTGAAAACATGAAAAAAGCAGCTATGAAAATGGAAGACTTGCAACTTGCTCGGACGCTGGGTGGTTTACTTGTTCTACGAGCTGTAGCTGTCATTGCTTTTCAATTTTTGGAAGGAAATTTTTTCAAAAAAAAATTTCCTTTCTATAGTATCGGTCTGCCTATATTGAAAAAGAACGAACAACACCTAATTGAATTCTGTTTAAGCTCAATAGAAAATAAGTAGTTAGTGCGACCAAGAAAGTAGTGCAGCAGAACTATATGTATACTTTCAAACGTGGATGACTTGAAGAAAAAGCTGATGTTCAAAAAAACTTGAAATGATGATATTCAATGTTAGCTTACATCAATGGAACATAATCTTAAACGTGTACGAAAAAAAAACATCAGTATTATTACGCATTAGGCCAAAGAAAAGTTTGTGTCCATGTACCTATGTACAATAAATTGAATATAAATAAGGTGTAATTTTGTAGCAGAGATGCTGAAAAGTTCACATATATAAATCAACCGAAGGAAATGAAAGTATTTATTGTATATATTTAGCAATTTATTGAATAGCATTTTATGCCACCGCTGATTTTTTTACGTCGATAACTCAAGAGGAAACAATGGATACAATATGTGGCCTTAAAAAGGCGTTCTGTACTGTACTATTTTCGCAAAAAATGGTTCGCAAACTATCATAGAATCAAAGCGTTTGAAACAAAAATATTATTATATAAATAATAAAAAACAAGATTACAATACAAGTCTTTCAAGAGTATTCTGGAATTAACGGATGCAATTTGATAAAACTTGGTGTTGACTAATAAGTAGGGCACACCCGCCATTGTTCGGACCATCGACAGAATAACGTTCGTGGTTTTGAGATTTTTCCATCCAAGACATAGATTTGCTGATGAATAACATCGCAAAGGTTTGTGGAAATGCTTTTATTTCTTTGTTCAAAATCGTTTTGTGTTTGCAGATGTTAATTTGTTAGCCAAACGAAATTAGGTCAAGGATTGTTTACATTATTGAATTTACAGGTAAACTCGGCCCTATACCAACTCGGGACAGGTCAACTAGGCCCTCTATTAAAACCATATATTAGGATATAGATTGTTTAGTTAATAAAATATTGTTTGAAATTATCTTTAAGATAAATAATCTTTAAGATTAGGAGAAAATATATATATGTTCATTCTTTGTAAGAATGTTAGAAGACTTGCAAGTTACCGACTTTATCATTGCATTTATTTATTATTGAAAAAATGCTGAACAGCTAGTCTCAACAGTGTTTATAGGCTAGAATTTTCAGTTTGCATTAGGGCCAAAATTATTAAATATATTGTAAGTCATGACGGCTTTCCCATTGCTGTCATCAAACTTTAACCTTGTTCATAACTTTTTCAGATCTTGGTGTATTGTCTTCATACTTGGCCACAACAACCCTTCAAATAGACCAGACTAAACTAAATTAACTTGACCACCATATGAACATTCAAGGTATATGTCTAAATCTTCTTATTTTTTGCTATTAGTGGCTATAACTTTGTTATTTTTGAATGGATTGTCTTCAAACTTGAACAACAATCTTTCAGGATAGGACCTGACTCACTCATAAATGTCCTTGAAGCTTTTGTGATCAGAAGTTGTACAGAATAATACAAACCCAGAGCAATTTCATTCACTTGGTTTTGCAACTTCTGAGAAAATGGATTTTAAAGATAGTTGTTTTCTTGAAATTTCAGGACAGTATAGTAGATAGTAAAGACATTTAATACATACTGTACAGTATATACACTATAATTACTATAGTATACTATAAAAATCTTTATGCTTGGACAATTTTGAACAAATTGTTTCTTAAACAGTGTAAGAAATTAGGATTTGAATCGACTAGGCTGGTCGGACTACTAGATTGGAATATTCACTTGCCCAAAAGACATTTCACTAGCACGATTCATTTGTTCAAAACAGTTGTTTATATTGCCTCTGAAAATACAGTAGCCTGGTTGGGCTTGTTACTGTGAAAAGTTGATAGCCCAAGGAGAAATTTAGTAGTCAGGCTGTCGGACTACTGCTAATTTCGAACACTGCTTAAATTATTGATTTGATATCAACTAACATAATTATTGGGATACTATATGTATATCTAATAATAATTATATTTTATGTTTCAGAAGTTCTGCCTACATGTCAGATTTATGAATGTGAACAGCAGGATATCGATTTTAAGGATGCTTTAGGGTCAATGACAATGAAATCACAAAGATAAAGGCTAAAATGTGAGACTGTCAATCTGACTAACCTTGAAGTGAACAAATGGAAAAAATGTTTCTTTCAATAGCATGGGCTTTTAAGGAAGAGGTACATGATTATTTAGAAGTTTTTGTATATGATATTTCTTAATTATTATATTCTAATAGCTTTTTTTTCTTGATTTGTTTAAAGGCTGACACAGGACAGTTTATTTTAAGTCGGTGAGCTTCGGTCACTGGATAGACTATTGTCACAAAAAGCCAAATTTATAAAAAAGAATTACAGTGATGAGTGTATTTAAATATCTTATACAAGAAATTAGGAACAAAATTAATAGCAAGAACAATTGTGACATGTGACATGTATTTAGGAATTCAGCTTTCTTTTCGTTTTTACCTCAGGACAATTCACATTAAAATATTGAATATTCACAGTAAGCAGTGTTAGCACTCCGACTTATCTGACATATATGATCATCTTATCATCACTTAGCTGTCTATAGCTTATCAGAATCACTCACATTTATGAATTTAAATAATTTTGAAAAAATTGCTGCTTAGCAAATAGATAAATTACTTGGGGTGTCTGTGACTGATTGGTTTAGTTTCTTGACTTTAAACCTTTAAGCCTTTCACTGCTGTAAGTTCGAGCTAGGCAAGGGTTTACAAGTGGAATTTTAACTTTGCAATTAACTTTTTCTAAACAAATATTTCAGGTAACAGAGGCGCTTATATGATAGAACAGTAAAAGCAGGAGTGATAATGAAAGATACATGTAGATGTGTCTTCATGTCGGAAACACTAAAGAAATGGAAATATTGTGGTTTTATCAAACTTAAAAGAAATTGGAATACCAGGAGACTGCCTGCCCTTTGCAATGTTGGATAAAGAGTTCTTAGATGTGATGTCGAAAGCCTCATGAAGCCCATGACTTAATCTAATTAGAAAAAGAAATGACATTGAAGAGAAAACTAGTCACCAGTCTTTCACCAAGAACTAGAGATAACTTTCCAATATTTGAAATATCATAATATGAGCCGCGTCATGACAAAACCAACATAGTAGGTTTGCGACCAGCATGGATCCGAACAAGCCTGCGCCTCCGCGTAGTCTGATCAGGATCCATGCTGTTCGCCATCAGTTTCTACTTGTAATAGAGTTTGTAAGCGAACAGCATGGATCCTGATCAGACTGCGTGGATGCGCAGGCTGGTCTAGATCAATGCTGGTCGCAAACCCATTATGTTGGTTTTGTCATGGCGCGGCTCATATGTATAGAACTTTATTGAGCCACCAGTTTTTCACCAGGAAAATAAGATCACTTAACTATTTTTAGCTCACCTGTCACAAAGTGACAGGGTGAGCTTTTTTGATCGCTTTTCGTCTGGCGTCCGTCCGTAAACTTTTACTTTAAATGACATCTCCTCATAAACCACTAAGCCAATTTCATCCAAACTTCACAGGAATGTTTCTTTGGTGGTCACCTCTAAATATTGTTCATAGAACGCTGGTTGCCATGGCAACCAAAAGAAAAAAACTTAAAGTATTTTCCTTTAAAGAACCCAAAGAGCTAGAGCTTAGACAAAGTATCTTCTTTTAAAGGTATGAAACATCTTCTAGTGAGTGTCTACCAAGTTTGTTCAAATAAAAGCCCTGGGGGTCAAAATTGGCCCCCCCAGGGGTCATTGAATTTCCCTATATGCATATAGTAAAAACTTAAAAATCTTCTTTGAAAAAACCAAAATAGCTAGAGTTTAGATATTAAGCATGAAACATCTTCTGGTAAGTGTGTACAAGGTTTGTTCAAATAAAAGCCCTGGGGTCAAAACTGGCCCCGCCCCAGGGGTTTCATTGTTTTTAACTATTTGTGTAAAGTAAAAACTTAAAAAATCTTCTTTTAAAAAACCCAATGAACTAGAGCCTAGATGTTTAGCATGAAACATCTTATGGTGTCGACAAGGTTTGTTCAAATTTAAGCCCTTGTATAAAAATTGGCCATGCCGGGGTGGGGGGTGGTGCAGAGGTCTTTGTTTTACATTATATGTGTGTAGTAAAAACTTAACATCATGAAACATCTTCTAACGGGTGTCTTACAAGTTTGGTCAAATAAAAGCCCTGGGGTTTAAACTGGCCCCGCTCCAGGGGCCTATATATACATGTCCCTCTTGTTGAAATATGTATGAACAAATCTTTATCAACTTCAAGCTTTTATTGAAGGTATTTGAAATAACTTGGCACAAATGATTGTTATAATAAGACAATGAGTCATGTCAACAACCAGACCCCTACCTCCAGGGTCAAGGTCGCACTTGCTCATTCAAGGTCAACATTTTCTATTTGAAAGTATATCTCGTGTCCGGTCTATAACTTTCCTATCTCTAAAGGGATTTTGTAAATACTTGCCGCAATTTCTCACAATAATGAGAAGATGTGTCATGCTCAACAACAGGTCACCTGCCTCCAATGTCAAGGTCACACTTGGAGGTCAAATATTAGCACAGCCTGTTACAGGGTATATTTCGTGTCCGGTCCATAACTTTGTCATTTATTGAAGGAATTTGAAATAACTTGGCACAAATGTTTGTTATAATAAGACGATGATGTGCAACAACCAGACCCCTACCTTCAGGGTCAAGGTCACACTTGCTCATTCAAGGTCAACATTGTCCATTTGAGGGTATATCTCGTGTCCAGTCTATACCTTTCTTATCTTTGAAGGGATTTTGTAAATACTTGCCACAATTGTTCACAACAATGAGATGTGTCATGCGCAACAATCGGTCACCAACCTACAAGGTCAAGGTCACACTTGGAGGTCTAAGATTAACATAGCCTGTTATAGGGTATTTTTTTGTCCGGTCCATAACTTTTTTGTATATCAAAGGATTTTGAAAAAACTTGGCACAAATATTCACTATAATAAGACAATGTGTCATGCGCATCACCTGCATCCCTACCTCCAAGGTAAGGGTCACATTTCGAGGTAAAAAATTAACATTGTTTTTTTTAAAGGGTATATATTGTGTCCAATGTAGAACTTCTTCATAGTTCAAGGGATTTTGAAATAACTTGGCACAAATAGTCACAATAATAAGACGATATGTCAGTTACAACACTTGCACCCCTTCCTCCAAGGTCAAGGTCACACTTAGAGGTATAAAGGTAACAAAGTCTGTTATATGGTATATTTTATGCCCCGTCCATAACTTCTTCATAGATGAAGGGATTTGGAAAATACTTGGCACAAGTAGTCACAATGATAAGATGATATGTCATGCACAGCACCTGCACCCCTACCTCCAAGGTCAAGGTCACACTAAGAGGTCAAAGCAGGGATTTTTTCCAGGATTTTGGGAACATAACCCATACCCATGCAACTGGGAATTTAGCGATATTTTGTTAAAATTGGGAAAAAATGCATGACTGAAAGTTTGCAGTGATTAAATGTATGCAAGCAATCACTGCCTAGGATGGCTTCTTCAAACATTTAAACACTATTACAGTAAAGAAGCCCTTATTTTCAAAGATTTTAGAATTCTTTATTCAACATTTATATTTTTGTAACTTTCAATTGGGAATATTTTCCTTTGGATTGGGAAAATAATATACTATTTTCAATTGGGAATATGTCCCAATAACGGCTATAAAATAAGCCAAAAAAATCCCTGCAAAGCTTAACATGATATATTTTGAAATTCAGTATTTCATTTTATTTCTTTAATAAATTTATTGTTGCATTTGCAGATCTAGCATTGATCATAATTTTGGACTGAAAATCCTTAGATCCCTGCCTCAATCTTTTGAAATAGCACAATTTTTTGCTTCATATAATACTTCCCTGAGGCGGGGGACGTTGGTATCTCTGTTACAAATTCTTCTTTATTTTACCAACAAGTGTTCACTTTCAAACTTTTGATCATTGTATTTTTTGTACTACCTTTTGTATAATGTTGTATTTTATTAATGTTCTTATTTTAAGATTAGCATGGCCAACTCATGAAAGTCCAAATGATGGTCAACTTTTTTATGTTTTTTTTGTTGTTGTTTTTTTTTTAACATTATTTACTTTATTTTTACAGTGTTCCTCTGAATCATACATTCTGTTTTAGTTAAACATGCACTTCTTGTTACTTATTTTCCCATACTTCATATTACATTGATCACGGTTTGATGTGATGGCTCATAAAATTATAAAAATATCATTTCTTTGTACTTTACCTAGTAAAATATGAAACAGAAATGCTCTTGTAAGCTAACCTGTTCTATGTTTATATGCCCATGCCATTTAAAGAATGGTGACAGGGCATTAAGTGTTACCCTGTCTGTCAGTCCGGTCAGTATGTGAAATTTCCACTGAAATTTTAGTTTCCAACCAATAAGATTTGTACACCTTTTAAGGATTCAATTTATAACTGGTATATTCAACAATATATCAAAACACTGGTCAAGTATGATTTCAGTTACATTCCACAAAATTTATACAACATTATGCCTTCCTTACCAAATCATATGCAAAAATTGATTTATAACTGATAATATTTGAATGCTTTTGAAATCTATAAAGATTTTTCATATAGTTCTGGACAAAATTTAACAGTCTTTAGTGAGTTGGAGTAGTATGAAAAATCAGGTGTCTGTAAATCAAGGTCACTACTTTGGATCAAAAGTCAAATAATAACTTAAAACGTGAGAGTATATTTCTATATACATGGCTGGATTTACATAACATTTATCACAAATGTTCACTTACGTATACATCTTTCTCCCCAATCTGAAGCTTTAAGGTTCAGTTCTGAATAATGGCAACAGGCTTGATATATGCTGCCAGTGGGCTTGTCTAATTATGTACATATTTTGATTACCCACTCAATATAAGCATTGTTCTTAACGCAGGCATTCAAGTCCTATGGGCACATTTCTACTTTTGACTATATTTTGTTGTATAATGTAAGTCTTGTATGTAAAAAATCCTTAAAACAGCACCTCCTATATTACTGGCCATTTGCATTAAAGCTTCTTTCATTCAGATTGTTATAACTTGTGTCACGTCAATATGTACCAATAATTTAAAGGGACTCAGTCCATTGAGGTTTAAAAGCCTAAAACATAACATTTGAATTTCTACAGAAATGAGCCGGGGCACTTGATACAGAAATACATGCACAGATAGTGAAGAAATATACTTTGAAATAAATTGAAAATCAATTTTTAGCTCGACTTTTCTATGAAAAGGGGAGCTATCCTACTCGCCCCGGCGTCGGCGTCGGCATTGGCGTCACACCTTGGTTAAGTTTTTCGTACCACCCCACTTTATTTCAGAAGTATTACAAGTATGGCTTTGAAACTTACCATACTTGTTCACCATCATAACCTCCATCTACAGACAAGAGTACATAACTCTGTCAAGGTTTTTGACAGAATTATGGCCCTTTTTTGACTTAGAAAGTGTATTGAGCTTGGTTAAGTTTTTTGTACCACCTCACTTTATTTCAAAACCATTGGAGGTATTGCTTTGAAACTGACCATACTTGTTTACCATCACGACCTTCATCAACAGACAAGAGGACATAACTCTGTCAAGGTTTTTGACAGAATTATGCCCCTTTTTGACTTAGAAAATACATTGAATATGGGTAAAATCCACTTATTGCCTTAACCCTTTGAGATATTGCTTTGAAACTTTTAATGCTATTTCACATCATTACCCCCATCTGTACGCAAGAGAAGGTAACTCTGTCAAGGATTTGTTTTAAAAATTAAGGCCTTTTATCGACTTAGAATCTTGGTTAAGTTTTTAGTACCAGTCCACTTTTTGACTGAACTGTTTGAGATATTAATTTGAAAGTTGGAATACTTGTTTACAATCATGATTCCCAAACATGTCCAGGAGAAGGTAATTCTGTCAAAGATTTTATTTGAATTATGGCCCTTAACTGTCAATGTTTTGTATTATAGGCAAGCACTAAAAAACTTAAAAAATCTAAAAAATTCATTCCTATCCACTTGTTCACTTTACCATAAATTATGTCATATAAACATTGCTGTAATATTCAAGGGTATCAAACAACTAGTTATTTTTCTCTTTTTGTACTTGAAATTAAAATCAGTAGTATATGCATATTTCACATTTTATCTCGCCTATTTGATTGGTGCACAATTCAGTAAAATAATTCTTCACTAAATATCTTAATGCTCATGGCCATTGTTCACTTTAAAAATACAGAGATTCTTGTATTGCCTTTTACTGCAAAAACTTTTTTTATTGGCAAGCAATAAAAAAGTCGAGCGCGCTGTCTTACGGACAGCTCTTGTTTTATGCTTTTCTCAGCCTGATTTGCGTGAAATGTGTTTAAACGCTTTCATTTTGGGTCACTTTTTTACAATTTGAATAATTATTCTTGAAAAAGGAAGTGCGCAAATGATCTGAAATTTTTCTCAAAGATTAGTGGTCAAAACATACATAAAGTGGTACATTAATCTAGAAAAATAAATTTCAGTCTCATCATGTCAAAAAACCTCAGTGGAGTTCCTTTTACACATTTTATCTGACAAACTAAATTTCAATTTCTCCATATATTTAATCATTTATTTTTTATATCACATATATTTTTACTTTTATGCAAGTTTTGACAATAAAAGTTTATTTTAAATCATTGTTCTTTGTTTTGCTATGACTTTAACAGCATGTACATCAATTTCATACTAAAACACAATTAGTTATGTTTGAACTTACAAATGTAAGCACATGATGAGCTTTTCTTGTCCTTGAGTTTAAAATAAAAAGTCTCTTCATTAACTATGATTAAATAATGCTTATGGCATGGTCTTGAATTCCTATGAAGTAGTTATATAAGTCATGGCCGATTAAGGTCAAACTGAGTGGTTCTTTGTGTTCATAATGCAGTAGTATTATCTATTAATTCACTTATTACTATATTAGTAACAGAATTGCCTATGATTTCAACTGATTATGAGTGTCACAACTTATGGGTTTGGGGCCCTGGGCCAAGAACTAGTTATCAGCCCACTGAACATGAGTAGTGCAAAAACGGAAACAATGACGTCACATTTTACGTCATCAAATCAGCAAGCTGTAGATTGAAGCTTGCACCTGTTCCTTTGTTTTTAATTCACACGCATTGGGAATTTCTATGAAAATTTCCTTCCAACAGTACTTTCAGTGCTTTGATTCATAAAGCATACGGCAGTTATTACTCGTAGGATACTTTAATATGCCCAAATGTCATCAAGAGCAGTTTGCATGTGGAAGGAATGTATTTTTCAGACTGTAAAAATGAAACAAAAAATTTAGAGACGAAATTTGGTGATTGGAATTTGAATGAATAGAAGTAAGTTTTCTTCTTTTTATTACTTTTGACGTTTAAGGTATTTATCAATTTCAGCTTTGCTTTTTCTTTAAACAGCCTGACATTGTCAGAATTGTCAGCAAAAATAAAATTGAGGTACCACATGGGGAAAATCTTAAAAAAGTAGTTTCGTCATTGAAAAAAGTGAAATTATATTTTGATAATTTTCACTGTGAAATTACCAAATATAATTTTCACGGATAAATCAGTAATCCACTGAAAAGCATAAAATAATACATTATATTTATTTCATAATTTGCATAGCTAAAGTCATAGTTTCTTAAAGTGGTCTATAATGTAAGGTATTTTATGGATTGTATATAATTACGTTGATTTAGAATCCAACGCGTAAAAAATATATGAGCCGCGTCATGACAAAACCAACATAATGGGTTTGCGACCAGCATGGATCCAGACCAGCCTGCGCATCTGCGCAGTCTGATCAGGATCCATGCTGTTCGCTTACAAACCCTATTACAAGTAGAGAAACTGACAGCGAACAGCATGGATCCTGATCAGACTGCGCAGATGCGCAGGCTGGTCTGGATCCATGTTGGTCGCAAACCAATTATGTTGGTTTTGTCGTGACACGGCTCATATATAGATGGTGTTGGCAAGTTTTGTTACGACTTATTCTAACGTAATTGTTTATTGTATAACAGGCCTTTCATTATAGACCATTTCACTTGAAAAGAGATGTTTGGTTTTTAAAATGTTCACGGTTGCATACAGATTGATTTTGGCAAATCTCGGACAAATTATCTTGTTCTAATTATATCAAATTAGCCACAATCATATAATAAATATACGAGTAATTTGCTGCAATTATATAATGAAGGACCGAAATGAAAATCACCAACGAGGCGTTCTTAACCACATATGTTCTTTGCTTCATCCTGTATGTTTCGTGTACCATACTGCTATTCTAAGAAATAAATTTGGTTTGACTGGTACTTGGAAAACGGAAAATACTGGGTATGAAAGATGAAATATGTCTTAACATTTTTCGCATATTGTTTGTAAGCAAAATGACAAGTTATCACCTTGAGCGATTGCTGGGTCATCGTCGGATTCCCATGGTCGAACCATAAATATTTATTAGATTGCCAGTAAATCAACCGTGGGTATCCGACGATGTTGCTGGGTATTTTTTCCTATCATACACACGAAATATTATCAAGTCAAATATTATCCCGTGTCAGTTTCATTTGAAGCGGTCATCAAAATGTGAAAATTCCTGAAAAACGCTTTTATTATCCTGCCTTGTTTTTCATCAGATTTCAAAGGAAAAAGAGGACTTTCGGGAATATTACAATTCCTGGTTATCGAAATCCAACGGAAACGTGGCGATCTTTGACGGAAATGGCCGAACACGTGATATCCATCTTTAAAGTGGATTGGTCTGCAATGGGGTTGACAAAAATGCAGTAGACAAACATCATTTTGATATTCTTATAGAGAAAATATAAAAAGAAAATCAAAAAGAAATAAGCCATGACAAAACCAACATAGTGCGTTTGCGACCAGCATGGATCCAGAACAGCCTGATCAGTATCCATGCATCGCTTACAAACTCTATAACAAGTAGAGAAACTGATAGTGAACAGCATCGTTCCTGATCTGCACAGGCTGGTCTGGATCCATGCTGATCGCCAACCCATTATGTTGGTTTTGTCAAGGCGCGGCTCATTCATGTTGATATAGTTTAAAGTATGAACATTTATATGATGAATTATAATATTGTATTATAGAACAATGTATTAAGATAATATTATGTAATATCGGATCATATAACTCACTGATATATTATCACGCCAGACACTAAGTACTATCAACATAGTTATTTATGGTATTACAGACATTCTTATTTTATCAATTCTCTTCTGTTATTGACAAATTCACTTATATTATCGACCAATTCCAGTTCTTTTATTAAAAACTGCAATAACTGTGAGTTGAAGATAGGTGGAGAGAAGAAAATATTAAGTTACCTGGCATGATTGCAGTGTTTTCTTCTACGTCAGGCTCTGAAATAGAAAGATACTTTATGTAAGAATAGTTGCATAGGGAGATGATAAAAGGCATTTTAGCCCCGAAATGCTTTCATTTTTATATCTCAGAAACATTTTTAATGTACCTTGTTAAAGTTTCCGAAAAAATATTTGTTGGTATATAGATGAACTATTTTTTGCTTTTTGGTAAATGGTATAATTATAATGATTTAGTATTCAAGTCAAAATACTACTTTGTTTACATATTTACGACACATAAATGCATGTTCCACGTTTCTTTCTGCAGTTATTTAACATATAACATGCTCTAAATCAATAATCCAAAATACAACGTATCATTAAATGATTTTAATTTTCTAAAGATATTTTAAGATTTCTGAGACACATGATATGTGCTGCATTTTATCATATGAGCCGTGTCATGACAAAACCAACATAATGGGTTTGCGACCAGCATGGATCCAGACCAGCCTGCGCATCCGCGCAGTCTGATCAGGATCCATGCTGTTCGCTATCAGTTTCTCTACTTGTAATAGGGTTGGTAAGCGGACAGCATGGATCCTGATCAGACTGCGCGGATGCGCAGGCTGGTCTGGATGCTGGTCGCAAACCCATTTTGTTGGTTTTGTCATGGCACGGCTCAATTATAGCATGTAGAATTCACTTGTATCATTTTTCGACATCGATATCATTACAGTTATGGCGAAGGTAATTAAGTCCAGTCGATTTATTACTTAGTATCAAACGACATTATGTAGTGACATCGCATTAAATGCTGACGTAGCAGGAAATATTTGTAAGCATCAAGGTAACTTTTTACATGGTTATCTGCCTAAACATATCCAGTTATTATATCAAGCCTAAACACTATAAAACAATGTATGTTAGTAGGCATATATAAATATCAGATCATATACACAACAACAACAACAGACACAGCAACAACAACAAGATTCAAAGCACCTGCGGACTTGTTATTTCTCTAAGGTATATCCACAAAAATGGGTTTACAATCATTTATTAACAGACAAACAGGCAATGCCGTAATGTATAACATAATGGTTATTCCACTGATATAGCATAACATACTTTTTCCCTCGAGTGTTTTGAACAGTTGCCATTTTTTTCGGTCTCTGGATGTTTTTTCTCCTTTATTAATTACATTAATTTCGGCCGTTAAAAAATTGAGAGGTTATGTACGTCACTTTAATCCGAAATATACCTTTGCTTTATATATAACCATGAACATCGGTGGCGTGGCCACGTGGTTAAGGCGTTGGTCTCGTAATATTAGTATTGCTGGCTGCATGGGTTCAAACCAAGTCAAGGGAAATTCGTTGTTTCCGTGAGCAAGACACTTTACGCTTATTGCTTAGTACTGGTTGATTCAATGAACGGATTTTAGAGTGTTTCAATTAGCTTATAGTTTCCAACACAATCGAAATAAAATAAATTTTGTACACAAAATAACCATGAACAAGCAATTGCGATCTATACTCAGAAGTGTTACCATGTGGTACGAAATTATTATATTTTTAATAAATTATAAAACGTTATAAAATTTTATACAAGCGGCATATACTAGTACACATTTCATTGTCAATTTTTTCACTGTTAGAATGTTTTGTTAGCTCTTACCAAACTAAATATCTTAATTTAAATAGACTCGTCCATCTTTCAGTCTGGATTAAATCATTCATTATTTCAGGGAAATTTTCAAAATATGTACTGACTGACTAGCTTCAAAGTTTCAAAGTTTATTTTCAGAACTCAATTCAGCCGACTATAATCAGACGGCACAGACTGGATGTACCGACTGAGCTTGGTCTGCAATGGTCGTAAATAAAGTTAAACGATTACAAAATGTGTCTGACAAAAGTCGGATATTTATAGCTGGTGTAAAAATACAAATTATGAGTTACTCAACTGATACTGAAATTAACTAAATTTTTTGGTTGTGTTTTACTGTAATGAGTATAGGTGATATGCATGACGACTTTCCAGCTGATCTGGTGGAGAAAAACCTAAGGTGTTCAAGAGACTGTGAATCAAGTACGTTAAAATCTAAGTAAAATTTTTTACTGTTTCTATTATCTTTGATAAAATATTAATGAAGCTTTTAAGTTTACATTTGCGGATAATTATCAGCTGCTACTTCATGTATTTTACCCTCTCTATATGTTCTGTTCTGTACCATTTGTGAATGAGGTATGGAAGATACATTAAATACATATAGCAATATTTACAGAGTTCCTCGTTAACATTACACTGCAAGAGGTTAATATACATGGATCTTTTGATGTTCCCCCCTGTAGGTTTTAATTACATGTACATTGGAATTTCCATGGCAACGCTTACTTTATATTCCAGATTTCTTTTTCTTTCATACTTTTTGTTATTAAATTTTGCCCATTCCTTTAAATGTTCATTGTATTGTACATACTTTACCATTATTTTACAATCTTTAGCTATTTATAGCAACAAATACATGTACATGAATCTATAAGAAATCATTTGAGCCGCGTCATGACAAAACCAACATAGTGCGTTTGCGACCAGCATGGATCCAGACCAGCCTGCGCATCCGCGCAGTCTGATCAGGATCCATGCTGTTCGCTTACCAACTCTATTACAAGTATAGAAACTGACAGCGAACAGCATGGATCCTGATCTGTGCAGGGTGGTCTGGATCCATGCTGGTCGCAAACGCACTATTTTGGTTTTGTCGTGATGCGGCTCATTTCAAATTATCTTTTCATTAATCCTTAAGTTCAGTGCTTAGTTATTCCTTGTTCCTTGTGATAAAAAAAGCCCAGCATAAACAATATGTAATTACCCGTAGAACAATCCCGACAATTAGTAACAGATTTCTTATACTATTGTTATTCTTTCTTCTCTAGAACATTTTATTATGTTTGCCAAAGGGCTAATTGTTTTGCATTGTGTATGTTCTTGTTATTACTATACCCTGTTCATAGAGTCAAACCCGTCCCTGGCAAACATCTCTTGTCTTAAGGTTATAAAACTTTTTTCGGAGTTCTGTCTCAAATCTCAGACTTTTACATTCTGTGGGAATTTCTGACCAATTGGGTTTGAGCTAACAGAATTTCTTTATAACCTTGAACCCTGATCCCTGAACCCTGATCCCGTGTCCACTAAGATTTAAGGATGAGTTTCAAAATTAGGATCAAAATTAAAAACACAAATGTTCTCCATTGTTCATCTTATAGATTAAATTTTGTATCAATTTGATAAAAGTGGAGTTGAAATACCATGTCTATGAATTTTTAAAATAAATCTATTGTTACTTTATAAGATATTGGCATTTTTATAGTTGATCTTGAGACTAAAATGGACCCATGTTTTCATCTGGTTATGTTTCGTCCATTTTTATCCAAAAATAGGGTGGGTTTTTTATTTTGCAGATCAGCATTTTTTTACGTTTTTGTTATGCATGATTTAATTTTTGTATAATACGATTAATTTAATATCCATAAAGCAATGAAATGAAAATCAGGAACATTTGATCCTGATCTAGATTCTCTTCCCGGTGAAAACGGAACCTGATGTTCATGTACATTGCCTTTTCATTTCAATTCTAAAATACGATATGGCAATAAAATATCACACTCTAGCTGTGTTCCTTTGAGGCCATCATTCTGACGAGAAGAATCGATGGCCCCAACGGAACACCATACCCTCTTCACATCAACCCGATTTTCTAGATATTAGTATTACTGCAGATAGATGGAATTAATTAAGTGGATTTTCTGCTAAATTTATAAAGACCCGGAACGCGTCCGTCTAATCAAGAAACACTTTTCAACCCAGGCTCATTTCATTATTTTTACCGCAGAATATCACTGCATGTTGCCTGCTTGATTAATAAAAGATAATACGACATCAAATACACGTGTAATGCATTTACTATCATAGAAACAAACATACTCAAACTCGTATTAGTGTTGCAGTATAACGGAAAGGACCGAAAAGTTCCGAAGATCATAAACCTCTGTATGTTAAGAGATTTGTGCTCTTGGTCAAGGTAATTATATTTATATTTTGTTGGGGATGTTTCGCTGCTTTGTTTGCTTTTCTTAAATTCTAGTCCAACTAATTGCACTGCGCGACGAGATATTGTGCTATTTTCGTGTCTGGGCAATATCTCGCCTCTAAAGCGAGATTCTGCCCCAGAACGAAAATATCTCAGAATCAAGCTTTGGTACGTCAATATATTTTGACTACTTAAATTCATGTGTTCATATACATACAGCATTCATTTTATGATCATTTTTATTCCTGTATCAACAGTACATTGTTTGTGAATAAGTTGTTATTAATGATAAGTTTTACAATGTAAGGTTTTATTGAACAAAGGCCAAATGGTTATTTGGCATATGCTGCGAAAACATTACATTTTGTATAAAATAAAAAAAGTGTTGAAAGAGAAATTGTCGCTACTCTTAATTGTCTTAAATCGTGAAAAGTATAAATACAGTACAGATAAGTGTTCAAAAGAGAGTAAAAAATATACTTAATTCTGTATAAAATTATTTCAAAATGACTCATGAGTAAAACCGTTTACCACAAACCTAAAGCCTTGGCTGATACCATCTACACGCTAGAAAACACGTACATCTTGTTACACGGTTGATGACGAAGTGCATTTAACTGTTTATTTACCAACAAGAAATGATATCATCACTTCTTTCAGATGAAGTTCTGATACTGAATTATACATACATATATGAGTATATTTTTAAACAATAGACGAATTATTATTGTAGCTTCTTTGGAACTTATTCTGTTAACTATGTGATATTTATCAGCAAAAAGGCCAGCCTCAACATATCCGTTCGCTTAGGTTTACCAGACCTAATACTGTTTGCTGGTTATGTTTAAAGCTTTTGTTTACTGACTCCCCTTTAATAAACATTTAACAACTTTAAATTTAAAGTGGGACAAATTCCACATGAGGCGTTCCGTATATTCAAAATGAATCGTCTGCTTATACTAAAGTACAAATGACTCATACCACCTCGGCATTATATATTACTTCATAATCAAATGTGCCTAAGCAAATAAACTAGCTGTTTAATGTATGTTTTCTGAGAATCTTTGAAACTGCATCAAATTCAGCATAAAAATGTAAAAAAATAACAAATTAATTGGTATTTGATGATAAAAATGTGGCAGTTTTGGAGCATATCAGCAAATCTTTTCATATCAGTCTTATGCTTCACCACTTAAATTATTTACTTTCGTGTAAAATCTTCTCTATGTAAACTCTGATCTTACCTTCATTCTGATTAAAAAATTGCCAACAATGTTATCAATATGATATTGATGATGAAGAACATTAATTGCGCTAAAAATACATAACATCGTGCATAAAGACATTGCTGGCGGAGAGAAACAGGAAAAAATAATTATATATACGTGTACTTACAGAGATAAATGTCCAGTTAGTGAATAGACCGCCGTCTGGATATCTTGGAAACTGAAGCTGATATGTGATGGCGGGTGGAGCATTTCCGGAATTCCATTTTTGGCACGTGACCTAAGTTCAAGGCTGCAGATAACCAATCACAGCGACTTAGGAGGTAAAATGAATAAGCCAAGGTAAAAGTGAAACAGGTGCAAAACCAAAACATGAGAGAGCGGGTCATGACTAGGTCTTGATATGCTGAAATATATTACAAACAATAAATTTTGGCAGTATTTATGTTATTTATTGTGTTTATTATTTGAACGTTTCTTATAGATTGTATGTCGATTAATTTCCATTGGAAATTGATTGATTAACGTTTCTTTGCATAGAACGGGTTGGTAATTAACTGTTGGAACTAAATTTATTCAAAGATAAATGTTGCAATTAAAAAGATGTTTGATTCAGTTTTGTTAAGATGATAAATGAGTTTGTGTTTGATATATATATGTATTATGTTACATCCACATACATAACTATGTCATAATACATGTATATGTATAGTTTTCTACCCTTTTCCACCATTCCTCGTGAAAGCAAATCAAACACATAATTATACTTACGACTACAAATGCTAAAGAATTATATGTTTTATAATTTATTATTATTATCGTTACTATTATAGCGGTCGTTTTAAATGATATATTTTCTCCACTAACGCACACATAACATTTTTGAAATGCGTCAACAATATCTCATTATTCCACACCTATTCTTATGAACTATCTTTGCAAATTCTCATCTCCTTAATTATAGAAAAGGGCCGCCATCTTGGCATGAAAGAAACCTTAAAACATGTTCTCATATTGTAATAACAAGAGCGATCAGTAATCACATGTGTCGCCTCATGATGACCAATTTCATGTTGGGACAAGTTTTGTGACAGACGGACAGACAGACGGACAGTGCACAACTAGACTTGGTACTGATCATTCCTGTAAAGTTTGGATAAAATTGCACCAGTAGTTTATGAGGAGTAGTCCGGACAAGCTTTTGTGTATCTGGCAACACGTACACAGAAAAAAACACCTTTTTATCAAAGGGCCATAACTCGGCCAAAAATCATTCAACCGGAAAACCCGTGGATTATGCGCAAGGACTTGAGCTACAGATCAATCCTGTAAAGTTTCATTGAACTTGCATTAGTGGTATAAGAGAAGTAGTCCGGACAAACTTTAAAAATAAAAATTATTAAAGGGCCATAACTCTGACAAAAATTATTGAACCGGAAAATGCTGACAATATGCACAACTAGACTTGGTACTGATCATTCCTGTAAAGTTTGGATGAAATTGCACCAGTAGTTTATGAGGAGTAGGCCGGACAAGTTTTGTGACGGACGGACAGACAGACGGACAGACAGACAGACGACGGAGAAGTGATCTCTATATGTCGCCACTACTCCGTAGAGGCGACACAAAAACGGAATTGGTGATGAATTTCATTATTTGCTTCAATGTGATACTTTTAAGTGCCTACAAACTGGAAGAATTAATGAACTGTAATTAATTTGCTAAAACCCCAGTCACACTAGAGCTTACGATTACTTGCGACCACCGGCGACTTGTAAAACTGACGATCATCAGCGATTGTCTGCGACCGAAACCATTTTTGAACAAATAAATTTACTTTTGCGACTATCGTAAGACAAGTCATCATTGACAATCGAACGACAGGTCATAAGTAAACGTACGATGGTCTCAAGATTGCCTGGGATTTCTTACGACTGCCCTTGACATAACATGCGATCACCTACAACTTGTCGTACGACCATCACACGATTACTAAAGACTACTTAAGATTATCAGTGACTAGTGGCAATTTGTAAAGACTGTCGTAAGATTGTCGCACTTCCGAACGACCATCGTGCGACAGCCTTAAGACCTTAAAAGATCACTAGCGACCTGTTTGATCGCAAGGAGGTTTTTGTGCAAGCTCAAAAACCTCTCTACGACTGAAATTGGTCGTGGGACCTAAATAAGATAACCTGCGACTGTCAAAGATCATCGATGACCGTCGTAAGACGTTTTAAAGATTGTCCGCGACCAGAGGTCACTGGTGATCGTGAACTGGTCTTCACTGGTCGTAAGCTCTAATGTGACTGGGGCTTAAGTTAACAAAAAAAGCTTTTGTCAGTTGTTAAATCAGATTTTTGTCGCTTGTCATCATCTTTATCTTTCTTTATTATAACAGCATAATAGCCATTGCATTATTCACGCACAAGGGTTTACTTCTGAAACTTCAGAAAAATGGTATCAAAGGTAACTTGTTGAAATGGATTGAAAGTTATCTAATTAATAGAAGTCAAAAGGTCTTTGTAGGGTCTTCTTTATCACAACCACTGACTGTAAACGCAGGGGTCCCCCAAGGCTCGGTGCTTGGGCCATTATTCTTCCTTGTTTACGTTAATGATATTGTAGAAAATTTGCTATGTATAACTCGTTTATTTGCAGACGACACCTCTTTGTCTTGTACAACATCATCAATATTCGATCTAGAAGGAATTATTAATCATGATTTAGCTTTGATAAACTTATGGTCTAAAAAATGGCTTGTAGATTTTAATCCTAACAAAACAGAAGCGATTATTTTTACTTTACAATCCAACGTTAACAATCCAAAATTACAATTTGATGGCATACCGGTAAAATTTGTTGAAAGTCATAAACATTTAGGCTTAACTTTTAGTTCTAATGGAAAATGGCACGATCATATTAAAAGTATAACATTATCGGCTTCTAAATTACTAGGTATAATGAGAAAACTGAAATATTCCCTTAACAGGGAAACCCTAATCCAAATTTACATTTCATTTCTTAATTAGACCTCTTTTAGAATATGCTTCTGTAGTCTGGGATGGGTGTACAAATTATGAAAAAGATACGTTAGATAAAATACAGCATGAGGCAGCCAGAATCGTAAGCGGCCTAACCCGTTCAGTTTCTCTCCAAAATTTATATAAAGAAATTAATTGGCTCTCACTATCTGATAGAAGAACGTACCAAAAACTTATTTTAACATATAGAATTCATAATGGAGACGTTCCTGATTATTTAAGTAATATTTTTCCAGAAAGAGTTCATAATACAACACCATACAATCTTAGAAACTCAGAAGACTTTGCAACTTTAAACAGACGGACTCTATATTTTCTTCTTCTTTTGTGCCTTCGTCCGTAATGCTATGGAACAACTTGCAACCTGAAACAAGATCTGTAGAAACTCTGTCAAATTTTAAATCTTTATTAAAGAAATCAACCTTTCGATCTACTGACACTCCAAAATGGTACCTTACAGGTGAAAGAAAACTCTCAGTTTTACACTGCAGACTGAGAAATGCATGCAGTAACTTAAATTTCCACTTATTCTGCAATCATTTGTCACAGGATGCAAATTGTTCGTGCGGTTATGAGATAGAAGATGTTAACCATTTTTTGTTTACTTGTCCGAAATATCGAAATGAGAGAATTGATCTTTTTAACGAATTAAGGCAATTTCACCCTTTAAATGTCCAATTACTTTTAGTTGGTAACAAAGAGTTGTCTTTAGAAAATAATAATAAAATATTTTTGACTGTTCAGCATTTCATAAAAGTAAGCAAACGCTTTTGATTTTGAAAACAAACCAGCACAATCCCAATAAATATTAATGTATTTTTCTTTCATTTTTGCAAAACAATAGACAAGATTCTTTCCTTTCTTCTTCTATTTTTTTTTTTTCTTCTATATTTCATCTCAAAATCTATTTTTGTTTTTGTTATATTCGGCAAATGTACATGTTTTCTAAGTCATTGTAACGCAAATATATAAAAATCAGTTAACATCGTTAAATACCATTCAAGCTAGAGAACATGTACACCCAATCACTTTTATTGTTCTTTCTTACCTAAAATCATTTTTAAAGCCAAGCACTATATATGTGTGAGTTTTGTTACTTCTATCTAACTGATAGTCATTCTTGTAAAATAAGTTATTGTAATTTATTGCATCAGGGAAGACCCGTTGCTAATGTTGAGAGAACTTGTGGGTCAACCCTTTTGCCAAATATGTCATGTCATTGTATTGTAACTGTCTACATGTATGTATATGTCTTATTTTTGGCAATAAAATATGTTTAAATCAAAATCAATCAAATTGCATTATTCATTAGATATTTATACTGTGTCAATATTTTTATTGTTGCGTATTTGTAATTGTTTATTACATAATATTCGTATGTCTGATGTCAAAGTTCTTGTTGTTTTGTTACCTGTTTATTTTCATATGAAAGTGTTTAAAAAAATGAATTGAATTGATATTTTGTTACTTCAAGTACAATTAGAATTTGATATGGACTTTTTTAAAATGAAAACATGACCAGAGTCCAGAGGGTGTACGATATGCATTTGATATGGATGTTTTGGACTCTGGAAATGAAAACAAGTCTAAATTAATAAGAATTGAGCTTATAATGATGTTGGAACATCAGTTTGTGCAAATTCTGAAAGTTCATATTGGTTAAAAATAGATCTATAAGGTGTAAAACAATAATTGTTACGTGGAAACAAGTTTTTCTTCTTGTCCATATCACACTTTTGTAAGCATTTTCATAAAGACCCCATACCAAGTGAATTTGAAGGCTACATTTCCAAATGGGTGCTAGACAGGGGCCTTTCTTCATTAAGTGGAGTGTGATATGTAATCTACGTAGAATAAACATATCAGAAACCAACACAGTTTATCGCTTAATCGCTTTAATAAATTGCACCAGTCATCAGTAAACTGTTGATCATTGATATGGAATCTACGGTAGTCATACATGACACCTTCGTGATAACGTTTTATTACGCTATTGTCGTTGAAGTGATATGCAACGGGAAACTGCAATATAAATAAGGCTACATGAAGCCTTCCAAAAAGAAATTCATTAGCATTCATGTAAACTGATAAAATAGTGAAAAGTCATACAATTAAAGGCAGCAAAAATAAAATCGTTGCAGATTTGGTTTACACGTTTCTTTATTATGATGATTTATTAAAATTAGCATCCGTATTATGTAAATTAACGCATAAAGGAGAATATGAATTAACAAGAAGTATAAATGCATGCGCATATTTCTCGTCACATAATCGACGATCAAAGCAACAGCACCTGTTACTTTGTATGTATCTTTTCAAGGGTTCAACCATTCCTTTTCAAGGAGCTAGCTATTTTATGATGATGTGTATTTCAAACTTCTTAAAAGACAAGTAGAGATTTTGATGCTAAAGCATCAAGTCGCCGGATAGAAATATGATTGTTATCATAAAGATCATAAGAAAATATCAGTTTAATGGTTCAAGTGTAAAGAAAAGAGGAACAATATGTTGAGTAATGTTTGCCACCGAGGCTTGTAAGGCAAGTGATATGCTGGTAATTCTTCTTGTAATTCTACTTTATACACCATACATTGAAATCCGTATGGGTTACTTGTTCAGAATCCGATAATTACCGACAAATAATTACCGATCATCGAATATTTGCAAAGTGACTATGAAAATATACATGTGAAACAATGCAATTCTACTTTAAAAGTGTTGTCCATCGATATTATGCGCTATCGAAAAAATATATTTTTTTTTTTATATATAATTGCATTTCAGATAGTTTATTATATTTTTTTTTCTATGTATCTAATACGATTCCGGACCCCTACCGTCATACCGTCCTTGAAACTGACGGAATATAACGAAATTATTTTGTGCTAAACTATTGAACGTTCTTGTTTGTCAAAAGTTTGACAGAAAGGGCCAAGTTTAACCCTTTACCAAGAAAAAAGGAAAAGGTTTTGAAAATCGATTTTAATGTGTAAAATATGAGTACACAGGTTTTTCTAATGATATAAAGTATGAAACTGATTAATGAAAAATAACTTTGTAATTAATTATACAAATTTTCAATGATTTGCATCCGCCATACCTTTTGCCAACCATTAACAAGTTACCTGTATGTCTGCAATCTGTTACTATTAATAGATTTTATAACGATAACATACCACGTGTAGTCACGTGATTCTTACAAAAGAAAAGGGAGCATTTGTTTATAATTAGATAAAATAATGAAATATAATAGGTCTCATAAAATATAAACAGCCAAATAATTTAAAAAGTGTCATTTCAAATATCATTCATGATTTATATATCATAAAATAGCAACGCTTGACTCATAGAAAAAAGTAAAAGTATCCCTAAATTCAATAACTGATCCTTGGGGATACATTATTGATTCATTTTATGAAAATTGTAATGTTGCTTTTTAAGATGTCAATATGTGTATATTTCATTTCATTGAGCAAAGTTATCATATGTTTGAATTTTTGAGATAACTAAAAAATAATTGTTGTCTTTAATTCTTCAATGATTGATATGCTTTTATTTTCAGATTTTAAGGGCTTCTCCTACCATAGGTATAATATTAAACTGTTACAAATATAGTCGCCGGTTTCTACCGGCGACTAATAAGGGTTGTAGCTCTGGTAAGAACGAGTAGTGCAGGGGTGTTCATTGTGTGAGAAATAGTAAAATATATACAGTGTGCTTATAGTAATGGCTAAACATTATAATTTTTTTACATTCTGGATGAAATACAATTTATCTTATTATGCATACAACGTTTATATTGCATTTTATGCAAATCTATTTGAAGAGAGGTCTTGTTAAATTAGAAAACTGTATATCTGTATATGTATAGTGAGTGATGTTAAAATAATATTGTAAAATATAGTAAAAAAACTCACACATTAAACAATACTCAGAGAGCACTTCTCAAATAGCGAAAAAAAATGAAATGAACATAATGGCCAAATATTTGAATTATAGAAATTTGTCCTGTCCTGTTTTTCGACCTGCATTTATAGATATGTAGAAATAAGGTGTAGAACATTTATACAAGTAGGAATTTTTCGCACATATCATTAAAGTTCATTCTCTATAAAATTATTTGTCAAGAACAAATTCTATAACTTTTACAAAAATTGTCTAGATTCTATATTTTCGTTCACTTCAAATTTGAATACTAGTGTCCTAAGCCGAAATAAAAGTGTGAATTATATAATATTATAAAAGTTTTTCCAATAGGCCCTTTGCATGTTATTGTTATGAAATCTATTAATAGTAACAAATTGCTGATAAGAGATACAGGTAACTTTCGGATGGTTGGCAAAAAAATGGTGGCTGATAAAATGCAAAATATAGTAATTTTATATTTATAATAAAAAACTTATTTTTCATGAAACAGCTTAGTATTTTATATCATTAGAAAGGTCAGTTTACTCATATTTTTTATATATTAAAAAATAAATTAACAAAGCGTTTTTCATTTTTTCTTGGTAAGGAGTTAAACTTGGTGCTAGAAAACTATTGAAATAACAGTTGAAAAATAGCTGAGCTTTATTTTTTAAAAGCAAAAAATGAAAATCCGCTTATATTTTAAAAATATGAATACAAAGAACTTTCAAATGATATAAGAATCTAAAATATCGATCCACAAATAAAAAAGTTATAAGAATTTGAAAATTCTGCTGCTATATAATGTTTATAAATATTGGTTCTTCTTGCCAACCGGTAAATCTGCTAAATTCTGGTAGCAGGTGCTTGTGATGTCATTGTGCAATGGGTCTATTCGTATTCAATCTGAATTTATTTAACGGAAGTCCTTCTTAATATTCCCGCGTTATTTTCCTTGAATTTGTTCAAATGCGTATGCAACTTGAATGACCTTGGCATCCTCAAACTGATTTCCTATAATCATCATCCCGATTGGCAGACCTTCAGATTTTCCCGCGTTAATTGTCAGTGCGGGATGTCCTGTGCTGTTAAAAGGCGCTGTATTTTGAGCCATACCTAAGGTCTCTTTCAAGCGTTCTGGAAAGACAGGCAACACAAAATTTGAGATTTTTAACTTGTAAAAATCTCTATCGGGTCTTTATACTTAAATTACCAACGTATCATTATAATAATAATAATAAAGAGTCAAGTATATAGATCAATGCAAAAGAATAAATTCCAAGCACTATGTATAAGAAGTTGTCATGTTTAACATTCTAAATGGCTTTATTTTACATCTACATATTTATTTTCAGACAGTGATGAATGTAATTCTAATAACTCATTGTACATAGCCTAAAAACCCAGCAACACTTTTTGCTTTTATTTGAGACCTATTAAATTTAATCAACACACCTTTGATAGAAGAATCTTTTGTCGGCAACAGTGGTGCTTTATATGGCAGTGTCGGCATTATGATGACGTCATACTTCTTTAATGCCTCGTCATAAGCTTTCGTCAACTTCATGTTTAAATTGTGCGCACGTCCATAGAACTGGTTGCCATATACCTGAAAGTAAAGGTATACTTAAATATGACAAAAATAATGTATATCAGAAAAAGGAACTTGCTAAAAAGGGGTAAATCACGCTTTATCTACATTAAAATGTTCATGAATGATCTGTTTATGTTCTGTAGGTGGGCTGTCTTTCTGGATGTCAGAGAGTCACTGATTGGAAGAGTGCGTTGTTCTTGTAAGCCAAAATTCGTTTAAATCGCAAAAACAGTGGATTCCCATTCCCCAAAGTAAAAAAAAAACACCCCCCCACACACACAACATTCGATACAATGCATTCATATAGAAAAAAAAGGATAAACAAATACGGTTTACCTTTTCTACATATTTTCCAATCAAACAAAGTAGCTTCAAAGGTTCAGACATATGTTTTGACTCCGCCTTAAATCCCTGTGAAAGTTTCTTTGCCATTGATTCACAATATTATCCTTTGGTATGATACCCAAAACCTGAAAATGTTTGCAGAAAGCTTTTGGTAAGGTAAATATATAAATGTTCCGGTTAAATTGTGTCTTCTCCTTATGCCTAAACATTTTACAAATGCATGTTATTTTATAGTTTTTGAAAAAACACTGAATAAGAATTTCATTTTAAGGATGACTCACAAACATAATAAAACTTGTTTATTACCAGCTCCTCGAATCAAACATTGGTATGTGCCTTCTATGCAAATAGGGGCCCAGATAGCAAGACCTGAAATCAAGAATAACAAAACAAAAGTATGCCCGACGTTAAAGGCGTAATAATAAATGACAAAACGGAAAGTCTATATTAAGCCTCAATGTCCTTGACCTTCACCGAACCGAGATGAAAACTTCAATAAAGAGACATATCGATGGAAGGTGCTTATAAACTAATAATAATATTTAAGGCATAAGGGATAATAGAATCGTTTTTAAAAGAACTCTGACTATCTCGAAATTGCCGGAACCGTAAAAAAAATCGAGATAACAATATGTCGAGAGAAACGAAGTCAAAGCAAGTACACGAAGCAGTTGATACTTTTTGTGAACTCGATTTTTTTATCACATTCCGTGCCGATTTTGCGACTCCGTAGAAATGGTATTGCACGGCCGTGCATATTATTTTGACGTGACGTGAATATCATCTCCGCGCACCGGTTACGCTACGGCCAGTAACCACTGCCTTCAGACTAATCACGTGATTGGTGTGGTCCTTGTTAAGATGGCAGATACGCCAATGAAAAGTTGAACAATTGTTTTATCTGTAATAAACAGCGACATTATAACTTGAGCTGTGGTGTCAAGTCTGTCGATATGATTAAAAAAAATCTTTTTTGTTAAGTGTAGAATCGAAATTAATTATTACTTGAATGATTTCTTTTTCGAAAGGGGCCATTGTTTTCGAAATAAACGGTGCGATATTAAAATGTTCAAAAATAACTATTTTCATATTTCTGTTTCCAAAATTATTTCTTATATTAGTTCACATCTAACACCTTACGGTCTTGAAACATTAGTAAAACCGTGTTTACTTTTTAAAATAAATATCAAAACTGAAAAAAAAATTAAATCGTCAAAAATCTTAACGAAAATGTTGTGATGGCAGAGATCTAATCCTGTAAGGGGAGATCACTTGAGTGTAAAGAGGCGCGTCAATGAAAAATACCCTTTATCACGTCAAACGGCCTTTATTTACGGGATGGATGAACAGGAAATATCATAACTGAATTTATTTAACTTGTTGAATAAAATGATATTATGCTCGCCAGATGCTCCCATAATACATTTCAACTTATGTAATTCAATATCCTCTATTTATTACATAATTAATTTTACTTTACATGCCTAACATTATTGTTATTTATCCTTATATATAAAGGTTTTACTGTAACTTATACCAAATTATGCATAATTCGAATCATTATTTCTTTTACAAACCATTTTTATGAAAAGGGATAGATGTTTCCTCTACTGTCGCTCCAGCTTTGCTCAGTTGCCCAGCCGCTGCTCGAACCACTGACTGTACATCGGCGTCGCAATCCGTAAACCCCTCTGTCACTAATCCTATCTTCCAACCGTCCAGTTTCCCATCAAGCTGTAAAAACGTTTGTCACTAAATTCACCACCAATATAAATTTAATTATGACTGTGTCTTTCAATGACTAGCAATAAATAGAAATAGATGGTGAATATTCGAAACAATTTCGTTCTTTTATCGCCATAGTTACCCTTTTACACTGTGTTTTCATTTTAAAGCTGCACGCCTCCAGATGAGCCAAAGCATTTCAAGAAAAACAATATTGGGAAAAATGTACTAAATTTAAGAAAGTTAAAAACATTCAAGATCCAAGTTATAGTTTACATGTTATATGCAGTATAACTGCTTTTGCAGTATTTTATCACCATATTTCTACTGAGTTACTAACGCAGTAAGGGTTTTTTGCCAAATTATGTTGGCCACTTTTTGGTTATTTTCTTGGATTATAAGTGAGGATTGCAATATGTAAATTGCTTTATTTGTCTATCTCACAATATTTTACTTCAAAATACATTTCTAAAATTTTCATGAAAATTAACATGAATCTAGAGGCATGCTGCTTTAATTCAATTTTTAAGATACGTCATTGACATCAACAACTTTACAAATATCCAGCAGATGAACTTGACTTTAATTAAACTTCAAAACTTACCAGTGATGTATATTTAGGAACTTTCAAGCCACGTGGTTGGCGTGGATCTTGGCCGTCATCGAAGCCTGCAATTGCCTGAAGTTGATAAAAATATCTTTCTTAGTTTATAAGTTCTTTTCAGTCATACAACTATCAATAGATCTATAAATGATTTCCTATCTACTAGTTTATGACGTAGAAAGTCCAGTTGTATTAAATCGTATCTTTACAGGCTATCGTTCAATACTGTTCCGACTTCAGAATTGTATTGTTTTATAATGATAAGAATAATATTAATAATAATAATAATAATAATCCCGTGTAGCAATATATACTAGTAGTAGTTACACTGGTTATGCCTGAAGACTCGCTCATGACTGTTACCCATACATCGCGAAAAGCAAATATTTTGCATCAAGACAATGTGAAGAACTAGTTTTTTACCTCCAGCAAGAGTGCACAATCATGAACTGTTCTCGTCATAGGCCCAAGGTGGTCACATGTTATCTCAACAGAAACGGCTCCTGTGTACGGAACGAGACCCCATGTAGGTTTGAGCCCAACAATACCACACCATGACGCTGGAATACGTATGGAACCCCCTGTGTCTCCGCCTATTGCCATGTCAACTTCGCCATTAGCAATCTGTAACAGGAAAAAATGTTTACACTAAATAAAGGATAAGCGGATGTCGTGGTCGGAGAGACAGATGGGCGGAGAGGCGGATGGACGGAGAGGCGGATGGGCGGGGAGGCGGATGGGCGGAGATGCGAATGGGCGGAGAGGCAGATGGGGGGGGAGGCGGATGGATGGAGAGGCGGATGGGCGGAAAGGCGGATGGGCGGGGAGGCTGATGGTCGGAGATGCGAATGGGTGGAGAGGTGGGTGGGCGGGGAAGCGGATCTGTGGGGAGGCGTAATTTTTTTATTTATTTAATAAAAAGAGATATGTAACATAGAGAGATATGTTATATATGTAATAGTATAGTTTTCTATCACATCTTTAAGACAATGTTTAAAAGTCATCACGTAAATACGTTTTCAATAAGTAAATTACTTATAAATCATCAAGTGATGAAGAAGCTATGATATCATTTATAAGAATGTAACTGATATTCTTACTGTAACAGCCGAACCAGAACTTGAAGCGCCAGCAGATCTTGTCCTGTCAAAAGGGTTCAATGTTGCACCAGTGTCACTGGTAAAGCTACTTCCGCTGAATGGATCACAACTAGCTTTGCCAACAATTCGTCCCCCTAAAAATGACGTCAAAGCTATGTTTCACTGTATGCGAAGCATACAACCACGAAATGAACATCAAAAAACAAACGAAAATAGGCTCCATATAACAGAAAAAATCAATTAAATAATTAAGTAGTTTTCTTAATTCGAATTTGCTTCAAAATATTTATCAACATTTAAATATTCATGAACCACATGTTAATATAAGGTTGAGTATAACCGAACTATTATTTGAAAAAATAATTGTCGCAGCAAAGACGCCTGCAGAGTGACGGAGGATCGAACTCAACTTGCCTGCATCTAGGATTCGAGTGACAACAGTAGCGTCGATATCAGGTACATATCCTTCCATTATCTTTGATCCATTCATCATAGGCACTCCAGCTACACATAAGTTATCTTTGATGGCAAACGTTTTTCCCTTGAGAATCCCGTCTTTGGCACCTTCTATGTCACATCTCCAATACCTAAGGTACACAAAAGACTTGTACATGTTATTATAAATAATAGATGCATTCGCTTATTGCAACTTTAAATTTTACAGAAAGGCACCCATTGACAGTCATTCAAATAATAAATGACGGAAATTGACGAGTCACCCGATTAATAGGATACGAATGTGACGGAGTTACCATAAGTGACTAATTCACGCGAATAATAGATGCAGAATGTGACGAAGTCAACCGATTAACAAAATACGGAATGTGACAGATTTATTTGAATAATAAGATACTGAATAAGACGAAGCCGTCGTAATAAAAAGATACAAAATGCGACAAAGTCACCCGAATAATAAGAGACTATCGTGGCGGAGTCATCCGAATAATACGAAACGAACTGACGGAGTCACCCGAGGAATAAGATACAGAATATAAGATACAGAATGAGGCGGAGTCACTCGAAAAATATGATAAATGTATAGAATGTGACGGAGCTACCCGAATAATAAGAAACGAAACACAAAATTATCGAAGCCACTCGAGAAATAAGATACAGAATACGACGAAGCTAGAGCAACAAAACCATCCACTGTTCAGTCCAGATCTGGCCACCAGTAACAAGGCCACCAGAAACAATTACCTACTACTAGGCTATCAGTATTTAGATACTTGAAATTCCATTTGTGGTAGAACAAGATTTTACTACAGGCTGCCACGAAGGCATGGTTTGATGGCTAATCCCCTGCCCCCCCCCCCTCCCGTCCCCCAAAAATACAAAAACACAACAGGGACAACGGACGGTCAACGATATCAATTCTCATCATAAAGTACTTAATACATTCAGACTTGCATCTCAAATTATTACTTCTTACCACGCATTGCATAGATTATCTTCCGGTTCCGGTCTAAAACCAGGGGTTCTTGGATATTTAACAGGAAGTGTAGGTGCAACAAGGTCATTCACTGTTTGATAACTTCCTGCTAGCGTTTCATCTATGTGCTCTGAAATCAAAACAAAGTCACAGTCTATAGTTAAATTAAATTAAATAAAAATGTAACATAAACCCATTTCCGAAATTCTTTAAGAAAAGTGCATATTTTTTGTTGACAATCCTTTCAAAAGTGAAAACAAGTGTTAGTTGTCGTTTTTATGTTTTAACCAGTATTTTCTGGATTTGTAATTTGTACAACACCCGACCCTAGACAACCGACTTCAATAACACATGATTGTGAAAATTTCTTAGCTATTACAAAAGCTAGTCAAAATCTGACAGGTCACCGTTCTTAAGTATATTCACTAAATTACGTCTGCATGTATACAAGGTAAACTACTTTTCTTTCTTTTTCTTGAGATCATTTTCAGAGATTATTTATAAGTTCGATCATCTTGTTTCAAGTTCCATCTTAAGTATCATCAAATAATTAGTTTAGTTTGGCTTGTCCAGGTTACATATCCTCCGTATAGTATCGCTAAGTGTCACTATAAGTATTTAAAGTATTTTGTATTTCTATTTTAGCTTCAGAGAGCCTATTGTTGTTGTCAGACTTGGTTATCAAACACCTTAAATATTTACCCATGCTTCAAGCCTAAGATACGATACCCTAATTATTACTTACATTGGCTAAGAAAAGCTTTTATTGAAGTGATCCGTAGATGATTTTATATCACCTATGGATCTCTTCACCACATGTGAAGCTCACATAGAATTTTGAGCTGCTAGTCCAATCGCAAGTCGTGTTTCAGTATCGGTTTGTTTGAACATGTAGCATCTTTTTGAGATCATGTTTCGTAAAAACTTTGTATTTTGAGTTCCTATGGTGACATTTCCTTCATACAGTTTACACAAGAACCCATGACGAAATTACTGCATGCATAAATTTGCTACAAAATGAGAAGTTATAGAAGAAAGGTTGTAAAATTCCTTTCCGGCTTTTTGTCTTATCTTTTTTTTAATTAAAATAAAAATTTACCTACACATCCACGCTTCAATACAGTAATATACAGTCCATTGGTCATTTTAACAACTGAAACATCGAAAAAACAAAGCACAGATCAAAAGGCTCTCTTACTTTATAAACAATTTTATTACAGCAAATTACCTCGCAAATCTTCTAGTTCGCCATCTTCACAATGTAGGCCAAACTCATTGGCAATATCAGTCAGTTCGGCAATACTTGGTGTCTGCGCAGCACGGTTTCTATACAAACCAACTGAAAAAATGTATTTGAATACCTTTAAAATATTGAATAGGGGATTGGTCTACAATGGGTATTTTTTCCTCTATTTCAAATGTTGATAAAAAAACTATATCATTTGGATATTATGTGCAAGCTGTTTTTAAGTTATTTAATGTATCTGCGGTTATGATCTTTAAATTCATGTTGACTCAAGAGGCACCTATTTACTGTTTTATTTTTGTGACCATTGCAGACCAATGCCAGGCCGTCGTAGGTTTTTTTGGACACACCGAAGTAACACTGTGTCACCGACCACCGTCTCTCCAAATGAAATGAATAGTCAAAACCACAAGAAAAGAATCGAAACTATTAAATATTTATCAGACTGATGTCACTGAATGGTGTCTGATTTATGTCATGTTGTATTTTTGTTGTTTTTTTGCCACGGAAACGTAAAGAGACAATTTTAAAGTTTCGTACATTTGCATAAACTTCGTATATTCGCACTTTTAAACTTTGTCGCATCTTTGGTTCGTATCTTGCATTTTCGTTCCGTAAAGGCGAACATACAACATGGCGAAAATTTCAGTTACGGCCCACGATCTGTACTTCAGTACTTTGATTCATCGAAAAAAATGAATTATTGTCAGTCAAATTTGTTTACCATGCTTGGACAAATCTTTGAAAATTGACTAATGACTTTTTACCGTGATATTCACAAATGCTTGTATCTTGTTTACGTGTGGTTTCCTTCATTCCGACGCACCTTGTTCCAGTCGTTAGGGCGCTTTTACCTTGGGTAAAGGACGTTTCGGTAGGACAATCGAAAAATGGCTAGCCTTCACAGCTTTATTTCTTATTCTAATTATTAACAAGTCAGCAATATCTTCAGTAGACAGTTCTGGTGATTAAGATGTTTGCCTCTCAAACTATTAACTCCCGGCCTGTGGACCCTACTTTGAATTCGGAACAGACCATATAAAGTCAAAAGGAATTTCAATATCTATACTACACAACACTATAGAAATCTTGTCCGACTACAAGGATGTGCGGGTTCTATTCTGGTGGCAAAAGTTAAGGTTAAGTCAAATAACCTTAGTAGGCCACTTGCCCCTGGGAAGCATTATTTAGCTATCTTCGACATGTATCGAGTTGAAGTTGATATAGTTTAAAGTAATATTTTTAATTTGAATCAATTTTACTTATAAACCGTAATACAAGCAACAAGACTTAGTAAGATTTAATGTTAACAGGAACCTCACGCATGAATACACGGGCATAAACCGAAAAGTACATGTATCTTGATAACATACAATCATGAATAAATGGTGTGCTTGAATAATTACGTTAACAGGCTTCATTATAATATATGAGCAGTCAGTGACACAGAAACTTTTAAAAACGCACAAAAAATTGCCTAATATTTACCTATAATCAGTGTTTATAAAGTAAGCTAATTTTGACATACAGCATCATTCACGCATGCGGAAAAAATGAATAAAAATCTGACATACTTTGAAGACAATATTATAACATTAGCTGACAATATAAAGATAACTGCTAATTGACCAAACTTACGTCCAACATGCGTGCAATCAAAATATAAACTAACAATAACAGCAACAACAACAAACATTAAAACATACCATTTTCTGGTTTATCCGCCATGTTGTAACAATCTTTAAACACGGTTTTATATGGTTAAAAACAAAAATTAAACTCACAGGGGGAACGGAAAAACAGCATTATTTTTATCCTATAAACAGATTGTCAATTAATCAAAATTTTCATCAGATAAACAAAACCGGGGGAAATGCGATCGGTGCATTACAAACTCCATAAACTATGGTGGATGATTTGGTACGCTTTTGTGCGTCGCGTTAGCGCTAGCGACAACAGGACAAAGCGCCAAACGGCGCGTTGTCGCGCTGTCGTCTTGTCGTCCTGTCTCTGGCGCGGCACGCCAAACGGCGTGTTGTCGTGCGGCTTGTTGTCGCGATGTCACATTGTCGCTCGGTTTAAATTGAAGGATTGGCTTATAAGCCAAACGACAGGGCGATATCGCGCCGCACGACAACGCGCCTTTTGGCGTGGCGCGCTAGAGACAGGACGACAAGTCGAAAGCGCGACAGCGCACCGCTTGGCGCTTTGTCCTGTTGTCGCTAGCGACAGGACGACAAGACGAAAGTCTGACAACGCGCCGTTTTGCGCTTTGTCGTGTTGTCGCTAGCGCCAACGCGACGCACAAAAGCGTACCAATTCAGCCACCACAATAAACCGATTACGTCATGCTTTGCTGCTTAAATAAATAAGTTAAACATGATAGTATACTTCCACAAGTGAGTAAAACACAGTTTTTGAAGATTACTCAACGTTCCTTGCTGTTATGTGTCGAAACAGGAAAGATGATTTTGGCTAACCTCGGGTGTTAAAAACTTCAAAGCAACGCCAGGGTTCAAAACCACCTCACCTTCTGGAGCTAAGAGATGCATATACTTCAATAATTCGAATCCACTAAGTTGCCTCTTACGATCCCGCAGGGTTAAACGGTGGCTACATTCTGATGCCTCTATCCGTAAAGGCAACCCCTCAGCCACAAGGAACCCGAGGAAGACAGTTTTGATTACATTCCAGGACGTTCAGGTCTTGCTGTAATTCATATACGACTTATCATATTTATCATATATTGCGAAACTAACAGACTCAATAAGTATTTATATTTGTATTTGTATCATATTTATCGAGTCTAACGAATTTGTATTGCATATTGATATGTCATGTTTTGATTTCACTTTCATATATATATGATTGAAGATTAATTGAAAGTGTAAACTGCAATTTTGCAACACTAGACTTCTATAAAGTCATTATTTGAGCCATGCCATGACAAAACCAACGTTATGCGTTTGCGACCAGCATGGATCCAGACCAGCCTACGCATCCGCGCAGTCTGATCAGGATCCATGCTGTTCGCTTACCAACCCTATTACAAATAGAGAAACTGATAGCGAACAGCATGGATCCTGATGAGACTGCGCGGATGCGCAGGCTGGTCTTGATCCATGCTGGTCGCAAACGCATAACGTTGGTTTTGTCGTGACGCGGCTCATTTAATAATAAGAGGATATTCATAAAGAAATAAACGTACTTCAAGACATTCAAAAAAGACTTTCAAATGGCCACAATCCTATTTAAAAGTTAAAGAAAAAATGTTTCAAATATGATGACAAAAACGATGAACATATTTAAGCCTAACATCATTTTATATTGAATAGTGTGTGATACTTTAACACAAATAACTGATTACTCAAGTCATGCAGTTTTTTTTTAAACATATCGCTAAGTAAGTGACGAGTTTTGTGACAGACGGACGGACAGATATATATGTCACCGTTACTTATGGTCAAGCTTGTAATCATTTTCCTAGTTTTGTGTACAATAGATGTATTGCCTGGACACCAATAACTTGTGTACAAGTTTTCGGATCATTCCATCGCCCCGTTTTGATTTTTTGTGTGCAAAATGACTCAAAAAATGTGAAGCCACTCAAATCTAGCTAAGCATCGGACAACAAGATCGATAGGATTCATGCCTGATATGATTAGTCAATTCAATTCTGAGAATATATCTTTATTTTCCTTTGCAGATTTATCCATTTTAAGTGCTTCATTTGATCTTTTTAACTTTGTAATTTTATGTTGTTCTTTTTTTAGTGTTTTTTTTTTTAAAGACTTTTTGACCCAAGCCGGAGTCCTTTTGATTTTTCAACACAAGTATAATATACGATTATAAATAACAACAACAAAAAGACAAACAGAAACATTCTTTTGATGCCATGTACATGTAATCAGAATAAATCTACAACAAAAAGACAAACAGAAACATTCTTTTGATGCCATGTACATGTAATCAGAATAAATCTACATTTAGTCACGAGACGGTAATGTCCCTTGGATCAGCAATTTTTCTCTCCCTTTATAAAATTGATTTTCTGATATAGACATAGCCTACTGTACTTTTACATTGCAGCTAAATCTATTTATAGGACTTGCGGTGTTTTGATGTTAATTTAATAAAAAAAAAAAGAAACCGTGACCTTGCATTCGATTAAACTTCATTTATCATACCTGTTATTCGCAACATGGCGGATAAACCAGGAGATGGTATGTTTTTTTTTTTTCATTTTAAACAAATTTCTGTGTTGTCTTTCAAGGCTCACATTTAGGTCATTTTCAGAGCTCTTTTATCGTCGTATTAATAGCATATGTAAATACACATGTATGTGATACGCAGCACACCTCCAGATTCATGCTGATTTTCTTGAAAATTTGAAAATCTATCTAACAGTATAATATTGTAAAGTTACCAAACGAATGCAATTTACACATTATCAATGACACATACAACCTATGTACATTACTATAAAGAGGTCAAAATATGCAAAAATAGCCCTTACTGCGTTAGTATAAACGCAGTAGAAATATAGTATTACACACTGAAAAATTCGGTCATTAATCGCATATAACATGCAAATTTTTACTAGAATTTTTAAGCTTTATACCTTTCCTAAAATCTTAGTACATTTTTCTCAAGTTTGATTTTATACATTGATATATTTTTGCTCATCTGGCCAGATCTGGAGGCGTGCAGCTTTAAAAGGCCTAAAAAGTTCTAAAATAGTACGCCGAAGTAATTAGGCCTAGGGGAGCGGTGGCCTAGTGATAAAGGTGTCTGCTTCTCAACCCAGAGATCATGGGTTCGAGCCCTACTAAGACTCTGGCCACGACCATGTTTCTTCATATGACACCGGCACTGAATGGTTCCAGGAAGCGGACTCGAAAGTGATTAATATAAGTTGCAAGAACTTGTTTCACAATCGAGCTTAAATAAATATGTTTAAACCAAGTAGGCCTGCAGATGGATGGATGGATAGGTGTGACGTAACGTACACAGGTGGCTGTGCACATCACCCACATTGTCCCTGGACCCCTGCTACAACCCTGAAAAAAAATTCACTACTAAAATTAAGGCTTACTATAAGATACTAAAGATCAAATTATATATAGAATTTTTTAAAGATTTTATCGGGTGTTTTGTATTTAGTATCTTATAGTAAGCCTTAAAAGTGAATTATTTTTGCCAGGGTTGTAGCAGGGATCCAGGGGCAGGGTGTGGTGGGGTGTCCTAACACTGATACTGCCACCTAGGGTAACGTAGCAAGGCCAGTAACCTTCCTGTCCCTTGGCCACCCCCTCCCCACCCCGCCGCTTGAAAAAAAAAAACACAAACCGAAAAGTATTTTGAAAATATAACAGGTGGCATTGCAATATTTGATTATGGTCTGCACTATCCACTATTCAATCAGCATCCTAGTGTTGATAGTTTTGTGCAGTCCAATTTACATAATTGGTTGACATTGTTGATATTTACAGATAGATTATAACGCATTTTATCCTTAACTTTAATAAAAATGTTTATACTACTTCTGGTAAGTTAAGTGTCGTGCAAAATTAGCATGCTAACAATTATAACAATGCGAACGGCAATTTATCAAGCAATATTTAAACAGGGTAAAGTCAATACCTCGATTAGTGGGGATAGGGCAAAATCTCACATAGAGATCATGCATAAATTAGCATATTGTGTAAGAGACATCTTGAAGAAATTCTAAAACTGTCGCTGCGTCCCTGCTGCGTCCATCTGCGACTGTGCTGCGTGCCTGGGTCCCCGTAGCAATTGTGCAGTAAGGCGCAAGTTAAAGGTATGCGAGGTATGGTGGTGAGGGCATATTAAAGAGACACCTTGAAGAAATTGTAAACATCTTTGGTTCTTTTGTTAATAAAACGCGTGTACAATAAACAAGTATTTTATTTCAGTTGACCGAAATAAAATCAGACATGAAATTTATAAGTGCAAAGTGTATAGAAATACTTGCTACTTCCCGAATACACAGTAGTAATTTGTATTGAGGTATTACATCCATGATATACCTCTCAGACGGAGTATTCTTGGGCGCTTCTATCTTCTTCCTCAACTATCATGGCAATGTCCGTCCCGAGCTCTGCCGAGCAGAGTTGTTGTTGTTGTTGTTTTTGTGTTTTTGTGTGTTTTTGTCTGTTTAATGATTCAAAATTTTATTTTAATAGTAGAAGCATTCAGTAATATGCCAAACAAACAGCAATTCAAATACTTGGATATTGTTTTCCCCCTTTATTTTCAGTCGGTTTGTTTAGAAACCGTGCTGCACGGACTCCGAATATTGCCGAACTGACTGACCTTGCCAATGAGTTTGGTCTACATTGTGAAGATGGCGAACTAGAGTATTATAAAGGTATGTCATTGAAATATTCTAGATTTGGGCTTTGTCTCTCGGGGTATTAAGTAGATAAGATAAAATATTATTTATGGCAATTGAACTGTGTTTCATAAATCCCATATTTGCAAGTTGTTTTTTTAGAACGAGGTTTTAGATCGAGGCAGCTCAAAATTTATTGCTATATACTTAGGTCAAAACTGTAAAACGATTGTTTGAATACTTGAGAATCTATTTTTGAAGAGGGTTTATCCATTACCTAATAAATTTTCAAAATAATGTACACAGGGTGTATAATCACTTTGTCTTTTGTTTGGGTAATATGGGTAATGGTCACAGGTAGCGACGGCGCCAAGATGTTCAAAGATAAATCTTGTTGCCAATTTGCCGACGTTACTTTAATTTCTTCATTTTAATAAATGCACGTCATGTTCAAGAGACGTATAGGAACCGACCAAGTTACAATGAAGAAAGGTTTTAGGTTTATCTATTTTGTTAATTGCTTATTCTTATATAATTAGTGTAAATATTAACTTCCATTTAAACCAAAAATGATGTTTCAGAGCACATAGATGAAACGCTAGCAGCAAGTTATCAAATAGTGAATGACCTTGTTGCACCTACACTTCCGGTTAAATATCCAAGAGCGCCTGGATTCAGACCGGAACCGGAAGATAATGTCTGCAATGCGTGGTATGATTTACCTGATTTACCTTTGGAAAATTGTCTGTCTTTTAAGCTTTATTTAGTTCGAAGCTCTTGTAGTGAATTTTTAATATTGCTGACCATGGATTGTCAGTCTGATTGTTACAAGAAACGAAGCTAATTCCAGAGAGGTTATCATCCGAAACATTCTGTCGAGTTTAACTTAAGTAGGATGGTCCCATATGGTACCACTGTTCTTATTATTTCCAGCAAATTGACATTACGCCGCCTGTCAATCAAGCTGGCAGGGGTCTTACAGATAAGCCAATCGGCGATCGTTATCAGTTTCACGCTAAGATGTCTGCAAAATCCACCATTTTCCTTAGACAAACTATTTGTATAAGACAATGGTGCAGCAGTATTTATACTGAAATTATTTTGATTGTTTGTCAATCTAAAGCTATTAAATCGGTATATCAAAGTTACCAACTATCCTGACATATTGACAGATGGAGTCAGTTAGTTCATTTTGCAAAAAAAAATATCAGCAACTTTGTATATATGAAGATAATAAGTTATATAGCAGGTACAAAAGCAGAGACATGTATATTATCTAGATGTTGTCTACATCTCTGACGAAAGTTAAAATAGAGAGAAATAAAGAATCCTAAAGAACGTACAAAACGAAAAAATTGAAAATGTTGCAGGCTCGGTTTGATTGAGTCTGTTCATGGACGGTAATGGAATGTGCAAGTAACCGTCCGCGCCCCCTAGCACCGGCTCATTTAACGTGACCTGGTAAAATTTGGAATTTTGAAACATCCGCAGATGTGTTCATATGGTGGTTATCATGGAACCTTTAATGTGACACATAAGTGCCATTCCATGAAAAGCGGCATAAGGTCCCCAAGTAAAAAAATGCGTTTGCCCTAAACGAGAAAACAATAGGCGGAACTAAATAAAATGGAATTTTGAATGGCGATCAGAGGTTATGAAGCCTGGCTATACCACAATGCATTAAACAAGGAAAAAAATACACAAATACTCTATTCCTTCCTTTATTACAATTATGTCTATTCATAATCACATAATATATTATAGGTCTGATATGACATTTCATCGTCGGATACCCACGATTGATAAACATGTTACATAAATTAAATAAATGTTAATGGTTCGGCCGTGGGTATCCGACGATGATGACATTTTTGTTCGTTCTTAACATAGTGTCAATAAAATGCTGCAGTAGAAAAATAAAATGCGAGAATATGCTATGAATATTTATGTGAAATTATCCTACCTAAATATTTCTATTAAAGCTCAATGAATTAAATTAAATATTTCGATACATCTGCTTCAATAACATCATACCTAATCACGGTTTTATTTTAAAACCGAGGTCTCACCGTCTGGTGTATGCGAAACTTATTTTGAAGTGAATAATATTGCGTTTTATCACGAAACATATCTAATGTACACATATACATATAATCATATATCATACTACAAAGTTACGCAAGGGCAATTTACTCATTTAATTTTAACAATTTATGCACAAATGCATTATATATAAATGATTTCTCACATAAAACCCTAAAAACATTTGTAAATGTTACTGTGTTATTGATATAATTTTACTATTTATATGTTCCGCTACTTAAATTTTAACTATCTTTGAATTTGTAAACTAAAATGATATTTTGTCAGTAACATCTTCCTCGAAGTCAACGAGAAATATAACAAGATCTTTGCCAAACGTTTTATTCATAATTAATGCATGAATGAAGTTATTTGTTACTTTTTTTAAATACCATTATACATTGAACTATTCAAGAAAAGTATTAAACTTTTATACCAAATTATATAAGGAAAATTCATTAGTAACTTTAGTGGCATAATAATTTCCTGTAAACGTCGGTACCGTGTTTTGTCTAAGGTTCTGAATGACCGGGTCACGTGAATCAGTGGGCGGAGCAATCTCTTCTCTGGCGTAATGTCAATTGTACAAATAAAAAGAACTTATATTAACTATTTTATTGAATTGTGTTTAGCTGTCGCATCTTGACTTTAAAATACACATGTCATTCATAGAATAACTCAATGATTTTAATTAGAAACATCTATGCGCGATCAGCCATGTTTAGAATGGGAGCTTATACGGAGAGCACTATATGGTACCGTGGTATGTTAATTGATGGCCCTTTTTGGCTTCAGTATAATTTTTTGTAACAGAATATGCTGTCACTACAGTTTCAGCAGACGACCTTCACGTGTCGGAATATGAAATTATAAGTTTAACCGTTAAATATGGGGTAAAATAAAGAGTTTTTTTCAGCACACACAGGCAGCTTTGGATTTTCCTATCAATGACAGAATTTATTTGAAATGAAAAATTTTTATAAACAATTTCTATCCGAATTCACAAAAAGCAGCACTTCCACTTTCACTATAATGGTGGAAACAGTATTTGGTAACATTCAATGTGTAAAGAAACAAATTTCCTATTACATCGGAATAGGCAAGGACGCGGTACCCGCGGGGAGTACTATAAATGCCTTTCGTTGCAAAGTTTTTCTTTATAAATATACAAAAAATGCAGATATTCTTCGTGAGTCTTCGTATTTGTAATTCAGATAACTTCGCGCCTTTCCGTAATTCGTATTTGGATAATAGTGAGTTCACATTATGTACGGTTTAACCATGTCAAAGAACGCTTTCTTGATTTCTCAGAGGGACAGAAACGGCCAACGTGTACCATATCTTTTTCAGTTTCAAAATACACTGTACCGGATCTTTGAAAGGGGTGGGGGGACCCAGTCAGTACATGTGCACATTGTTTAATTAATGTGTTGAATGTGTATTTCTTCCTTAAAAATATTGACAACGTATTAGAAAAGCCATAAAAAGTGAATATAAATGTTAAAGGAACATCATGCTTTAGAAACAAATACATTTTTACTTCTTTAGAAAGGGCAAACATGAATTTTATATCGTTTGAACACTGGTTTTAGAGAAATGTTAGATACCTGTTACCTGTAGGAAGGAGCCAAAATTTGAAATTATTTTAAAAATATAGCAAAATAAAGAAGAGAAACAGGATTTTGATTTCCATCAATGACAAAATTTATTAAATCAAACATTTATAAGATTTTATCTTTCCGAAAAGCACAAGAAAGCAAAACAGTTATTGTAGTTCCCAAAGTGTGCTAAAAAAACAAATTTGCTATTTAAGAAATACAGACATAAAGCCTTTGATGCATAAAGGGCCTTTGAAAAAATTGTTGCGTTGTGTATTTCTGTGTTTATACCTAGGTATTGGAGATGTGACATAGAAGGTGCCAAAGACGGGATTCTCAAAGGAAAAACGTTGGCCATCAAAGATAACGTATGTGTAGCTGGCGTGCCTATGATGAATGGATCAAAGATAATGGAAGGATATGTACCTGACATCGACGCTACTGTTGTCACTAGAATACTTGATGCAGGTAAGTCGGGTTTGATCCTTGGTCATTCCTGCGACAATTATGTTTAAAGGATGGGTGGGGTTTCACACTCTTTTCTTTTCATTTCCATGTGATTTATGTACCTTTTACATGCTGAAAAAGACGTGATATAAGTTTCTGTGTAGTCTTTCAAAGGTATATACAGTTATTTGAATTACTTTTGATTTTCTTCTTCATATCTCTAAAAGTGTAGCCCTTTCTACAATACGATTTTCCATAGTAACGGATGTTGTATTTCGCTCATGCGCATTCTCTGTAGATCGAAATACTAGATTTAATCATACTTAATTTTGGGATGACTTAAAGCAAGGAGAACGTAAAACGTGAATTGATAATTTTAACAGATATTTAGAGGATACATTGTATTTAAGATTTTTCTCAAAATACAGGAATTATTTTCATCGAGTGGTATGAAAATTAATATTTCATGAGTGGCGGAAGCCACGAATTAAATAAGATAATTTTCATACCACAAAATGAGAAAGATGAGGAAAATTTAATTTAAAGGAGATTCAGAATTTGTATTTCTTTTGCATGCAAATCGATGTTCTTAATTAATAATTTATGTAATCATTTCTGTTGTTCTTTTTTGGTGTTGCTGCAGCTATTTTATTGATGTTTGCTTATGATAATAATGAAGTGTTATGCAATTATTTTCAGGGGGACGGATTCTGGGCAAGACAAATTGTGAACACCTTTGCTTCAGCGGTAGTAGCTACACCAATGACACTGGGGCAACATTGAACCCTTTTGACAAGGCAAGATCCGCTGGGGGTTCAAGTGCTGGTTCCGCTGTTGCAGTAAGTATAAATATACCACTACATTCGGCTAGTAACGTATTTGTATTAATATCAATGTTTGTAAAGATATTTTAAAACAATTTGTAATGTTTTTTTGCACATGTATTTTATAAAGTTGCTATGACAGGTTGCTAATGGCGAAGTTGACATGGCAATAGGCGGGGATCAAGGAGGTTCGATACGAATTCCGGCGTCATGGTGTGGTATCGTTGGGCTTAAACCGACCTGGGGTCTCGTTCCGTACACAGGAGCCGTTCCTATAGAGACAACATGTGACCACCTTGGACCTATGACGAGAACTGTTCGTGATTGCGCTGTCTTGTTAGAGGTAAAAATTGTTCATCACATTTTCTTTATTCATGTAATAATATGTTTAATGTATAATGACGTCAAGACTTGCATTTACAGCTATGTATACAATCTGGTTAAAGTCAGCTTCTACATAACGCTAAGCATTAGGATCTGACGACCACCAATCATCGGGGGGGGGGGGGCGTTCACAATTTTTAAAGCGATGCAGTTTCCAATTTTAACCCCTGGAAACCAATACTGAGTAGGTAATTTTCACGATTTCGGGAACAAACATGGTGTTTCCATTGAAAATTTCGTCTATTATATCCAATTAATTTGTTTCAAATTACAAGTACATTTACTTCAAACAATTTGTTTTACTTCCACGGACAACGATATTTGATACTTCGTCTGTCTGTCTTTAAAGAACGGTTTTATTGCATGGCTCGGAAATTCGAATCACAATGAAGGCGAAACATACTCGGTGGCAATAAGATCTACATGCTAGAAATAAATAGACCTGAACTTAAAGTTAGTCATTGATGAAATGAGCAGACGTGAATTTTAGTCAGATTGCAGCTATGTAAGAATCACGGCGACGAGCGTGTCGGCAGACATAAGGTTTAAAAAAAAGAACTCTGGACCGGGACCAGCATGAAAAATAAAGAAACGACTGTTTACATACGACTGAAGAAAACTGCATACATACAAACGATATGCAGTTACAAAAATATTCTGAAACAACTAAAATCTTGATTTTGAAAGACTACCATGTTTTTAATTTTGAGCTTTTGAGCTGTCATACATGAATAGTGCAAAATCTTTACTTTTTTGTTGTAAATTAACCAGTTCGCGAAGAATGATCTTTGTTGACATGTTAAACTTCTATGATAGAACTTACACTATTGTGTGATCTTCGCTGATGTGGTAAGGTTTTGGGACTAACTGGTCTTTATTCAATTTACTTTCTGGATGGTGGGGGGGGGATAATGTGGCGATCATTGCCAACCACATTCCACGTGCAGTCATAGATAAGAAGTCGATAGGGTTGTGATTTAATAATCTGACAAATACTGTTTTATCCATTTCAGGCAATTGCTGGATTTGATGACGGTCAAGATCCACGCCAACCACGTGGCTTGAAAGTCCCCAAATATACATCACTGGTGAGTTATAAAGTTGGATCAGTAGAATTCTACTGCTGGAATTTACAAAGAAATAAAGCAGACGGCTGTAAATGTTATTTGAATACTTATTTAATTAAGCATGCTGGCGATAACTGACCAATGCAGACCAAGATCAGCCGACAAATCGGTGTCGTCTGGTCAAGAAACATGTATGCACCGTTCGCTCTTCGGTTTTGAAACTTTCCAAAACTGCAATGATAAAATGCTTTTGCCTAGATTGAAAGACGTATAAGTCAATTTGAGATAAAAAGAAAACGTATTAATGTTTAACCCTTTCCCTCATGAGCATATTGTGAAAAATGGCCGTTTTCATTGAAAAGCCTACTGTTACAAGTTCAAACTGCTATGAAACTATGAAAAATGCTTCAATACTAATCAAACTTGGCACAACTGTTGATTGGACCTCTGCCTTTGTAACGACATGCTCAATCTTAAATTTCCTGTTACCATGGCAACGAGGGGACATCTCAAAATTGACAAAAATCACTTTTTGCCTTGATTTTTTCCATAAAAATTTATTTCAAAGTGCTGCAACTTTTCAATGGTTTGAGATAGAGTCCAAGGCTTTTCAGCGTTGGTTACACGTTACCGTAGGATCGACCTGGGGTCATTTTTAGCCTCTCACAAGTCCAAAATTTTCTTGGCGAAGTGCTCATTTTTTTAGCAACATTTCTCAAACGAAAACATGTGTTTGGGGCCCATTTCTTCACTATTTGAGACCTAAAAGAGGGGGGATCGAAAGTGCGTTGTTTCGCGTATATATGAGGTAAAGGGTTAATTAAATGACTTGCAGAACGTACATATGTAGGAATGGTAACAGAAGGTTTGAAGTAAAGTGTATGATCCTTAAAAGAATGGATTCATTTTGTATATTTACTTTGGTAGTTTTGTTTCATTGTTTCGGGCTCTTTCACAGTTTTTATGTTTTTTTGTGTGTTATTGTTATTGTTCTTTTGGTATTGTTTTGAGGATAGTTTAAAGTTTTTGTTGTTGTTATTCTTTTTTTGTTTATTTTTTTCTCCAGCTATTATGAATTATAAAATTGTTTATTAGTTAACTTGACAATATCACTATTGCTTTGTTATTAAAGGAAATTGATCTGTAAATGCCTTTTAAGCACTGTCGCGACGCAGAATGCTATATACGGCAGTATGCCTTATGGATGGCATACTGCCGCAGGTTATATGGCATACTGCCGCACCTTTAAAGGCTTACTGCCGCAGTATGGCATACTGCGTTGGAAGGGGTTATGCAGTATGCCATATGCATTTTTTAATGGCATACTGCAGCACTTCGTCAATATTTTGAAAATATCAATTAAAGGGTCGTTTAAATGTTAAGAATTTTTAGTATTTTGCATAATAGAAAACCTCAGAAAGAATCCTTTTTCAATATTTAGCGGAATAAAACGCCAAGCCAAACAGACCGACCAAACATTTTTATGCTCCCCGAAAGCATATAGTCGCCGCTTTGTCCGTCCGTCCGAACTCTTGTCCGGAGCATAAGTCAAAAACTATTCAAGCTACTATCTTAAAACTTCTTAGATGGATATATCTCATTGTGGAGATGTGTAGTGCTTAAGAGCCGTAACTCTCTTACATAATTTTTGAGTTATTGTCTTTTGTAGTTTTTCATACTTTACTCTAAAACTACTAGAGATGTCATCTTTAAACTCAAGAGGTGGTCTCACGGAGCATCAGCGATTCAACCGGCTCCTGTTTCAAAAAGTGTGAAGTGTAAAACTTATCTTATATTAATTGAAAACGTTTTAATGTATTTTTTTAAATAAAAGAATCAATTTACAATTGTCATCCGATTGTCTGTTTTAAAGATAAAAGGTTTTCCTAAACATTTTTTTACAATTGCTTGATAACGACGCACTATTCCATATGATGTTTTTTCAAATTGCATAGTGCGTTCTTTATTGAAAGAATACAATCAAGTCAAACATTAGGAAAAAGTTTCAGTCTGAGCGAAAAACTCGTAGCCACCATTATAATAATTTATGAGCCTAGTTTTTTTGTTGTTGATTTTTTTTAATGACCGCTGATAACAAATGATCTGTAGTCTTTAAGCATGTATAATGTTGTTATGTCTATCCAAAGACAAAGTAAGAGCTAATATATGGATTAAACAGAACAAGTATAAAAAAATAACTGACAATGATCAAATACATGTATTTATAATAAAACATCTGATTGGTTGATTTCAAATAAGAGACAAATAAAGTGAAATAAGAGGTTTTCGCAAACTGGCGCATTCCGTCAATACGTATCGGCGGACAGCGGCAGTATGCTATGCGGAAGAAATAATATGGCATATTGCCGCATATATAGCATACTGCGTCGCGACAAAGCACTTCATTCTCAAGAGGTTTCCCGTCCAATCCCTCTTGTATCTCCCCTAATGCACCTATCCTGAAACACTGGAAAATGTTTAAACATCTTGTAATCGTTAACTTACTTTCATTTTTACTTGTTTTTTTTTCCTGAACTTAAGATTTTGCACAAGTTTTCATGTATTTGTGTAAGTGGCAGGTGCAAGAGTAAATAAATTTTCGGTGTTGATATTTAAAGTAATTTTTTTGTTTTACAGCTTGATGTGAAACTTGACGGTTGGAAGATCGGATTATTGACAGAGGGGTTTACAGATTGCGACGCCGATGTACAGTCAGTGGTTCGAGCAGCGGCTGAGCAACTGAATAAAGCTGGAGCGACAGTAGAGGAAACATCTATCCCTTTACATAAACATGGTGTGTTAAAGAAATGATAACCTTATTTAAAGGCACATTATGCCTCAAAAATCAATGTATTGTTCATCTTTGGAAGGGGGTAAACATTATGTTTAACGAGGTTTAATAATAGTTTTAAAGAATATTAGAAGCTTATCACTGTGTGTAAGGCACGAAAATGTGAAAAACTGTGACATTAAGGTAGCAAAACAAAAACAAAGTGGTTGTTAACTTAAATACAAAATACTTAATCACTATAGTTGCGACAATTCAGCTGTTAGGCCATTGAGCACTTTTTCAGAACACCAAAAGGGCCTTTAATAAAATAAAATAAGCAAATATATAACAATAGCAATAAGTATCATTTACTATATACATGTAATGTTGTATCATAAGTAACATGTTTAATTTCTAATCTGACAAACCTGTTTATTTTTTCTGTTTGTTTGTTATTCCTTGTCCTATTATTTTATATTCCTTGTTCTATTTTCAGAAAAAGCCCAAAGAAGTTATTATACATTGATCAGTACAATATTGATTCTATTGGACTCGTAACTACACAACATAATTCAAACGAGGCGTTAGAAGTCGTCCAATAGAATTCAGTATTATACTCATTAATGAATGAATAACAACATGCTTTATTTTCTATGCATACCTTGGCGGCGTTACAGATATTGTCCTACATCTCTCTATATAATATATAATAATATACATGATGATATTTGGTTTATTACAGAATTTATTTTAGTCCGATTGTGTCGGAGGCTTATAAGCTGATTGAAACACTTTCGAATCCGTTCCTGGAACCAACTAGTACTAAGCAATTAGTGTAAAGTTTTTTGCGCAAGGAAACAACGTCTTGCCCCATGTGGCTAGCGATCATTAGATTTCTAATCGGCCCTGTCGCCAAGTATGATAATATTTATAAACCCTTAACCTGCTGGAACCAAAAGAGATAAACATTTGTCATCAGTAAAGAGCCAAGCCAGCCTTCAGCTTGTTTTATATTTCAGGTATTGCTATTTGGTCCCCTATCTGTACGGAGGGTGCGTACCAGTGTATGGTTCGAGGGGCAGGTAATAAGCAAGCTTTCTATAATGGTCATAAATGTTTATTATAATTCTTATAAATTAATACTGATATTGTTATCAAGGTTAAATTTCACCACTGTTTAGAAAATTAAAAATCTACATGTATACACTAACATATAATGATGCAATAATGAACAATGAGCTTTCATGTGAATAACGCATTAACTCATTTGGACAAGAAGAAAAAAGTTGGCTATCATTTGTACTCTAGCCTATATTTGTATGAGATAAATGTGAAAATTTGAATTGATGACGGGGATAAAAGCTTCATGTGTGACATCTAAAAACTCTAAATTCTTTACCCAGAACCACTGAGCACATGTTTTTTCTTTCCAGCTCCCATGGGTTTGACATTCTTCGTATCTGGCACTGGATTTAAACCCCCCCCCCCCACCAAAAAAAACCAATTAAACAAACAAACAAAAACAATAGATTAACTAACCTGACCTTATCGGAAATTTTGCTCATATATTTTAGGTTTGGGTTACCATAACAAAGGATATTATAGTGAATCAATGATGAAGAAATTGTCACAGGGATATAAATCGGAGCCGAAACAACTGTCTGAAATAATGAAGTTAGTTATTTTGTTTGGAAAATATATGGAAAAGGTAAACTATGCGCAATATTTCTTTATTATGCTCCCCGAAAAATTTTGGGGGAGCATATAGTCGTCGGGGTCCGTCCGTCAGTCAGTCCGTCGTACGTCCCGAATTCGTGTCCGGCCCATAACTTTGTTATTTGAAGTCGGATTTTAAAACTATTTCACAGAAATGTTCACCATATTGAGACGACGTGTCGTGCGCAACATTTGGGTCGCTACCTTGAAGGTCAAGGTCACAGCATGACCTTGCAGCAAAATTGTGTCCGGCCCATAACTTTGTTATTTGAAGTCTGAATTTACAACTATTTCACAGAAATGATCACCATATTGAGACATTGTGTTGTGCTGTTTTAACGCTTTGAACTATGTCTGTGACATAACTCTGACACTACAAAAGGTATACCTTCCTGTGTCCAAAACCAATTCGGGGAGCATCAACCGGTTCAACCGGCTCTTGCCTATGAATGACATGTACAGTCATATTTTCTTACGGCTTTGTGAGATTTTGACGAAAGATACAAATAAGGTGCATTACAAGCTCTGATGATGGGTGACAACAGATTTTGGTTGTTGCTGCAAGCTGTTCCTCTAGAGATGTTAAATTTGATGTGAATTTATTGTGAATGTATTGTGAATTTATTGTAAATTTATTGTGAATATTTTCTTTGGAAAGACATAATACTGTTGTAACTTATTGTAAAGAGGTTATTTCTGTATAGAGGGCTGTTAAGTAGAGGTTATACTGCAGTTCAGTTGCCGTTAGTGTAATTTTATAAATCGAGATAGGTGTAAGGTCGTGTGCTTCACATTCTCTCATTGAAAGGGGATCATGATGTTGTGACCGGGATTTCTACCCAAGTCAGAAACATTTTCGGTTTTAGCCCAGTGTTTAAGATCGCTGAATTTGAAATTGTGTTTCCTCGTGCGGAGTGAGACTTAAAAAAAGGGTTGGAGCACCACACTAAATGCCATATTCCGGGATATGCCGGACAAGGTACTCGAACGAATGATTAATGCTAAAATGTTGCCTTTTCATACGTCTAATTCATAACTTCACACCAATTTAAATGAGAAATGTAAAAATTGTCAAAAAAGCGATATTTGCTGTTTTGTGAAATGATTTCTGCAAGCGTCTGAAGGTACTGCTTCAACACTGTAGTGAGTTATAGCATCAAGCAAATACTCTCGTGACAAAGAATATTATCAATATTTTGTAGGCCTATGGCAACCAGTTCTATGGTCGTGCACATAATTTGAACATGAAGTTGACGAAAGCTTATGACGAGGCGTTAAAGAAGTATGACGTCATCATAATGCCGACACTGCCATATAAAGCACCCCTGTTGCCGACAAAAGATTCTACTATCAAAGGTTTGTTTGATTAATTAAGCTTTTACCACCAGTATAGAGACAGGCGAGTCAGCATTTTGAAATACATGTAATTATAATAATGATAATAATAATAATTATTATTATATATTAATAATTATAACGAAATATTTATTGTAAGATTAAAGCAGGTAAGAATTAGACTGATAGAAATGTGATAGATTAGTATGGAAAAATGACATAGACGTTTGGAATTGGAACACTTCTAGGGGTGTTTAAACATTGCTTACTGTACTTCCTCATTTAGTCCTGGTAAGAGGGTGATTTGCATATAAAAGTTTTTTTACTTTTTTCATGTTATCCTGCTTTAAAAACTGAACACGCATTAATAAACATTTTCTCTTTTTTATGTTATCCTGTTCAAAACATAATTTGTACAATTTTCATATTATTTTGTTAAAATGGTATTATATAAAGATTTTTTACCTTTTTTTTCATTGTCCTGATAAAGAGATAATTATAAAGAGCCAATATTTAATTTTTAACTTTTTCATATAATCCTGTTTATAAGGTATTTTGCTTATTAAGACGCGACGAAGAGTACAATTTTTTCATTTTATTCTTTTGAGAGATAATTTATATAAAGAATTGCGATATACTTTTTGACTTTTTCATATGATCCTGTTAAAGACTTGATAAAGATGTTAATACTTTTGTTACCAATTTTCAGAACGCTTTAAGAATGCCCTAGGTATGATAAAAAACACAGCGCCTTTCGACAGCACAGGACACCCCGCACTGACAATTAACGCGGGAAAATCTGAAGGTCTGCCAATCGGGATGATGATTATAGGAAATCAGTTTGAGGATGCCAAGGTCATTCAAGTTGCATACGCATTTGAACAACTACAAGGAAAATCAAAGTGCTGAAAGCACTGATGGGGGCGCAATATGTGCTAAATTCGAGATTTGTATAGCAATCTACTTTAGGTGTTCCAATCTGATATCATTCTTCTTTCAAAGTTGAATAAGTGCCCATTTTGTACACAATATTATAGTATCGCTTCCAAACTCTTGTCAAAATTGAAAATCATGTACCAAGAACATACTAACAAACCCAGGCAAAATGCATAATTGATATCATATATATCATGAATAAACATTTTAAATTATGACATTGGATTTTGTTGGGAAACTATAGTTGCTTAACCAATTTTCATGTAAAGTACTTCCTTATGTGAATGTATAACACATAAATCAGTGTACTTACTATATTTATTCCAAGAAATGATTATGCAGATAGAAAATAAACAGAAAATTTAACTGTCTATAAAATATTTCTAAAATAAAACCAGGACTGTAAGAACAAACTTATTTTTTGTAGAAACCTTTCAAGCACAATAGATAATACATGTGAGAATGTAAATTGGAATGGATACATATAATCAAGTTGGCATTGAAAACAAGAGCCACTATCTAGCTTGGGCCATGCTTGGCTTTTTCTTATATTGAAAGTCAAACACATCAGTAGGAGAATATTGTAATATCTATTAGAGTACTCCTAGAAAACATAATATAAATGTATAAAGTAAATTTCAAATTTGAATAGTAAAGGTCATAGTTGAATGATAATTGTTCTTTTGTCCAAGAATGAATCAAATCATAGACAAAAACAAAGTTATGACAATGTGAGTGAATTTCAATTGTTTAACCTTGGAGGTAATGGTCATTTAAAGGTCAAAATATATCAGAAAAATTCAACATGTTGGTTCTGTGTTTGTTTGTTCAAGCATGATTCAAATCTGTAAAAAATAACAAAGTAATGACAATTCCAGCTAACTCCAAAGATATTTTATATCAAATAAAGGTCAAGGTCATATATGAACTTGAAGGGCTTTTGTCACAAAAACATGTCTCCCAAAACTGTGTATGGTTCTGATCACTCTTTTGAATTTTGGCAGTTGTACATGTGATAGATTTTTCTTTTTTTAACTCTTCGGCCATTTTGTGCAGAGAAACAGGACATGGCTGCCATCGTTGGATACCCACAATTGATAAACATGTCACATAACATGCAATCAATGATGAATATTAATGGTTCGGCCATGGGTATCTGACAATGAGAACATGCCAACAATGTGCACAATTAAGGATGGCACTGTACACCCCTGTTTAGTCCTGTTTGAAATCTAACCAGCAGTTTAAACATTACTTTTTTATATAAGTTAAAGATAGAAAACATTATCAATTTTAATCCTATACTTATTATGGGTATTTATTGGATTCATTATTCAAAATTAAATGAAAGAGCATGGAACAAAATATTTTCAAGATCTAGTAAAATCTAAATGTTTTTAAAATTTAGTAGAATCAAAATTTACAATAAATATATCAATAAATATACTATAAAGTACATTATAACAATACATGTATTTTGGATAATACACTCTCAGCTGAAATACTTTAAATGGGTGTGGTATTATAAATGTTTGTAAATATTGTAAGTTATCTAATCAATAAGTCTATTCTTAATACAAGAAACATGGCAATGCCATGAAACCAGGTTTTCAATTATCACCATTGTAGATAAATATGTTGTATTTGAAATACAAATACAAGCAACAAACAATGTAACTATGTGCAATGTAAAACATGAATAATGTAGGAGGAATTGCCACTGAAGAAGTGTTCACTATAATATTATGTATAAGGAAAAAAACAAAGTGCCATAATTAGGTCAAAAACTATCCAATCACAAAACCCCGACAATATGTGCCAGGGTGCTTGATGACAAAGCTTCTGTGAAAGTTTGAACAAAATCCGTTGAGAAATGTAGGACGAGTTCAGCACAGAAGAATTTGTTCACTATAATTATATTGATAATTCTGTATAATGAAAAACAAGTTACAAAGTAGACATGAAATAATATATCATATCTTTTTTAAATTACCTCCAAAGATGATATGACCTTTGACTGCCAAATCAAGTTAAAATCATGTAAACAGGATTTTCAATGTTAATGTCACTGTGACCTTGACCTTGGAGCCAGCCATGCGGAACATGCGTTCTGCACGTCATCTTGATGTGGTAAACATTTGTCTGAAGTTTCATCAAAATTCTTCAAAGGGTTGAAGAGTTACAGAGCGGACAGGATTTTCAATGTTAATGTCACTGTGACCTTGACCTTGGAGCCAGCCATGCGGAACATGCGTTCTGCACGTCATCTTGATGTGGTAAACATTTGTCTGAAGTTTCATCAAAATTCTTCAAAGGGTTGAAGAGTTACAGAGCGGACACAATTTCAAGTTAAAATCATGTAAACAGGATTTTCAATGTTAATGTCACTGTGACCTTGACCTTGGAGCCAGCCATGCGGAACATGCGTTCTGCACGTCATCTTGATGTGGTAAACATTTGTCTGAAGTTTCATCAAAATTCTTCAAAGGGTTGAAGAGTTACAGAGCGGACAGGATTTTCAATGTTAATGTCACTGTGACCTTGACCTTGGAGCCAGCCATGCGGAACATGCGTTCTGCACGTCATCTTGATGTGGTAAACATTTGTCTGAAGTTTCATCAAAATTCTTCAAAGGGTTGAAGAGTTACAGAGCGGACACAATTTCAAGTTAAAATCATGTAAACAGGATTTTCAATGTTAATGTCACTGTGACCTTGACCTTGGAGCCAGCCATGCGGAACATGCGTTCTGCACGTCATCTTGATGTTGTAAACATTTGTCTGAAGTTTCATCAAAATTCTTCAAAGGGTTGAAGAGTTACAGAGCGGACAGGATTTTCAATGTTAATGTCACTGTGACCTTGACCTTGGAGCCAGCCATGCGGAACATGCGTTCTGCACGTCATCTTGATGTGGTAAACATTTGTCTGAAGTTTCATCAAAATTCTTCAAAGGGTTGAAGAGTTACAGAGCGGACACAATTTCAAGTTAAAATCATGTAAACAGGATTTTCAATGTTAATGTCACTGTGACCTTGACCTTGGAGCCAGCCATGCGGAACATGCGTTCTGCACGTCATCTTGATGTGGTAAACATTTGTCTGAAGTTTCATCAAAATTCTTCAAAGGGTTGAAGAGTTACAGAGCGGACACAATTTCAAGTTAAAATCATGTAAACAGGATTTTCAATGTTAATGTCACTGTGACCTTGACCTTGGAGCCAGCCATGCGGAACATGCGTTCTGCACGTCATCTTGATGTGGTAAACATTTGTCTGAAGTTTCATCAAAATTCTTCAAAGGGTTGAAGAGTTACAGAGCGGACAGGATTTTCAATGTTAATGTCACTGTGACCTTGACCTTGGAGCCAGCCATGCGGAACATGCGTTCTGCACGTCATCTTGATGTGGTAAACATTTGTCTGAAGTTTCATCAAAATTCTTCAAAGGGTTGAAGAGTTACAGAGCGGACACAATTTCAAGTTAAAATCATGTAAACAGGATTTTCAATGTTAATGTCACTGTGACCTTGACCTTGGAGCCAGCCATGCGGAACATGCGTTCTGCACGTCATCTTGATGTGGTAAACATTTGTCTGAAGTTTCATCAAAATTCTTCAAAGGGTTGAAAAGTTACAGAGCGGACAGGATTTTCAATGTTAATGTCACTGTGACCTTGACCTTGGAGCCAGCCATGCGGAACATGCGTTCTGCACGTCATCTTGATGTGGTAAACATTTGTCTGAAGTTTCATCAAAATTCTTCAAAGGGTTGAAGAGTTACAGAGCGGACACAATTTTGTTTGACGCCCATCCGCCCATCCGCCCATCTGCCCATCCGCCCATCCGCCCATCCGCCCGCCATACCCCAATCTAATAACCAGGATTTTCAAAATTGAAAACCTGGTTAAAAAGAAACTTGCATCTTGATATTTTCTGTACAAACTAGAACTGTCATTGTCATAGCTTGAATACCCCCACATACCAATTTGTCAGAATCAACAGTAGTCATTTACAGCTCAGCCAAATCTGAGGGAAGTAAGCCAGTGCATTGCTAAGTTATATATTCTACATGTTTTAGTAGAAAAGATCAAAGTGAACTTTACCTTGGACCTACTGACCTCAAAACTAAAACGGCCATTGAATGACTTCAATAACACCCCCCCCCCCCCCCATTTCATGCAGCCTTGCCTGGAGGTGTTTTATGATGAATATATGAGACCATTTGAGCAGACAAGCTTATTGTAATAAAAGCCCCTGTGACCTTGACCTTTGCCCCGGTAACCTCAAAATCAATAGGGGTATTCTACTAATCTTGAATAACCTCCATGCCAAATATTAAGACTATAGGTCTAAGGATTCTTAGGTAATTGGACGGACAAGCTTTAATTAGCCAAGGCCCCTGTGACCATGACCTTAGACCTGAAAATAAATAGGGGTCATCTACTAATCATGACTAACCTCCATGCTAAATATGAAGACTGTGGGTCGAAGGATTCTTAAGTTATTGGGCAGAGAAGCTTTCTTCAGTCAAGACCCCTGTGACCTTGACCTTTGACTTGGTGTTCTCAAAATTAATGGAGGTCATCTACTAATCATGACTTACCTCCATGCTAAATATGAAGACTGTGGGTCAAAGGAATCTTAATTTTATGGACAGACATGAAAAATGCGACAGACGCCCGACGGCCGGACAAGCTGATTCCAGTATAGCCCCCTTACAACTTTGTTGTGCAGGGGTATAACAGATTTCAAACATTAATAAGTTAGCTCATCTTCTTGGTGATGAACTGGCGCCTCTATATTCAAATGTGGTTCTGTTCATACACAAGTTATCTCATGTTCTTCATGATAAACTCTCACCTTGAAGTTGATAGAGTTCTGTTCATACATATTTCAAAAATAGATAAGTGATCTTATTTTCCTGGTGAAAAACTGGTCGCACATTCAATATCAATACATATTATGTCACTCATTCAAGTTCTAGACATATTATAATATTTCAAATATTGGAAAGTTATCTCATGTTCTTGGTGAAAGACTGGTGACTAGTTTTCTCCTCAATGTCTTTTCTTTTTCTTATTAGATTAAGTCAAGTTACTATATTCATGAGGCTTTCGACATCACACATTCCAACATTGCAAATGGCAAGCAGTCTCCTGGTATTCCAATTTCTTTAAGTTTTGAAAAACCCAAATGTGTCAATTTCTCTAGTGTTTCCGACATGAAGACACATCTACATGCATCTGTCCTTATCACTCCTGCTATTACTGTTCTATCATACAAACGCCACTGTTTCCTGAAATATTTGTTTAGAAAAAGTTAACAGCAAAATAAAAATTCCATTATTTTTTTTTTTTTTTTTTTTCGGGGAGTGGGGTGGGGGCAATTTAAAGCACAATTTCCAGCTTTACTGCTTGATGAAGACCTTGGTGCACCTATGTGTATGATTTCAGGCACCTGGGTACCATCAATGTTCCATAAATGAGCTAGATAGCTTTCTCACATGAAATGATCCGTAAACACTTGCAGAGCACGAACCTACAGCAGTGAAAGGCTTAAAGGTTTAAAGTCAACCAATCGCCACAGACACCCCAAGTATTTTATCTATTTGCTAAGCAGCAATTTTTTCAAAATCATTTAAATTTATAAATGTGAGTGATTCTGATAAGCTATAGACAGCTACATGTAAGTGAAATCATATATGTCAGATATGTCGGAGTGCTTATTGTGAATATTCATTATTTTAAATTAATGTGAATTCTTCTGAGGTGAAAAGGAAAGGAAAGCTGAATTCCTAGATACATGTTACATGTCACAATTGTTCTTGTTATTAATTTTGTTCCTAATTTCTATTCTATAAGATGATATTTAAATTCACTGTAATTCCTTTTTATAAATTTGGATTTTTGTGACAATAGTCTATCCAGTGACAGAAGCTCACTGACTTAAAATAAACTATCCTGTGTCAGCCTTTAAACAAGTCAAGAAATAAAAGCTATTAGAATATAATAATTAAGAAATATCATATACAACCACTTCTAAATTATCATGTATCGCTTCCTTAAATGCCATGCTACTGAAAGAAACATTTTACCATTTATTCACTGCAAGGTTTGTCAGATTGACAGTCTCACATTTTATTTCATCCTCATTGACCCTAAAGCATCCTTAAAATCAATATCGTGCCGTTCACATTTACAAATCTGACATGTAGGCCGACCATCTGAAACAGAAAGTTGGAAAGATAAAATATAATTATTATTAGATATACATATAGTATCCCAATAATTATGTTAGTTGAAATCAATAGTCAAATCAATAATTTAAGCAGTGTTAGAAATTAGCAGTAGTCCTATAGCCCCTGAATACTAAATTTCTCCTCGGGCTACCAACTTTTCACAGTAACAGGCCTGACCAAGCCACTGTATTTTAAGAGGCAATACAAACAACTGTTTTGAACAAATTAATCGTGCCAGAGAAATGTCTTTTGGGCTAGTTAATATTCAAATCTGGTAGTCCGACCAGGCTAGTCGATTCAAATCCTAATTTCTTACACTGTTTAAGAAACAATTTGTTCAAAATTGTCCAAGAACAAAGATTTTTATAGTATACTATAGTAGTTATAGTGTATATACAGTATGTACTAAATGTCTTTTCAATCTACTATACTGTCCTTAAATTTTAAGAAAACAACTATCTTTAAAATCCATTGTCTCAGAAATTGCAAAACCAAGTAAATGAAATTGTTCTGTATTTGTATTATTCTACACAACTTCTGATCACAAAAGCTTCAAGGACATTAATGAGTGAATCAGGTCCTATCCTGAAAGATTGTTGCGTACAAGTTTGAAGAGAATCCATTCAAAAATAACAAAGTCATAGCCACTAATAGCAAAAATCAGGAAAATTTAAATATTTTACCTTGAATGTTTATATGGAGGTCAAGTTTAGTCTGGTCTATTTGAAGGGTTGTTGTGGCCAAGTATGAAGACAATACACCAAGATCTGAAAAGTTATGAAAGGTTAAAGTTTGTTGACAGCAACGGGAAAGCTGTCATGACTGTAACAATATATTTTGACCCTAAATGCAAACTGAAAGTTCTAGCCTATACACACTGTTGAGGATAGCCGTTGAGCATTTTTTCAATAATAAATAAATGCAATGATAAAATTGGTAACTTGCAAGTCTTCTAACAGTTTTACAAAGAATGAACATATATATTTTTTCCTAATAATTCTACGATGACGTTCAGCCTTTTATATTATAACAAGATATCGGAAAGATATATGAGAAATGAATTGGCCCGTGGACTTTAATGTCAATCATAGAGCTCTTATGCAAAATGTAATGGTAAGCAAACATCCAGCATGAAATTTTCAAGTAGCTAAAAGTGAAATAAAATTATTAAAAATACTTTGTCATAATTCAACTACTGTTGGAAATTGACCCACATGTTTGATTACAAATGTATCTATATAATAATGTCCATAAAAATATAATAAATTAATTTTCAGTCTCTTTCTCTTTGCGCTTTCACACAGATTTAAATTATTCAACTCCATGATTTTCAGAAGGAAAAAACTCTTTTGATCATCAAACACTACAAATTACTATTACAACTGTAAATTGCAGTCTGTGCGAAAGGCTGTCGGTCCTCGGACCTCCCCAACTAAAAATCAGTAGGGTCGACATAAATTTCGATACAGTCAGTTGTCATGTCGGAATAAAATTTCAGCCAGTTTGAAACAATTTTTGGCCTTCTGAAATATGCAAAGCTTCAAAGATCGATCTATCTTTTTAATTTTTGCTTGTATTCACAGACCAAGATAACCAAAATCACCGCAGGATACGACCAGTTTTTGCTAAGTAATGTAAGCCACCATCTTGTCTCGGTTTAATTTCTTTACCAAAACATATTTTTTCTCCAATCTTCAAAATTAAACCTTTGAAAGATGTACATGTATTGTTCATTCGGAACTGCCTCGGCTATTATCTACAATATTAACCTCGGAAACAATACGGATTGAAAGTAGTTCTACCACGTGGTTTCAGATGTAAACAGAAACAGAAATAATGTAAATCGAATGTATATATTTGACATCTAATGCCTGTTCCGGTACTCTTTTGCTTGAAAATTTGTCTGACAACAATTTGTAATTTAGATATGCCTATTGATGTTCAATTTTAAACAAATCCGACGAAATGTCAACAGGTTGGGTTTTTCACTTTTTGTACTTTCGGTTTCTACAACCATAATAATAAATATATAAATAATGAATTGTTTGCTTTTGTACCTATAATATCACTCATTTAAGGTGATCGTTTACTACATATATTGGAAATAAACTTGTAAACAACGCCCAGCATTAAATTACTTTTTGTTTACATGTTTATTTTCTTAGCGTAGGTTAGACCGAAATACCGCATCCGTTCTGTGTATTCATACTATTGTGTTCGAGGTCCTTATCCGAAGACTGACGGAAAGGGCTGAGTAGTTGCGATTGTGTATTGTTTTCTTGTGAATTATACTAATGTTTTATCAATTATGTTTCTGTATATTTTTTTCTTTAGTATCTTATAGTTGAGTCTGATAATTCATATATGCTAAATATTTTTCTTTATAATTATGGCAATATCCCTCCCCCATACCTACAAAAAAACCCTGTCAGAGTCCGGGCGTGGGAAAAATCATCAGTCTAAGGATACCAGTCCTTGCGGGTGGAATTTTTTTTTACTTTCGCATTGACTGAAATTGTATAAGATATTAAATAAAATCTTCTTTTAGAAAAACAAGTTTGCATATTATTGTTTTAGGCAACTCATTTTTAAAATGCTGTACAGCTAGCCTCAACAGTGAGTATATGCTAGTCGTATTTGACTCGCATACAGCCAATACTGGTTCATACTGCTAGCCACTGCCTATTCCTCTACCAATTCCATGAATACTATTAGTATAATAATCAAATAGATGTTAAACAATAAAAGTAATGATGACTTAATATGATGTATATAAAATTCCGCTGCTAAAGACAAGTTGTTTTTATTGATTGTTTATATCAACAAAGGTAATGAAATAGATAAATACAGAATCCCTAAAGAAAGCCCAACACGGCAATACTGAAAATGTTGCAGGCTCGGTTTGATTGAGCCTGTTCATGGACGGTACTGGAAAGTGCAAGTTACCGTCCACGCCCCCTAGCACCGGCTTAAGCAGAATTCAACATTTAACATGAACTGGTAAAATTTAGAATTTTGAAACATCCGCAGATGTGTTCATATGGCGGTTATCATGGAACCTTCAATGTGACACGTTATGTGTATTAATAAATCCTTACAATTATCAAGAAAATAGAACAATTATTTTATCAAGCATGTAAGCAATAAAGACGTAATTTGACTGGTTTACAGAGAAAAATAGTTGAAAGTATCTTGACAGGTATTAATTGGAAATAGATACACAGTTCAACTGTTAAATGGAAGCGGTCAATCAGCTGTTTCGAAAATGAAAGTACACACCAAAAACACTTCAAATTCACATTCTTTGCGTAATTAATTTACAGAGTGCGTAAATGAACGCAACAAATTGTTAACGGTAAACATTGTACGTTTTTATTTGATTTTAAAGCGTAAAATATGCCGATATTCACATTATCTGGAATCTGTTATATTTAATAATATAATCAGTTATCTTAATTCTTATTATTATCGACCTGTGGTTTTGAATTTTAATACAACTACTTTTTTCAGATATAAATGTCTATAAATTTACAAATAAAAAATCTATAAAATTATGGACTGACCATAAATATCATGAAATCCTACATCTGATGAAGGCAAAACTGTGAAAATCAGATCTACATGTATGAAATAAGTATATCTTATTTTAAGTCATATTGAATTACGGACAGGGCAGACTGTGACTCAAGATTAGGCGGACCGTGATTTAAAAAGTATTTATATGTGGACTAATGTAATAAAAGTATTAAATTATTGATGTCCCAAAATACGGTCCGCCTAGTCTCAAGTCACAGTCCGCCCTGGTACGGTCCGCCCTGTCTCACGGTCCTGCAGGGGTCATATTGTATTTAACAATTATAATTATTATACTAGTCCTTTAAATTTTGGGACCTCTCATAGGATAGGATTTTATTCATTACAGGTCTGGGGCACTACCTCCAGTCCCTTGCAAAAATCATGATCATAAAATTGAAAACTATCATTTTTCACCAATTATTACATTTTACCTGTATATCATGACAAGTTTTGGGCCTATCTTGTTAAGCTTAGATAGCTAATACAGTAAATTGAGTAATAGACTGATAGAGAATGTGTTCAAAAAGTAGTCAAAAATGTAATAATAATTTAAGAAAATATCCTTCCAGGTTTCTAAATAAGTCCAGATATTAATTATGTGGTTTCAACAATAAAAAATGATAAGAAAAACCAATATGTTAATAAATTGAAAAGTGGACCGAGTTGAAAAAAGGCCGAGCTGACACGGGGCCGAGTACGTTTTAGGGCCGAGCTGACACTGCACTAAAATTAGCAGTCTATCAAGCGAAATATATCAATAGCTTTACCAGATTGTGAAGAAAACTTGATTATACATACGGAATTGATTGCAACCAAAATATCAACGTAATAGCTGTGACTTCCTATATTGATAGCAGATCTTCTCAACCTTTACTCGGAATAACTGACCAAGATGGCGTTCGGGAAAATGACGTCAGAGGGAAAATAGTTCGTATTCATACGCATACAAATTTTTACTCTGTCATTCACACTTTTTAACCATTTTAAGCTTGAACTGTTGAAAGTTATCTAATTTGAAAATCGTATTCCATCTTCCTGAATTATTGTGTTCTATGATAGTTAGTTAATTTATGACTTGATAAAATTGGCACCAAATTTTTGTAAGTACTCTGGCTCTCATGCATCGGGAACCAGAAGGTAGAACAAATAAACTGGTTCTCATTAAATTTTTATCGACTGCTAGCGTAGTAATATTCAAATCGCGTAAAGCAATGGTATTTGTAATTTTGTGATAAAAGGATTTAATTTTAAGTAATAAAATGACCAGTCAATTTTATATTAGATAAGGTATAATGATGATCTGAATATTATGGCAAAATATTGGAACTATTTTTGCTCAGCGCAGCTAGATAGCCTAAACGCGTTCAGAAGGTAGTAAGCTGAATTTATCGTAATTACATTGGGGGCTTGCGCCCCCAATAACGCGGGAATATTAAGAAGAGCGTCCTGTGTGCGGAGAACTTTATTTTCTTTGTGGAAAAAAAAACAGATTTAATATGATACATGTATCTAGATACTTTATTTAGGCTGTTCCAAATTTAAAAGAAAAAAGGAGAATAGAGTCTCTCTTTCTCTGTATATATCTATGCTTTATATATTTTAATATATACGAGAACTTAGCTGCTTATTCGTTTAAGATAAATATGAAGATATTGTGAAAGCTTTGAAACACTCATTAGCTGTATTTGCATAAATGTTTTACCGTATTTTTCAATGTACATGTCTTAATATTCGAGATATGCTTACATGTAAAGCTTTTTGAAAGACTGTAATTGCATGCAAAATGTATATTATATATTAAAAATATTGACAGATACAATTGTGATGGAGCGACAGTTGACATTATATAGAATACATGTATATACATGTATCTGCGTAAAATATAAAATAGACTGCCCCACTGTTTTTATGAATTGAACGTTACTAGTACATTTCGATGGATATTAACAGAAATTACCTTGGCCACATGGGTACATTATCGTTCATGTGAAATAAATGATAAAATTGAAAGGAATTATATATGTAATAGAAAGAGCATCGAAACACGAGGCTATCTGTATTGTACGAGTGGGTGTAGCCCCCGAGAATTAATCAGGTTGCCGAGTGTTTTTGATGTTTTTTCTCTTTTGTATCATAGTCAAACATAAAAACACGTCTCTGTTGTCACAATATGAAACCACGGGTAAAAGTAACCAATGAACGAGCATCTGAATATGATATTTCTGTCGCTTTCCCTTTCTCTTCCGTCACAATAAGTTAACCCCAGCAAAAATGAGCCAATCAATGGGCATGCTCTGGAGTGCGGGTAACTTATACCTGCACTCCAGTTAACGCACTGTGCATGTATATGTATACGATTTAACTCTGACACATTTTCAACAGAAAGGTCCCCAAATTCTGATATAAGGTGAAATGTAAACTTATTTTATCTGTTCACTTGGATGTCATTATGTAACTTTAAATGTAGAGAGGAACTCTCATGAACTGCTTGCAGATGTGTTTTACATAATCATGTATTTTGAATGTAGAATAATATTACAGAAGATTTTGACATGACTTTATTGATATTTTAATATGATAGAAAAATATATGCTTACTAAATGAATTATTATATGTTATGTTTTCAATGATTCAAGTACAGTGGTATCAGGTTTATAAACGACAAAAAAATCAAAACAAACAAACAAACAAACAACAGTCGTCACATTGAAAATATGATTTTTATAGATTTTTTTCTGTAAACATTGTCATAATGTTTTACCCTTTAAAATAGAGATTTACTTTTGCAAATTGTCTTCATAGTTTGCGCTCACATTAATGGAAAAGCACATATTTTCTTCAGAAATCACCTTAATCGAATGAAAATCATGAAAATGACATATATCCGATACTACTTAACTGGATACTTATACAGTGATTAACTAGTAAACTATTATAAGTAAATTAATTAAAGTACGCCAACATTTTCAAATAACAGTCATTCCAGCTTAAGAGTTTTGAAAATATGAACATTTCTTAGAGAAATCATGGAAAATTTATTTGAGTCGCGCCATGACAAAACCAACATAATTTAGTTTAAACATATTTTATTGCATTTAATACATGTTTACAAATATATCATACAAATAATGACTATATATCAAATTGCAAATGGGTGGGGCAACAAGTTCTTACATCATTAGATTAAGCCCTTCCCAGAAATTAATATTACAGAAGAAAATACTTTGAGGCAACAATGATTATTTTTAACATGCATATAAACTTTAAAATATGTATTTCATTTTTGAACAATTCATTTATTCATTAAAATTTAATGTACAATTTTGATTTTAAAGTGCGATCCGTCCACAGGTTGCCATTCCGATCTCACTGCAGTTGTTAAAATAATTGACCAACATAATGCGTTTGCAACCAGCATAGATCCAGACCAGCCTGTGACCTGAGGCCGTCTTAATAATTGTGGTATGTTAGAATAATTTTTTATCTGCAGACAGTAGATAATAATATTAATCACTTTTAGATAATATTAACCACTTTTAGACTGCATGATCAATTTTTACAAGAATGACATAATATTAAAGATACATCACGAAGTGCCTAATGTATACTCATTGTTTTGAAAATTATCTAGTACTTCCATTTTACATAGGCAAATATTCATGTGAATTTAGAACAATGAACAACCATCACCCATTGAAAAAGACAGACATTTGACCATTGATCGTAATTGTAGATTATGTCCATTATGTCCACATCAAGCTGTTGGTGATGAATATCACTACTTATTCAAATGTACTTATTTTAATGACATTAGACGTAAATTTTTTCTTTTAACTTTTTGTGTTCATCCTTATGTTTTTAAACTTGACAAATTGTTAAAAAGTTGTGATGAAACAATATATACTAATTAATTAAAAAAAGCTACAAAACATCAATTTTTTTAGGTGTAAGGCAACGTGTTAACATGGAAAAACTAGATTTTCGTTAATTCCAATGTTTTCATCATTTTTTGTTAAACTTTCTGTATTTTGTAAAATATTAATTAATTTTCTCAGTCCCCCTTCCTTTTCCTGTTTGTTTCATTGCAAATGAGTATTGATCTCATATTTATGTCTATTTTGCATAGTCACAATAGAATTCTTTTATATATCATATTAATTGATTTTCTGTTATGACCGTTATTTTTCTGTTCAATAGTTTGTCATAACCAGTTGCATATTACATGCCTTGGTTTAATAAAAACTGAATCTGATTAACAAAATATGAAAAAAAATCAATTTAAACAGCTAATTAACGTGTCAAAATCTTTTAAACAGATGCAGCATTTAAAAGATTATTATAGTACCAATACGAAATAAAGTATCTTTAAAAAATACTCGGTCGAAGCATAACTGTTTAACGTGCAAAAGTATGTTATTTTTAAATTTTCAATACAAAAAGAAATATTAACAATGCTTGTATTACAATGACATGATAAATATTTCTTGTAGCTATTAGCAAAATACGCATTTTGTAAATATTGAAATCAAATTATAGCATATTGATAGTGATGATTTTTCTAAGAAAAAAACTTCTTTTTAAGGTGTCCTTTTTACTTGTTTTCCGTTTGCCTTTATAATTTTTTTAATCATTCACGAATTAAATTCAAAGTTACAGAACTATCCTCATTCCTGTAGATCTTATTTTAGAACTATCCTTTACGTTTTATTTTATAGTGACAAAACTATTCCTGACATTTAATCATATCTAGCTATCCTTAAAATTTTTATATAGAATGGTAAGAATTATCCTTTACATTTTTTTTTTAAGAATGGTTAGAACTGTCCTTTACATTTTATTTGACATTACATATATTATATTCAGTCCTTCCCTGTTAATTTTACAGGAAGTCAGGACTTCTTCGAAAAATATTTTTTAACAATTTTTCATGAAGCATAAGATATATTTGGAATGTCTCACAAAATGGCGGCCATCAGAGGCAATAATTGCTATGTGAAAAAGTCAGCATCAATACTGTGAAAATATAAACACGTTATTAGTTATCATAAACCTTCATTATAAACAAATTTTCGAATTAAACACATGCAATGTATCTGTGATTTCATTTACATGGTAAAATAAAAATGTTTGTATATGAAAGAGGGGAGAGATTCAAATATATATTTTCATTTTCAATTGTCTTCTTTACATACGCATGACCGCCTCATGTCCATGGATTCGCGTTCACTGGTTAAAATGCACATTAAAATAGAGAAAAACAGAATCCATAAAGAACTCTTAAAATGACAAAATTGAAAATGTTGCAGGCTTGACTTGATTGAGCCTGTTCATGGACGATAATGGAAAGTGCAAGTTACCGGCCACGCCCCCTAGCCCTGGCTTAAGATGGTAAAATTTTGAATAGATGTGTTCATACGGCAGTTATCATGGAACCTTCAATGTGACACTTTCGTGCCATTCCATGACAAGCAGCGTATGACACCCAAGTAAAAAGAATGTGTGTGCCCTAAACGAGAAAACAATGGGCGGAACTAAACAAAATAAAATTTTGAAAGTTTTTTTATGTAAGTTTGATATATTGCAGGATTCTGTTGATTTTAAAAGCATTGGAACAATTACATTTTTGGTGGCAAATCAAACTGTAAAACAAACAATTTTATTGTCAGTATCCATTTGCACAAACATTTTAGCCATTAAAAATATCTATAACATATTGAAAAAAGTCTTCTCTGCCCTTTCTTAAAGGCCGTTTATGCCTTAGAATATATTTATTTTTATTTCTCAAAGCCTTTTTTAAATTTTGGTGTACTTTTATAGTATCCAAATTGTTACTCATTCGCCCAATTACATGAACCATCTTTTTCATCTATTGTTTTATGGCAATAAGTAATGTTATAGTGAATTACTTTTTTATAGTATTGATGTCATTTATGACAAATAATTTCACATACATGTACTCGTATATCGCTACTTTCATCAGGTAACAAACATTTAACTTCCTTTTAAACCATTAATTAAACATTACAAAATTCATGTTTGCCCTTTCTAAAGAAGTAAAAATTTATTTGTTTTCTGTGCCTTTAATCGGCGAGTTGTTCTTAGTACGTAATCTGAAATTACGCGATATATATCAAATCAGCTTCAAGTGAAATATTTAGAAAATACGACAGTAACTGAATAATTTAACTTTATATTTCATAATTTCAATGAACATATGAAAATTCGGACATTCCGTGTTGAAAAAGAAACGGATCCAATCATTGCGGGTTTTTTTGTTGTGTTAAGGCAATATCGCCTTCCCATCCTTTTTAGTCCCATACGTACAACAACTACAATATCTATGCTTTCGCGTAAAAATAGCATGATGCCGTTCAGGTCTATCAGAACTTTAAAATTTCAAAAAACACTTATTTCGGAGAAATACTAAAAAACATAAGAAAATCATGGTGGCTGATTTACGCCATGTCTTATTTTCGCTTTTGCGCCACAACATGCGAAAACACGGAGATACGAAAGATCTAACTCCGTGTGTTGGAAGGGATTGACTTTATTCTTCTCACATTCTGAAAGAAAATTTCAATCATTTGATAATTTCTTGTAATTTACGTATTATAACGTCAGAGCTAAGAATTAGATTCGTCCAATTGTAGACTCTTTTTAATTATCAGATTTTCTCCCTTTTTCTTCCCGATGGTATATAAAGGCATTAAACGGATTGCTGAGCAGAACTGTCTTATCACCAAAGACTGACACACCATTGATTTGAATTTAAGAGAGCACAGCAGGTCAGAGAAAAGGAAAATGGCTATTGTTTTACCAGCTACAAATTACGTTATTTGTTGGATGAATAAAGAGGACGGTTGTTTTCGTGGTTGGAGTACTCTTGGCATGAGCAATCCTGGAAAAAGCTGTAGTGAAATGTTTATGAAGATAAGCGGGAAGTTTGCACAGGACATAAGGTCCAGTGTTTACAGATGCAGTTTTCTGAACATCGCTGGAAGATATGATGCAGCAAGGAAACAGCTTCAGCCATCCTCTTCTGTGGATTTGATTGACAGACTTCGCTTTTTCTAACACAGTGCTTCGTACAGTATGATTTCTTGTATTTTTCATCAAAATTTCTACATTGACATTCTGATTTCATAGTTCACAATTCTTCAAGAACATTGTGTAGTTTTTATATGAGCTGACGTTGCAAGTATCTTAAATAACTGTTATACTTCGGTATTCTTTTAGCATTGTATATTACTTTATATTATTAGTTGTACTTTAGAAATTGATATTTTTATCATCTCAACTAAATTTACTCGTCGGATATTCCTGCAGAAATGTATGATATTTATCTAAATAAATATGACTGTTAATCGTTCAATATTCTTCAAACATTGTATAATTTTATAACTGAACTAGTTTAGAAATTGGTATAATTTATTAATGAACAAGTTTAGAAATTGATGTAATCCAAAATATTTTTATTGTTCATTTACCTTGTAGCTTTGAATAATATTTGATGAGTATTATTTATATAATTCACATAACTGTTTTGAAACATAGCAATAAATCATATTTTGTATATATCGTTTGTTATGTTTTTAATACCTTAGTGTAAGGTTTCATTGACACTCGAGAGCAATGTCACATTTTCGTGTCATACAAGTGTACGCTAGGTGGCTGGATGGCACGAACGAAGTTACAATGAGTAGCTGGTCTCCCTGGTGATTTGAACTCATCTTCTTCACTAAATAGAACAAATAACGGGAAAGGAAAACCACATTTGTGAAACTAACAAATAGATTGATTCAATTGACCTTTAACTATACTGGTGAAATTTATTTTAATATAGCAGCGATAAATATATCTACATAGGTGTATATGTCAGTTTGGTTAGCTCTGTTAACGAAAGACTGTAACATTGACATTTACAATCTGCTCCGTGGTATAAACAATTTCATTTTCACATTGGTGTGTCATTCGAGGCCACATTAGTTCTATATCAAGGGCGATATATTATACTATATTGTCTTCCTCTACAATTGTACTTGAAGGTTGCTACTCTTTATAAACATATGCCCACCCGGCATCCGCATGATAAAATTTATGAGAAAAAATAGGAACACACAAACAGGAATATTATTGCGACCATTTACAAACCAGGAAAAAATCTTATGCTTTCAAAAAAGCTGAAAAATATCTCCAGTGCGATGCTGACGATAAGATCTTGAACATGTGGTTGTAAAGGTGATTTTAAAATATTTCCTCTTAGTTTCCGCTACCTGACGTGCCTTCTCCTAACAGTTGAAAGTGTTCATTATTCTAAAAGTTGAAATAATGTACTTTACATGGTATCTGCAAGTTAAAAAAGCTACGAAAATGATAATTTAGAAACTTACTTGATATTTAACGGTTCAACCAAACATTTTCATTGTTGTTGTGCTTGGTAATCTTTAAGGATTTTTGTGTCGTCTGCCACAGAGTAGTGGCGACATAAAGGGATCCTTTCTACGTCGACTGTCTGTCCTTCCTTCACAAAAATTGTCCGGACTACTCCTAAAAAATCTACCCGAACTACTGGAATGATCAGTATCAAGTCCAGTTGTGCATATCATCGGCATTTTTAGTTCAATAATTTTGGTTACAGTTATGATATTGCGAATTTGTGTCGCCTGCCACCATGCTACAAAACGTCAGATACATGATACAAAGAAGTCACGACTTATATAGAGCACGTCTCCATCGTCTGTCTGTCTGTCCGTCAAAAATATTGTCTGAACTACTCCTTAAAAACTTCTGATCATTTAGTTGTACTTATCGTCAGAATTTTACTTTTTAATGATTTTTGTCAGATAAAATATCTTCAATTTTTAAAGTTTTGTCTGCTAAGTACTTTTCTTATACTACTTATGCAATATGAGTAAAACTTTACAGGGTTGACCGGTTTCTCAAGTACTTGCCATACTTAACGGGTTTAAATGATTTTTGGTTGACTTAAAGCCCTTGAATAAAAAAGCATTTTGATCAGTTAATAATGATTATTGTGTCTCCTAATAGCCAGCTGCAACATGCCACGAAGAAACTGCGACACGCAAGGAACAAACTGTTCTATCACCCCTCTATACAACACTTACTGCTTAATTGGCTTTCACCAGGCGACACCTGTGATCACTGATCGCCCTTGTATTATTTTGCATACGCAAGTTTTATATGGTACACTTTCACTGCCAACGCTATTTGTTTCGAATTCAGTCAGAGACTATAGATTCTTTCATGTAACATGGCTATCCAGCTCGCATGATACGGAGTATAGGTAATGCTTACATCGGAACAAGTTGCAAACGCAGAGGGACCCCTGGTGTATTTTTTTCACCAGGAAAAAAAACCTGGAAAGTCGCCATATGACCTTAATTACAGTATTGAAGTCAAAAACCTTATTAACTTTATTGAGCTTGCTGAATAGCTTACAGAAAAATAATTCAATGATCCTTTAGAGATTCAACCTATCTTTGTATGCTTTTTATCTGTTTACCTGATATACTGTATAATTTCTATATAGCCCTAAAGGATAGTCAGACTGGAGATAGTTCATAAAAGTAAGCTTTTCATATAAGCTTAAGTTCATTTCAAGTCGTTTTGCAAATTTTTGAAGTGAGAATTCGTATTAATTTACATATCAAAGGAGACTAAATGACTAGTATAAACAGACTAAATGACTAGTATAAACAGACTAAATGACTAGTATTAACAAACTAAATGACTAGTATAAACATACTAAATGACTAGTATTAACAGACTAAATGACTAGTATTAACAGACTAAATGACTAGTATAAACAGACTAAATGACTAGTATAAACAGACTAAATGACTAGTATTAACAGACTAAATGACTAGTATTAACAGACTAAATGACTAGTATTAACAGACTAAATGACTAGTATAAACAGACTAAATGACTAGTATTAACAAACTAAATGACTAGTATTAACAGACTAAATGACTAGTATTGACAGACTAAATGACTAGTATTGACAGACTAAATGACTAGTATTAACAGACTAAATGACTAGTATTAACAGACTAGTATTAACAGACCAAATATCTAGTATAAACAGACTAAATGACTTGTATTAACAGACTAAATGACTAGTATAATCAGACTAAATGACTAGTATAAACAGACTAAATGACTAGTATTGATATACTAAATGACTAGTATAATAAGACTAAATGGCTAGTTTTAACAGACTAATTGACTAGTATTATTAGACTAAATGACTAGTATTAACAGACTAAATGACTAGTATTAACAGACTAAATGACTAGTATAAACAGACTAAATGACTAGTATTAACATACCAAATATCTAGTATAAACAGACTAAATGACTTGTATTAACAGACTAAATGACTAGTATAATCAGACTAAATGACTAGTATAAACAGACTAAATGACTAGTATTAACAGACCAAATATCTAGTATAAACAGACTAAATGATTTGTATAAACAGACTAAATGACTAGTATAAACAGACTAAATGACTAGTATTGATATACTAAATGACTAGTATAATAAGACTAAATGGCTTGTTTTAACAGACTAATTGACTAGTATTATTAGACTAAATGACTAGTATTTACAGACTAAATGACTAGTATTAACAGACTAAATGACTTATATTAGCAGACTAAATGACTAGTATTATCAGACTAAATGACTAGTATTATCAGACTAAATGACTAGTATTAACAGACTAAATTACTAGTATAAACAGACTAAATGACTAGTATAAACAGACTAAATTACTAGTATTTACAGACTAAATGACTAGTATTTACAGACTAAATGACTAGTATTGACATACTAAATGACTAGTATTTACAGACTAAATGACTAGTATTAACAGACTAATTGACTAGTATTATTAGACTAAATGACTAGTATTAACAAACTAAATGACTAGTATAAACATACTAAATGACTAGTATAAACAGACTAAATGACAAGTATTAACAGACTAAATGACTAGTATAAACAGACTAAATGACTAGTATTAACAGACTAAATGACTAGTATTATCAGGCTAAATGACTAGTATTAACAGACTAAATGACTAGTATTATCAGGCTAAATGACTAGTATTAACAGACTAATTGACTAGTATTGACAGACTAATTGACTAGTATTGACAGACTAAATTACTAGTATTATCAGACTAAATGACAAGTATTATCAGACTAAATGACTAGTATTAACAGACTAAATGACTAGTATTGACAGACTAAATGACTAGTATTAACAGACTAAATGACTAGTATTATCAGACTAAATGACTAGTATTAACAGACTAAATGACTAGTATAAACAGACTAAATGACAAGTATTATCAGACTAAATGACTAGTATTAACAGACTAAATGACTAGTATAAACAGACTAAATGACTAGTATTATCAGGCTAAATGACTAGTATAAACAGACTAAATGACTTGTATTGACAGACTAAATGACTAGTATTATCAGACTAAATGACAAGTATATATTATCAGATTAAATGACTAGTATTAACAGACTAAATGACTAGTATTGACAGACTAAATGACTAGTATTATCAGACTAAATGACTAGTATTATCAGACTAAATGACTAGTATTAACAGACTAAATGACTAGTATAAACAGACTAAATGACAAGTATTATCAGACTAAATGACTAGTATTAACAGACTAAATGACTAGTATTATCAGACTAAATGACTAGTATTAACAGACTAAATGACTAGTATAAACAGACTAAATGACTAGTATTGACAGACTAAATGACTAGTATTATCAGACTAAATGACTAGTATTATCAGACTAAATGACTAGTATTAACAGACTAAATGACTAGTATAAACAGACTAAATGACTAGTATTATCAGACTAAATGACTAGTATTATCAGACTAAATGACTAGTATTAACAGACTAAATGACTAGTATAAACAGACTAAATGACTAGTATTAACAGACTAAATGACTAGTATTAACAGACTAAATGACTAGTATTAACAGACTAAATGACTAGTATTGACATACATGAAAGTAGAATTCTATAATCTCGGGAGAAATAAATACTTTTTTGAATGAGGAAATTGGTTTATACAGAATTTATTTTAGTTAGATTGCGTAGGAAGCTATACGCTTGTAGACACACTTTCGAATCCGTTCCTGGAACCAACCAGTACTGAGCAATGAGTGTAAAGTTTCTTGCTCGACGAAACAACGACTTGCCCCTGACGGGGTTTGAACCCATTAGATAACTAGTCCGACGCGTTTAACCACTCTGCCATGCCGCCACTCAATGAGGAAATGGGGAAATTAATGGATAACCTTTTCTTATATTCAAATTTTTCTTACAATATAATTATGCTAGTATTATTGTATGATCATATATCATGCATGTGCAATATAATATCATGTATAAGACCATAAAGAAGGAACATGATTATAAATGGCTTATTCCGTTAACAATTTAAACCTGAATAATATGGGAGAGAAACATATGTTTATTCGCACTTCATAAACTCTCATATTTTTATGATACCATTGTTCTTGAGTGATAAAATTTCTGCTGAAATGTAAATTGAATACATGGATTTCCTTTATAGAGATGTGTTGCACTTTATTATTGCTTATACGGTGCACGTAAGTGTATTTTCTTCTCATACGGAATACCATATTCTTTCTTTCCAATATATTTTTGATCGTGACTTTTGTTCGCTTAAAATGTAAATAAATTTAGACATATAATTTGCAATATTGTCATTTCTTCACCTTACTGAAGTATCGGGTTAAGTCATTCTAAAACTAATAGGTCTGGACTTATTCAGTTATTGCACTAAGGTGACGATTTGTTCCGTTTCTATTGCAAAACTTCTCTTTTGAATTGGCGTAATAATTACATATATAAACGAAAAATACGAACACGTTATTTTCATTCAAGAAATGTTTATTATCATATATGTAGTTTTTCGAGACGACCTTGTATATATTAAACAAAGAACTTTGAAATTCCGAAATAATTTATTTTTAAAACATCATTTGAAAGCCTCACAGTACTGTGTGAATAAGATTTTATATGTCTCACACGTAATGCAACTTGGTTTCCATATTTAATATGAATATTTCACTAAAATTAACCAGACCAATCCTTAAATATTTTTTTCAGGCAAAATACGTCACCGGGGGAACAACAGAAGGTAATCTCTTATTATATTTAAAACTAGATTTATATTGAAAAATCATAAATTTCTTCTTGAATAAGTTCCGGCATTGTCTAAATAATCACGGCTTTGAGTGATAACAATACGAATTTGCAGCAGTAAGTAGCTCGTGTAAGCGACTGTAAACCTATGTTTTGGTCAGCGATCGGTAGGAAGGTTAAGTTGATAGTTTTAAGCATAGGATTCAATAAGAAATGCTTATATTTACCAAGGATATCGTGATTTGTACACACGACATAGTGAAAATAAGATATGATGCGACGCAGAAGGTAAAATTTTCATTTAAAACTCCCCATGGGTTCAACTATAATAAAAAAAAAGTGGTTGCGCACTTGGTTCGAGTGAGCGCAATGGTTACAAACTTGACAAAATGGCTACCGAGTCCTGGATATTTATAACGCCCGAACGCATTGTCTCCATGAAATCGGTTTTGAATGTTACTTTGAAAATTTTTATATGAGCAATTCCTTTATGGCAATGTTTATGACACACTTGGTTCTACGTTTCAGCTTCCTAGCTTCTGATTTAACTTTCTGATTTAAAAAAGTTAATGGAGATATAAACTTGTCATGTACATATTTTGAGATTTGACTAGTCGGTTTTTTTCTACTTTTTTATTCACAAGTTCATCAAACAAGACATTTATATTTCTATCAATATGTTACCGTTTTAATTTGCATGTCCCAAATAACATTGAATAATGTTCCAATACACAGAAATAACTTGTTCTATTGCAGTTTGATTGCAAACTTGTACCCTATAAGTATAATTACTCTAATATTCTGAAACATTGAACGTTTAACGTTATAGAACTTTAAAATCAAACAATCACATCCAAATAAATAAAATTATTAAGTTTATTTCTAACTGACTTCATGGGATAAGAGCTATCAATAATGTTGTCACATCTTCAATCCTTCGGTATTTACATGTATACTTCACGAATATGTCAGTAAGTGAAATTGTATATAGTGAGTATATTTATACAATAAAATGTTATTAAACTTAACTAAACGAACATTCTTTTGTTTTTGTTTTGATAGGTTACGGTGATAGAAGCGATCTGGACCCTGACAACGATCCCGGAAACATTATTTTTTCTTTAGTTGTTCTGATAATACTTTTGTCGTGTATGTTTCTGATTGCTGTTCAGATACGACTTTCGGCGAATGATTAACTACCAACAATGACATATGATTAACTACCAACAATGACGTATACTTGACTACCAACAATGACAGTTGATTGACTACCAGCAATGACATATGATTAACTACCAACAACGACATATGATTGTCTACCAAGAATGCCATATGATCGACTACAGACAATGACATATGATTGACTACCAGCAATAACATATGATAAACTACCAACAATGACATGATAGAAATATTTCTAGATTCATGGTGGAATCATTTTCATAAAATGGTGTAACATACTTAAAGTCTCTATGATGAGCAACAGGAATTGCTTGGTCAATGTATAGATTATCAGCAGAAATGGTGACATGTTTTTGCATTCCTGTAGCTGTTGTTGGCGATAACAAATTATGCCATTGAAACGAAATGTGATAATTAATATTTTTATCAACGAATATTTGAAAACAAGACACTGCTTGTAGTATCAAATTTAAAGCGCTGGTCTTAGAGTTACTTGGAAGACATAACAAAAACCTTGTTACTGTGAAAGAAACCGGACGGTGCTGGGGTGTGTGAAATAAGTTGTGTTTAACTCTGCCGTCCCTGAGCATGCTGAACCAAACCGGACCTGCAACATTATTAAAATTTTGAGCTGCATTGGACTACTAGTTCATTTCATGCTTTTTTTTTACTGTTTTAGCTGTACATATTTTATATATTGATGTTAAAATAAATGAATAAAATGTATATGTTGCATGTCAAGATTCATTTGTTATCAACATTTTAAAGCTTCGTTTGACTTGAATGTTCTGTTCTTTTTAAAATGGAAGATATGTTGATTCGAAAAATTGATAAATTTAAAACCTTCAAATGAAGTATGTAATAAAGAAGTATCCTTTAAAGGTAATCACTAGTGGTTTATTAGAAATAACGCAGTTAAAGGTTCTCCGCTGGTCAAGAAGCATAAAACATAGAATTTGATTTTTGTCATAGATCAAGTGAAGTACTTGAAAAATCTGCAAGGAATAATAAATAAGAATACGCAGAATTGAATTGAAATGTCTTGGGACCCATCTAGCGGAAACCTTCAGAATTGCCTGAACTGAACCAAAGCTTAATTATACCCACTTCCCTAGCAACGCTTCGCAAGTCTCGCCTTCTATCGCACATGACCAGATCGTGCGCAACTTCGAAAGTTTCATCGTTGGTGGCCTCTTTTCAGGCCGCTTATCATCTCCAATGCTGTCCCTGCCCCTCGAAAATTCAGCAGCCCATTTTTTTCACAGTGCTTTAGGAAGGGGACTCCTTCCCAAGTGTATCCATGAAGTCCTCATGGATTTCCTTGGGGGCATCCCTTTTTTACAGAGGTACTTGATGACGGCTATGATTGCAACTGCCTCCATTTGTTCTAAATGACACACCCTTCTACTGATCAAAGTGTGTTTTATGTTACTTAATCTGTGTAAAACCGCGTGTAACTCGGTCAGTTATCTTCAATAAGATATCGGTATCGACGTATCGTGTGTAAATGTCGGTGTAGTGGCTCCGAGAACTTTTTGATCATACCTCGTATTCATCCTAACAGAACTTATTACTAATATTTTTTTTAAACTAAACTTGCAAACCGGGCCTCAGTTTTTACAAACCTTCCGGATATACAATCTTTGATAAATATATTCCCTTGGTTTATGCCAGAAATTGTTCTTCGTTATGTATTCAAATTATCAAGGCGTTACTTTATGTCTTTTACAGGTAATTGTTGTTAATCATCATGTTTCATTATCAGGTATCTTGCCACTGACCATTTATGTATATTGGCGCTGTATTTATGCACTTTGATAATTATATTTCCTTTGTTTACGCCAGATATTGTTCCTCGTTATCTAAATTAATAAGGCGTTTGGTTATTTACTTTACGGCAAAAACAACCATTCCTACATAGAAGGACAATTCTGCAGTAGAAACTCAATATTCTTACTGATAATGTATATTTCCGACACCATTAAACACCTTCCTAGATGTTTGTACCACTTACATAGGAAAAATAGAAATAGTGAAAAACAGAATCCTTAAAGAAAGCCCAAAACGACAAAATTGTAAAATGTTGCAGGCTCGGTTTGATTGAGCCTGTTCATGGACGGTACTGGAAAGTGCAAGTTACCGTCCACGCCCCTAGAAGTTGAGTCACAGCATGGTAGCCGCTGAACGAGATATTATCTGTTGCTGTAAACTGTGGACAGACAGATCATCTCACCGGATTGTTTACAAGATGAAACATCAAGATAAGCCTGATCTAAGGTGATCAATCATCTGGTATTGTGAGACAGAAAGTAAAGACCCAGTCAGCGTTAGGTTTGGCGAGTATTTGGAAAATAGCAGGTGCAAAAATGGGGAGGCGGGCAGGGGATGTACAGTCGGGTCATATTATTCAGTCAAAGCATCGCATATACATGTATTTTAAAAAGGTTTGGTTGCTGTGTAATAAAAAAGCCGTTAAAAAGTGACACTAGTTTAAGAAGATTAAAACAGGGTGTGAGGTCGAGGACTAGACTTTTGGCAACACCCCAGTATCTATAGCGTGGCTATGTTGCATGGTAAGTTAGTGTGTGGGAGGTATGAGTATTGTGATCAGAATTTTGAAAAATGTGTAACTTGTCTTAGTTTTTGGATTGTCTACAGCTATGAGATTGCATTTTTCTAGATTGGCCTGTTTTAAGGTGGTAAATTAATTAGTCAGATGGCTGTGGTAAATCTTATAGAACATGATGGACTGAAGACATATCTGCGATGCTCAAATGAGCGCCAAAAACTGTTTAGCGTGGAGGTTACACTTCCGGCTGGTATTTAAAACTTTCTTTTGACCCATATGACCGCCCAACTCTGGACTATCTTTACTTGATGGATGTTGTTGCGTAAGATCTTAAACCCATACTCGACCTGGGGTCGAACCGATGTTTTGTAGGCAATGTCTTTTTCATTGTTAATTTAAACTCTTAATGAAGCCTTTGGTCATATAACCGTTTGTTGAAATTCTTGAGAAGTGTTTAATTATTGCAAGAAATTTCAGACGAAAAGTTGAGTCCGAGGTATTTTGTAATTTGCAGATGGATCAGGGTCGAGAATTTGTCCGTGTAAAATGTTTTGGTATTTTTATTTTAATTTATCATTACGCGTTGGACGTCTCATGGCAGATTTCAATGAGTGTAAGATCCTCCTGGAGGGCTTGAGAATGCAAGAGTAGATTAATAAGATGGTACGTAAGTCTCATTCTTATTATGATTCAATGAATTATCTTTGCCAATTATAACACAGTTACAGACAGGCCAATGTATAGCTAAATACACCCTTTAAACCTTAAACTGCCTGACCGAAAATGATAACCTTTCCCTTAGAAAATTTAAAAACAACCAAGCCAGTCTGTATAACCCTGAAGTCTGAACAGGCTCTAATTTGTTGTCAGTTCAAATTTTGTTTTTGAAATGAAAATTCCGTAAACTTCTATTGGCATCAGACGAATTCAGCACGTTGTGTGTTAGCATATTTATACAATGTATTTATTTCAAATAATAGTCGTTTGTGTTTGATCAATATGAGTATTAATTACATCGGTCAAGTTTCGTACTTACAGATATGTATTATGTCTAGTGATATGCTCCATTGTCAAATGTAGGTGATTTGTTTTCAGCACTTACATAACTTTTGTAAGGTCATTAAATCTAATCCAATAAGGGTGAGGTTTAATGACCTTACAAAAGTAATATACGGGTGAAACTTTTATGAAATAAAGGAGAAAAAAAAGATATTATTTTACACCTGTCTCTATGGCGATTGCAGTATTAATACTGACATACGTACTTTATGCTGTTACTTCTGTCCTCTTCATATTCTTTTAATTTGACCGCATATACATTGTATAAAGTAAGCGCATATATATAAAGAAAGCACCAAATACATTTATAGAAAGTAATATAAGTAATTTTTTTCAACTTTGAATTGATTTTTTTCTCTCGGATTTTTACTTTCATGTTTAATGTATGTTACAGGGTGAGAAAATTGTGCAGTCTGATCAGGACTTGAAAACTGGACCCTTGGAATACCTTTTTCTTTCATTTTTTTTTCGTTACTAAGGTTTTTAAATCAGTATAAGAATCTAAGATGTATCATTAAATTGAGGAAAGGGTTACGATGTAATTTATTATTAGATGGTAAATAATGTTGAAGAAAGTATGTAAATACTTGGAACAATTCTCTTTTATTTCTCGTCTTAAACTTAATTACAATGTATAATAAAAATGTACACTCAGGATAGGCTCATTTTGAAACCAACAAGATCTTCTTTCTTGTAGAAAAAAAATGCAATAGCTCTTGCTTTGACACCAGAGTGTGCAAGAAAATTCGGCATAATTGTAGATTCAAAATATGACTTAAAAACTTAACTTTAACAATAAATTTAATCAATTTAAAACAAACAAACATGTAAAAATGCATTGAGAGCAAGCCAACCGTCATCAACTGGTAATATTTTCGTCTAAATAATTAATTGTTTCGAAACTGACCTTTGTAATAGCTTTTCTCCTGAATCCATCAGAAGAAATAATGACAATAATTACACAAAATTGTTTTGAATTTATATGCCTCTCAAAAAGAAACAAATGAAAAGAAATATTGATTATCATACTAGAAAATATTGGTGATTGAATAGGATTCACTGGCTACTGGTTGTTCAATAATTCATTTAAATCAATTTGGATCAAAAGAATATTTGATGAAAATGTTAATGGATGATTGAAAGGATAATTAGGGGAAATATACAAAAACTACGTGGAATCAATTGATTTAAAACAGATTTTAACACAACGAAAGACATACTCTATACAGTAATGATGAATTGAAACACATTAACAAAGAAAAAAAAGAAAGAAAAAATGGCTGTGAAGTTAAATAAATTTTTATATAAATTTTACAAAATCTATGATTGCATATCTTTTGGCAATATTCATATCATGGAGCTAAATATATATAGTGTTTAAATTATACTGTATATCTGTGTTCATATGCAGACATAATGGATACATAATTATACTAGCAAATTAAATATAAACTCCAGCCATTAATACTTAACCAAACAGATTTTAAAAAATGCCAGTAAATCTAACGTTAAATTTCGCGAATTTAATAAGAAAAAAGTTTCCTATACATATTGAAGTTTGCTTTAACTGGTTTTGTACATCTAAAACCTACAGTTTTGTTGAGGGGCGTGTTGTTCATCCGGATTACGGTATCGGTATTGTACGGTATTCGTAACGTGTTGCTAGGGCGTGAAGTCAAGCATGGCGTTATAAACAAGATGGCGGACGAATGGGACAGGTGCGCTCGTGTTTCAAACAACAAACCGATAATTTGCTAACATGAAAACTATGACGCTCAAACTGTGATATCATTTTCAAAGGATAAGTGGAATCAATACAATTAGTTTCATTTTGGAATATATACAAGAGTGTATTACGGTATGTTGACGTAAATTAGAGCAACAGCAAGGAATTTTATCAATTCATAAACACTAAAACAGTGTTAAAATAAGTTTGAAACTTTCACTTCTTCTTGATAATCATACAATGACAATGTCAGTTGTTGATTCCGATTATTTAATCAGATCATTAGATTCCCCAAAAATATTCCCTGTTTGCCAACACACCATTTCAGACCAAAGATTTTGCACAATTGTTGTTAATCTTAATCATGTTAATAATAATCATAGAAAATATTTAAAAAAATTTCGTGTTAGATATCCAAGAAATTGAAGGAAAAAAAACATTCTCTAGACTTTTTCTTACAACAATGAAATCTTTATACACATACATAAATATCTGTTTTCTATTGTATCATATCTTTAATAGTAAAACTCTGCTGAGGCTAACCTAACTTTGCTCCCAATTTCTAACTTTGTAACTTTTATGATCTTTGATGCAGTACCCAATTCCTAATGATCAAGAAAATACCCTCTGGAGGGGTTTACGACATTACATTAAGGACACTTTATAGAATGGACAAATGATAGAGAGCGACAGAAGGTTGAAAAATATTTGAACCTACATGTAGGACACATGACCAATTAATAAGGCGCATTATGTTTCGACATAGTGTCGCATAGATATGTCTCCTATCGTTATGAATTATCACTGTTCTATAAGTTTGCAGAAATATGAACATGAAACTATCTTTGAGTTTCAGGGTTTAAAATTCAATTATTTTTTCTTATTACTAACAGCTCACAAGGCTTTTGAACCACAGATTTTTTTAAGGATTTTGCGAACATGACCCATACCCATGGAATTGGGAATTTCAGCGGTGTTTTGTTAAAAATTGGGAAAAAATGCATGACTGAAATTTTACAATTATTAAATGGATGCAAACAATAACTGTCTAGGATGGCATCTACAAACATTTAAGCACTATTACAGTGAAGGAGCCCTTATACTTTCAAAGATTTTAGAATTTTTATTCAATATTTTTATTTTGTAACTTTCAATTGGGATTTTTTTCCTGTGGATTTGGAAAATAATATACTATTTTCAATTGAGAATATGACCCAATAACGGTTATAAAATAAGCAAAAAAAATTCCCTGTGAACATAGGACAGAGTCGATTCTTAGACACCAAGAGATAGCTCAAATCCAAAATTAAATAAATTAATACAATCATTCAATTGATTAACTTAGTTATGACTTTCCTGAGTAAGTTTTTTATTGTATTATTGAAATACATGTACACTGATTCAAGTTCAGTATCATACTGGTTTTCATTTTTGTTTCTCAATTTGAATTAGACTTCTTATTTAAAAATTGTAACTTAATAGATGTCTATATTTACAGTTAAAAACACACAATGGGTTCAGATTTATACTTCTTTGAGCAATGTGAGACTAGAAAAGTGGCAAGAAGGTACAGAAAACTTCCAGAGGACTTACCTGAAAGTCTGAGGTTTGCTCACTTGAATCCTAAAGTAGCCGCTCTTCTTGCTAGTAAAGAACGTGGTCAGAAAGTTGATAGCGAAGATCCATTTGGAGATGGGCTAGGCAAAAAAAGTCTTTTACCAGATATAAATGCTGCTTTCACAAATGTACGTAATCAGTTTGACAGTGCATTATCAAATGATGAAGATTCTCAAAGATTCTTATTTGAAGAAGCAAAACTTTCAGCCAGTGCTATTTTACGTCAGCTGGCTCAGATTATTTACTTTTATGAGGATTTGAATAAATTAATTCCAAAAAGTTTAGAATAAAATTTAAATTTTCAGGTATAAAAATTTACCAGGATATTTTTGTCGTCCCCAAAGGGGGAACCAGGAAATAAAAGGAACGTTTTTTGGGCGAGACAGCAGCAAGAGCTTAATGTGAACAGTGAAGAAGACTTCTCAGAAACTGAAATTAACGTTCTTACAGGACGGACAAAGTCACGTGTAGGCACTGAGAGGTCTGGAAGTGAATTTGAGAAAAAAATTAATGTAAAGAAACAGAAAGGAAAACTTGGAACAATTGATCAAGGTGATGATACAGAAAGTATAATGCCAAAGTCAGAATCTCGACAAGGTAAAAGGTCCGACAGTAGGATGTCAATTGGCTCACAATTTCGACCACAACTTGATACTATAAATTTGAGCAGAATGGCAAATCGACGAAAAGGGTCAAGTAAGTAGAAAATTATGTACAGTTTTATTTCTATTTAGATTTTGAGATTGTTTATGCTTTTCTATTTAGATTTTGAGATTGTTTATGCTGTTTATAGTATTAACTCAGTATGCTAAATGTTAATATGACTTTTAAGAAGTGGTTTTAAATGAATGAACTAGATAATTGATTAATAGATTAACCCTTGTACTGTTAAGTTTGTATAATTGATTTATCTTCCTATGAATTTTGCGTTAATGATTCCATTTTTAATTTTAAGGCGTTTTACACCAAAGTTGTCAGGGAAAAAAATTTTTAGAAAATGGGTTTCCGTTTTTGGGGTTCCTTGGTTTTGGTTTGGGGAAAATTTTTCCTATTCATAAAATTTTTTTTCTTTTTAAAAAGTTTAACTTGGGCCCAAAAACCCTTTTTGGGTAAAGCTTTCCCCGTAAACAATTCCTTTTCCTAAACCCCGGGGCCTTTTTATTAAATTTTCCAATTTTTTTTTTTTCAAACATTTGTTAGGCTTGTTTTTGGGGGTTTTTTTGGAAGGGGTTTCTTCAAAAAATAATAATTTCCAAGGGTTTTTTTTTTAAAAAAACCCAATTTTTAAACCTTAATTCCCCCACATCATTTACTTGAATTAAATTTTGAAATTTTTTTTTTTGGTAAATTTTTGGTGAATTTTTTTTTTAAGGTTGTTTAAAAAATTTAAAAACTTAAAAATTTAAGTTAAAAAAATTTTTAATTGTATTATATACTAATTTTATTATTATTATTTTTTAATTTTCACCTGAGATATTCTAAAGCAAAATTATTTGCTGGAAAAGATTACAGTAGAAATGTTATACAGTATTGATAGGGGCTAATGGTGCCATTTTTGTATAGAAAAGATTTGAGAGATATTAAAACGAATATTAAACTTAATATGCCCTTGATGCAGCAGCAAGCCTGCTGTTACTCATGTATTTGTTATTTTGTTACAATTTGGATTGTCTTTCTGTTTTAAAGAAATGAGTTTTGTGTTGGGAAGAACATCCCATTTAAGTAAGTTGCATGCACCAGCAGTTTTTCAAGTTTTCTTGTATGACAAGGTATTTTAACTAAGAGTTAGATTAAAATTATGCACTGGTAAAGGATCACAATGTACTGCATTTTTTTCTGTCTTTTTTCTTTTTTTTCCTGATTTGATTGCATGTTAGATAAGTTGACTGGTTAAATTAACAGATGATTTTGCCATTGTCTCAGGTATTATGCTGTAAGCCAATAAGAAATAATGTTTGTAAATCAGGCCTACATTATTCACAAATTAAAATAAGAGTAGGAACTTATTTTTTACCATGAATTTGGCTTGTTTTTAGAAGCCTAGAAGGGGAAATAAATTGTAATATATCAACTGATGCCAAATGGATTCCGACAATATTAGGATCTATGAAACTCTACCTTAAGTTTGATTTGGTATCAAAATAATTCGAGTTTAGAATGGAAAGAAGGTTACATTATTGAACTCTTTAGAACCAAATAATTCTTTATATTTTAATTTAATGTCTTAAAGTTAAGGCATTTGCAGACATTATTATGTCATTTATCAAATCATCTGATGTCATAATTATGTAAAGATAACAATATTTCCAATTGTGATATTATAGTATTGGACAACTTCTGTTAATGTCTGATAACTATCAAAATATTGTACCCCATACTAATCACATTTAAGGTATTTAAATCAAGGTGTAAAAATATATCTTTTGTTTGAATACCACAGCAAATTATTTGTGTTAATTTAGCATTTAGCAAGATTTTTGTTTGTTATGCAATCATATGGTATTTTTGAAATAATATGCTTTTCATAAACAGTAAACAAATTTGACTCATCAACAAGGAAAAGGCTGCTGGCCTAGAGGTCATTTGGTCTGTGGTGTTTAGTCCTTGATATTATTTAATGAAAAACATTAAATGGAACAATTAGTTATGCAAGAGAAAAAAGTAAACAACACTTCAGGGCCAGCAAAAAATGCTTTTAGAAATTAATTTAAAAAATGATTTTAACGTACTTGTCCATTTTATCTGAAGCAATTCTTTACTCGTCTGTATTAAGTCCAGTTGTCCGACCAGGCTGTGGGACAACCTGAGCAACACGGCCAATTGATTTTGCCGCCCCTGAACTTTGATTATATAGTAAGAAATGTTAAAAAAACTAGGTCTGACTTTTTAAACTAAACAAAAAAGGAAGATTAGCAAATATTTTGAGCTGTTAAAAGATTAAATTCAGACTTGATATTTACACTGATTTCTTCATTCAGTCCGAAAGCAAACATTGCAAATTGATTTTTCATATCAATATAAATAACAAACAGTTACTGATAGAGATATAGTCTGATAAAAAAAGTATGGAAAATCAACCTGTTATTCAGAAAGGTTAAAAGATTATGGTAAGTTTAAAGCACAAAAAGTGACCTAATCATTTTCATTTGTGCGTAAAGTAAAGAGGGTACTAAAGAGGGTATGACACAGTTATAGTACATAATTGATATAGAATTTTATTTCTTAAATGGACTTGTCCAGCTTTCATTTTTAGAACTGTCCATTATAGATTTTGGGGATGTCAAGATGTAAATTTGAAGTTTGTCAGCCAACAGTATAGAGCCTGGTCTGGCATTACTTATGTGCTGGCATTGTTGTCTGGGCAAAGGCTTTAAGCAAGTTTAGGGTGTTAAAGATACTCAAAAGATAGAGTATTAAATAAGTAAAAGTATTCATATCTAATTCATATTGTAATGACCCACTTGTTGGTGTTGGTGCCAGCATTGGTTAAACTCTTTGTTGAGTTCCATTTTCTCAGAAATTATAATATTTATTCACTTCAAACTTGATATACATGTTCATCGCATTAAAAGAACCTTATTTCAAAAGGCAGATAACCCTAATACTATTTTTTGAAAAGTTATGCCCCTTTCTATGTTGCTTTTATTTAACTATCCAGCACTCGTAGAAGAGTTGAGCAAGCTGCCCACAGACAAGTCTTGTTAAACCAATAAGATAAAAAGGACATTAAACGTTATTGTGCTGCAAGACCAGAATTCCTGTAGAGTAATAATCAACAAATAAGTCTCACGTAAAATTAAATTTATTTCAACATATGATAAGATGCACAGTTTAGTTTGTATTTTATTTGCTTGGAACAATAGCTTTATCTATAGAAAGAAGGCAGGTTCTGTATAGCAAGAAGAAAATATTGCATTGTACTATTGTACTCATTTTTCCCCATATCATCCAGATAAATTGTAGATACAAATTTATTTCTGTATAGGTTTCATCAATTTAATCTACATACTCAAATGTTATCTGATAAATGAACAGGGGACGTGGTAAATCACTACTATTTTGATATTAGACAAATTCAGGGCAAATACTTGAATCCGACTCTTAACTTTGATATGTTTAAATTAGGATTATTCAAGCACTTGTTATCGCCGCGTAACCAGGGTTCGACTTCCCGAGTTACCGACAGTACAACGCGTTCATTTAGAGTCGACTCTTCAAATGCATTAGCATTATCTACATTAAAAGTGTATTCTCCATTGTGTGAAAAATTAAACAAATGTTTGTCCCTTGTAAACAGTTTTGTTATCAGTCATTTGATATATAGATGCGTACTTTTGAACACTTGATTTCTATCTAGATCCCTTATCTGAATACACAGTTGGATTGAAAAAAAATAGCAGGATTTAAATTTATATGTTTGTTTATAATACTTGGTTGTTTCAAGTGGTGCACCTGCATGTAGAGGATCGGAAATGTAAAGTTTTGCGCTATCATTCTATGCATTTGTTATCCACACATTTGTAGGCCTCTGTATGTTGTATCCCAGTTACCACGTGCATTCCTTTACATTAAGATGTTTTAATGCATAGACCTGATATTGTTTGAACTTAACATGGTAGAAATCTAATTTGAAGACATTGAGAATAAACAAATTTATTATTTTTGTGAACATCATCCGAAATAGGTTTAGCAGTATAAAAGTTTCTTAACATTTAGAATTAAAATTTGGGGTACAGTTAAGTTACCATGCTGTCTTAAGTTAATTATCTTAAATGAAAAAAAACAACAGTTGATGACATTAACAATATAAACCAGAATGGCCATGGATTTTGTTCAAAGAGTTAGGAAAAAATACAACAGAGTTACCCAATCATATAAGCTATAAAAGCTGCTAAAATATGACTTTGTTGAACAAAGAGTCCATACTCTCAGCGCCTGAAAGGGTGGATGAACCCTCATTAAGCCTATAGATTACACATTTTGTTGCCTCAATTAAGGCTCATTAATGTCCTCATTAAGCTAGTTTCACAAGTTGGAAGTGTGTTCAGTAACTGAGCCTAATCTGTTGTAAATATCAGTTTTAGACCACACTTACACCTGAGATGGTAGCACAGTGGATAAGTGTCAGTTTTGCATAATTACACTAACAGAGGCCATAGGTTTGAGTTCACCTGAATCATTAAAGATGTTATTCTACATTTTCAAACCCCTGTTTCTATGTAAATATCAAGATACAAAATTAGTTCTTCATTTATACTTTTTTTTTATCTTGTTGAAATATTTCAGATATTGTATGCTTTTCTGGTGTGTTATTTTTAGATATTGTATAATATTGTCTTCTGTAATTTTAGGTATTGCAGGCTCTTATCGAAGCAGTAAGTTAAATATATATCAGGGTCTCAAAGTCTTACAATACTGTTAACTTATTTAATCATTTTAATTATAATATTAATAACCGTATATGCTCATCTTTAGTTATATTTATTCTCTTCTCACTTTTAGACATGTATGCATAAATTAATTTCAAAAAAAGAGGTTGAAATTATTCATATCAAATGCCTTGAAACTTGAAAATGCATCGGTTTTATCCTTTGAAACACCAGCTGATTTAAAATCACCTTTGTGTTTTGTTAATTTGGATTAATTTTACTTGCGATTAAACGATCAGAAACCAATGCAGTGTATCAAAACATGTTTTCGCTTTAATATTAGCTTAATCAGCTGATAAGTCAAAAAATGTTCAAAGGTGAGGCCATTGCATTACATCAAAGTATGATCAAGGCAAGGAACTCAGAAGGACAAAGTATCTTTTCCTACTATTAAAATTAATATATTAAGTTATTAACCATTTTAATGTAATCATGAGTAATTAACATTAAATAGACTAGGAAATGCTAAAAAAGTAAAAATAAGAGTCTAAATATACTGTATGGTGGTGCTTTAGGTAAAATAAAATTATGTTTCTGGACACAACCCCCACCCTCCCTAAAAAAAACCAACCACCCTAAAAAAACACCTACCCTAGAAAACGTGCCTTTCTATGTTTATTACTTGGAATACAATGAGAAAGATTATACCGGTATATAAACTGCAAACATTTACTTAAATGTCGTGTATAAAATTGGTAGAATTACAGGACTTGTAAAGTCTTGTTTCTTGCACTCTATCTCTGCTCTAAGTGTCTATCAAGACAGACATGTAAGCAATTATTTGGCTAGCTTATAGAAGGCTGATGATTTGTATCTATAAGATACTGGTGTATTCTTGTTTCTTAAGAAATACTCAAAAGGTCACCTATGCACCAGAGTGCCCAACTGTCCAACCCATCTCAATAATATAACCAAATTGCCTTATAGGCACATTATGCCTCAGAAACTGATCATTTTTCCTTTCTTTAAAAAGAGAAAACATGAGTTATTAAACATTTATATATTGGTTTTAAAGCATGTTAGATGCTTGTTACCTGAAGAAATATTAGCCATGAATATGAAAAAACATAGCAAAATGTAAAGAAATAAGTATTTTGACTTCCATACTAAATCACTATAATTGTACTTATTGTTAAAAAGCATAGAAGCAAAAAAATGGTTCAGGTAATTTGCCAATGAGTATCTTTTGTGGCACTATTACAGAACACAAAATTCAGATAAAATAATTAAAAGAATTTGATTTTTCTGAGGTATATTGGGCCATTAACAATAGTCTATGAGAATTAAAACCAAATATATCATTAATAATTTACATACATATTAACTTTATTAATATAATGATTTTCACATTTTTTGATAAAATTAATGTGTTATTACAGTCAAACCTGAGAATTAAGACCATCCAAAGAGAGACTATACACAGGCTTTATAGAAAAGTGATCTGTATGCGAAGTTAACTCTGTTGTATTTTTTTCAAGGAAAGGTTGTCTTTGTTCAGGGATGGTCTTCTACACAGGTTTGACTGTATCATACCTTTAATTCTTGTACATGGTGGTAATATTTCAACCTCTTTGATCTATAATTGAAATATCTTTTGCAAATCTTTCTAATGTACTCATCAAAGGACTACACCACCTTCGGTGCTATTTTTTGTTGTAATATATTTGATGTGGAAATGGAATGAAGGCGAAATCTTATTTGCTTTGTAATTTTTAGTTTAAATATCTTAAACTAGGGCTAAGAGGTTAATTCAAATTTAAGATAGTATGGTGGAGGTTTTTTCCACTTTTAAAGTTTTAGTTTTATAAAAAAAATAAAAATTAGGAAGCAGGCCTATGTCAGTTATTGTTCTGAAAAACTGGTTCCGATATCAGTCTTTGTTTATCAATAAAATAAAAAATATGATGGAGAACTATAATAATGCTTCATTCATATTTGTCTTATACAATGTATGTTAATTAATACCTTATTTAAAACTTATATTAAAAAGTCACTGAATTTTTGTTATATAGCAAATTATCATACAGTCACACCAATATCTCCTTATGTGCATTGGTAAACTGCTACAAGGCAGAAAATTCTCTTTGCAATGGAAACGTTCCATTCCCAAAACTTAATATGTAGGATATGATAAAATGCCAAATGGCAATGAAAATATTTTTCAGTTATTATATAAAAAATGTGAATCTTTGCAAAATTCAAATGAAAGTGGCATAGATAAATAAATTTATGGTTATCAGATAATTTTGATACATGATTTATTTTGAATAGCTTTTCATCACCAATTATATGCAAATAACACAATTTTTAAAATAAGAAAGGGAGTTTTTTTTAAAAATCAACTTTGAATGAATGTTTATGATTTTAAAACTTGAATAAATTAAAAGATTTGCCTAATGTTAATTTGAACTTTCTTTGAGGTCTGACTGTATTGGTTTTCAGTATTTTAATAATGCAGTTTCTTACTATAAATTTTCTTATGTTTGTCACCAAATTAAAATTTAGCTAAGTAGTGAAAAATTTGCAATGGCATTTTGTAATACACCTATAAGACAGGTGGTATTGTATGACAGTTTAAAAAGAAGAGGAAAACCCCGTCTTATAACTGAGTAAATATGGAAAAATGTCATGAATTTTGATTTGGAAATTTTTATTTACAATTATCAATTATATATATTTACTGTAGGTAATGTACAGGGTAAGACAATATGCACATAGCTTAACAACCTGGTTTTAACACTGACTCTCTTAGATTGTGAGTTTGTTTTTTTAGCTGTAATGCATCGCATCTAGTGATCAGCACCTTCATTATGCTTCTCATTGGATATTGAGTAGAATTTAAACAACACTTTTATAGCTCGGATGAATTTCCAAAGTTATACAATCATGCTTTGTCTGAAATGGTCCCAATTTAAACAATTTTGTCTGTTTTTAAAGCCTGAAAGCTTTTACATACCAGTATGAATACAGTCCGAAGAAATATCACAAAAACAAAATTAATCAGAATGCTAAGAATTTAGTTCCAAAAGAAATGTTCAGAGCCATTTTTTAAAATGCTCATTAACAACAAAAGCTGCTGCTAAGTTTTAGGCTTGATTTTTTTGTTTCCATTTTGTAATGTCGTTAACACTTCAGTCTTAACATTTATACAGTGTTAAAAGAAAAAGAAGAAAAAAAATCTTAATCAATTTCAATAAAATACATTTTATGTAAAAAAAAATTATTTTTTTTCAGAAGTTTGTGTATTCAGAATTTTTTCAATAAATCATCAGTCTAAAAGAATATTTAATAGAAATAAAATTCAGCCATTTACAGGAAAAGAAAGATAATACATGTATATAGAGTCTCAATTGAGTCAAATATATACCAAGAATTCTTGGTTTTTGTTGTATTTTTTTTTTGGTCAAAAAACAAATTTTAACCAAGCATTTTACGCATGTCCTAATGCAAATGCAATTTAAATAACAACAATAGTTTTCAGCTGTGTAAGAGAAATTGTTTCTAAAAATTGCAATTTTTTTAGTGGGTCTTTTTTACTATTTTAGATATTACTAAAACATCTGTAGTTTTTCAAGGTAGATACTTAATATAACACTTTGTTATCTTAAAAATGAATATAGAGAGAGATTTCAGACAGGTAAATTATATATTGATGGATTGGTGCAATCGGATGTAACTCCTTCATAATGTAATGTTTGATACAGCTATTTTGCACGAAACCCTTGATATGGTAATAATTGATCTGTTGGATGTGTTTCTTACTACATGTAAATAAAAACTTTACTGTATGTCAATGTTGCAACCCACGGGTACCTATCTACCTAACTTCATTCAACACGAAGCCCTGGGTTACGGAGGATGTGTTAATTAATAAGGCATCTTGCTATCATAGCGTCACTATATAACTTTTATGAAATATTACTTTTATAATAAACGAAAATTACTCAATATTAGCATGCCACCCATGTAGTTGTTGTATTTTTCTTTCACCTGTAGTAATTTTTTTTAATTGCATACTATATCAAATCTGCATGTAGCTTTGTGTAGTGTTTTATAATTTTGTTGCTTAGTTAACTTAGCTGGCTTTCAGTACCAGTTGTTGTGTTTTTGCTGCACGTTTAGTTGGTATGTTTTTTTGCTGTGTTTATTTACAGTTGGCGAATCGCCTATTATGAGAAACCGACGGAGGGACGACGTTTTTTCGCAATTAGGTGAATCACAGTCTGAACCACGATGTGAGTTTTTGGGTTTAAAATAACTGCAATAAACAGATTTTGGTACCCTGGTTATAATAATTGTCTACTATATTTTATACTGTATATTAATGTTTAACACCTTCTGTAATTAAATCTATAACAAAATTTTTCATATTTATTTGACATATATAATTTATTTATCCCATGAGGGTTGGTTACCAGGTAGATTTGCAGACAGTGACTGTACATATGATTATAAACATTACAGGCTCACATTTTATAGCTTCGCCTCACAGAGATATAGTATAGTAACTGTTTTATTGGGGGTAACTGTTTATCTGGGGTAACTGTTTATCTGGGGGGGGGGGGTAGTAACTGTTTATCGTGGTAATGAGGCTCTGCAGAGTTTCCGCTAAACAGTTACCTGAGAGCTAAATATTCCAATCTGTGACAACAGTTTGATTCTTTTTCTTGCATATTAAATATGAGTCATATTTCAGGAAGAAATTACAAAAACTATCATTTTCATGCAGCACTTTTTTTAACCTTCGAACAGTTCATTCCTAAAAGGCGTGTAGGAATGACATCATTTGAAGAACCCGATCTGTCTTAAATGTGGTTTTCTAACACCGATATTAACAGTACATAATTCTTGATATGCAAGAAAAATTACCCTTATTAAAATTTGGCTGAATTACTTTTACAGACTTTGTCATAAGCAGTTTATTTTTTTTTCTAATCCAAAACAATAACCTTTACATACTATGTTTTCCCACCAGAGACTTATTATAAGATACAGATGCATATTTCCTTTAGTTTAATATTGACTCTTCGTTTTACCTTTAATATTTTCCCAGGAAAAGAATAATGGATTTATTTTGATATATCGATGTTTGAAAATAATTACATAATGGTACCACATAACAAATTATGGGGGTTTTCAATAGATGTCTAGCAGTTGAAGTTATAGATTTTCAATAATTCATCAACAAATTCCTTTCTAATCTAAATAACATTAATTTTCCATTATGCTTAACCCACCCGTAATCAGTCGAGTGTTAATTGATTTTTGAATCTATTAAAAGCACGCAGTTTATAGAAGTTTGTTATGTATTTCTTACAAATCGTTACAAAACATGGCGGTACTAGTAGTAGTATAAGTGGCGTAAGCTACTTTAGAAGATTAATTAGAATTTTAGCTTTTAATTTAGAATTAATCTTTCTGCAATTTTAATGACATTTTAAACAGTGTAAACCTAAACTATAGTACTTTTAATAATAAGTCCTTTATAGTTTGTTTGGGAATAAGGCAAAAAAAAATATATTATTAACATTAGTCACTGTAAGTTCTTTCACCTTTTTAACAGTTGTGAAAATGTTTTCCAACATACTCACGTTTTTTTCCAGCTTTTTAAGGGGCGATAATGTCTAGGTTAGAGGGCTGCAGAAGCTGACATTTATTCTGTTATATAACCCTTACCATAAGTTTTGTATTATTTCATATGTGAAATAGTCACCGAGACTTCATGGCTTGACAATTAATTAGTGGACTTGCAAATCAAACTTAAAGTGACATTTAGCATATACAAATTACACAAACATAGGTTTAGAAAATATAACAGATAATAAAATTTTCCTTTAATGACATTATTATCAATTTTTTGACAATTTTTCAAGATGTAAATTTGATTGTCAAGTCATTAAAAGCTGTACCCTGCTAGTTAGATTTGAGCAAGTGCCTTGTCATCAGTTTGAAATAGCTGATGGAGAGAGACCTGGGTTCTATGCCCTGACTCCCCCACCTTTCCCTATCCTGTCCCAACCATTTAAACCAAGTAAGTCACAATACAATGTTTTAACCTTTTTTGGTACAAGTTCAACTTCATTCAGTTTGTAAATTTCTTGGTAAAAGTTGGAAAATTTAGTAACATATAATTATATAGTAAGACTTCGATTTTGGCAGTAAATAGACTATTTATGCCATTGAAAAATGTTAAATTCATGGGACTTATCTTAAACAGGAATAAACCATTAAAATGATGATATGAGCCGCATCACGACAAAACCAACATAGTGCGTCTGCGACCAGCATGGATCCAGACAAGCCTGCGCATCTGATCAGGATCCATGCTGTTCGCTATCAGTTTCTGTACTTGCTATAGGGTTTGTATGCGAACAGCATGGATCCTGATCAGACTGCGCGGATGCGCAGGCTGGTCTGGATCCATGCTGGTCGCAAACCCATTATGTTGGTTTTGTTGTGACGCGGCTCATATTATGTAATAGATTTGCCCAGCTTTCAATTTGGAACAGGTAGTTCAAAGATTAAAATAATTCAAAGTACAAAAATTAAGTATAGAGTATAGAACCCATTGTCATGTGCGGATATACAGTCTGGCCTGGCAAAGGGTAACCATTTTCACTTCCAGCAGGTTTTTGGGTAAGAACCCTACAAATTGACAAGGTCTGTTTCTGTGTATGTTTTTTGCCAACAAAATAAGTGGAGAAATTAAATATCAGAATATGTGATTTTATTCACTAATATATTTTTAGCACTTTCTACTTTGATTATGCAACAATGTGAAAGTAGTGTAAATTGGACCAAATGGACGAGAGGAAAAGGTTATATAATATGAAAAGTTTGAAGTTCAAAGTTTTTCTACAATTATCAGTTTATTTATTATTCAATCATTACATATACAAATATTACAAATTTACAGAACATTTGTTCACTCCAAATATTACAAAGTTACAGATCATTTGCTCACCCCAAATATTGCAAAGTGACAGATCATTTGCTCACTCCAAATATTACAAAGTTACAGATCATTTGCTAACTCCAAATATTACAAAGTGACAGATCATTTGCTCACTCAAAATATTACAAAGTTACAGATCATTTGTTCACTTCAAATATTACAAAGTTACAGATCATTTGCTCACTCCAAATATTACAAAGTGACAGATCAATCGCTCACTCCAAATATTACAAAGTTACAGATCCAAATATTACAAAGTTACAGATCATTTGTTAACTCCAAATATTACAAAGTGACAGATCAATCGCTCACTCCAAATATTACAAAAGTTACAGATCATTTGCTCACTCCAAATATTACAAAAATACAGATCATTTGTTCACTTCAAATATTACAAAGTTACAGATCATTTGCTCACTCCAAATATTACAAAAATACAGATCATTTGTTCACTTCAAATATTACAAAGTTACAGATTATTTGCTCACCCCAAATATTACAAAGTAACAGATCATTTGCTCACTTTAAATATTACAAAGTTACAGATCATTTGCTCACTCCAAATATTACAAAGTAACAGATCATTTGCTCACTCCAAATATTACAAAGTTACAGATCATTTGTTCACTCCAAATATTACAAAGTTACAGATCATTTGTTCACTTCAAATATTACAAAGTTACAGATTATTTGCTCACCCCAAATATTACAAAGTAACAGATCATTTGCTCACTTCAAATATTACAAAGTTACAGATCATTTGCTCACTCCAAATATTACAAAGTAACAGATCATTTGCTCACTCCAAATATTACAAAGTTACAGATCATTTGTTCACTCCAAATATTACAAAGTGACAGATCAATCGCTCACTCCAAATATTACAAAGTTACAGATCCAAATATTACAAAGTTACAGATCATTTGTTAACTCCAAATATTACAAAGTGACAGATCAATCGCTCACTCCAAATATTACAAAGTTACAGATCATTTGCTCACTCCAAATATTACAAAAATACAGATCATTTGTTCACTTCAAATATTACAAAGTTACAGATCATTTGCTCACTCCAAATATTACAAAAATACAGATCATTTGTTCACTTCAAATATTACAAAGTTACAGATTATTTGCTCACCCCAAATATTACAAAGTAACAGATCATTTGCTCACTTTAAATATTACAAAGTTACAGATCATTTGCTCACTCCAAATATTACAAAGTAACAGATCATTTGCTCACTCCAAATATTACAAAGTTACAGATCATTTGTTCACTCCAAATATTACAAAGTTACAGATCATTTGTTCACTTCAAATATTACAAAGTTACAGATTATTTGCTCACCCCAAATATTACAAAGTAACAGATCATTTGCTCACTTCAAATATTACAAAGTTACAGATCATTTGCTCACTCCAAATATTACAAAGTAACAGATCATTTGCTCACTCCAAATATTACAAAGTTACAGATCATTTGTTCACTCCAAATATTACAAAGTTACAGATCATTTGTTCACTTCAAATATTATAAAGTTACAGATCATTTGTTCACTCCAAATATTACAAAGTTACAGATCATTTGCTCACTCCAAATATTACAAAGTTACAGATCATTTGTTCACTCCAAATATTACAAAGTTACAGATCATTTGCTCACCCCAACTATTATAAAGTTACAGATCATTTGTTCACTCCAAATATTACAAAAATACAGATCATTTGCTCACTAACTCAAAGAATAATCATTTTTAGCTTGTATAATGACCCAAAAATGAAAAGTGTATAAATGCTTTTAATCCAGCCAAGAATCACAAAGAAAATCAATTTTAGAATTTATTTCTGAGTATATTTCTTTAACATCTTTTTTATATATTTTTCTGTTTTCTGTCCTAGTTAATCTACGTAAGAATTTCAGATTTTACATTTTTAGGCTTTTCAACATCAATGGAGCTGCTGTTACTTGTTGAAATGTTCTTTATAGTTAAATGTTGGGAAATTTTTATAATGTTTTCTGGTTTTAAGCTTACTTTTTGTAGCAAATTGATTCTTTGTATAGGTACAATGTAATATAAATGCATGAACAAGCTATCTATCTAGTTTAAAATAGATTTAGTATGATACTAATTGAAATATTTGATAAATAATTTTTCAAAGTAATTTAGTTTTTCTTAATATTTAACTGTGCTTAAAGTTATCAGATATTAAATGTGTTAAAGAATCCAGAGACTTTTATTATTTGTAATATAAAGCTCCATACAGAAATGTAATTTTGATCTCTATATATTTTAGTAACATAATTTTATTTTTAAATCTTTTAATCTGATGATCTTTTACTTTATATTGTTTAATAGCTGTATCCTGTAATTTTTATTATCTTGATTTATTATTATTATTATTATTTTTGATATTTCAGCAACTATGGCAAACCCTTTGTCCTACATGCAAACTATTAACTTCCAGCTCTCAAACACTGCTTTTGAAGATAAAGGTTAGTAGGAATGATACACCTTACCACACTAAATACCTTAAATTGACTTGTCTATCTTTCAATCTGGACAAAACCATTCATTATTTTATAGGGAAAACTTTAAATAATAAATATCAACTTTAAAAATGGATATTGATTGAGTAGCAAACAGTGCAGACCATGGTCTGACTGCATGGATGTGCCAGGGGATCTTGATCTGCACTGGCCATGTATATAGAATCAGCTACTGTTTTTAGGGTTTATTAATTGTTTTTCTGTCTCAGAGTCATCATGTGATGGTAATTAATCAAGAATTCTTTAATTATAAATTATTCTCTACACCTAAAATAAATAATGATAATTATAACCTTGATTGACTTGATGAGGCCTTAACTTAAAATATATCTTTGTTGGAAAATTATACTGCAGGATGGATAATGCTTAAAGGCCGACAAGAAGAAGTGGATCAAAGTCAGATTTTAGAATATTGTGTTCAACGTCTACAAGAATCTTTAAAATCAATGTAAGTTTTCAATAATTTCCCTTCAAAAATGTAAGTGTTCAGTAATTTCCCTTCAAATATGTAAGTGTTCAATAATTTCCCTTCAAAAATGTAAGTGTTCTGTAATTTCCCTTTAAATATGTAAGTGTTCAATAATTTCCCTTCAAATATGTAAGTGTTCAATAATTTCCTTTCAAAAATGTAAGTGTTCAGTAATTTCCCTTCAAATATGTAAGTGTTCAATAATTCACCTTCAAAAATGTAAGTGTTCAATAATTTTGCTTCAAATAGGTAAGTGTTCAATAATTTTGCTTCAAATAGGTAAGTGTTCAATAATTTCCCTTCAAAAAAGTATGTGTTTAATAATTTTCCTTCAAAAGCCCTTAAAAGCACACCTCATCATGCATCGGAATGTCTCTAAATATGACTTTTTATGATATGAAAGTATTTTAGCATATAAATACATGTAAAATCTTTTTCAATGCTTAGTCAATATTCTCATTATTATAAATCTTTTAAAAGCAAGTTAGTAGTTTAAAATATTGCCATTGAATGGACTGACACACAAGGTAAAATTTCCTATAGGAGATAGTTACGAGTCAATCATACAGTAACATTGGCTCTTTCCAGGTACTTCCCATTTTGTCTTGTTACCTTAAATAATCTATGGATTACCATATGAGATGTCTTTTGTCAATACCTTACTGCCTCAATCCATTATAATTGTAACTTAACCTTTACAACGCCAAACATCTGAAATGGATTTGCCCTTTCTTTCAATCTGGCAAAACCATTCATCATATTTAGAGAAAATTACAAAATATGTACTGACTGAATAGTGAACCATACAGATGCTGATCAGATGGCATGAATTTGCCAGCTGATCATGGTTTGCACTGGCCACAAATTGTCGCCAGTAGGCAGAGAGTTACAAAAAAATATTTTTACTACAATGTATGTTAATTTTTTAAAAAAAAATAACAAAAGTGCTTTTAATTGTTTAAAAATATATACAAGTGAAAAATAAAATAATTTTGAATTAATATAAGATGTTTTGAAAATGTGACACAATTTGCCTAAGAAAAAAATAGCTTATTCTCTTTTAGTAACAGGGTAGAGATAACTAGATTAAAAAAAATATAAATTTACAGTCAAATTTTTCATAGCATGTAAAACATTGTTTGTACATGTATTTATAAATTTCTCATATTCAAAATTTGTTCTCTTAAAATTTTAACCATTGAAACTAATACGAGGGGTTATCCAAAGATTCATGGACTTTGTTGCGTAAAAAATATTTGAGATATTGATTTTAAATTCCTACACTGCTTAGAAAAATAAATAACCAATAAACACAGAAAAATTCATGTAAGTAGCTTCTTATATTACAACAATATTTAATTTTACATAAACACATATCGGCGACAGCAGGGCACTCCAAAAAGTTATTGACGTCAACATCATGATAACGTACAACTTGTGTTTCAACGTTACGAAGTCAATGACCGTTACTTCTTTTTAAAGTAATGTCCGTTTTCCGTCAAACACAATATCTCTTATGCCACTTAAACACTAATTATCTTGAAATTTTACTTTCTCTGTTTGACTGCTAATTTTTTTCAAACGTTTTTACAGTTGTCATTCCGAAATTACAACAAAATTTTATGATTGCACAATTTTCTAATTTCTGCGTGTCCGTCATTTTCGTGTTGTAAACAGTATCAGTGTCTGGCGTTTCTAGCGATATCAACAAAAATAAATGGAAATGACGTCCATAATTTTAAAGACTTACTCAAATGATGTCATAGAAGAAACATGCGATGTTTAGCGGGTTTTCTACGTTAGTTATTAGTTTTTTAGCAAAAAATATACAATGACTAACTGCGGTTTTCTACAGTGTGCTGTGCATATTTAAAAGTAATATAAAATCATTAATTATTGATGCAGTTAACTGTTCCTTTCAAAATGTGTTGATACTATTCTACAATGTACGCTAATAAAATTTTATTACAATACACGTTGATGTTCAAGAGATATTTAAAAAGTCCACAAATTTTTGGATAACCCCTCGTATATAGTAATTGTTTGCTCACCTGGAGGCATGCAGATTTAAAACCTAACAAAGTATGATATATAAAGTAGATGATATTGTAAATATATTTTCAGGACTGCCCAAGCAACAAAGGAGGTAGATCAAGGCTATGACAAGCCTGTGATTGTACGATATTACGGTGATGCCAAGAAGGAAACCTTGCTCAAATATAGAAAATCTCCTAAAATGACTCCCATTCAAGGCAATAAACCAAATAAACCAAAAATACCTAGTATTATAGATGAGAAAAATGAAGGAAAGAAACTCATGCAAACTTCACATATAGATGGCAGCACTGTTATATAGTATCCTTTTATGTAGTACTATAATCTGTTTCCCAGCCAGCATTGCAATATTGGTCCCATGTTTCCTTGCCAGAGAAGCTTAGAGAATGTTTTAATATTCAAGTTTGTTTTTTCTTCTCAGTTGATTAGATTGGTGATCTAAAAATAGATGTATTCAAAGAAAAATTACTGTTCATTATAAAAAAGTACTCAGTTAAATTATTGGAATTTTTATGTGTTTTCCAGCTATCATAATTGTTTTAAACTTCTTTAACAACATGCAGTTACCCCTCAGGGCGTCCAGCTGTGATTTATAGCGCCGCAGGATTTGGCCGACCAGGATTCTACACCATCGTTTATGAAGATGGTATTGACTCCCGTATGTTGGCATGTTTTACACCAAGTGGGCGTGGTGTCTGTTACTATGACAATGGTGTTGTCAGGTAGATTATCCAATCAGTTGAACTCTTTCATTGTTATTTATAGAAGCTCAAAAATTATATTTCACCATCCAATTATGAATCGTCAAATCATTCAGAGATGTAGATATGTCTCTGAATCATTGCAATGAAATTACAAGACATATTTAGCTTGACTATTCAAAGAATACAGAGAGTGTACACAAGCAGACGTTGGCATTGGTGTCTGCATCACACTTTTATTAAGTTTTTATCAAGCAAGTTGGTATCTTTAATACTGCAAAAGGGAATTGCTTGAAGCTTCACATTTTTATTGGAGAGTTTAATAGGTCACTGTCCAAGGTTCATAACTCTAACATGGATTATGACAGAAATATGACCCTTTTGAACTTTAAAAATTCTGAATTACCCAGGTTCTTGTTTAACTAATAGTGGAGCACTCTGTCCTGTTGCTCTTGTTTTTTAGATTATATATTTTTAAGCCATGCATTTTTTTTGTCAAGAAATCCAGCTACCCTTTTAAATAAAGAAAATAAAATGTTTTTTGTCACAAATACTAAGAAATTCATTCCAGTCTCTCATGCTGGGTAAATTAACCTTTACTTATATTGTTTGTGCTGTTGTTTTTTTCATATATATCATCCATATACTTTTGTTTTTCATTTAGGTTTTTATCAACAGAGAAAGGTGGTCATTTAACTGAGAACAATGGAAAACTTGTTAGAAAATGGAAGTGGCCACAGGCAAATGTAAAAATCACAGAACCTATAAGTTTTCAGGTGAGTGTTTGTAATAATAAGAATGAAGATATCTTATTATGCCTCATAATTGCGAGCCCAATAAATTCATGCCTGTCCAAAACTCAAATTAGCTTACCCTTAAAGTTTGTAAAATTCTTTACCTATGTTACCTATGTGTTTTTATTCTGTTAACTTCAATGGAAGAAATTTTTGGTCCTGACAAATTCAAACATACTATTTAAGCTTTTTCTAAACAGACTATCATTCTTCAAAATGTAAGAACTTTTAAAAGCTGTCATTTCTATGGGAGAAAAACATGGCACGAAAAGAACACTTGTTTCAAAAAACATTTGGGATATTATCATTACAAATAGACCTCATAAAATGTTAAATGACATTAATTTCATTGTCTTGATTTACAATTTTTTTTTTTTTTTCAGGTTAATAGTCACATTATATTCCGCTGTGTTGGCCAAACCCAGATGACTATAGTGTTCAACTGCCAGCGTGAAACATCACGGTTTAGCGTAGGACTCATGCCAGAGGCAGACGAGTATAAACCTATTGAGGAAACAGTAAGATAAAATAATTATATTGTCATTAAAAATCATAACTTATTACCTTGCAACTTGCATATATTTGTGTAATATTTAAAAATCAAAGAGCAGTTATAGAATTTATGAATAAACAAAGAAAAAATATTCTATTTTGTATACCAATGATAACATTTTATTCCATTTTCTGAAGCAATCAAACAAATGTTTTATACATTTTTCTGGACAGAAAACAAATATTCTATACATATTTGCAGTTTCCCCAATTTCAAAATTATTTATTTTAAAGGCCCCCAAAAACAAATTTCTATACCCAAATTTTGTGTTTAGCAATTTACAAATATTTTACTTTTTTTCAACCAAAAGGGCAAATTTTTGAACGCAATTTTAGGGCCCAAAAACAAAATTTTTTTCAAATTTTTTAAAGGGCCAATTTTCTAACAGCATTCACTTTCTCCTCCAAAGCAGCCAAAGATTTGATGCGTATTTTTGCACCTAGTAAAAAGATGAAGAAAAGGGCAAGAAAGGTAAATCTGAGTTTAACATTATCTTTAAATCATGTAATGGTTACTCCTAAATTACAGTTTTCTAACCTCCGATCACTTGCCCCTGTTCACAGTGTGTTTGAATTCTGTTAGAGACTTGGGAGTTTTTCATATCTGGAAGCATCCCAAATCAATTTTCAAAAAGGTTTTTTTCATTTTACCTTTGGGTTTCCTGCTGATTTCCCGAAATAATTTCACAGAAATGGATCTTAGTTCCCCCTTGGTTTAAAGAAAAACTGGAAATATGCCAGTTGACCTTTATATTGACCTAAAAACAAAAAACAAAAACAGGAAAACAACAAAAATGAATCAAACATTGAGATCTAATATATAATTTTATGCTCCTCATTACATGGTAGTGGGCGGGGATTGGGAATATAGGTTTGCCCTTGTGAGTCTGTCAGTATGCTGTCCATCCATAGACTGACAAAATCGTGGAATGTGGAGGAATCCATGTGGCATTGACACATTTCTTATTTTATTAAAATTGATGTCCTGAAGTTTAATCTTGTACTTGATGATATGTAAAATGTGTACAAAAAATTCCTTAAATGTCTTTAATATCAGTATGAAGCGATATCAAATTTCAGCTGTCTTAAATATCAGTGTAAAGCTGTCTTAAATATCAGTGTGAAGCTGTTGTAAATGTTATTTTAGCTGTCTAAAATATCAGTGTAAAGTTGTCTTAAATTTTTCTGTAAAGCTGCCTTAAATATCAATGTAAAGCTGTCTTAAATATCAGTGTAAAGCTGCCTTAAATATCACTGTAAAGTTGTCTTAAATATCAGTGTAAAGCTGTCTTAAATATCAGTGTAAAGGTGCCTTAAATATCAGTGTGAAGCTGTTGTATTAGTTATCTGGTGGACCAACCTCCTTAGATATGACAAAACATATTTTACCATCAGTATAAAAAAAATACAAAAAAAAATCCCCAAACAAATCATAAGAAAATCTTTTACTTTTTAGCTCAACTATTCGATTAAGAATAAATAGAGCTAATGTAGTCACCCGAGCACAGGCGTTGGTGTAACCACTTATGTTAAAGTTTTTGTAATACCTCAAATATTTTCAAAGTCCATTGACATATGGCTTTGAAACTTTGCACACTTGTTAAACGTCATGACCCCAACCTGTAGACAGGAGGAGGAAACTTTATCAAGCATTTTGACAGATTCTTGAAATAGAATTTTGGTTCAAGTTTTTGTAATACCTCAAATATTTTCAAAGTCCATAGACATATGGCTTTGAAACTTTGTACACTTGTTCACCATCATGATCACAACCTGAAGATAGGAGGTGGTTATTCTATCAAGCATTTTGACAGAATTATGCCCCTTTTTCAACTTGGAATTTTTGTTAAAGTTTTTGTAACACCTCAAATATTTTCAAAATCCATTGACATATGGCTTTGAAAGTTTGCACACTTGTTCACTATCATGACCCAACCTGTAGGCAGAAGGAGGTAACTCTATGAAGCATTTGGCAGAATAATGCCCCTTTTTAGCTCGACTATTCAATAAGAATAAGTAGAGCTATTGCAGTCACCCGAGCGTCGGCGTAACCACTTATGTTAAAGTTTTTGTAATAGTTCAAATATTTTCAAAGTCCATTGACATATGGCTTTGAAACTTTGCACACTTGTTCACCATCATGACCCAAACCTGTAGACAGGAGGAGGTAACTCTATCAAGCATTTTGACAGAATTATGCCCCTTTTTCGACTTAGAATTTACATTAAAGTTTTTGTAATAGTTCAAATATTTTCAAAGTCCATAGACATATGGCTTTGAAACTTTGCACACTTGTTCACCATCATAACCCCAACCTGTAGACAGGAGGAGGTAACTCTATCAAGCATTTTGACAGAATTATGCCCCTTTTTCGACTTAGAATTTACGTTAAAGTTTTTGTAATAGTTCAAATATTTTCAAAGTCCATTGACATATGGCTTTGAAACTTTTCACACTTGTTCAACATCATGACCCCAACCTGTAAACAGGAGGAGGTAACTCTATCAAGCATTTTGACAGAATTATGCCCCTTTTTCGAGGAGGAGGTAACTGTATCAAGCATTTTTTTTACTATCAAGCACTAAGAATAGTCGAGCGTTGCTGTCCTACCGACAGCTCTTGTTCATCTTAAAATTTACATTTAAGTTTGCACACCACCTCAGATATTTCCTTATTCTATTGACATCTGGCTTTGAAACAAGTTGAAATTGTATACTATTGTTTGAGAGCATGATAGGACTCTCTCCAAGGCCTATAACTGTAACATAGATTAAAAGAAAATTTTGCCCTTTTGTTAACTTAGAAATGTTTACATTATCAAGACCCTTTTACTATCAAGCACTAAGAATAGTCGAGCATTGCTGTCCTACCTACAGCTCTTGTTTACTTAATGCAACGACAATTGATTAAAATTTGAGTTAAGAAAATTTGAAACAAAATACTAATATACAATATACACATTTTGAATGAGGAAATATTGCTGTAGCCTTAGGAGCTAGTGTGTAATTTTCAATTAATAATACCCTGTAAATTACTGCTTATCTGATTTAAACAGTAGTGTGTTGTAATACTTTCATTTTGTACATATAAACAGAAAAAAGATAAAAATGGTGGAGGTAATAATCATGATGTGAAAAAGGAAGTGTCTTTTGTGGAAAAACCTATCATCTCAAATAAACAGGGGTTTTATTCACAAAAACAAAAGAATATTGATGGAAGAGTGTCTGGTAGTCCAGATACAACTGTTCATGATACTGAAAGGGTTAATAATTTAATGAGGTCTTGTTTAAGTCCCACCAAACAGAGGCAATCAGTTAGCCCAAACCTTGTTCGAGATCGATCACCATCACCAAATAAACATAAACAGATAATAGGTAAAACATCACCTGAGGGAAGACCATGCTCTACCTTAAATAATGAGATGTTTGGTTACAGAAAGACAGAAACTGTTAGAGGAAAATCAGCAACACCAGAACCAACCAAGCTGAAAAGCCTTGGAAGAGAATATTGCATGAGGAAAAGGACACAGTCTGCAAGAAATTTTTATGCTAGAATCAGTCAACTGGAAAGTAAAAGTATTTTGCGAAATAGATGGGTAAAGAAGACTCCCGAGAAACAAAAAATATCTGAAGAAAGCAACTTATATATCCAAACAGAGGCTTATGCTGATAGATGGGAACATAAGAAACTACTAGATGAGGAGGCAAGAAAATTAGAAAAAGAAAACTTTAGGAAAATGGAAGAAGCTAAACGGATGAAAGAACTCGCTGACCTGAAGAAAGAGGAAGAAAAGAAAAAAAGAAGGAAAAAAAAGCGGTTAATGATGGTAAAAATAGGTACATTTAGTGTGGATAGTAAGCAGGACAAAACTATGCGATCAAGTGGAGAGTGTCATTCTGCAAAAAGTAAAGTTGCAGAGATAGCTGATGAGGAGGTTGAAAACAAAAGGGCGCATTCTGCAGCATCTTATAAGATACATTGTGATAATTCATTCAAATTTGATGTAGGAAAATCAGGGTATGATAAGGCAGCAAAAGTAGAAATTGGTGAACCATACAAATCTGTTTTTGAACAAAGAGTTACACAAGGTACTAGTTGCATTGAAAATGAAACAGAAAAAGATGATGAAACAAGTTCGAAAGGCAAATCTGAATCTGGTGAAATTTCCAAAAGAAATGTCAAACCTGATAATACGCAAAAACAGATATGGACAAATAAAAGTCCTGTTGAATCGTCTATAGCCAATATTCCAAAAGTAGTGCTATTGTCTGCAGGTGGTACTCCAGAAATAGTTTTAGAAGGTGTTGTGAATAATGCTGAAGGGAATGAAGAAACTGATACTATAACCAGTGAGCTTCCTGAGAAATCAGTACCATTACGAAAAAGAGGTCTATCTGTTTTTCAACCTCCAACTATCAAGGAAGAACCTGGTGAAGTAGAGGAAGCAGAAGATGCTATAGATGATGAACCAGCAACAAGGCCTGAAATGTTTAGAGAAAGGAAGATGTCTATGTTTTCTGGTACCACGGAGGTCAGTGAGGATTTAGACAATGCTGATGATACGACTGTTCTAAAAGGTCGTAGACTGTCAAAAGTTATGCAAAGCATATTAGCCTTCAGGCTAAATGTCCTGAAGAAAAAAAAGTTGGTTATAAGTGAGCGTGAAGAAGAATGTAGTGAAGAAGAGGACTGTGATTTGGTGACTCTTGTTTTGATGTTGTGTTCAGTATTCCTTTCCTTTTACAGTTGCTGTTAAGCCTGTTATAACAGTGTTTGATGTCCTATTGTGTTTTTAAAGTACAATTTTGGATTACGAGTTCATGTTGACACACTTCTGTTATTGTTTCAATATTTTGATTATTTTATGTATCCCTTTCTAAAAGACAGAGACTATATATGAGCCGCATCACAACAAAACCAACATAGTGCGTTTGCGACCAGCATGGATCCAGACCAGCCTGCGCATCTGCGCAGTCTGATCAGGATCCATGCTGTTCGCTTACCAACCCTTTTACAAGTAAAGAAACTCAGATAGCGGACAGCATGGATCCTGATCAGACTGCGCGGATGAGCAGGCTGGTCTTGATCTATGCTGGTCGCAAATGCACTATGTTGGTTTTGTCGTGACGCGGCTCATATGTGTTAATGGTACTGAAACAAAATCAATTACTGATAAATTCTGAAGAAATTTATTATTACATAACTTTATTCTACTTCGACACATGAGTTTGAAAGTCTCTGTAGATAATTACAAAATAATAATATAATGAAATAGTTAAGTGTATATCTGAAAAAAGTAATGTAAAACTAGAAGATGATTTTTAATCTGATTTCATTGTGCCATAAGTACTTATATATATATGCTTTTTTTTTAACTCCATATCTTTGTATATGAAAGCTTTGCATAAAAGTTGAATTCATTCCAAAATCTTTGTGGCTTTAAGAGTTTCCATTAATTTTGCATTTTGTGCTAAAAGACTTCTATAACATTGTATTCTTTTTTGTAATTTGTAATAAAATTTAGAATAATACTTTATCATAATTCAGTTATATTTCAGATTATTTTGACAGAAGAGGTTGCAGACCACAAAATATGTTGAGCTCTAACCTGATTATTTTTCTATTTTCCAGCAAACATCAAAGAGTCAGTCTTCAGAAATACTCAAACTTCTGCAGGATTTTCCAGACAAGGTTCACTATGAGTTAGAAGCTGATAAAGAACTTGCAAGACTTCAAAGAAAAGCAAAGTAAAATATGTTTCATTATGTTATCCCTTACCACACTAAATTTACAATGTATCTTAAATGGACTTGTCCGTCTTTTAATCTGGACAAAGCCATTCTGCATTTTTGAGGAAAATTGCAAAATAAGTAATGCCTGAATAGCAAACAGTGCAGACCATAATCACAGATGGCATATTTTGTACCAGCTGATCTTGGTCTGCACTGGTCGCATGGGGTAAATTTAGTTTCCACAAGCAAAGGGTTCAGAGTCATTTTAGTTGTTGCAGGTATTGTGATATTGTCTTTAAGGATTGTTTTTACTTGATGCTTATGTGTTAGTGCTATCTAAATGTATTTAAGTGAATTAGTCTATAATTGAAGGTCTGTAATACTTGAATAGTATTTTAATTTAGCGTCAGATGTAACAACAAAGCATGAAAAGAATTATGCATGGATGTTGTTGACAAGAGTGAGATATATGGTCCAATATGTGATATATTTATATAGCAGATAATAAAATGTTCTAGAACAAAATATTATTTTTCAACATATAAATGTCCAAACAAACTCACTTAGATATATATCAACATTATTTTCAAGCAGTATATTTCATAAGTACAGTTTATGCAACTGATACATTTCTATTGTTTTTCTCAATATTTGAAATATTCATGGGGACTGTGCCCATTGTAGACCAATCCACTTTAGTTTGAATTTCTAGGTAACTAATCCTTTGAAAAATCAGTTGAAAAATAAGTTAAAGTACAAAAAAATAAGTGGAAAAATAAGTGGCAAGATTATAATGGTATAAAATTAAAGAACTGAATTACATATTAAAAGATTAGAATATTGGAACAATTTGTCTTGTGATTTTTACAGAAATTTGGTTGACGATTGGATGGAACATTATAGAATAGCAGTTGGGCTTATTTCTAGCTCACTACAGACGGTAAAAGATAAGCCCAACTATAACATAGGTAACCGCAATATAAAGTCAGCTCGACACTCGGACTATCAGCTGGAGGTGAGGAGAGCCGTACTTGGGGTTGAAGATCATGTTCTACCTAGGAAGAAAAATAGAATACCATCAGCTCCTTTAGGTTTGTTTACCCTCAACTTTATTTTTTAGTGTTGTTTTGCCTCGGACATTTTCTTAGCAAGGTTAATCAGTACATATTACAAAAAGCAAGATCTGTGAGTTCATCCTTTCATAATTATGCTATTTTAAGTCTTATTCTTTGAGGTTGATATTGAATTAAAGGATAAACAATGGAGAATATTTGAGGTCTTTAAATTTCTATCCTGATCATTAATCTGATTGTTAAATCTTGTCATATCATGAACAAATAATTTCCATGTTTTTATAATGTATCAGATGGTTTAGGAAACGAGTATGTTGATGAGGATTTCCAGGCCGAGTTGAGTGCAAGGCATGGAAACAATGCTGTATCGTTTGTGGAGAAGGCAGCGCCTGGGGCTGGGGATGACACAATGTCACCGGCTGGAGCAGCTCTTATGAACAGACTTGCAGAGTAAATGAAATTTTCTTTGCTTTATTTTGTTGTTGTTTTGTCAAGGATTTAATTTAAGAGACGTTTAAATCACTGTAAATTAGTGATTTTTGTGTCACCTCTTCAGAGTAGTGGCGACATATAGGGATCACTTCTCCGTCGTCTGTCTGTCCGTACAAACCAGAGGTACATTATTGGGTTTGATCTATTAATACAATAGATGTCTTTGATGTCATTCATTCCGTTTCTCTTGTGGGGTTATTTTCTGCATTGTGGGGTTAAAAAGAACAAAAGAAATAATAAAAGAAAACCCCATAATGTAGCTCTGGTAAGAACGTCCGTCAGTCCTTCCGTCTGTCCGTCCGTCACAAAACTTGTCCTGACTACTCCTCATAAACTACTGGTGCAATTTCATCCAAACTTTACAGGAATAATCAGTACCAAGTCTAGTTGTGCATATTGTCACCATTTTCCGGTTCAATGATTTTTGTCAGAGTTATGGCCCTTTAATAATTTTTATTTTTAAAGTTTGTCCGGACAACTTCTCTTATACCACTAATGCAATTTTAATGAAACTTTACAGGATTGATCTGTAGCTCAAGTCCTTGCGCATATTGCTCTGGTTTTCTGGTTGAATGATTTTTGGCTGAGTTATGGCCTTTTGATAAAAAGGTGTTTTTTTCTGTGTGTTGTCAGATACACGAAAGCTTGTCCGGACTACTCCTCATAAACTACTGGTGCAATTTCATCCAAACTTTACAGGAATGATCAGTACCAAGTCTAGTTGTGCATATTGTCACCATTTTCCGGTTCAATGATTTTTGTCAGAGTTATGGCCCTTTAATAATTTTTATTTTTAAAGTTTGTCCAGACTACTTCTCTTATACCACTAATGCAATTCCAATGAAACTTTACAGGATTGATCTGTAGCTCAAGTCCTTGCGCATATTGCACGGGTTTTTCGGTTGAATGATTTGCCCTTTAATAAAAAGGTGTTTTTTCTGTGTGTTGCCAGATACACAAAAGCTTGTCCGGACTACTCCTCATAAACTACTGGTGCAATTTCATCCAAACTTTACAGGAATGATCAGTACCAAGTCTAGTTGTGCACTGTCCGTCCGTCTGTCCGTCTGTTTCAAAACTTGTCCCAACATGAAATTGGCCATCATGAGGCGACGACACATGTGATCACTGATCGCTCTTGTTTTTTTTTTGCGCCTACTAAGTGTTATATTATTAGTTATAAAGATCGTTGACAGGTTATATGGCCCTATATAAACGGCTATTTGTAAATTTAACCCGAGCCGTTTATATACGGCCATATAACCTGTCAACAATCTTTATAACGAATTTATAATACAGCAAGCATCATTTTTACGAGAAAAAAAGTAAGAATTCTTCATGAATCGACAGCAGCCGTGTATATAAAACTATATAAACGTCATAATTATCCAATGAAAAATGACGTTACAAACGTGCAGTATTATAAAGATTTTATGTAGCTGTCACAATATCCTGTCTATGAATGTAGTGTGAATAGGTTGTTTGTATTTTCCAGAACATGAAACTTCTTAAAACCTGCTAAAAGTTTTTTGTAATGAGTTTTTCATAATATTTTGAATACTATTTTCAGGACACATTCAGTAATATGTTGTTAACTAATGTCAATAGCACCCAAAATAAGATATAGAATGATGACACTGATTAAGTTTACATTATTTCTCTTCTCTTTAAAATATGGCATTAATGAAATATAACAAGTTTAGCAATTATAAAAATGTAAAGATATCATATTGTTTGCTCATCGATGTTAAGATATGGTCAATATTTCATTCACAGAAATGCTGGCAGACGGTCAGCCAGATCTCGAGCATCAACAGCTCGTAGCTCTTCTCCGCCCAGACAGCAAGCTCCGTCAGTCTCTGAGCGTGTACCATCGGCCACTCCTCCAGTTGCACGCAGTCATTGCCCTCTAGTTATACGACAGCAGATTCTTGGTTACGAGAAACCACAGTGTCGCTGTAGCCGGCATCATATCCCGTTCATACTTGACCTTGAACTTGATGACTTTGTAAACACGGAAACTCCTGAAGGACAGCTAGTTGTGATCATGGTTGTGTCGTCATTGTAAGTGAAACCTTGTGTAGATATCTTTGATATTTAGTTTAGCCCATATTAGAAATACAGAATACAGGGTTATAGAGGCTTTATTAAACAAAAATTATTTTATCCGTACAGTAAACAAATAATTGAAAAGTCATTCCACTTTATATATTGATAGAAAAGAAATAAATGGAAAAGAATAGATCACCCTATTCATAATTGCCCAGAAATTTTTGTGATTTGTACTCCAGTTATAAGGTCCAAATGTTGCTTTTGAGTATGCTCAAATAAAATTAACAAACATTGATACAGGTATATTTCTATGATAGAAAAACAGTCTGCAATATAAAGAATCGTGTTACATGTACATATATGAAAGTTTATGTACTAAAATGAAAGTACAAATCTGTGACAGGTTACCCAAAAAAAATGCCCTGTTCATTTTTGAGTTGCCTCTACGGAGTAGTGGCGACATATAGGGATCACTTCTCTGTCGTCTGTCTGTCCGTCTGTCCGTCCGTCCGTCACAAAACTTGTCCGGACTACTCCTCATAAACTACTGGTGCAATTTCATCCAAACTTTACAGGAATGATCAGTACCAAGTCTAGTTGTGCATGTTGTCAGCATTTTCCGGTTCAATAATTTTTTCAGAGTTATGGCCCTTTAATAATTTTTAATTTTAAAGTTTGTCCGGACTACTTCTCTTATACCACTAATGCAATTTCAATGAAACTTTACAGGATTGATCTGTAGCTCAAGTCCTTGCGCATATTGCACGGGTTTTCCAGTTGAATGATTTTTGGCCAAGTTATGGCCATTTGATAAAAAGGTGTTTTATTTCTGTGTGTTGCCAGATACACAAAAGCTTGTCCGGACTACTCCTCATAAACTACTGGTGCAATTTCATCCAAACTTTACAGGAATGATCAGTACCAAGTCTTGTTGTGCATATTGTCAGCATTTTCCGGTTCAATGATTTTTGTCAGAGTTATGGCCCTTTAATAATTTTTATTTTTAAAGTTTGTCCGGACTACTTCTCTTATACCACTAATGCAATTTCAATGAAACTTTACAGGATTGATCTGTAGCTCAAGTACATGCGCATATTGCACAGGTTTTCCGGTTGAATGATTTTTGGCCGAGTTATGGCCCTTTGATAAAAAGGTGTTTTTTTCTGTGTGTTGCCAGATACACAAAAACTTGTCCGGACTATACCTCATAAACTACTGGTGCAATTTCATCCAATCTTTACAGGAATGATCAGTACCAAGTCTAGTTGTGCATATTGTCAGCATTTTCCGGTTCAATGATTTTTGTCAGAGTTATGGCCCTTTAATAATTTTTATTTTTAAAGTTTGTCCGGACTACTTCTCTTATACCACTAATGCAATTTCAATGAAACTTTACAGGATTGATCTGTAGCTCAAGTCCTTGCGCATATTGCAGGGGTTTTCTGGTTGAATGATTTTTGGCCGAGTTATGGCCCTTTGATAAAAAGGTGTTTTTTTCTGTGTGTTGCCAGATACGCAAAAGCTTGTCCGGACTACTCCTCATAAACTACTGGTGCAATTTTATCCAAACTTTACAGGAATGATCAGTACCAAGTCTAGTTGTGCACTGTCTGTCCGTCTGTCACAAAATTTGTCCCAACATGAAATTGGCCATCATGAGGCGACACATGTGATTACTTATCGCTCTTGCTATTGATTCAGAAAAACAGGCAATGGCTAAAGCTTTTCATGCATTCCAAGGTTATAGCTTTTCCAGTATGATAAAGATATTTTATTGGCAAAATATTTTACATGTGCTTGATAAATTCTTGTATCTTTTTCAATACATAATTATATGGTTGTGATCGGTGAATGGCTTTCAAAATAGAGCTGAACAACTTCAGCATCCTTTTGCTTGGATAAAGGCAATCTTGAAAAATAAGAACTTGTTATGACGTCATCAATGACATCATGATGTCAGTGTTCTTTCGTTCTTTTGGTTCAAATAAAACTGTATCAATACTGTTTCAAGTGATATAACATTCATAATTGTTTTATTATGGCACAACATTCTATTAACATTTGAAACAGTATCAGATATTATGAATCACCCTGTATATGTTTTGTATAAAGTTCATTTCAAGTGTATCGATATTGTTAAAAACAGGAAAACCTTGAAAAATCAAACTTGCCGTGTCGGGTATGACTTTTACATGAACAAAGAGGGCGTGCCATGCCGCAGGGTGTAAGTGATAGCACATGTGTGACACAAAAAAATTGTTGAACTATATGATACTAGTTGACTGTATATCAAAGATTATTTTTAACTCACTAAATAGTTATCTTATTTTGTAGTGCTTTTGGTTATTTTGTTTTTTTTTTAATTTCTTTTTTGTAGTTTTTATGCCCCCACAATGTGGGTGCATATAGCGTTGCACTTGTCCGTCCGTCCGTCCGTCCATACGTCCCGAAATCTTGTGAACGCAACTCCTCTTAAACCATATGGCAGATTTTGCTTAAACTTACAGGGATGAACAACCTTAATGTGTAGATGGTAGTAAAGGAAGGAATTTTCGCTGCGACCAAATTTAACAAAATTATGGCCCTTTGTTGATTTTTTCACTAGATACTATGTAGAAATTTTGTGAACGCAACTCCTCTTAAACCAGATGGCAGATTTTGCTTAAACTTACAGGGATGAACAACCTTAATGTGTAGATGGTAGTAAAGGAAGGAATTTTTGCTGCAACCAAATTTAAGAGAATTATGGCCCTTTGTTGATTTTTTCACTATATACTATGTAGAAATTTTGTGAACGCAACTCCTCTTAAACCGGATGGCAGATTTTGTTTAAACTTACAGGGATGAACAACCTTAAGGTGTAGATGGTAGTAAAGGAAGGAATTTTCGCTGCGACCAAATTTAACAGAATTATGGCCCTTTGTCAATTTTTTCACTATATACTTATTATGTAGAAATTTTGTGAATGCAACTCCTCTTAAACCGTATGGCAGATTTTGCTTAAACTTACAGGGATGAACAACCTTAATGTGTAGATGGCAGTAAAGGAAGGAATTTTTGCTGCAACCAAATTTAACAGAATTATGGCCCTTTGTTGATTTTTTCATTATATACTTTGTAGAAATTTTGTGAACGCAACTCCTCTTAAACCGGATGGCAGATTTTGCTTAAACTTACAGGGATTAACAACCTTAATGTGTAGATGGTAGTAAAGGAAGGAATTTTTGCTGCGACCAAATTTAACAGAATTATGGCCCTTTGTTGATTTTTAGTTTTCAACTTGTGGCACATGTAGTCCAAAAAATATTTGACCTAGAGTCATAAGATTGACAGAACAGTGACGTGTGGGGGCATCCGTGTCCTATGGACACATTTCTAGTTTTTTCTCTAGGTTTTTGTTTTATCTCAGTGGTGTTTGTAAGCTGTCAGGATATTAAAAGCTGGATTTCTGTCACATATTCCGCTAACAAAAAAAATGTCAAAAAATGATTACCAAAAGAACACATTTGCTTTATTATTTTCATGAACAAAATTTTCAGCAAAAAATGAAGTTTCACTTCTTTTTTTTATGATTATGAATATTTGATAAGACAGTCATTATTGCTTTTTCTTTTTACAAGTAGCAAGGTGAAATATATTTTTTTTAAACCCTTCTTCCCATGCTGAAACCGAAAGTAATTAGCCTGTACCATCAGTAAAGAGCCAGGCCGGCCTGAATATCCATGCAGTCTGATCAAGATTGATAATGTTGGTTGACCTACACAAAATTTTCACTCTGATATCCCCAAAAATGATAATGGACAGTTACAGTCTGTAATTTGGACAAATCCATTTATGAAATTTAGCAGGTTATTAGGGTTAAAGCTTTTTAAAGGAGAAAGTAGATTAAAATGGTGTTGAGTGTGACCCATAAAATAATGTTTACACACATGTTACGATACTCTGGCAGACTCACATGTAAATTGCACCATTTAATTTTTGAGGAATGCACTGAATGGGGAAAGTTTCAATTTTGGTCTTTTATTATTGTATTCTGATTTGTGCTATAAATAGACACAGTTTTATTGCCTTGCTGCCATACATACAGATGTTTATTTCATTACAAAAGTTTGTTTCATTTTCAGCATTTGTTTATGCATTGAAATGTAATTCACCTACCTTTCTTGTTTAGTAACTTGCATAGTGTCTTTGTAAAAAAAAATTTTGTAAAATTTCTTTTGTGAGTTTCTACATTAATTTTATAAGTTAACCAGTCATAATGTAAAATAATTTGAGGCATAAATTGTCACATGACGTTAAAGAAGAGATTTGTTATGATACAAATACAGCCATAAAATATCAAACAAAATTGCAGACCAGTCATAAAATGGAGCTCCATCATTGGTCATTTTCAAAACTTTAGCCAAATTGAACCAATCAGAATGTCTTGCTATAGACTGGTCTCCCATGAAGATTTATAAAATTTGATTGAGTTTTGTTGAGTGAGTAGTAACCAAATTCTTGGAACAAAAGACTTCCTATTTGTTTAGAAATGATATAAAGCAGTGAAACACATAGGATAAGCTGCTTTGTTTAAGCAATGGCACTGGATTTAACAGAAAAAAAGAAGAAATTTAAGATTTTTATGGTCCTTTGGTTGTACAATATGCATCATTGAAGTTCTCAGTTCACAGGATTTTTGTCAGTGGAGAGTATTTGTCTCAAATTTGCAATTTTGTAAGAAAAAATTAAACTCAGCTGCCAGCATGTACCTGAAATAATGCACGAAGCATGTTGTAAATTAATCAATCTGTGATACAAGTACTACATCCATGAAAGATGACAGTAAAGTTACCTGTTGATATCAGTTCCAGGTGTACAAAATAAAATGAAATATCTGATTAAATTTAATACATGTATTTCTTTATATTCATCCAGGTTTCCGGGTATTACCAAAGCAGAGGAGATGTTGAATGAGATTTATAGCAATCAAAACAGGAACCGTACTCGGCCCTGTGTACAGAGTAGAGGCGACATGTTCCGTGTATTCAAGTACGATATTAACTCTGCTGCTGAAATGTCTGATCATACTCAACCACTTTTGATGACTCGACATAATGTTGTTCCTGGAATGATCCTTGCAAGTTCAACTTTCCATATATTTTAAATTTTTTACTTCTTAACAGAGTTATTGTTTGTAATGGTAACAAGTTAATGATATTAAGTCCTTTATTTACCAAGATATCAAGCAATCTGACATCATACATTGTTCATTATCAACAATTTCTTAGAACCACATCTCAACTAGATATTAATGGCTTGATTGTTTGATGGTCCTGTATAGAAGTTGTTTAAATGGTTCCATAGTTAGGTCCCTGGGCTAAAACTAATGCTTACCAATATTCAAATTTTCATTTTGATATCTTCAAAATTGATAGTGAAGCTTGACAAGTCCAATGAGAAACTCAGCAGTTAAAAGTTAATTCTGTTTAGTATATGTTACTGCATATTTCTCTGTTTTAATGTTTAATTTTGTCATTTTCAGATATACTGTGATGGCCGACTTTACTTTTGTGATCATATATTTAATGGTTATGGTAATACTAGAAAAGATTTCAAGAAACAACTTATGAAATCCCGACATGATGCCATACATGGCAATGCTCTACCCAAAGACTTTAGGTTCAGGTATGGAAGAATTTTAATGAAACAGTAAATTTTATTTGAGCCGCGTCACAACAAAACCAACATAATGCGTTTAAGACCAGCATGGATCCAGACCAGCATGGATCCAGACCAGCCTGTGCATCCGTGCATTCTGATCAGGATCCATGCTGTTCGCTTGCCAACCTTATTACAAGTAGCAAAACTGATAGCAAACAGCATGGATCCTGATCAGACTGCGCGGATGCGCAGGCTGTTCTGGATCCATGCTGGTTGCAAACACATTACGTTGGTTTTGTCATGGTGCTGCTCATTTAGTCAGAATTATAGTTTTGTGAGGTTCATCTGTAGGATGAAAAGCAGGTTGTCACATGACTATCATAAAAGAAAAAGATATTATCCTAGCTGAACTATTCACAGAATAATTGGAGCTGTTATACTCATCCAGGTGTTGTTGTCAGTGTTACTTCGTCTAAGTTTTTCGGCAAGTTAGTATCTCAAAAACTATTGAAGAGAATGATTTGAAACTTCACACACTTATTTGAGAGTATAATAGCATGTCATTTTTCAAGACTCATTTTTGTGATTCTTTTGACAGAATTATGTCTTTTTTTTAACTTAGAAAATTGTATATTATCCAGGCTCTTGTTTTACCATCAAACACTGAGAATAGTTGAGAATGCTGTCTTAACAACAGCTCTTGTTTTATATAATTGTTTTAGATATATAAATAATTTAATATTTGAAGAAAATCAAACTTGGTAAAAACATACTAAAAAAAGTAAAAAGATTCAAGTAATAATTTATATCTTATGTGCGATTAATAACTGATTTTACATTATCTATCACTATTATTATGCCCCCATTTCGAAGAAAAGGGGGTATATTGCTTTGCACTTGTCGGTCCGTCGGTCCGTAGACCAAATGGTTTCCGAGTGATAACTAAAGAACCCTTAGGCCTAGGAACTTCAAACTTGGTATGGTGATTGGTCATGACCAGTAGATGACCCCTATTGATTTTGGAGTCAAGGGGTCAAAGGTCAAGGTCACATTGACCTTGAAAGCAAAAACGGTTTCCGATCAATAACTAAAGAACCTTCAGGCCTAGGAACTTCAAACTTGGTATGGTGATTGGTCATGACCAGTAGATGACCCCTATTGATTTTGGGGTCAAGGGGTCAAAGGTCAAGGTCACATTGACCTTGAAAGCAAAAACGGTTTCCGATCAATAACTAAAGAACCTTAAGGCCTAGGAAATTCAAACTTGGTATGGTGATTGGTCATGATCAGTAGATGACCCCTATTGATTTTGGGGTCAAGGGGTCAAAGGTCAAGGTCACATTGACCTTGTAAGCAAAAACGGTTTCCAATCAATAACTAAAGAACCTTAAGGCCTAGGAACTTCAAACTTGGTATGGTGACTGGTCATGATCAGTAGATGACCCCTATTGATTTTGGGGTCAAGGGGTCAAAGGTCAAGGTCACATTGACCTTGAAAGCAAAAACGGTTTCCGATCAATAACTAAAGAACCTTAAGGCCTAGGAACTTCAAACTTGGTATGGTGATTGGTCATGATCAGTAGATGACCCCTATTGATTTTGGGGTCAAGGGGTCAAAGGTCAAGGTCACATTGACCTTGTAGGTAAAAACGGTTTCCAATCAATAACTAAAGAACCTTAAGACCTAGGAACTTCAAACTTGGTATGGTGATTGGTTATGACCAATCAGATGACCCTATTGATTTTGGGGTTAAGGGGTCAAAGGTCAAGGTCACATTGACCTTGTAGGTAAAAACGGTTTCCGATCAATAATGAAAGAACCCTTAGGCCTAGGGACTTCAAACTTGAGATGGTGATTGGTCATGATCAGTAGATGACCCCTATTGATTTTGGGGTCAAGGGGTCAAAGGTCAAGGTCACATTGACCTCTTAGGTAAAAACGGTTTCCGATCAATAACTAAAGAACCCTTAGGCCTAGGGACTTCAAACTTGGTATGGTGATTGGTCATGACCAGCAGATGACCCCTATTGATTTTGGGTTAAGGGGTTAAAGGCAAGGTCACATTGACCTTGTAGGTAAAAATGCTTTCCGATCAATAACTTAAGAACCCTTATGCCTAGGAACTTCAAACTTGGTATGGTGATTGGTCATGACCAGCAGATGACCTATTGATTTTGGGGTCAAGGGGTCAAAGGTCAAGGTCACATTGACCTTGTAGGTAAAAACGGTTTCCGATCAATTAACTAAAAACCCTTAGGCCTAGGAACTTCAACCTTTGTGTGATGATTGGTCATGACCAGCAGATGACCCCTATTGAGTTTTAGGTGAAGGGGTCAAAGGTCAAGGTCACATTGACCTTTTAAGTAAAAACGGTTTCTGATCAATAACTCAAGAACACTTAGGCCTAGGAACTTCAAACTTGGTATGGTGATTTGTCATGACCAGCAGATAACTCCTATTGATTTTGGGATTAAGGGGTCAAAGGTCAAGGTCACAATGACCTTGTAAGTAAAAACGGTTTCTGATCAATAATAAGAGAACCCTTAGGCCTAGGAACTTCAACCTAGGCATGGTCAAAGGTCAAGGTCACAATGACCTTGTAAGTAAAAACGGTTTCTGATCAATAATAAGAGAACCCTTAGGCCTAGGAACTTCAACCTAGGCATGGTGATTGGTCATGACCAGCAGATGACCCCTATTGATTTTGGGGTCAAGGGGTCAAAGGTCAAGGTCACATTGACCTTGTAGGTAAAAACGGTTTCTGATCAATTTACTAAAAACGCCTAGGCCTAGGAACTTCAAACTTTGTATGATGATTGGTCGTGACCAGCAGATGACCCCTATTGAGTTTTGGGTCAAGAGGTCAAAGGTCATGGTCATGACCAGTAGATACTTTATAACCCTTATTAATTGTTTGATCACTGGGTCAGAAGTCATGCATAATAACCTTATCACATGACTAATTGGCTGCTGATAGGGGGGCATACATGTTTTACAAACATATCTTGTTTATACTGTCTTACTAACGCAGTAAAGGTTTATTTTGCATATTTTTTTACTTCTTTTTGATAATTTATGTGGATTGTATTAGTGCTGTTTGCAATGTGTAAATTACTTTCTTTTTGCACTTTGCAATATTTTTACTTTTGAAATATTTTCATGAAAATAAGGATGAATCTGGAGGCATGCTGGTTTAAGGGTAAGGATCATCTAGCTTGGCAACAGTTGGAGAGTTCACCCACTTCCCCTTTTCCATTTTTAGGAGCAACTTCTGATGTTGTTGGGATGAACAAAGTTCAACAAACTGTTTGTCACAAGTTCATTAGTTTCATACCCATGCTAAGTTGACGTACTTTATTGCAAATTTAGCTAATTCATCTAATGATGTATCATATTATCAGGTTATTTTAATTAAAGTTTCATGTCAACAACATGTTACTACGTGACTGAAACAATGTACAGTTTTACCTGTAAGAACGTTAATTAGTCCTGTTGTAACAAAAAAAAACCCAAAAAAAGCAACTTTATTAATCTTTTCTTTTCCAAAGTCCAAGTAGAGGAAAGAGTGGTATGAGGTCTGCCTGGGGCGGGGAGATCGGTGGTGCCGGGGTAGATAAGTACAGCAGTACCGGTACTGTGGTGGACAGTAGTCTACAGCCAATACATCGACCTAACTCCGACTCTTCCGAGGGCGACCTGAGTGCAGGTGGAGTTCACCTTGATGCTGTCAAGTAAGTATTTGTTATGTTTTAGCTGTCAGATTAAAGATTGGTCATTGACAGTTTAAGGTTTGTTGTTCATAATACCTTCATTTTAAAATGTAAGTATTTTAATGTATTATCAATATATACAGAGATAAAAAATGTTCAGTTAAAAAAAGAGAAGAGAAAAAAAAAGTTATATAATCTTAATTTCAAGGAATTTTTTTGTAATATGCTCAAAACATGTCCTTTTCAGATTTCCTTTATTGTACCCTTTAAATGTAACAAAATATTCAGAACTGGGCCTTTCAAATGCCAAATGGCATTAATATGTTCATTCGTCTGTCTGTATGACTGTGTGTGTTCTGTAGTGTGTTTATTTGTATGTCGTTTGAAAACTGGCATATTTTTTGTGTAAGTTATGTGTAGACTGCATGACACAGAAGTATTTAGATATGAATATTATGCATGATATAAATAACGATGTTTTATAATTACCCCTGATTTAGGCGAGCTATACTAGGGATATAGCACAACCAACACATTGTACCAAACATAGTCAATGAGGTAGTAAAACAGTTTAATGACTTCTGTACTCTCCCAACTTGTTTATCTCCCTTGTTCTATTTATAGAAAGGCCAAGACTATGTTTAGGTATAGGCATTCTGTATTGAATTCTAAATGTAAAAATGTTTTATTGTGATAACCAAAGCTATTTGTTTACGGAATTTTTTTTGACTAGTCTTTATGAAAATCATGCTTTAACTGTTAAAAAATTCATTGATAAATTTTATCATGTTAAATAAATTTTCATGTTAAGGTCATTTTGATACGTAGGACTGTATTAGTCTCCTGCTAGTTGGCATATTTTTTCTTATTTACACTGATTACTTTAGACAAAACAACAATCAATAAAGCAAAATGATAGTCACAGCATGCGACTAACTGCATGGAAAGATATTGTCCAAACTTCTTTGCATATTAAAAAAAACAACAATTATCTTAAGAACAATGAACTTTTGTAGTACAAAATATAAAAAGACTGAACAATCTTCTGAGAACAAGTCACTAGCATGGATTTCTATGGCAACTATGAATAAGCATAAAGCATACTTAAGTGTTACTGGTCTGAAGTTTGAATGCCATTTTTTCCTTTTTTTAACCTCTGTTTAAGAGAGGAAAGTCAAATTAGAATAAAAGTTCTCAAGATATTTAAAAATAATTTAAAATTCAAGGTTACGACAGTTACAGTAAAGGTTACGACAGTTACAGTAAAGGTTACGACATTTACAGTAAAGGTTACGACAGTTACAGTAAAGGTTGCGACAGTTACAGTAAAGGTTACGACATTTACAGTAAAGGTTACGACAGTTACAGTAAAGGTTACGACAGTTACAGTAAAGGTTACGACAGTTACAGTAAAGGTTGCGACAGTTACAGTAAAGGTTACGACATTTACAGTAAAGGTTACGACAGTTACAGTAAAGGTTACGACAGTTACAGTAAAGGTTACGACATTTACAGTAAAGGTTACGACAGTTACAGTAAAGGTTACGACAGTTACAGTAAAGGTTAGACAGTTCGACAGTTACAGTAAAGGTTGCGACATTCACAGTAAAGGTTGCGACATTTACAGTAAAGGTTACGACAGTTTACAGTAAAGGTTGCGACAATTACAAGTAAAGGTTACGACATTTACAGTAAAGGTTACGACAGTTACAGTAAAGGTTACGACGGTTACAGTAAAGGTTGCGACATTCACAGTAAAGGTTACGACAGTTACAGTAAAGGTTGCGACAGTTACAGTAAAGGTTACGACAGTTACAGTAAAGGTTACGACATTTACAGTAAAGGTTACGACAGTTACAGTAAAGGTTACGACGGTTACAGTAAAGGTTGCGACATTCACAGTAAATGTTACGACATTTACAGTAAAGGTTGCGACAATTACAAGTAAAGGTTACGACAGTTACAGTAAAGGTTACGACAGTTACAGTAAAGGTTACGACAGTTACAGTAAAGGTTACGACAGTTACAGTAAAGGTTGCGACATTTACAGTAAAGGTTACGACAGTTACAGTAAAGGTTGCGACAGTTACAGTAAAGGTTACGACAGTTACAGTAAAGGTTGCGACATTTACAGTAAAGGTTAAGACTTTTACAGTAAAGGTTGCGACAGTTACAGTAAAGGTTACGACATTTACAGTAAAGGTTAAGACATTTACAGTAAAGGTTGCGACAGTTACAGTAAAGGTTGCGACAATTACAAGTAAAGGTTAAGACATTTACAGTAATGGTTAAGACAGTTACAGTAAAGGTTGCGACAATTACAAGTAAAGGTTACGACAGTTACAGTGAAGGTTGCGACAGTTACAAGTAAAGGTTTACGACAGTTACAGTAAAGGTTACGACAGTTACAGTAAAGGTTAAGACAGTTACAGTAAAGGTTAAGACAGTTACAAGTAAAGGTTACGACAGTTACAGTAAAGGTTACAACAGTTATAGTAAAGGTTACAACAGTGACTTAAGGTTATGACAGTTACAGAACAGGTTACGACAGTTACAGTAAAGGTCACGACAGTTACAGAACAGGTTACGACAGTTACAGTAAAGGTCATGACAGTTACAATGAAGATTATGACAGTTTCAGTAAAAACCTCTGCAGAACAACTTTCTTTTGGGATGCAAAACATTTGATTTTTCGCTGAAAGGTGTTGCTCTAAACAGGTTAAATCTTTTATGAAAACCTTATTTTGGGGGAAAGAAAATTGAAACTGTTGTTGTAAGAGGTAATTGCTCCCTTAGAGTTCACTCTACATAGTTTTCACATTTGCACTGTACATGTAAATATAGCAAGACAGTGTTGATTTTGAAATTAGAGAATCTTAGCACTGTTTAATTAAAAACTGTTCGATAATAGATATGTTGCTTTTTTCCAAACATCAGTCTTGGCCTTGTTATAATACTGCATGACAATTCCTTGTTTATTTTCCAACAGATGGAGGAACCCTCGCATAAAATGAAAGTTCTTTAAAAGCAAAAAAGAAAGCCACTCCAGATTTAACTTTTTTACCCTATTTTGCGAACAAAAAAGATCTTGAAGCAGGTTTCCTCTGTCTGCCTTTGTTAGTACCATGCATGCAAAATGTTAAAATTTAGAACTATATTCATAGGTTTGTCTTCTCTTTTCTGTTGTTTTCTTCTTTTCTGTTGTTTTTCTGTTGTTTTCTAGTTCTTTGACTTTCTTGTTATTTGTTATTTCTTTGTGTCTCTACATTCATTCTGTTCTGTACAAAAAAGATAAAATGCCCGCTGTGAACTAATGCAAAAATTTAAATGAACAATTGGATACATGTATTTGAAAAAAATCTTACTGGAGTCATTTCACTTAAATGAAATGTGTCTAGGAAAGCAATATGAAACAAGTAGGTGGCAAGCTTTATATCATTTCTGGGAGGAGTTTAATGGCTGGGAGGAGTTATATTGACTAGGAGGACTTTAATTGATTGCAAGTTAAATTAAGTAGGAGAAGTTTAACTAAATGGGAGGAGTTTAATTTACTGTGAGTTGATTGAACTAAGAGGGGTTAAATAAGCTAGGAGTTTAATTCACTGTGGGTCGATTGAACTAGGAGGAGTTTAATTTATTGGGAGGAGTTGTAATGACTACAAGTTAAATTAATTGCGAGGAATTTAATTAACTGATATGACTTAAATTTGACAGAGTAAAATTAAAAAAATTGGTTGCTCTTGTTTTAGAACTTTTAATTTGGCATTTCTGACACTGATTTTGAAAAGCTCTAAACTCAACAGTAAGATAATTTTTGATGAAGAAAGATTAAATTTTAATGTAAAAATTAAAAAAAATTGTTTTAGATCTGGTAATATCATGAAACCTAGTAAAGATAATATTTTTCCCTTTCTGTTGTCAATTCTTCTGTGTTATGAATCATGTTGTTGTTGTTTTAGTTGTTGTTGTAGTTTTGCATGCCAGTCCTTCCTCTGTTCAAACTGTTTATAGTGCATGTTCTATGTTGCCCTTAGATGACATATTTTTCTATCTTATTTTTGGTAGAATTGTCTTGTTTAGATAAAATCTTGATTCCTGTGTAATGCATACTTTTTTCAGCCAATTGGTTGCTAGGTATTACTCAAAGTTTCTGTGCACAAGAGTTAAATTCTTTTATTTTCCATGCTTTTACATTTTCAGGTTTTTGTGATGTAATTGATTGCATCTAAGCACACTAGATTATCAAATTTTTAAGAATTTTTACCCTTGACCTTGATTTTAATATTTGCAACCAACTGTCATAGATCAGTAATGATTTATTATTTGTCAACTTAGTATGCTTGTAGTTGCCAAGTCATGTGACTTTTTGTAATTGACAATACATAAAAAAGTTGTTGTTTTTTTTATTAATTTAACATTTAAATCAATAAGTTCTATATTAAACTGCCAACTGTATTGGATTAATAGTGAAGAAAGGATTAAAATGAAACTATGTGTCTGAAACTCAGTTTACACAATGTGACCAATGCAGACCAAGATCAGCCAGCATATCAATGCACACTGTTCATCACCTGTTGTTTGATATTCACTGGGCAGTTAGAACATATTTCAAAATTTTTCACTAAAAATCTTTAAATGAAAGATGTATCAACATGTGCATTTAATATGTTAAATATATTGGTAAGAGTTGAAACAAAGCCTTAACATTATGTTTATTTAAAAAACTTATTATTTAGAAAGTTTCTAAAAAAAACTTAAAACTTATTGAAACTCACAAGCTTTTTCACCTCTTTCAATTGTTGAAATCTGTTCATTTTTGGGGGAAAATATCAACAAAAATATTAGAATATTTATTTTCGTTATAAATTGCAAATGCCATATATGTTGACCAATTGTTGAAAGGGATAATATTATTGAATGTAATCATTGTTTAGGAGATTGAGAATGCAGTTTTATAGACTGCATCTACAGACAGCCCCGTACAGACGTACTCCCCCTGAACTGCTGGATATTCGTAAACTGAATGTAATTAGTGTTATAAGATTGTACAAGTCTTTCCGGTTCTTGTAAAGTTGCTTCAATGATGCATTGCTTTCATGCTATTATTGTGGGACGGTGGCTTTTTCTTGTTCATTTTTTTTTATGTATAATTTTTTTTTGCATTTGTTATTTTGCTTTTTATTTCAATAAACAGTTTGTTTTTGTTTTTTAATAAGTAAGAAGTTGATAGCTTGATTTTCTTTTTTTTTTAAGATGGGTTATTAAATTGCTTAAAATTACTTTAATTGGCTTGCTGATAATGCATTGTATGGGTGATACAGTTTGTTAATATGAATTTGTGAATAAATGTCATGTCGATTAATGCAGGGGAAAAATTAATTGAGGGACTATTTGTTTTTCCTCCACTAAAAAATAACATTTGCAGGGGCTTTTTTGGTTGTTGAATTATTCATCATATTGCAAACTAAACAATATACATGTATGAGGGTTGTGGACAAACATTGTCAATAGTGTAGTTTTTTGGACCTTAACTCAGAATAGGGTATTTATGTATATATTAAAACATGATGCTAATGTACCTATAAAAAATATGATTTTTTTGATGAGGTGAATTCAACATGGCATGAAAAAATATTTGCAGTTGCTTAATTAGGTTTCTGAAGTTATGGCAGTTGTTGAATTAGTAAGTCGAAGGAATGTTAAATTACAAATTGTGTTTATCATTTTTATATAGAGAGAAGGTGGATCTAGGTCCTTTCCATACAGAAATACAAGTTCGACTTAGGCCACTTATAAGCTACCGCATGCCTAGTAATAGGTATACATGTGTATGAAAATTATCCCCAGAGTGTCCTGTGCACCACATATTTTTTCCCTGCATGGTCAGGTAACTTGCACCGGAACTTTGAACCATATTTTGAGCCGGGCAATGACAAAACCAACATAATGCGTTTGCAACCAGCATGGATCCAGACAGCCTGCGCATCCGCGCAGTCTGATCAGGATCCATGCTGTGCGCTATCAATTTCTCTACCTGTAATAGGGTTTGTAAGCGAACAGGCTGGTCTGGATCCATGCTGGTCGCAAACGCATTACGTTGGTTTTGTCATGACACGACTCATTTCAGCATTGCAGCCAGTTACATTATTTATTCAGAGATTATAAAACTGAAATCGGGTATCAGCTTTTAAAATCCAGATAATATTATTGGTTGTATCTTGACAATAAAATATCTAAATAAACCAATGGTAAGGTTTTAAATAGTGTGACCTTTGTGGGAATGCTTTAACCTTTACAGTTCAAATATATTCAAATAGTTTAACCACTGGTTGATATATAAACTTGATTCTGTTACCATGGAATAAAAAATCAAATTAGATATTTTGGATTGGTTTCCGATTTAAGTTTTACAATCTTTGTAGGCCTAAGCTATTTATTATTATGAAATCTGCAATATATGTTTTGGAATGTAAAGATTATTTTATCATATAATTTGCTGTTATATATGTATATTATAGTAGTCTATAGGCAATAGTATGATGAATGTGTATCATTATAATAAAACATGTAGAAGTAAAATTGCAGTGCTTTCAGGAATAGTTTTATTTCAAGAGCAAGATTTTCGTCACATTTTAACTCTTTTGGCATGATGTCACAGACACAAAATGTTTTAAGGATTTGCTGTGCCTCTCATTATTTTTACCATCTCCATATTTGTCCTAAATATGCACTTGTAACAATGTGTGTTCCATTTTCCTTCAAGTGATACCTCGAACATTCCCAAAGAAAAAAATTAGGCTCTTCCCAAACATACCATATTCTGAGCTTATTCCCAAACAGCTTTTTAAAATTTTTACAGTGTCTTTTACAAACTGTATCTTGTTACCTTTTAATTGTATTATAATTAGTTTTATCCTGTTTTTATCCTGTTGTTTACTGAAAGTTATGGTGATAAATGTTGTTACCTTTAAATTATATTTTGGTATATGAGTGTAATTTTCTTTCCTGTTGTTTACAAAACTATATTTTGTTACCTTTAGATTTTGAATATTTTTTTTTTAATTTTAAATCATATTTTTTAGCTCGACTATTCGATAAGAATAAGTAGAGCAATTGTAGTCACCCGAGCGTCGGCGTCGGCGTAACCACTTATGTTAAAGTTTTTGTAATAGTTCAAATATTTTCAAAGTCCATTGACATATGGCTTTGAAACTTTGCACACTTGTTCACCATCATGACCCCAACCTGTAGACAGGAGGAGGTAACTGTATCAAGCATTTTGACAGAATTATGCCCCTTTTTTTACTTAGAATTTACGTTAAAGTTTTTGTAATAGTTCAAATATTTTCAAAGTCTATTGACATATGGCTTTGAAACTTTGCACACTTGTTCACCATCATGACCCCAACCTGTAGACAGGAGGAGGTAACTGTATCAAGCATTTTGACAGAATTATGCCCCTTTTTCGACTTAGAATTTACGTTAAAGTTTTTGTAATAGTTCAAATATTTTCAAAGTCCATTGACATATGGCTTTGAAACTTTGCACACTTGTTCACCATCATGACCCCAACCTGTAGACAGGAGGAGGTAACTGTATCAAGCATTTTGACAGAATTATGCCCCTTTTTCGACTTAGAATTTACGTTAAAGTTTTTGTAATAGTTCAAATATTTTCAAAGTCCATTGACATATGGCTTTGAAACTTTGCACACTTGTTCACCATCATGACCCCAACCTGTAAACAGGAGGAGGTAACTGTATCAAGCATTTTTTTTACTATCAAGCACTAAGAATAGTCGAGCCTTGCTGTCCTACCGACAGCTCTTGTTTATTTACTTGTAATGCTATTGACAAAATTGTATCTTGTTACCTATAAATGTCATGCCCCTGACTTAATATCCTGTTGACAAAAAATGTATCTTGTTACCTTTAGATTTCATGGTTTTGACTTGTTGTCCTGTTGACAAAACTGTAGGAATGCAGTATGGTGATGGATTAATAAAAAAAAATATACACTTTAAACAGTAGTGCAAGCAACAGTATTTCACAAATGCTAGATATCAAAAAATTAAACACAAAGAGTGTAGCAATATTTGGAGTTGAAATTAACACATTGGAAAGAGAAAATTGATTAGCTCTCTCTGCAAAATTAGTGTTATGGACAAGACTTAATGCAATTTCAAATTTTGAATTGACAATTGTTATGTTTAGGGATCTTGATATCATATGCTGATATAAGAAATCAACTTTATGATAGTTTTTTATTTGACTGCACTGATATGCAGGCTGGTATAGCAGGGTTATACTGGTGGCATCAGAAAGTTATTTTGCCATTCAGGGGGCTTAACTCTGACTGAAATTCATTACTCATATTTGAAATATCTTTAGTCAAGGTACAAGATGTACTTTTTATCCCCTTTGCAATGACCATTGCATTTGTTTGTTCAATTTAATATCTATGTTTTGCTTTTTTTGACCTGACATTCAGCTTTTAAAATAACAGGTACCCTAATAACTGATTTGGTACTGTCACCTTTATGCTATAAAGACTGCAATTTTTGTTCATTTATTGTTCATTATCTCAAGTTTTTTTCAAATTTTTGGCATTTTTTTACCATTTATTCAATATAACGTTCAGCTGTAAAAATCACAGGTACTAAAAATAACACAAAATCTTTAATAGAATAATTTCAGAATATAATTCATGGAAGAGTTATGGACAATATACCAGTAATAATGAAGTCCTTTTCCTTTGATGATGATTTTGAAGGTTTAGACAATAATGCATGTATAATTTGTATGTGAAAATCCCTACTGTTGCTTGAGCTATTGTCTTTCAAGTGTTTGTGTGGTGATTTGTGGTTTTCTTATATAGCCTTCACTATGCACCAATTAAAATATATTCTTAAAGCATTTTATAGAATATCTAAGTTAAAAATCTTTAAAGAAATTTTGCAGTAATTTATTAAAAAGAAAAAAAAATCAATTTTTATTTGTTTTAAAAAAAACATGTTACATGATTAAACTTTTGGTTATTGAAAATATTTTACACATGTGTAATCTTAAATGAATATAAGTCATTTAGATTAAAAATCTGTAAAAAAGAAAAAAAAATTCTAGTAATTTCTTACTCTTTTTTTTCGTCTATAAATATAATGATCAAACAGAAACAATGCATGTATTAGCAGGTCATCAAGCAGAAGGCCGTTTCTGCCTCAAATCGAGAATAAACAGGTAAAATCATGTGTATACATGTCAGTCTTTTTGTCTGTCTCTGTATCTGTCTGTTATTTCAAATGAAAAGTTACCCTGTTGTTATTTTTATCCTTAAACTTTTGTTACTTGTAAGGAATAAGTCAAAATTTTAAGACAAATTTTCATTAAGTATTTTGGCAAAATAAAAAAAAATCATTTTGCACAGGTAGATTGTATATGGTATTGGACACATAGTTTAGATAGTGGTTTTGAATGTTTAGATTTCTTTGAATTAATTGGCATTACTGTAGAAAAATTATTTCACTTGTAATTTTTTACATGTCAGTTTTGAAACCCCATATTTCACAAACCCCAAGATTCATATCTATTAGTTTTAAATTCTATACTTGACAGCTATTATTGTGAAATTAATTAGCAGTACTTAAGAAAAATTAATTAACTTGTCATTTGAAAATCCCATTTTTTCCATGCCAATTTTGAAACCCCATACTTCACAACTGTAAGTTTTGGAAACCCCATAATTCATATCGGTTGGTTTTATATTCCATACTTCACAGCCATTAATTTGGAAACCCCATACTTCACAGATTTCATTCCTCACATCTGCTTGTTTTGTAATTATTTCACTTAATAAAATTTCAATTTGAAACCTCCTTACTACAATTGCAAATTAAGGAACCCCATACTTCACAAATCTTTAACATTTAAAAACCCTATAACTCTCAACAAGCTTGCCTATTTAATAATACATCTTTATTAAATTTAATGTTATTTTTATTTTGCTTACTGGCTTGTAGTAATATTTTCAATTATTTAAGCCTGTTTGCTAAATTTATCTTTTTATATAAATGTTATACTTCTGGGTTTTTTTCTACTTAAAAAGTAACAGAACACTGACTTCAACTGCACACTGCTACCAACACAGTAAAAATTGCTTTACTAGATGTCCAAATATATATAAAGTATTACAGTTCTACATTAAGAATATTGACTATAACTAGGGACACAATTGACAGCAATGGAAATCAGCAACAGTAAAAAATCTGATTTTTTGTAGACAATTAATGCTTAAAAGAGCTCGGTATCAAGGAAATGCCAGTAAGATTAACCATTTACTGGAAATACAGAGAAAATAAAAAATGTTAGATTACAAAACATTACACCAATATCGCGACTAAATTCTTGAACACCAGAACATGTATATGCCATTGTTACCAGTACAGAGCCAGATCTACAAGTATGTCCTTGTTAAATGTCTGTACTCCTAATAAAGTTCGCCGCTAAGTTTCTGAAAATTTACAATCATTAAAATCGATAATATAAAGAAAAAAATTCTCGGGAATTGAGTTAGTGCAGCAAATGCTAATATATCATAATATAATATACAGTTCCTACCAATCAATTGTCAAGACTGGGAGGTTCCTTATAGATCATGGGTGATTCAACACAACTTACCGATGGCATATTTATTGTTGTGTTGCAACAATTGTTTTATTTCTTGTACCTTTTTGAATTTCTTGTTTTCATTTTCCTTGCATTTTTATTTGTTACTTGCTAAATTTCTGAAACAAACTTGTCTGGTATCCCTTGTTATATGCCCAATGGTAATATTGATGTCAGCTCAAAAACTAATCGGTTTGCTTTCCTCTTACAAAGTAGGTCAGTAAATGACCCCTATTGATTTTAGGTCATTAGGTCAAAGGTCAAGGTTACAGTGATACTTTGTATAATATCACTGTCTACTCAATTACTTGAGACAGAGTTAATTCAAGGTTTTGAAACATTGCCCATGGACAGTGGATGATGGTTTGACCCCCTCTTGATTTGTAGGTCATTAGGTCAAAATCATAGTCCCAAACTTAGTCCACGTTTGTGAAAAATGGTAGGGACTTGATTGCCCATGATAAGTTGATGACCCTTACTAATTTTGAGATCATTAGGTTGATGGTCAATGTCACAGTGATACTGGTGTAAAACTTTGTTCCATCAACAATTTGTTCTAGTTGTTTTCTAACTTGACGACTTGAATAAATAAAACCTTGATTTATGACAATTTCTTGTTATTTTATAATCATAAGGATTGTTTAGATAAAATATCATATTGTACAATATGTTTTGGAATATATCATGAATGTGTAAATTGAAAAATGATATTTCATTCTTCAAACCAATTTATACTTTGGGGTTTAATGCCGAGCATTAATTTTGCAGTGCTCTTATTGGGATATTTCCAGTAATATTAAGTTTGGTACCACAGGTGCTTGAAACAAACTTTTTAAAGTTTTATATGGGCTATATACAATAATAAGATACATATATAGAGCGGTTATGTAAAATATTGGATTATGTGACTAGCGCCTGTGTTTGGTACCAAACTGTATAGAACCATAGGCCAGAGTACAGTGGATGAGCAGGGTGGCTTAGCTCTGACCTGGTTTATATATACAAAAAAATGTATGTTCCTTTTGACAAAATTGCCAAATATTTTGCACATGCTTAACACCAACGGCAAAATTTTCCTAGAAAAAAAGCATTTTTTAATAGGAAACTTTCTCAAGAAAATTTTGCAATGTATTAATATTCCCAGTTTTATTTGTTTTGCTTTTATGTGCATGTAAAAAATCACTCCTTGTCTTGTTTGATCATCCTTCTTCATTTTTGTTTTGAACTCTACTTCAAATTGAAAATTGTTTGTTGTTTCGTGTAAAAATGATTATCATGGCTAGCACATTTTATTCTCACTTTTACCCTCAACAAAATAAGTGTGAATTACGTAAGGAAAGATGTTAATGAAAAAAATAGTACACAACACTGAGTCTTCTAGCATTATAGTGATTAGACAGTCAGCAGGCTAAAATTTTACGGACTGAAATCTTGAAATCGGAGGCTCGGAGAGGGCCATTCAATGTTTTGGGCTAACTTGGGAGGTCACTGTAATGCTGAAGACTGAAGTACTGTAAATTCCTTAATTTTGTTTGCATGAAATTTCATGGTTTTGTCAAAAAATTTCTAAAAGTTATTAAATTCGTGGACTGTTAATTTTTCCAACAGGTAAAATGTAATAATGTGATGCACAATAATCTTAAGCAGTCAAAATAAAATTTTATTGGAATCTAAATTTGTGGATTGACCTATCCACAAAACCATGAAAATTAGTACCCCACAAATAATTATGATTTTGCAGTATTGTGTTCTGTGAGAAACAACATATCAAGTACTGAAATTAGCAGTTGTATAATGTGTGTTCTGTAAAATTTCTGTGATTATACACCACTAAATTTTAGCAGTTTTTCAATGAAAAGATAATAGTACCTGCTAAAGGTGGTCACATTTATGCTTTTTTATATTATTTAAAGACCTTACACCTTTATAAGGAATGCAAGGTGTAAATATTGCCTATTATAATCGGGAGGGTTAATACATACACTATGGGGGGAAAATAATTGTGGTTTGGAAGGTAAATGTTTATAGAGGGAGGGTAAATTATTCTAGGGGAAGGGTAAATTATTCTAGGGGGGGGGGGGGGGGGTAAATTTTTAGCACATTAGCCTTTTAATAAAACTGAATCATCACAATTTTTGCATTAATTAATATAGACTCTTCAGGCATTTTTTGTTACATAAAAAAGTTATACCTCTTAACCTGCTGTATTTCTTAAATGGACTTGTCCAGCATCCTTTTTCGGAACTGTCTATTTTCAATTTTGATAATATGGGGATAAAAATCTGAAGTTAGTCAGCCAACAGTTTAAAGCATCTAAACTGGTGGAAATGATTTATCAATTTCGGTTCCAGCAGGGTAAGAGTTAAAAATGTTTATTAAAAATAATGGATGACAAAGGCCTCTGTTGTTGACAAAGTATTTAACACTACATTAATCATATATTTCAGGTTACAAGCAGCCCAATACCTCAGCATGAGTCTATCAGCAACTGGATTTCAGCCAGCTGTCCTAACCCCTCAACCGTCGGCAGTCACCAGTCACTTACAACCAGTTTAACACAGTCATCATAGTTAGGACACAGTTCAGCTGTCCTAATCTCTCAACCATCATGTATCACCTACAACCAGACTATCACAATCATCATAGTTAGGACAAGGGTTTGTTGTCCTCAACCATCATGGATGCTACAACCAGTTTATTACAGGACATGGGTTAGCTGTCCTAAACCCTCATCCATCATGGATGCTACAACCAGTTTATTACAGGACACAGGTCAGCTGTCCTAAACCCTCAACCATCATCTACAACCAGTTTATTACAGGACACAGGTCAGCTGTCCTAAACCCTCAACCATCATCTACAACCAGTTTATTACAGGACACAGGTCAGCTGTCCTAAACCCTCAACCATCATCTACAACCAGTTTATTACAGGGCACAGGTCAGCTGTCCTAAACCCTCATGGATAATTAACCTACAACCAGTTTATTACAGGACACAGGTTAGCTGTCCTAAACCCTCAACCATCCCCTACAACCAGTTTATCTATATCATCATACTATTCATAGTGAGGACAGGGGCCCATTACCGTCATCCGTCACCTACAACCAGTTTATCACAATTATCATAATTAGGACACAAGTCATCACAGATATAACCCAGTCATTGATGATTTCAGAACTTGATTTACTACTGTCTCATATATACTCAGGTTGTCTCAGCATTTTTGGAGATTCAGTATTACAAGTAAACATTACTTCTGTACTTTTCCACTATGACCTAACAAGTGTCATGAAAGTCTATGATGTAAGAATTGTAATATAAAAGTAGTCAGCACTTGGCATATAAATTTACGATATTTAATTAATTGGGTAATTTAGTTGCACTGATAGAATACTTGTTTCTCATGCCATTTATTCCCCATCCACTGGTACATTTCTAACCATTTATTTGGAGATGTTGGCAGTTTTGTATGTGGAGAATCCAGATAGTATCAGTACAGAAATGTAGGAATACTTATTCAGTACTTGCCTGCATGCAAAATGACTGGAATATTCATAATACATCAGCGCCAAGTTGGAACAAAAATGCAAAAAATTTATTTCATTATTGTAACGGCACTTTGGTATATATCAAACTGCAAATTATATAAAAAATACTGCTAAATGCTTCAATTTGAATACAATTTGCATTTTGATTATTTTTCATACACAATACTTAAGATACAAAGGCTGAAAGGTTTATGTTATTACAGAAAATTTGCATACCAGTACTACTTCTAAATGTGGCAATTTTTGTCAACTATCAAGTTATTTGGGTGTAACGTCTTTCTTCTGCTTGATCATCTGTGCCTTCATATTATAACTGCTGTTTAACAGTTGCTTATATATACATATACATGTATATCATGAATTAGAATGTGATATTTATTTATATCACTACTAATGTCAAATGAAATTCAATGCAATAAGTAAATTATTGTACAGTAATTCATCCTAGTGTTTCATTTTTTTATATATATACATATATATAGCATTATATATACATTATTATAAATAAAATTGTATTATATTTATTCTATGACTAATCAGTATTAACTGAACATTTGCAGATATTATATTTTGTTGGAATTCTCAATCTGTATTTTACATGATGCTGCCTTCATATTATATTATATGTTCTTCAATATTGCTAGGACTGTCAATTTATACTGTATACTGTTGAATTTATTTAATGGATTTTTGTTTAATGGATTTTCCTATAATGAATTTATGTTTAATGGATTTCTGTTTACCAGTAATGGATTTATGTTTAAAAGATTTTCATTTAATGGATTTTTCCCTACGTACTTTGCATTTGGAACAGTCCATTTTAAAGTTTTAAGCCCGATTCTATACTTGTTGCAAAGACCTATGGGTTGGTTAATTTGGATTTTATTTTCTTTTCATTTATTTAATAAAGAAAATGATTATAGATATTATAAAAACAAACAGTTAAAATATATGTAATTTAAGGCCTGTTTTCTGAAATATTATACATATTCAGTAAATTATTTTGGATGAAAATTGATATTCACTGTATTAAAGCAGCTGTGGAGTATTACAGTGTTTTTATTGGTGTTTTTACAGTTCACTTCTTAATATATTTTAAAATACCTTCAACTGACAATAGACAGTTCTATATGCAAGGTGAAACTTTCAATAACATTCATTATGGTAAATTTCATAAGAAAATCAAAATTTGAAATACCTTAGATGAAAATTTGTTAATTTCAAATGCAAATCAAAACTTGAAATATTTTCACTTGAAACTTTTTCAATTTCAAATGCCAAGGAAAACTTAAAATACCTTCAACTGATAATAAACAGTTCTGTGAGGCCATTACAAAACTGACAGAGGACATTCAGCTTAAGTGAAACATTTGACAGTCTTACAACATGTTTCATTTTGTAACGGTGTAGCCATTTTGAATTCTCATTTCTTCCTCTAGTCACTCCAGACTTCTTCATTTTTATTCCTTTCTAGGAATCAATGTGTTTTGATTCGACTTTTATAAAATACTTGTGTTGATGGTTTGCATACACACTCATATGCAGCAAAGATTGTGTAACTCTGTTATGCATGCATATAATTTGTGTAAAGGTGTGTGCATATTGTGTGTACATGTATATATGCTGAGCGTATATGTTGCTGCATATATTGTGTATTCAACTATACATATAATTTTTCTATGTGAAAATATTACATTTTAGTATGTATCATAATAATTATGTACTGTGTTATTCATGTTATAAATACTATTTTTAGCACACAGGTAAAGGTATATATTTATTTGTGACATTATAGACAAAAAATTAAAATAGGCTAGTTATATATTTTAAGAAGTAAAATTTCAAAGAAAAAAGTTTTCTAAATTTGACTGCATGGTAACTTTCCATAGCTTATTGCCTTCCACTAATTTATGTGTACAATAAATAGCTCAATTTGTATCATTATATAGAATATTAAAGTTATCTTTTGTATAGCATGCTGATTTGTTTCAACTTTGTATAATATCTTTTTTTTTTCAAAATTACATGATAACTATTCAATAAGATTTCTAATAAATTTAATTATTAGGAAACACTAGATTGCACTTTTTCAAAGCTAAATCTGTGATAAATCAGGGCATGAATTTAGTCCCTATTTTACAGAATTGTATTATATAATCATTGTATTTTATTTCAAAATGTTAAGAATTGTTTCAAACAGTTTTTTTAACATTATTTCAGAATGTTGCCTATCATGGTTTGTTTTAACAGTAATTTTATTAAAGGCACATTATGTCTCGGAAACAAATAAATATTTCATTATTTAGAAAGGGCAAACATAAGTTTTATAAAGTTTTAAGAACGTTTTTAGAGCATGTTAGATGATTTTCACCTGAAGAAAGTAGCACTGAATATGAAATTGTTTGTCATAAAGGTAGCAAAATGTAAACAAAGTAGTATTTTGACTTCCATACAAAAATACTAAATCACTAAAATAGAACTACAATGTAATTCCAAAAAGAACTGGGCAAAAGATGGTTCATGTAATTGATCAATGTGTATTTTAAGGTAACCATTCAAGGACATAAAAAAAATATTAAAAAAAGCTTTTCAGAAATAGAAATAAAAGCATTTCCTGGGCATAATGTGTCTTTTAGATCATACTTTCAGAATGAAAAAATATACATCCTGAAGTGATTTTGATTGTCTGTGATTTCATCTTACAGTGCTTTAATGTTTCTTCATTTTAAATTAGATTCATATAAAATCGATTGTTTATATTGTATGCAATTTTAGTATACTTTATTTTATAATTTTGTGTAAATAATTTCTTTATTCCCTAGTGCCTTATTAGCACATACTGTTTGTATATTCTGCACAAGTTTATGATACAATGATTTGTTGACCAATAAAATATTTAAGACAATTTCTGTTCATACTTATATTCCAACTAGAGCACACTAGTCTTGTCTGTAGAAGGCAACCATTATCAATTACAAATTTTTATAATGTTATGCGTTTAATGAATGAATCCCAAGACCGTGACGTGTAAATTTCAAAGTATTTACTGACTGAATAGCAAACAGTGCAGACCATGATCAGAAGTCACGGATATACCAGCTTATTTTGGTGTTCACTGCCATGTTCAGTTGATGAGAGTTAAAGCAGCATGCCTCCATGTTGGAAATGTAAGAAACTAACACAAAAACACTATAGTTTGTCAAAATACAGTCAACTATCGTTATCTCGACATCGCTTTTCTCGATATTTCGTTATCTCGATGAAATTTTGAAAGTCCCGATTTTCTTCCTTCTTTATCTATATTGGAAATATTTGTTTATCTCGATATTTTTATTTCGATATTTTCAGTATCTCGATGTAATATTTCAGCCCCAACAGTTATTTTCACACTATTATCCTTTGTTTATCTCGACTAATAGTTTTCTTTCATCTGTTCCCTTCAGACGTGTGAAAAACACAAACTAGACGATAATTGCTCAATTGCGCGTGTCATAATGATGATTATGTTTGTAACAAGTTAAGCTGTTTTTATAAAAGTTAATCTATTTAGCGAGTTGATTGACTTATGTCCAAAATGAGTGAATTTTACGTTCTTTATAAATATTCGAACACTGTATTAATTCAATATGACTTTAAATGTAAATGAAATAGTAAGTATAGAAACACAATCGTTGCAATATTGTTTCACAACATCACCACCAAATCAATAAGCAGCCGAACAATCTCGAGAAAGACCCGATATATAACAAATCAACCACCCTGAAAACAATGTTTTCACCATATCGATGTATTACTGAGTAAACCTCACTATATGTGTTTATCACAGACACAAGTATTTCCGCTGGTAAACATCCGCTATTGTTACTTTGTTAAATATTGGCTAGGCCTATGAAAACAAGACAATGGGAAATCATAGTTTATTTGACATAAGGTATGCACATGTCTTTTGTGAAATCAGTTTCTGCCTTATTCAAACCCTTATTTGTTTATCTCGACATTTCGTTATCTCGATATTTTTTGGACGGTCCCGATGACTTCGAGATAACGAGAGTCGACTGTATACTGTACAGAAATTTACTATGCTGCTCCTTAGGTAACAGGGTAGCTAGAATAGATAGCATACAAATGTACATTCAAGTTTCACCTGGATGCGTACATTCACATAACACATATTTTTCTTAAACATGAATTTTTGGCCAAAAAATATTTTTCATTTGTTGAGACAACTGGAACCTGGTAAGAATAATCTTCAGAAATCTTCTCAAGGCATGTTTATCTTGTTCTTGTATAATTCTTTTTAGCATTCAAATGAATTTGTAAATCTGCCAGAACACAGTATGAACATTTGACTTTACACCATAACATAACTGAAAAAATTTATTATTCAATTCTTAACCGACTGGCACCATAGCAACCAGTGCAGACCAAAATCTGTGTCAAATGATCATGGTCAGCACACTGTTTGCTACTCAGTTATAACATATTTGAAATATTACACATTGTAAACACTTCATCTTAGATTAGATAGGAAAGTATAAAATATCCTTGCTAACAACTTCATCTTTATCTTAATGAATTTACAAAATTATTTTTGTACTAGAAGGAATGGTCTTTCCTTTCAAGATAAATAATTATTAGGTTCTATATAAAAAATCTTTTAGACCGCCTCGGTGGTCAAGGGGTTAGAGTCGATGACTTCTAATCCAGTTACCTTTCTGGCGTGGGTTCGATCCCCAGGAGATGCTTTAATAGTTAAGCGCTGAGAAAGGTAGTCTAGTACTGGTGTAACTCTCCAGGAACAATGGTTAGGAAACTACCCGCCTATATGACTGAAATACTGTTGGGAAAAGGCGTAAAATCAAACAAAAAAACAAAATAAAAAATCTTTTACAGCAAGACAGTGTATGTGCGTATGGTATAATAATAATTTCTTTCTCAAACTTGAAAAGATCAGCCTTAGGAAAGAACTTACCAGAGCTTTACTGGTTTATGTGACTTTCTGCTTGACGTCTAAAACCAATGAAACCAAAACAACTTTTCTATACAAATACAATGTACAGCATTTTTCAATTCCATAAGGAAAGGCCATTCTCACCTTTACAAAAATAATCTTAAATATGAAAGTGTTGAATTTTCTGTCGGCTTGATAATTAAGTAACATTTTTCATAAGCGCACATACAGTTGTACCGTATTATCTCCAAAGAAATTCCTCAGATAGAGAACACTATATGTTTTAAAGTATAAAATGAAAATATTTTTAACTTCGTTTATTTTTCTTTAAAAGTTAATGCATGGTTCGTAGTTCAAGGGTTGATTGATAAATTCCCACAAGAATATACCAAATATCATCTCTGAGTAAAACAATAAAGCTTTTATAAACACTGCAACAAACAAAGTATTATATAAGAATTCATTTATGTATTAGAAATTTTTAATTTTTTTAATTGACTAAATGTGTACAACAAAGCATTAGCAACATAGATACATACACAGATACATACACAGATACACATGTATATAAAGTCAATCCTTAAAAAAAGTATAAGCTAATATCTGCTGCAAGAACTCTTATTAGAATTTAAAATTAAAAACACAGGTGACGAATGCCCCTGAAAAGGTTTCTTTAGCATGCAGGTATTATGAAAAGAAAAGACAATGAAAGTAACTAATTGCTTAATATTGTTCTTGTGAAATAAACTGCTATTTATAGCAAACTTAACACCTTGGGACAAGGGTCTTGGATGTGACACGTCATCTTGATGTGCCAAGTTATTTTAAAATCTTTGAATGCATGACAATGTTACATTTTGGAAACTAATGTGTACCTTTAAACTCTTCTTAAGTACCTTCAAACTATTAGAGTGACCTTGACCTTGGAGGTAGGAACATGAGTCTTACACACAACTCTTTATCTTGATGTTGCAGACATTTGTGCCAAGTTATTTTAAAACTCTTCAATACAAATTGACAAAGTTATAGTACAGACACAATGTGTGTACCTATAATCTCTAATTGTGATAGCTTGAACCTTCAAAATATAAGTGTGACCTTGACCTTTGCAGAAGGGAGGTGGTTCTTGGACACAACACACAACACAACGTTGTTATGTGATAGACATTTGTGCCAAGTTATTTCAAAATCCTTCAATGCATGACAAAGTTACAGTTTGGACATGATTATTGTGCAAGTGGGGAGGCTCGGACAGACAGACGGACATAATTATGCAACTAGAAATGATGGCAAATGAAACCAATATCACCTTCCAAAGAGTGTTGACATCAGAAAAATGCAATAAATTATGAGAAGAATTTATCGTTTAACAGTATGATAATTATATATCGAACAGCATCCCTGAGTTAAATACAACGATGTTTCTAGGACAACTATGAACAAGCACAATATTACAATAGTACAAGTGCAAAATGTTTGATTTATGTGTATTAAAAAGAAATAAAAATAACTTTACTAAGAAAAAAAAGAGAAAAATAAGTGTGTATGTAGATTTAATCATAATTAACCTATCCCATGATAAAACCAACAAGTTTATGTTTAGAACCAGGCATGCAAACAGAATTTATGCCATCCCAAGACCAACATTTAAAATATTTTCATCGTGATATCCCTAAATTGAAAATGGGCTGTCCAAAATTGATTTTGGAAAAGTCTTTTCAGTAGTTTTAGTTTACCAGTATCACTAAAATACTTCAAAGAACACAGGTTTGACTTTAAATAATAAATTGACTTCTTTTATAATTGCCCTTTAAAATCATTCAAGTTGACATAACAATAAATATTTCTTAATTGGATTTCTTATTTTTCCTTGAACTTCCGCTTTTTTGTGATGTTTTCTTTGTAGGCAGAGGGGCTGCTACAGTTTGTCTCTGTGTCTTTGGTAAATATTCTGTCACAACTTGATTCATTATAATTACAGCCATGAATGACACGCTGCCGTTACACAGTAGCCATAGCACCCAACCAACTTGTGATGTAAACCATGTGGAATATAAGGCCAACATCATTGTTGTCACAACTAAAGTAAAAGCTACCAGTCCTGATGTAGCGTGATAAATCTTTAACTTTCCTAAGCTCATTCGCACACCTATAATTCTTCTGATCCACTCGTATTTCACTACATCTCCGCCTAACGACTGCGCTGTGATGTATATGACGGTTATCAACCCCAACAAACCATGCCAGGTCGTAAAATGTGGCTTATCATTGATGGATTTATTGTAATAGATGACGGTGAAACCAAGAATTGCACACACGACAGCTGCCATGTTCAAGACCTGATGAATTAGTACTTTGGTTGGTCTGGCAACATTGACAAACAGAGAGCTTTCTCTGTTAAACACCAGAAGACCCTCCCACATACAGGCAACAAACTGGAAAGAAATGTAAGAAAACTGAAGATGTACATTTTATATGTATAAAGACATGATATACGAACATATGTTTAAGAACTTAACAATGTATTTCATCTTTATCCTTTGCATGCTTAATTTGTATTAAACAAGAGCCATGTCAACATGGCCATCCCCCACCGATAGTGTTTGCTCATTGGAAGAATGTATATGTAGTAGAGAAGAAAAATTCAATTTTAAGGTCTTTTGGTAATGAAAACAGATGGCTGAAGTGATAACAGATTCGAAACCTATGTGAATACTGATGGCTGAAAATAATAAAGGGCAATAACTGAAAAATAATGCAAGGTATGTTATCATTCTTGTGTGCTGCATCCCTCCTCAGTAAAATCTATTCACCTATGAAGTTTCAAGTTGATACCTCAAAAACTTTTGAGATAAGCTCCGGACAAAAAAGTATGAAAAGAACAAAGGGCAATAACTCAAAAATTATATAGGGAAGAGTTATTATTCTTGCGCACAGCATTCCTTCTCAATAAGATCTATCTCCTGACAAAAAAGTATGAAAAGAACAAAGGGCAATAACTCAAAAATTATATAGGGAAGAGTTATCATTCTTGCGCACAGCATTCCTTCTCAATAAGATCTATCCACCTATGACATTTTATGTTGACATCTTAAACACTTTTGAGTTATGCTCCACTCAGGTGAAAAATTAAGTTTGAAAAATAACAAAGGGCAACAAGCAAATTCGTTAAATTTATATCCCCTACCGAGTACTGCTTATTACTAACACAACAACTGAAGACATAAGGCTTTATTTATATATTTATCATGGCATAAACAGTAATATTCTTTGAACTTGATAAATATTCAGGGCAATAACAGAGCCATAACTCTGTGTTAAATAGTAATATCTGGAAATGCCAATGAGATGTATGCATACTGCATAACTAATCAAGGGCCATAAATCTAAGTTATAAGTGTCTGACCGGAACAAGGCGACTATATGCACATCTCCTCTTTGTATCCCATAAAGTTTCATTGAGTTCCAGCCAGTAGTTACAGAGAAGTAGCACGTAAACGATTTTTGCTCTGGTTGTATACTGCATAAGTTATCAAGGGCCATAACTCAAAGTTAAAATGTCTGACCCAAACAAGGCGACGATATGCGCATCTCCTAATGGTATTGAAGGTTCCAATAAAGTTTCATTGAATTCCAGCCAGTAGTTGCAGAGAAGTAGCGCAGAAACAAATATTTTTCTATATGCATACTGCATAACTAATCAAGGGCCATAACTCTGAGTTAAAATGTCTGACCCCAACAAGGCAATGATATGTGCATCTTCTCTTGGTATTGAAGGTTCCCATAAAGTTTTGTTGAATTCCAGCCAGTAGTTGCAGAGAAGTAGGGCGGAAATGATTTTGCTCTATATGCATACTGCATAACTAATCAAGGGCCATAACTCTAAATTAAAGTGTCTGACCCAAACATGGCGACGATATGCGCATATCCTCTTGGTATTGAAGGTTTCCATAAAGTTTCGTTGAATTCCAGCCAGTAGTTGCAGAGAAGTAGTGCGGAAACGATTTTTACTCTATATGCATACTGCATAACTAATCAAGGGCCATAACTCTGAGTTAAAGTGTCAGACCTGAACAAGCCGATGATATGCGCATCCCCTCTTGATATTGAAGGTTCCCACAAAGTTTCGTTGAATTCCAGCCAGTAGTTGCAGAGAACTACTCCGGAAACAAAATTCGGACGGACGGATGGACGGACGGAAAGACGGACAACGCCAAAACTATATCCCCTTTCCGATTCCATCGGCGGGGGATAATAATTTAAAAATTATGAAAGGTAGAGTTATCATTCTTATGCACTGCACACCTCCTAACTGAGATCTATGCACTTATGAAGTTTCATGTTGATATCTCAAAGGCTTTTTGAGTTATGCTCTGGACAAAATAGTATGAAAAATAACAAAGGGCAATAACTCAAAAATTAGATAGCAAAGAGTTATCATTCTTGCGCACAGCATTCCTCCTCAATAAGATCTATCCACCTATGACATTTCATGTTGACATCTCAAACACTTTTTGAGTTATGCTCTACTCAGCTGAAAAATTAAGTATGAAAAATAACAAAGGGCAATAATTAAAAAAAAAAATATGAAAGGCAGAGTTATCATTTTTTTGCATTGCACACCTCCTGGGTGAGATCTATGCACCTATGAAGTTTCATGTTGATATCTCAAAGGCCTTTTGAGTTATGCTCTGGACAAAAATTAATTTTGAAAAATTACAAAGGGCAATTACTCAAAAATTATGCAGGGTAGAGTTATCATTCTTGTGCACTGCACTCCTCCTCAATGAGATCCATCCACCTATGAAGTTTCAAGTTGATACCTCAAATAATTTTGAGATAAGCTCCGGACAAAATAGTATGAAAAAGAACAAAGGGCAATAACTCAAAAATTATATAGGGAAGAGTTATCATTCTTGCGCACAGCATTCCTCCTCAATAAGATCTATCCACCTATGACATTTCATGTTGACATCTCAAACACTTTTGAGTTATGCTCCACTCAGGTGAAAAATTAAGTTTGAAAAATAACAAAGGGCAATAATTCAAAAATTATGAAAGGTAGAGTTATCATTCTTATGCACTGCACACCTCCTGAGTGAGATCTATGCACCTATGAAGTTTCATGTTGATATCTCAAAGGCTTTTTGAGTTATGCTCTGGACAAAAATTAATTTTGAAAAATAACAAAGGGCAATAACTCAAAAATTATGCAGGGTAGAGTTATCATTCTTGTGCACTGCACTCCTCCTCAATGAAATCCATCCACCTATGAAGTTTCATGTTGATATCTCGAATACTTTTTGAGATTAGCTCCTGACAAAATAGTATGAAAAATAACAAAGGGCAATAACTCAAAAAGTAGATAGCAAAGAGTTATCATTATTGCGCACAGCATTCCTCCTCAATAAGATCTATCCACCTATGACATTTCATGTCGACATCTCAAACACTTTTTGAGTTATGCTCCACTCAGGTGAAAAATTAAGTATGAAAAATAACAGAGTTATCATTTTTTTGCACTGCACACCTCCTGGGTGAGATCTATGCACCTATGAAGTTTCATGTTGATATCTCAAAGGCCTTTTGAGTTATGCTCTGAACAAAAATTAATTTTGAAAAATTACAAAGGGCAATAACTTAAAAATTATGCAGGGTTGAGTTCTCATTCTTGTGCACTGCACTCCGCCTCAATGAGATCCATCCACCTATGAAGTTTCAAGTTGATACCTCAAATACTTTTTGAGATATGCTCCAGACAAAAATGTCGGATGGAAGGACGGACGGAGACTATTTCTATATCCCCCGCCGCCTTTTCGGCGGGGGATAGTAAAAAAATGGACTTGCCCTGCTCGATGATTTGGAAATTGTTCATTGTTTTTCAGTGATTTTCAAGTAATTAACCTTTAACCTGCTGAAACCAAAAAGAGCGAGGCTATCCGCAAACCAATGTCAGATTTTCCATACTTATTGATATCCCCAAAGCTAATGATAGACATTCCAATAGATTGAAGCTGGACCAGTCCATTTTAGAAATTTTGCAGGTTATAGGTTAAAATTACTACTTAAATTTAGGTTGATTTTTTTTGCATCATATAATTAATTGTATACATGTAGACTAGTTACTACAAATACATTCAGCTGTCAGAGAATAAATTTACTATATGATAAGCCAGGCTGGATAAGCATACATTCTTGATTGAGAAATCATTATCACACATGTTATAGTTAAATTTATATTACCCATAACCCTGATCATGACAGAGCTTGATTCCATCCATATGACCAATGAAAACCAATTCAGAAGGCACTTCCATGATCTGCACTATTTACTATTCAGTCAGTACATATAAATATTTTGAAAATTTCCCTAAAAATGAATATTTTTTGTTCATATTGAAAGATGAACAAGTTCATTTAAGATATTTAGCAAGTTAAAGAGTTAAGTCTCAAAATTATTTTACTTACAGCAAACACCATCAGTGTAGGATGCCAGGAAAACAAACCTGCAAAAAAATGATATAAATTTACAGATCAAGAATTTTTTCGCAGGTAAGGGGAAGGAACCCTTCCTTAAATTTTGAAGAAAAACGACACATTATTTTTGCAAATGGTGAAGAAGAAAACATGGATGTAAAATGAAATTTAGAGGAAAACTGTATGATTTTGAAATATTTTCCTAGGGAGGAGATGCTTGCAAACTGACAAACAGCCCCTGCTAAAAACGTCTGCAGTTCAACTAAAAAAATCTTCAGTTGGATCATTGTACAAATTTCTTTGTAAAAGACCTATATAACTTTGACCCACCCAAGAAGTGTTCACTGTAAACCTCAATGAACAAGTCAATATGAAAAAATAGTTGAGAGATCAATACATGTAATAAATAATCTGGTCAGACTTCATTGATATTTCAAAATTCGAACAAACAATCCCTTAAAAAAATATCATTGTAAGTAGCTCTTCCACATTGATTAACTTTGAGCTCTGACATTCAGAAAGTTCAGACTAATTACAAAATAGTTGCAACATAAGTTATACAAATATTTTATTCATAATACACTGTAACCAGTGCTTTTCTTCCATGTTAGTTAGTTTTTAATTGTGTGATCTATGAGATATAACTCTTTAGACTGGATGTTAACAATTGTGGTGCTTGCACAGGGTTATCTAAGGCTGGTGAGAAGTAAAGGGTTTAATGACTTGTGAAAATTCTATGTTTAGGTGCTTCCCTGTGCTTTTTACAGAAGGTCAATAAATTACAGACAGCTTCTCCATGAAAAATGGTATTACTGATTTAAAACATATGAATCAAATAACATGTAGACTTGATCTTGTGCTATATCTAACATTGTCATTTATAGCGAGCTCAACGAGCTGGCCCGAAGGGCCTGCTCCCAAAGCAAGCTTTATGGTAAAGCAAGTACCTGCTAAATGATGGTTTTGAAAACTTTCGTCCGAAGTACCGAATTTGACACATCACAACTTTACTAATTACAAGAGAACGATAAAAGTTGATGTACTCTGACTGAAAACGGAAGCGTAGACTGGTGTCCTGGGCAAGTCTATAGGAACCATAATAGAAAGGGGGAACCAGAATAAACGGAAGCAATGTATAAAATACAGAATGACAATTTTAAAAAGGAAAATGTAAAATAAAAATGAACGATTATATTTAACTATCTTACGGTAAAGGAAAATCGAGCTCGCATTGAGGCTTTGCCTTTTTCATATTAATATCTATGTATGGGAACTTATGTAAATTAAGATGCTGAATATCATTAAACAGTAAAGTGTATAATGTCCTAGAATTTAACATAATCATGTGATTTTTATCGACTGTTATACAAAACTGATTAAGGTATTTGTAAAATCAAATTGCATAATTGAAACGATCTAAAAATAATGAAATGTCAATAGTATATTCACTAAAATAATATAACGTGGCACAAATTAGCACTTAATTTGCAACAGTTTTTACTGCAGCCTCATATGAACGAAGCAAATAAACTTTGTGAATTAGAAACAATGCTTACTTGATCCTGGCCATGCAGTATATACCATAAATGCTGTATACACAACAGTTACAATGTGGGCAACCATCTTTTTAGTGGATTCTAATAAAAAAAAATAGAGTTGAATATGTGCTGTAAACTTTAACTTTCAGTTTCAGTTTACACACATCCGGGGAGTTCATAATAATCTTGATATAAAGAAGCTTGGTAAAAATCATCTAGTGATGCAGACGAATATTCCGATTAAAGGGAACTAACTCGATATTATAAAGGCTCCGCAGTACTAAATAATAAATGGTTACCATTTCACAAATATTTTTCTATGCTTTATAATAATAATAATAACTTCTACTTCTACGTCTAAGTTGGTCTCGTCTGTAAATCCGCTGTGCAGACATCAGCGACGAGTGGTGATGTGAAATGTGCTCAATTAAAAAAAACGTGGGCTAAAACCTGTCCCCCATATAAAGCGCATGCACGTTCAAAGGCGCTGTACATAAGAAATAAAGGAATAATCACAAAAGAAGTATTATCGGATAAAACGTAAAAAATAAAAGAAGATACAAAATGAAGGTAAAAATAAGATATACCCGTGTGCTGCTACACACGTAAAACGTTTAAAATGTCTTACAAAACCGGTAAAACTTACAGACTTGTGTAAATAACTAGAAGAATATCAATAGGTAATTGTAAAAAGATGAGTTTTAAAGCTTTTTTAAAAGACGAGAGAGTTTTAAAGTCACGTAGTTCTGAAGGTAATGTACTGTTCCAAAGTTTTTGTGCTGCAACTGAAAAATATCGATCACCGTATATTACAGTTCTGGAACGTGGAACATTCAGTAAAACCGGTCCATGCAGAGACCTTAATTGTTTTTTGAGTATATATACTGTTAACAAGTTTCTGGTGCATTGCGGGGCTTCTCCGTGAAGGGCTTTAAAGACGTGAGTGAGGATTTTATAATCTATACGTCGATGTATTGGAGCACTGGCGTGATGCTGACACACCTAGAAGTTTTGGTTACAAGCCGTGCAGCGGTATTTTGAACGGTTTGTAGTTTGTTAAGAGCTGTCTTTGCAGAGCCATTTTGAAGGGCATTACAATAGTTCAGTCTCGATGTAAATAAATGATTCACCAAGGATTTTGCCGCATCGTCAGTAAGATATTGCCTTATTTGACCAATCTGTCGGATGTGCATATAGCATGCTCGGGAGACACTGTTCACATGAGTATTCATTTCTAGACGAGTGTCAAGCATAGCACCTACATGTAGGTTTCTAACTTTCATAGATGGCTTGATTACTGATTCCCCAACTTTTAAGGAAATATCTTCAGCCAAAGCAGAATTTCGTTTAGGAACGAATACAATTAACTCTTTTTTTCCAGCGTATAGTTTCAGCAAATTAATGTTCATCCAACTGACAATTTCGTTGAGACAAGCTTTATTTAATTGAATCAGGGACTGCGTTGTTTACCGGGGAAGGACAATTTGTCCTGTCCTGTCTTTTCCCGTCTTGTCTTTATCATTCTGATGTCCGTATCGCTTGCATTGATTGATGGAAGAAGTTCGATCATGTTCTTTTTACTTCGTTTGACTAAAACGATTCACAATATATTGAATAATAATCGTGAGCGTTCTAATTAAGCAGCTGTTTAGCTATGATATCCAATTTAAGAGGAAGCGGGAATGTGGAAATCATGAAAAGAAAAGCAAAATATTCCATTATATTCGATTAGGAGGTGTGGAATTTTATCTTGTGTAGCTCAATATGAATACAAATGTATCTATATCTATATTATACTGTTAATTATTATCATCGTTTTCTAGAACAATACAATTCAGTGATTCTACTTAAATCCAACAAACATGTGACAGTTTCTTGTTTTAGTCTGAATCGTGCTTATTTTATTGAAACTGGCCACTACGGAGTTCTAAGTCTTTAAAGTGAGGACATCATGATTACGGATTGCGGTATCTAGTAATTGTTTTATCCAGGAACAATATGGTGAGGTGACCCGTTTGATTGTATATGACAGTAAAACTATTGAATCACTTTAAAACAAACTAATAGCTGTTGGATACTATAAAATTATAGGCTTCTCTTTTATTTATATTTTGCAGCATTATTGTACTATATAATTATGTACATGTAAAATGTACATGTACATGTATTATGTACATGTATTGATTTTATGTTGTCACCATCTACTTTTTGTATCATAGTTTGGGAACCATTCTGTTGAAAATGTGCCAGAGTTAAATCGTATACATATACATGCACAGTGCGTTAACTGGAGTGCAAGTATTAGTTACCCGCACTCCAGAGCATGTCCATTGATTGGCTCATTTTTGCTGGGGTTTACATATTGTGACAGCAGAGAAAGGGATATATAGCATTCAGATGCTCGTCCATTTGTTCCTTTTTTTCTGGGGTTTCAAAATGTGACAACAGGGAACGTGTTTTTATGTTTGACTTTGATACAAAAGAGAAAGGTTATCAAAACACTCGGCAATCATACAAAATCAGATAGCCTGTGTTTCGATGCTCTTTCTATTAACTGGGCACATAACGTATGCCGCATTTCGATAGACATGTGATTGGACGAGACGGGGAAAATTAAAAAAAAATAAAACTGTGTGCTAATGATAGCTTTTCTGCAGCTTGTATAGGTCTCTACTTGTTGTTCTTGCGTGTTTCAAAAATAATAGCAAGCTCTCTCTCAATTTGTCGATCTCTTATATATTTTAACTTTCATGATTACAAATGTGCATTAATGTATGTATGGTTATATATATATATGGAAATCACGAGAAACTTGTTAAAGTTATAAATTAAAGTTTTCCTTCTTAATCAACGTTTAAATTTGTTGAAAGGGGAGAAAAAATGTTTATATAGCTTTAACAAATAATAATTACTTAGCTTTAGATAACGCCCCGTGTATCTGTATCTGCGTATGAGCATGTGCGCGCGAGCAGGCGCTCGAATTGTTTAAGGTTTTCATTGGTAAACTATAATATCGTTTGCCCCAAAATAAACATTCTGGAAAGGGGAAATCCTTTGAAAGCAACAAAACTAATAACAAATGTTTGAAAATCACTGGGTCGGTTTTATTGCGTCTTTTTATGAGAGATAATGAGAACATCTTTCAGTCCCTCTATCATCGGCCTATTCAGTATTTTAGCAATGATCATGAAAGGCCAGAAAAATATTACCGCATAATGAGATGAAAATCTGCATACTATTATTCCAAATTATAATCGGGTTTGTTAAACCCAGTTTGTATTCCTCTTTGACTGCCACAATATGTAAAAGAAACTAATTGCGTTTGTTCTGTCTAAAAATGTTATAACGGACGAGTTATAACGAACAATTGACGCTGATCAACACTTTGTGAATGACAACACTGTTCTGTATTTGAGAGCTAAAGTTTATTTTATTGTTCTGATATTTCATCGTTGCTGGAAATGATTTTAAACTTTTATGTTTAGATCTGCATTGTTTCGACAGGGACAGTATATACGTTCTTTATTTTTTTGTCATTTATTAGAGTTTAGTCACTGGTAGCAATATTGGGCAGAACAATGTTTTATAAACTTTTTACAATATTATAACCGGCAATATTTGGTTAAATAAACTTACGTCACTGTTTACCATGTGTGAAATTTTGTGAAAACTTTGAAACTGTTGCGAAAAAACTGACCTTTATCATTTATACATTTCAAACAAAAAAAGAGAAATATGGAATCCCTAAGGAACTTACAAAGCGGAAAATTGAAAACGTTACAGGCTCGGGATATAGCCTGTTCAATGTCGGTATTGCTAAGTGGCAATCTCCCGTCCACGCCCTTCACTGGCTTCAGAAGATTTCAACATTTAAACATCAAAAATGGTGAGAAACATAGATCTGCAGTTGTGTTCATACGACCATCATGTGACACGTTCGTATACGATTCCATGAAAAGTGACTTATGATTCCCGGGTAACAGAATGCGTAGGCCCTGAACGAAAAAAATCATATAACAATATGTGTTTTCTATTTTGGAAGGACAAAGTTCTGGTATTTTTAACAATTTTGCTGTGATTTGGACTTTGCTGTTGTCAATGTATCTAACTTTCTTCATAACCAGCAAAGTTCATGTAATAATTATGCTTTCATGATTTTATTAAACAGATTTTGTTCTAGGAGTGTTTATGGTATTTTAACTTCCTTCTATTTGAACTTTAGTTTGTGTGGTTCCAGTTTTCCGTATGATTACTCTTGAATATGTTCCCTGCTTTTTAATTTTGACGTCTGTAATATTGAATGAAGGTTCCCCTTTTAAAATTCCATTTTATTTAGTTCCGCCCATTTTATCGTTTAGGGGAAACGCACTTTTTTACTTTGGCGGCCATGCGCCGCTTTTCATGTACGCGACACATTGGAGGTTCTATGATAACCGCCGTATGAACACAACTGCGAATTTTTATTTTCTTTATTTTTTAAAATTAATGTTTAAATTTTGAATTCGGCTTCAGCCGATGCTAAGGGACGTTGGGTAGCTCGTTATTTCTAGTACTATGCTTAATCAAGCCGAGCCTGCAACTTTTTCTATTTTTTTTTTTTAGGGATTCTGTTTTTCTCTCTATTTTGTTTCACCAGTGTTTATATTATTGTCAGGGACAGATTAAGAAAAGAAATAAGTTAACAAAGTGTTAGGTCGTACAGTCGTTTAGGGTGTTCCGGATCTTAGTTAGTTCCGGACCACTGTCAGTAAACTAATAAAATTGTGAAACATGTAGTAAATATTTCTTGAAATAGTTGTTTGATTTTGAAAGAATGGTCTTTTCTGGAGAAATTGTCGGTTATTTATTTACCAAAAGCGATTTTCATGACATGATTTTATTTACTGATGACAAGTGACCTTCACATTTACTCCAGAAAAAGTACGGGAAAAAATGGCGATTCTGTGAACAGGGCCTCGTGAATCGGTAAATATTGAACCAATACATCATGTTTATATACCAAAATGTTCACAAACATGTCCTCTGTCAATCAAAATAAGCGAAAATACCATCACCTGTTCTTGACAATAGTCACATGCCATGAAATGAAAGCAGTCGTTCGGCTAGTTTCGAATCACGTGACCTTCCATACTGGGGGTGTTCTCAAAAGCACTTTGGACTGTCAAAACAGCTGATTTCAAGTCACAATTGATGTTTAATAATGTTGTAAATTAAAATGTGTTACTGTTTTGATAATTGGGATATTTTTCCTGAATTATAGCTGATTTATTGAGGATTTATTTGTTTGAAATGTGATTTTTTGTTAGAATGTTATCTGAATGTATTTAAATTACAACTTTATTTAACAGACTGACAGAGTTATTCATGCAAAATATATTTATGTGTTTCATTTTTTATTTCCTGTTGTATGGTGAAATTAAAAACAATTTCAAATAACATCAGTTGCACTTAAATATGTAATTTATTTTCAGAAATGGGGAAACCAAAACATCAGAGTCCAGCTGTCAAAAAAGCAAACGCAGTTAAAAAGAAGTACAACAGGGGCTCACCTGGGAAATCACTCCGGTGCAAGAGAGCAATTCTGGCCATAGAAAAAAAAGAGGTAACTGTCAGGAAAGCATCAGAACTGTATGGCTTATCTTATGGTTATTTACATAGGCGTCTTTCTGGAGAGGTTGAATTAGATAGTCGAAATGGTCCACAGCCGATTTTCACTAAAACTGAAGAAGAGGCGATGGCACATTGGCTGAAAGAAATGGCCAGTCGAGGCATGGGGTTAAAGCCGGGAGATGTTTTGGACTTTGTTCAGAAATTAGTCACCAATGAAAAGAAACAAACACCATTTGCAAATAATAGGCCTGGATATGACTGGTACTATGCATTCATGAGGCGTAATAGTCACATCGTTGAAATGAGAACTGAAACCCCACTGGAAACTTGTAGAGCTAAACTTACAAAAGAGAAGACAGACAAATGGTACAGTTCATTTAGAGAGTTTTTGTCATTGAAAGGATTGATTGATAAGCCAACCCGCATATGGAATGCTGATGAAACAGGGTTCAGTATGGGAAGTACATCCGGCAAAGTCATTGGCCCAACAAGAGCACAACACCCAACTCAAGTGCCTCATTTGTCTGGTGGTCACAGTAAACAGCGTCTTACTGTAATGTAACCAATCATTTAAGATTATGATCTCAATCAGTGTTTACATGCTTTAAAATCTAGTCATTTTGTATGTTGTCTATTTGATTATTCTTTGATTAACTGTGATTACCCTGTTAAACCAATTATTTAAGATTTAAGATTATAATCTTGTTAGCTACTGTGTCAATTGTTACCATCTTGTTTAATAAATAATTCTGAATTATAATAATAGTTTAATCATTATTCTCTTAAATTGACCCATGTGTAAAATGGCCTTTTTGTCTGTTCTTCTGATAATTAATGCCAATGGCTCTTACAAACAAAGAATATTTCTGAAACACATCACAATTACTTGGGAAGGTTTTTGAAAATGTTTTGAGAAGATCCCCAATATGGTCCGAAACTGCCTAAACTGAACCGGAAATAACCGAAAAGGTCATGCTGCTCGAAGGTACAATCAAGAATGAAAGCTAACAGCTTTTTGCAAAAACTTATGTTGGTTAAAGAGAGGAAGAATTTATCTTTCTCTTGAAACAAATAAAATTCCATCAATGCTACTTTCAGATAAGTGACAAATATAATTGTTGTTAGCGATCCAGAACACCCTAAACGACTGTATACATTCCATTCATTAGCCCATCGTTTAACAACATATTGACCACTGCATTACGACATGGATGCCTCTGGACACCAAATAATAGACGTTGAAGGTCAGCAGATTTTTTAAAGTATTCACTTGACCTTAATTTCATAGTGACAGAGTACACATTTATCAGTTAAGTCTGTACTGAGGTATAACACTGGGAAAAACCTTTTATAAGTGACAATTAAGCTTTTTGTCAAAGTAAAGAATAAATTCAATAACAAGAATTCATCATGCTTAACACTTTTGCCAACTAAAATCCATTGATGCATGTCAGAGTTATGGACAAGATAACATTTTCTTAAGCCTTTGGGACCTTGATCTTGGAGTTAGGTGTCTTTGTCTTGTGCATGACACACTCTTTCATCAGAAGTGCCAAATTATTTCCAAAATCCTTTGATGCAGGACGGAATTATGGGACTGGTGACCTTTGACATCTAAGTGTGGCCTTGACCTTTGAGCTAGGGTTCTAGGACACTGTTTCATCATCAATCACATTTGTGCCAAGTTATTGAAAAATCCCTTGATGCATGACAGAGTTATGGTTAGGACAAGATTTGCTTGCTGAACAGCATGGACAAAACTAGACAATGAGTATTATTTTCATATTTTTTTTATTTAATTTATTTTGAATATAATTATTGTTTAATAAGCTTAATTTGAACAATGAAATACAGCATTTCATAAAATCAATTGCACACTGTGAAATATCATTTGACAAATTTAAAAATAGTTGGATACATTGTATAGCCTTTACATATTTTTCAGTAATAGTTATGAAAATGTTTGAGCATTTATTTTGAGTCATCAAAAATATATTGCTAAGCAGACTGGCTTGAAGTTGAAATAGAAATAAAAGGAGCATTGAGAAATGAAAAATATTTATATATGAGCCGCGTCACGACAAAACCAACATAGTCTGGATCCATGCTGGTCGCAAACGCACAATGTTGGTTTTCTCTGACGCGGCTCATATATTAAGCAATGTTTACATGAATTTAAAGTGAATTGGCCTATAATGGAAGGTGTGTAGTACTAAAAATAGTGACATTGTACTATTTAGTACCAGGCATAACAACAAACCATAACATTATATACATGTATGTAAAATTATATATATGTATGTACGTTGTTGGCAAGAGTGAGAGATACATGTTCTGGTATTACACCATGTATATTTATCTAGCAGATAATAGAATGTCCAAAATATATATTATTCATCATGTAAAGTTTTATAATGTTCATACTGAATAACTTAGAACTTTATCAACAATTTAGTTCATAAGAATATCCAAAGGATGCATTTTCATTGCTTTAATCAATATTTGAAATAGTTCTAGAAAATGTACCCATTGTAGACCAATCCACTTTAAACATTTATTACAATATTTTAATAAGGCTTTAAGTAAAATATTAAAATGAGCTGATAAAACATATTTGGTTAAATAAATTCTTCTTTGAACTTCAGAATTACAACTATAATAAAATATTAAAAATATTTATTATCTTTTTAAAAAAATAAATGTCATTAATGCTCAAAAATTATTTCAAGGTCATTTATCCTCAAAGTCTATAAAAAAAACACACCAGAGAACATGTATAAAAGTGAGAAAAAATGGTTCAGTAAGTAATAAGTTAAGGAAACATAGTACATATACAATAATTTATGTCTTTGAAACATCTTTGTCATCAAAGGAAGCATTGCTGAATACAATCTGTAATAAATAATTTAAAGAAAATAGAGCAACATAGTTTATATTAACTCTGAAACACCTTTCTGATCAAAGTACATGTAACATTATTGTATTCAGTGCGTTCAATTTTGTAACATTAATAAAAATGTTGCTATTATAAAACCATGGATCACTGGATTAAAATCTAAAATCGTTTTTATTTCTCGATCGGGTCATATTTCGTCAGGCCTTCAAAAAGCATCATAAAATAACAGTTTTTATAAAATGCATGTAAAAATTCTGCAGGTATTAATCTTGTGTTGAATTTCTCCGTCAGGACGATGTAGTGACCGGTTCCGAATTTCTGTTTATTGATTGGACTAGCAACATTTGACATACTGTCACTTCTATGTCATACACGTTCTTTCTAAAACCATTACCTGAAAATATAAAAACAATAATAAAATTTTAATAGAGGCATGTCTGTTGAATATTTCAAATGAATTTGCAATGTCAGTTAATATAAATACAAAAATAAACTTCTTTCTCTTTCTATGAACCTCTTTTTCTAACTATTTCAACTTATGTTTTCGTTCCTTCCATGTGCTATTAAACAAATTTTTTAAAACTTTAGAGCCTGTAGTGACTTCTTACCTGCCCTACAGAAATCATCTGTTCTGTTTTGGACCATGTCATATCTACAACAGGATCGATCTCTTTTCATAAAATATTTTGACCATAGCAGATTTTAAGACAGTAACAATAGAATAACTGATGTCACTTGAAGAATTAAAGTAAAAGCTTGGGATGGCTAGAACAATATAAGATGTAAATATCAGTTTTAAGTATAAGGGCCCCGTCTGTGTCTGCCTGTTTAAGGCTGCCAAATTACAAACAGTTGTTACCAACTTCTGTTGCTATCATGTGAGGTAGCTATCCTGCAAGCATTCAGACAGTCAAATTTTTCTATGCAGGTGTCATTTATTACAGATAATGCACAGAGGAGGACCTGATTAGTCCCCCTTTAATTTGCTCTGATTTTCATACCTTGTCATCTTATTGGCTGCTTCAAATTCAAATATTTAAAATCAACCAATGAAAATGAATCTTACATTTTCTCCACTAATATTCATCGAATCAACAAGGGTCTTAGAAAATAATTACCTGTCACACAGATGTAGGAGCATGGTTCCCTTCTCCATCGAACCATTCTAACATCTCATTACTAAAAGCTTTAGATAAACTGCCTGCCGGTGACAAGTGAAAGTTGCTCATGTTTAATGGTGATGCCACGTTTCTTTCTGGGGTAGAATATTGCCGCTGGTGATGAACACTACGTTGGGTGTTCCTGTAAATTTTCAACAAACATGCCAATTAAGTTACAAGAGAATAAATTTAAGACTTTAAACTTAATTTCATTTGGTTGGAAAAATAATTTAACACTGGTAATTCTGTTATACATTGTTCGTTTCCAATAAATTAAACATACAATGTAAATATCAATTACTAAGTAAGTAAAAAAAGGTTCCATCTAACTTTATATAAACTAAGTTCTTGGTATGTTTTTACTGCCTTTTTTTCTGTGATTTGTTAAATATCTAAGAATTGTTTTCAAAACCAATTTTTCAACTTACCTATATGATATGCAGCCCCAAATGGAAATATATTTGAGCCGCACCATGACAAAACCAACATAGTGGGTTTGCGACCAGCATGGATCCAGACCAGCCTGCACATCCACGCAGACTGATCAGGATCAATGCTGTTCACTTACAAATATATTACAAGTAGAGACACTGATAGCAAACATCATGGATCCTAATCAGTCTGTGCAGATGTGCAGTCTGGTCTGGATCCATGATGGTCACAAACACACTTTGTTGGTTTTGTCATGACGAGACTCAATTTTGAATTATTTATAGTTACAGGTGTACAAAATAGTTGTCATATCCATTTTTAAAAGACAATAAATTCTAATCACAAAATATTACCCCGCAACCCCCTAGAAAAAACTAATAGATCAATGGATATTATGGGGATGAATTATAAAGTGAGGGCACTGACAAGGGAGTTAACCTCACCAGTTCTATTATTACATAAAGAGTTCATTTTAAATTTTCAGATTACGATAGATTCAGGACTTAACCTTCAAAGTTGGCTATTGTCAAAATAGTTCAAGTAGGTGTACTAAAATCATTCTAGTTAACATACAATATTAACAAGTTATCATTAGAACTATTTAAAACATGGGAGGTAACTCCAAAAAGGGAGAAAACCAAAATAACAAGATTGCTATCAAGGGAGACAACCAATATAGATTGCTATCAAGGGAGACAACCAAAATAACCATACAGCTATCAAGAAACCTGTTGGCATTCTGAGGCTACTTAAAGATCATATCTGCACCGCCTAAAATATGCACCACATATGACAAACAAAAAGTAACAAATTTGAAAGCTTAGGTCAATATGAAAGATCCAACATAAAGTGGCCACTGTCAGGATTTTCACAATGACTCATGAATGTGTCAAAATTAAAATGAAACCTGGCTCAATTTTTGTAGTACAATACTGAAACCCCTTAGGCTCTGAATGGACTGTTCCAAATTCAAAGGAGAGCAAATCCATAACAAAAATTTGGCTGGTTCAGGGTGAATGAAACACAATTATGATACAAGTCAATACACAATTTATTTATTGCATTTAGGGGTTAAATAAACCATCAAACTTTTACACAGTCTTGGAATGAATGCATAATTATGTTAACATTAACAATGTCAATATCTTAACCACTCAATGTATTACAAATTAATAATTAATATTAGAAATAAACTCAAGTTAAAATAAATTCAAAACAGGATTCTTGCAAATTATTTGTTTCATACAAAAATTAATAGTAAAAGAACTTTTCTTGTTCAAAATACCAAACATAAATCTTTGGTTTAAAATGTCATTTTGAGGTAAAACAAATAAAAAAAATTAAAAACCAGACAGATAGGAAAGAGGAAGTGATGTTATTGTTTAAACAAGTACAGTATTAATAGTTTAAAAAAACCTGTCATGTATAGCAGTATGTCAGTCATTTTATTTCAATATTATTCTGCTTACATTGAAGCATCACTAAAATAAAGATATGCCTAATTCACGTCTGCATTTACAAAAGAAGACATTTTTTAAGTAATAAAAGATTTTATATATATCTAATACTTAAACAGAAGCATTGAAAGGCATAAAAAATGTAGCTAAAAATAAAAGTAATAATATGACAACATGCAACAAACGTGCCTTGTGTTTATTGTGACACACATGAAACAAATGTTTTCATTGGTCAAAAATGATGTGATATTAGTACAGCTAATGTGCTATTATCCAATTAAAACTGCTGTTACATACTACACCATGCACACATGCCATACTCATCTTGACCCAACCAGTAGATCACTTTTATCCAATTAAAACTGCTGTGTGAAAACTGCTGTGACTAAAAATAGCATGCACGCATGCCATATCTAAATTTAACCCAATCAGCTGAAGTGCTACTGTCCAATCAAAACTGCTTTTGCAAAAAAAAAAAACTAAACAACATTCATGCACACATGCCAAGTCTAAATTTAGAACATATTTGACCTTGACATCAATAAGCAGAGGAAGCAGTTTGCAACAGTAAAGCTTTAGAATTGTTCAGACATATATAATTATCATTACCCTAATTTAGCCTAATCAACTTAATAGATTGGTTTGGAAGAGTACATTCCTGATTATAGGGATAGCAAGTAATTGTAGCAAATTCTAGCAATTAACAGCAGGTCTGGTCAGCCTGCACGGATATGAAAATTGACCTGGCTCTATACTGCCAGCATAAGCTTTTTTTTTTATAACTTTGTTCAAAATGCCAAATTGAACAATTCGTCACCTTAGTGCAAGAACTCAATATCTGCTTCTTTATCTATATGCAGTTATTGAGTTTTTGCACTAAGGTGACGAATTGATATAGGCACAAAAAAGATACTTTAAAGTTCCAATATCTATATTAATATTCAAATCATTTGTCTATGAAATTGTTTTTTTTTTATATTGCAGATTATTGCATACTTTGTGCAGATATTTCTTTCTAATCTAATAGAAATAAAGCAAGAAAAATGGTTGAAGTAGAAGAACATATTCCTAGCATTTTAATATTGAACATTTCAATCAAACTACATTCAATCAACTTGTCTGGAATCGTAAAACTACACTAAATCTGTTCTAAGATATATAAGCAGTGACAGGAAAGTGTATTCAAAATCAATTGACTTTTAATACTTAAGATGAAGGAAATATGCTGAAGACCTTAGGAAAACAAGAATGAGGCTCTAGTAACTATTTAGCTTTTTTCTTTCTTGTTTTGCTTTACTCAACTAGTTAGGAAAGAATGATATATATAAGAAGCAGAGATGCTAAGCACAGCACACAGAGGCATTTTTGTGCAAAATTTTTAAGCAAAACAAAGCAAACAAAATTAAAATGAATGCAGAAGATGGCGCAAGCAAACAAACAAAAAATGATTACAATTCACAATGAACCATCACAGAAAACAACATTTCAGGTCCGATACTTCTGAAAAAACTTTGTTCATACTCATTTGCTATGGACATACAGCAAACATACGTTTGTTTTACGGATATACAAAAAATAATCCATACTTGAAAATTTCAGACTTGTTCAGTTAAGCACTTTTTTATATAAAGTTTTGTACATGTATTAGAAAGCCCAAGTTACATCATGTTATCTTATCAAATTCATTAGCACATTACACAAGATTCAGCACATCATTGAACATTGACATTATCATTCAACCAATGAAACATTTATGTATATTCATATGTTCAAGGTCACAGTGTCAAAATCTGGCACAAGGTCACGTCTGCTGCTGCTGCACTTGGTTGACCTCTCACCTGGAGCTTGGTGTAGCCGGGGCTTCCTGACTTCCTTTCCGTATATCTCGCGATGTCCGGACTGGTTCACATTTCATTGATGTTGGGGGTTGGTAATGTGTTTGCTTACTAGACTGGTGTTGTGCTTTATACAAAACACGGCCACCTTGTGTTTGTACAGTATATTGAACACGTGACGTAGATGTGCTTACACCGTAAGTTGTTGTTGACGTAGATGAAACTGAATTATTTCTAGAATTTCCGTAACCCGTATGATCTTGTGAATTACTGGACTGTGACGTGTAAGGATGGTTACTGGTCATGTGACGCGATGAAATGGGGGAACCATATGGGGATGTAGAGCTGGTGCTAGTTCCCCTATATGCTGGATGCACCTGACTTGACGTTGATTGTCCAAACTGATGACCCTGTGGATGATGATATGAAGAGGAATGATGTGTATCACTTTCCGACGAGTGTTGTGACGGACTACTTGCTCTCGACCCAACAAGAGCATTATGATATTGTTCTACTAACCTTTGTCTGCGTAATTTTTCACTATACTTATAAAAGTCTTTCATTTCAAATGGTTTTGATACCTCAACATGAGGTGACATTTTAACCGTCACAATTTTACTTGAGGTTGCCTGTGGGATACCATGAGGCGAGTCTATTATGTTAACACTAACTTTATGTTCAGGATGAGGAGGTTTTGAGTGAGTATGGGCTCTTGCCCCTTCATATCCCCTAGGACTATAACACTGGCCTTGTGGCGAATCACCGCCACCACTTCCTATATAGGATTCACTACTAAATGTTCTTTTAGTCGGACTTTGAATAATTGGAGAAGGTTCGGGTTAAGGCAGATTCCTGCCACCCAGTTCGAGACTGTGTGTATAGTTCTAAATTTCTCTCTGATTTGTGATTATTGGAAGGCCCAGTCTCATGATGAATTGGAACTTCAATCATTCGATGACTTGACATAGAATCGTGCCTCTCTGTATTATACCTATCACTTCTGCTTGGATAATTTTGAGTCGATGAATTCACCATGTAATTTCTTGAACGACTAGACAGTGGAAAATCTGTCTCCTTGGTTACAACTGGCTGTTCTTTCCCTTTTGAAGAAAGATCATATTCAGATCTAGATGTTCGTTTCCCGAACCTCGATGGTGTATTATTTGAAATTTCACTACTAGCATCAGTATCACTTAGCTTACGTTCATATGAATGATTCTGGCGCTTTTTTAAGTTCCGTTCTAAACTTCCGTAACTTTTCTGAGACTGATTATATGTGTTTTCCACTGGTTTAGACTGCAATGGTATTCTATTATCAAACACATTATCTAAGGTCTCGTAATGAGATTCACTAGGCGTATTTAAATCCTGGTTACTTTCGTACCTAGATGTCCGGCGAGAATTCACATTATACATATTATTTGTTGAGCTAAAACCACTATCCTGGCTACCTTCTAAACGACCATGACCTGCTTCCAGATGACTCTGACCCCCACCAGATTTACTGTCAAGGTTAACACTATCAAGACGACCTTGACTTCCAGACTTATTGTCATAGTCACTATGTGAGCCTGTCTGTGGTTGGCTACGACCAGCAAGAGTTGGGTATGTCTGGTTACGATACTGGGTAGAGTACACAGAATTTGGTTTGTACATATCATCCAATGTCGGGCTGAAAATATGCAAAAAAATGAGAATAATACACATCATCCACTTGTCTTTCTTTCAATTTGAACAAAAAACCTTTAATCACTTTGAGGGAAAATTTCAAAATATGCATTCTGAATGAAGTGTGGACAGTGCAAACCATGATCAGATGATACTAATGAGCAGGCTGGTCACGGTCTGCACTGGTCACATGGGTATAATTAGTTGCTGTCAGCTGGTTTAAGGTTAACTTTCAGTTGTGTCTTTTTACCATTGGTTGCTAGCCTACTAAATTTTAGTATTTTGATCATAATAATAAATGGGCAATTCCAAATTCAAAGCAAGTCCAGTCCATTAATCGAATTCTGCAAAGAAAAATCAATTTATTATCTCTAATATTCAAATTCTGCAAAGAATAATCAATTTATTATCTAATGTTTTAATTCTGCAGAGAAATTATTAGATAATAACAATGACCTCTATTTATCATTACATTATTCATTGTATATAAAAACAAAGTGTTTATGTCAAATTGATGACTAGATGTATATAAATGCCAAATATTTGTTGTATAGTTGAATCAATAATTTATTGTCATAAAAAATTTCTAACAGAAGCTGATTTCATGGAAATTTCAAATAAAAATATTGGATATTGTTTTAAATAGCATTGAATTTCACATATAAAAACCACAAAAATGACAAAAATTAGTTCTACATGAAAACAGTTGTTGTCAATTGTATGATAGAATGTTTAAACATCACCTGGAAACAAAGTGTATGTATTATACATTGAAATATTATATGATGCCATTAACATATCAGTAACAAAGATTTTTTATGTTTTATGTTGTAAATGGGACACCGGTGTACAGAATGGGGAACAATTTACAAACTTTAGTATTTATCCCTTGTGACAACCATTTAATTTACCGTTTTCTTCATTTTAATATGAAATTCAAAACCTACCAGCTTTCAACAACATTCAATAACATTTAATATGCTTTAATCTAGTGTTACTTTACAATTCATTTTATTTCAAAAAATTTCAAAATTAATGAAATGCTAAAATCAAACCTGCACCAGTATAGAGCCTGGTCAGACTGCATGGCTGTACACACTGGCCTGGCTCTATACTGGTATATACCAAACATATTATCACTGTTAACATTGACATTATATAAATATATAAAACATTTTCATGAAATACCTGCTGTGCGTGGGTGGGAGAGTCATTGACGCTATTTCCCGCTCAATGGGGAAGTTTTTCGGAGCTGTATTAGATCTCTGTAGTGGAGAATCTAGTCGACCTTCGTGCTGAAATAAACAAGCAAACAATCATCAACATTCAAATTCTAAATTTTTAACAATACTTTAAACATAAACAATATTTTTACAAACTTAAATTCAGATTTTAAAAGTTCATCACAATATTTCTTTCTTAAAGCAGAATGTCTTTAAAACAATATAATATATTAAACTGCAGACAGGAACTGAGTATCTATGATCAGGACTGTTCAATACTCCACTTCATTACAACACATCAGCAGGTGTCGGGCTAGTTCTGGCTTCCATAAATGAGCCGTGCCATGACAAAACCAACATAATGGGTTTGCAACCAGCTTGGATCCAGACCAGTCTGCGCAGTCGTGACGCGGCTCAAATGAGTCGCTTTTCCATTGTGCGACAGTAGTACTATAATCTTAAATCTCTTTAGCTAGTTCAGAGTCAAATGTCCCTTTTATAATCATTTTTGCTTAAATATGTATAAAATGTGTTAAAACAATTAAAACAATTTTTTTTTTTATTCTAACACACTTAATGTTATGCATAAATAGGTAAGGTGCTCCATTGGATTATTTTTATCTGCAATGTATAGGTCTTAAATCTGACTCTCACTGACTCATCTACATGAATAGGGGTAAAGAAAAGAATATAAGTAACTGTAAGCCCTTTAACAAATTAAACATAATGATGATTGTGTCAGCCTCTAAATTATTGGGTTTTACTTAATTATGAATTAATTATATCAATATATCCAGGCATATATCAATTGAATAATGGCTGTTATATGATCTCCCCTATTAATCTGATGGAAAAATTTATCACAAAGTCATAATATTTCTCTAAAGGTCATCATTCTGTTCTAAAAGTTTTGAAGCATAAATTTAAGTAACAAAAGAACTTTCGGCAAGTTAATCGTCAATGACTTCATGAAAACGTAATCTGTGTTAAAATATATTTACTTTATTTGCTTTTATTTGTTTTCCTTTTTAAGTGCTAGTGCAACAGACAGGTGCTCCCGAACTTACTGATATTTTTTTTACAATGAATATTTTAACATGAATAACTGACTTTAAATCAAACTGTAATAAAAATAAATTATGGACACACTCTTCCATAAAAGCCTCTGATTTGGAAAACAACAAAGAAAATCTGGAAAACTTTAATGTAAGGGGGTAAAAATACCTGTTTGTAATTACTACGAGGCCCTCTAGGAACTAATGGTGACTGAGCAGGGGAGACAACATCTGAATCTGAAAATATAAAAGAAAAACACAGTTATTTACCTTGTTTTATTATTAAATAATCAAAACTATAAAAGTAAAATGGCAAAAAAGGTTTTAACTACATAATTTCTTATATTTTGTAAGCAATGTTATCTTTTAAATCAAACAAAAACTCAATTGTCTCTTGTTCTGACAAATTTTAAGATGTAAAATAATTTTTTAACTTAAGTTTTTTTTACCTGTTAACGTACTCATAAACTTATACCTTTTAAACCTGGCATTTCAATTCAATTTAATGAAACATTATTTCCACATTACATCATACATGACTTTCCTTTTAAAAACGTTCATTTACATAAAAAACATTGCACAAAAAAAATGTCAAACAAAAATTATTCAGTCACAAACAATACATGCTTTCAACAAATATCCCATTCTTTTTTTATATATTAATCATAGGCTTAGTGCAAAATGGTCACGTCTCCTTGATTTCACATAATTCAATATTGTTTTACATCAGAATCCCTTGGTTTAAACTTCTTATATCTGGTCATTTTTATAAATAAATGAACTGGCCCATGCACATTTCAGATATATTAATGCACTGTATAGGACCATAAACCTTCCATAATTAACTTGGCTTGATACATTCCTCCCATAAAATAGCCAAAAATCCCTTAGCCTTTAAATGTCCAAACTCCCTCATACGCTAAATACATTTTCATTCAAATGAAATCTTTAAAGGAAAATTTTATGCATTTTCAGTTACTTCCAAAAATGCCAAAACCCATTGCGAGCAAGTAACATACATAATACTCATTACTTTATAATTATACGAATATAATACAAGTGTGTACTTATTTATCTTTTTTTTCCTCACTTACAACAGTACTACAGTAGTATCAAATACCAATTACATAAAAAAAATTTTGTTTTTTTAAATCAACTGTTACTACCACACCATGCATGATGACAATACAGAAAGCTGCAGTTAAAAACAACAATATGGGAGGGTCACACTCATGACATGTGCAAAATAACATAAAACAGTACAATATAATTGGTTACATAGAATAATTTGGTAACACCCTGGGCTTCTCAATGCTTATGTTATCCTATAAAAAGTGCAGTTAATTTCAAGAGATATCAGAATGGGACAAAATAAATAATCTAAGGGAGCAAATATCACATGTATCTGTAAGTCTTACAAATAGTTTTATTAAGTAGACGGTAAAAAATAGTGTTTTATTAAGTAGACGGTAAAAAATAGTTTACAACTTTTAGGCTATTAAAATACTGGTGTTTATTTTTTAAACTCAGTACACAAACATGCAATGTTGGAATTAAAATGACAGTTCTTAACTTTACAGTGCAGGTCTACAAATTAAACACTTAAATCACTTACAAAACAAAATTAAAATTAAAGTGGACAAAAAATATCTATAAAAACTCAACAATGTGTGTATATCTATAGAAAAACGTTCATAGTGTGGCATTGGTGTCTGCCTAACATGCGTCACTAACTTCTTTACCTGGTCGTCTCTCTTTCAATTCCTTCTTCTTTCACTCTGTTTCTTAAATGCAAAATGCAAAATGCTATAAAAATCTCACCTAGAAGGTTTTACAAACATTGTGTAGAAAAACAAACAAAAGGGTTTTCAAGACTAAATAACAAGAAAAATAATTTTGATTGTTTCAGTGTCAGAAAAATTAATTTGACCCTCTATTCTAATCTATATGCTCAAACTTCTTCAGGTAACAAACAGAATCTGAATATTCCTAAAACAAAGTTTTTTTTATAGGAATTTTTACCGATGGGAGTGTCATTGCTGAACAACCAATTTCCACACTGGTCATTCAGATCATCAGAAAAAGAAAGGAAAAGAACATTTCTTTAACTCTCTAGTCAAAAAATCTGAATTGCTGCTCTATCATTCAGGCAATTAATAAATAAAAAATTTGGTGCATGGGCATACATCTGTCGCTGCATGCGCAAAGAAGATATGTTGTTGCATGAGCATAGATTTGGTATTGCATGAGCATTGACTTATTTTTGCATGAGCATAGCTTTTGCCATTGCATGAGCATAGGTTTGTTGTTGCACGAGCATAGATGAGCATAATTAATTTTGTTTATGCATGACCTAAGACTTGTTGTTGCCTGAGCGTATACTTGTTGCATGAGAATAGACTTGTTGCTGCATTACCTATATATGTTTTGTTGTATGATCATAGAGTTTTTTTTGTTGCACAAGCATAGATTATCAAGCACACTTCAAAACTTGTAAATTACTTTCTTATAAAAAAAATGTGTAAATTAATAAATAAGTAAGGCAATACTTAGGAAAGAACCACAGAAACTTCAAACAAAAAAGCAAAAATTGTTAACGAAAGTGCACATAAACTCAAGCTGTTTCTTTTACAACACTCAGAAGAAAGAAACTCTATCTTATAGATGGTACTAACCACTATCTGTCATATCTAAACTCTTCAAACTTTTCCCTAGAAAAATAAAAACCTTTCTTATTAACTACATCTAAAAAAATACATTTGATTAATTTCATGACGAAGGAAAGAGAAAAAAAATACATGAAAAGATGTTACAAATTGATTGAATTAAACATTTTATATAATAATGTTATTATTAATAATAAAATTCTGAAAAAAATCATTATTATTTTGGAAGTACAATAATAATAAGCTTTGATAATGAATGGTTCTTATATGCATCCTTTCTATTGGTCTATTTAAAAAGAATGCTCTAAAGTAACCAATCATATGTATTGGATTTTTTCAACTGGTCACTTAAAAAGTAGAAACAAGAGTCTGTCACAATCTGATTGGTTGCTTAACATTTTTGAACTATCCAATAAAATAAGCCTTTCTAAAGACTGGTTCCCATTTGTAAAAAAAATGGCTGAATGCAGCAAAGCCTTCTATATTGTCATCTTAGTTTAATGTTTAGTGATTACAATAAAGTATGAAACCTCATGCCATCCCATATAATAGTAGTGACTGTAGCAAAATAAATCATCTAAAACTATGTTTAATAGTAGCACCAAAAGAAAACATTTTCTTTCTGAAAACCCGTCATACAAAAGACTAACATACACACAACAAACTTTGCCAAAGAAAGACAGTCTTTTTTTTCTAGACAGGACTGACAGGGGCAGTAACTCTTTTAAGCATGGGCAATAAAAAAGTATAATTTTTGACAAATTTAATAGGAGCAATAAAAGTGTTACAGTCAGCACTAGCAGACGGAAATTAAAGGGGCAATAAATCTTGTCTAATATGATCATCATTTCAGTCAGAGTTTACAGGAGCAATAAATTTTACTTGTGTAAAAGGGACATTAACTGATTTCCAGATAAACAATTTCATTAGACTGGTAGACAATTTCCCTAGACTGGTTTGATAAAAAAAACACTTTAGCACATGTTAAGCCAAAGTAACTATCTAATTATATGAAAAGGGCAATAACTCTTGACCATACTGGTCAGAGTCAATCATTCCAGACTTTGGGCCTTCAGAACTTTCCTTATTACACTAAAATATTACAGTGCAACTTATGTAGAGTGACCACCTCTTTACAACAACAGACTCATATTTAAACTTAGATTAAACACAGAATTTAACCTCTCTAGGAGCAACACCTCTCACCAATAACCAAAAGCCTTGCCTCTATAAGGGAGTTGCTCTACAGAGTTTGTATTGTATTGCTACCCTAATTATAATTTTCGGTCTTATGTCAACCATGAAAAGAGCAAAACATGCATGTCAAATTTTATTTGTTTTAATGTTTAACAAGTACAATCAAGTACTTTTGATTTTCCTTAAATAAACTTAACAGAAAGTTTGGACTGGTGTGGTTCATTTAATTTTCATAAGGAATATCGAGGTGCCACTGTTGCTAGTAGAGATCTTGGCCAATCTTTGCAAGTCGGGTTTTACAATTTTGATAATGAAATCTCTATGGATGGACAGTTTAAAGCAGGACATGCCCATCAGATTTATTTTGTCAGTAAAGGCTAGTCATAAACTTTAAACTTTTATGTTAAGACATGGAGATTGACATACATAAAACCTTACTTATTCAGTTAAGAGACAACTAAAATATCTTTTTATTCCGTCAGTAAAGGTATAGTATAGCTAAAACCTTCACACCTTAAATTAAGTGGGTAAAGATTTGAAAGTACTAAAACCTTTAATATTCAGTAGGTAAAGGTCAGATTTGAAAGTACTAAAACCTTTAATATTCAGTAGGTAAAGGTCAGATTTGAAAGTACTAAAACCTTTAATATTCAGTAGGTAAAGGTCAGATTTGAAAGTACTAAAACCTTTAATATTCAGTAGGTAAAGGTCAGATTTGAAAGTACTAAAACCTTTAATATTCAGTAGGTAAAGGTCAGATTTGAAAGTACTAAAACCTTTAAAATTCAGTAGGTAAAGGTCAGACTAACAAAAAATTCTTTTCCGTGGGTAAAGGTATCAAAAACTAAACGTTTTATACTCAGTGGGTAAATTCAGTAGATATAATTAAAACCTGGGTAAACATCTGACTCAACTAAAGTTTCGGTTTGACTCCACTGAAGCTTTGTCTTGGTGGGGTATAAGTCTTATACAACAAACCTTTTAAATTTAGTGGATAAAGGTTTGATATACAGTCTAACTTGCCCATGCGACCACGTGTATTAAGCGACTTTTGTCTTAAACGACCACTTTAAATTCCCCCCGATCATTTTCTCTCTATATCTTTAATGTATTAAGCGACTTTTGCTCAACGCGACCAGCGACCGCTAATTAGTAACCTAATTGACATCAATCTTTTCATTAAACGACCACTTTTACCTGTCAAGTAATTGTGTTTTTAGAGAACGCCACCTCGTTATGTCACAAGTGTCAGCAATCAAAACACAACAATAAACGTGTGAAAAACTCTATTTCCCATACCGTTTTAGTGTATGCAAATGAAGTTAAGTATACGCGTGACGTGTATAATCCAATAATATCGGATAAACAATGCAATGCTCCGCTCATACTGAGATGGTGTATACGCTTCGCTTGTTGACATTTAGACTGCATTGAATTGACCTTGAACTTGATCAGCCATTAAATTAATCGTAACAAATAGATGTAGTTTGTTTATTTCAAATGAAAAAATGCACAACAGAAAACATCTTCACTAATAGGGTTTTCGTGTTGGAGACAAGGAAAAACAACGGAGAAGTTAAAAAATTCTGAAAAAAAATGTCAAACATGTACGTAATGGATCAAAACTGTTTTGTCAATAAATATCAGAATGTTATTTTTACATTTGCATCCGTTTAGATTATCGGGGCGTACTTATTATTCAACATTTATATAAAAATGAAGTTGAATCCAATCCCATCGAATAAAAAAGATGTCATTTATAAATTTTGACTTTTATGTCATGCTGACTGTCTTAAGAGACCGTTTCATTAAGCGACCGTTTTTGTTGTTTCCCTTGCCCGGTCGCTTAATACACGTTTGACTGTATCTAAAGCCTTTTAAATTCAGTGGGTAAAGGTTTCTCACAACTAAAACCATTGATAATCACTGGGTTAAGGTTTTCTAAAGGTTATCAAAAATAATTAAAATCCAGTGGGGAAAGGTTTCAGACAACTAAATATTTTAAATTCAGTGATTCAGTAAAGGTTTAATACCACTAAAACCTGGCAACATGGCAATATACACTCCTTTTTTAACGTGTGAAGGAAAAATCAGGCCAAAATATTAACTTATTAGAATTTAATCACAAAACTAGAAGGGCCTGTAGTTCAACCATAGTTCTAATAAGGAAAGTTATAAAGATATGCTGTCTCTTTGAAATTTTGTCTGGTTTGAAAAGCATGGGACGCATGATTTCTATATAGATACATGCAATAATGTTGAGAGGGAATTGATATCTACACCAACACCAGAAAATATATATGTCCATGACCACAGATAAAATAAGCAAACAAAATAAATAGGTTTCAAAATGTTTTATTTTTTTATTTATGAAAATGTTTTATTTCTTTTTTTTTCTACAACCTGACTCTATCAGACAATAATAGTAATAGTATTCAAATATTAGACATTTTCAAACAATAGTTCTATATATAGAAATAAGTAACATGTTAAAAGTCTGAATTGTTGTTGGTTTTTTTGTTGTTGTTTTTTTACAAAAGTACAAAAAAAATATTTTTATATAAATCTATGATAGAAAGAAGAATGAAGAAGTAGAAAGACATTGATGATGAATGACAGAAAGTGAGAATATAAAGAACACATACAATTGAGACAACACTTTATATGTACAGCCACGAGACATCTTGGTATAAAAAGATATAAAAAAAATAATAATCTATAAAAATTTCTAAAAACTTTTCTTTTCAAAAATAAGATTTTTCCTTCAAAATATGCTTTTTTTCTAATACTCTTTTAAAATGCATTTCTTGATTTTTTGAACATTTTTATTAAAAAAAAATTTTTTTATGTACAAATTAAAAAAAATATATTGTAAGTTGCACGGGTCTTGAAACACACCCTAGCTTCTTTAGAGACAGTTTTAAAGTGAGACAATTATTCCCCTTTTTCTTTTCATTTAAAAAATGAGAAGAAACAATGCAGCATTCCGTACAATGAGACAAATTTAAAGTTTTTATTTGTTGATAAAAAAAACAACAAAATAATAAATAAAAATTTTACAAAAATGTACAACACAACTCATTACAAGAACGAGGTAGGTACTCTTACAGAAATTAGGGGCCTTAAAAATCTGGCCCTTTCTTCTTTCCAAAGTTGAAACAATTTCCCTAAATTGCATTTATATAATACCTGGATGTAATTTATTGAAAAGAAGAAAAATCAATCCCTAATCTTTTTTTTCTTTTTTAACAATCAAATTTATGCATATTCATGAGGTAGCAAATTTGGTCCTATATCGTCCTGTAATATTTATTTGAACACTTTTTGAGCATTTTGGTCCAACTATCTGCCAATATAGTATAAAACTTAAGGGCTGTAATTTGAGTACTATTTTTCTAAAAATAGAAGAAAAAAAACACCCTGACCTTCTATGAGAATAAATATATAATCTCTCTATACATATATACCAAACACCAGGTTAGTACATCTTCACCAAATGAAAAATATGCAGGCAAGAAAACCATACAAATATATCATGGTTAAAGATCATAGTTAATGGTTATAATATAAGTATCTATATGATATATATATATATTAAATGTTATTTATACATAGTATAGCACCATTTTATTATTGCACTATTTTGTGATACTTTCAGCAGTAATCTCCCTTTGTTTGCACTATCAAAGCGTCAGTTATCCCCCCTTATAACATGTAACACATTTCTATTTTTTCGCCCTATTTTTAGATCACTACACTGCGGTCTCCTTATTGGCTCTCACAACCTGAGGGGAAAGTTTCTGAAACATAGTATGATGCCAAGACGCCCTCTTACTTCTTCTAGTGTTGGGTGACATACAAGATACCTCCCTTCTTTTCGGTACAGATGGCGGTGTGAGGAATGACCGATCTAATGTTGATGACGGGTAGAGTGAGTCGTTGGAGATCTTGTACGATTCTTCTGAACTCTCTGTCGTGTCTAAACTTGTGTCTGCTGATCGAGAATCTTCCAGTCTAGATTCAGAACCGATGCTCTTGGACTCGTCAAGGAAAGATAACGAATCGTTCAACACTGAAGAGTTTCTATCACTTTTAACACTAATACCGGAGTCAATAAACTTATAATACTTAAGAAGATTCCTTTCCCTAAATGAACGCGATAACCTATGAGCAACAGATGAATAATGCCTAGATTTAGAGGGTCTATAAGAAATGGAATCATCACAGAGGGCGGGGTTATCTGTGCCGCCGTATTCGGCACAGTACGTACCATCTAATTTTCCGGACAAGGCTGGCGATGCCGGAACACTTCCTTTACGATACTCGCTCAGCTTCTTCTCCATCTCTTTTAACTGGAATAAAATAAAATAAAAATATAAAAAATGTCTTTCATTTTACGCTTAATAATAAACATATTCAAAATGACCTAGTTTCAATCCAAGCTTTTTTTTTACTTGACAAAGGGAAACAACCTATATTTCCCCATATATCTGCATATATATTACAAGGGAGACAACGTTTACTTTCCTACTGACATTTATTATAAAGGGAGACAACTCATATTTCTGAATTATTCATTTTAAATTTCCAAATATTACCTATGAGTTATGAGTAATATTTTATGATTCAATATTCCTTCTCCTTTTCAGTCTGTACTATCTATTACATCTTATTTCATACAGAGATTTTTGTTTCTGGGTCTGGATTATCAATATCGACCACAGAGATTCCCCTATTTTCCCTGCAGGTCATTTTAGCAAGTATGTCAGCCAAATAAAGATTTGATATTTCAAGCTTATAGCCTTATTTCTTACAGAAATAACAGAATGGAAACAAGATAACATGACTATGGTCTATTTTTGTAAAGAGGAAAACATCAAGTAGATTGTATCTAAAACATTGGAAATCAGCCAGAAAATCTATTCTACAAGAAACAGACAGGAAATTAAAAAAAAATTTTTTTATCAAAGTTTAATTCAAACAGGTGATTCATGCACTATTTTTCTCAAATAAAAAAAGAACCAAACAAATTTAGTATAAAAATGCTTCAAGAAACTAGTTTCCGTTGGATCAGTTACTTTAAAATTTTAAATTTTCTTAAAAACAAATTCTTTACAGCAAGAGGAAAATTCATCTTTTGGAGAGCAAAATATTGAAAGTAACTTTGATATCACCAAAGGTTCTGTATCAAAACAATACCATTAATTTGCAAATGTGTGAAATTTACAGAGCTTTTCTTTTTTGACCAAGAACCAAGTTTTCAGATTTCACAATAAAACCTTCGAAATTAATATATACTGCTTGAATTGTTAATATGATTCAGTGCTGCTGTTCCAAATGAATAAATGGGATCATTTTGTAAATGCAAGTCTGCCAAAAAAGGAAGGAAACCAAAAATAATATTCAAACTTTCCCTTATCAATGCAAGATAGAAACAAAAAGTTAAAAGTTTGTGTTTTCGAATTACCTTGCCCTGAGCCTTGATGAAGGAATGTCGTCTCTGTTTACGCACGAACCTACTGACAGATTTATCAGACGCGAGCTTATGGGCGGCACTTGTGATCTGTTTCTGAAGTTCTAGCTCTAACTCCAGCTTACTGGTCATATCTGCATCCTGTAAATCAAACATTACAGTTTATTATATCATCATCATAAAATGTATTATAACATAATAGCACTTTCAGAAGTATTCATTTCTTTGCCTTTTATTTTAACATGGCAGCTCTTTAAGAAATTTTCATTTTAAGAAGTATTCATTTCTCTGCATATCAGTTCAAGCATATCACAAATAGTGTTTGCCTATCAGTCAAACAAGGCCAGGAAATAAGAAAAATCCATTTCCTTGCCCCAAATACAGTGAGCATCTAAACAAAATATTTCCATGAAATATTTTAATACTTTGAAAATATTAAGCAAGTACTTTTCTTTCTTTTGTAAGATTTTTTGACCATTCAAGACAATTCAACTGTTAAATAAAGCTAAATTCAGATGCAAAACTGTAAGGATGTGCCTATTTCCTATTCAAACGGATTTTAATCTGGTCCTGAACCTTACATGACATCATAAATAAGGACAATAAGCATTCCTTCATGTTGATTTTGAGGTCAAATGTCACACTTGCATGATATAAATTACTGTTCCTTCCATAACGTAGATACTTAGTCATTTATACATATGCCATAAAACAATGAACTTGGTCACACATCTGTACGAAGGCATGACATGAAATTTCAACTGTGACAAATTCAGGTCAAGGACTCTTCACCATACACTTGTAATTGATAACTTGTTGAAACAGTGCTGTTTAAGATATATTTATCTCCCGATGCATTTTTTGTTTTTGTTGACATTAAAGCTATGTCTACATAGTCAAATATAATCATTATATGAATAAACAATGAATAATTATGTACTAAGTTACCTCATTATCTGCAGTGACCATGTTGGTATCTAAAGAGAAGGCAGTGCCCACACGGCGCCTGATCTGAGGGGGTTCTTCACCAGCAACTAATGGTGTCTCACTTGGCAACCGACCTGTCAATTCCTAAAAATACAAGAAATAGAAATGAACTGTGAGATTCTCAAAAGCTCTATGATGACTGTGTTGCATCAAAATCGAAAGGCTCAAGGTGGTAATATGCAATATGTAGAAATATGGTGACTATATAATTAAGTCAAATTTAGCATATGCAAATTGTTATATTGGTTGTTAATATCTGTGCATTTTTTAATATTTTTAATCTGGTGCTGTGTCATTGATAAACCAACTGAATCTATTTCTAATTGCAGTCTTTCAACACACTACATTTTACAAAACATTTTCAATGACAAAAGTCTCCTTACCCCTTCTTTTATACAGAGATTCTTCAATTCTTCGGTTTTCTTACGGAGGATATCTTCTAGAGCCTCCCGTCTAGCCTTCAACGCTGAGTACATCTCGCGCTGAACCTTTGCTGTGTCAGCAGGGTCAAAGTTCACTGGAAATAGATTAATAAATTTTTGAATATGCAGTTTTATACCCATATTACACCTCAGTTTCTCCTGCCTACCCTACTACAAGGAATTTGTTCAACAACAATTCTAAATTTACTTGCTACATTAACTCATCAATTACCTTTCATTTTTCCATGTACAATACAGTAATTCTACAAACTAAAATAGGTAATTGATAGCGTCTTTAAGTACATTAAGACTTAATATTAATCACATGGGTTGTAGCCTACAATCAGATCTTAATTTGAGTGTCATCATTTCACTTCATTTGACATTTTTGGTAAAGAACACCCTGACATTATCATTTTTAACAAAAGAAAAACCATTCATGATAAGTATACAACCAACAACGGGACCAAATACTGTGACCACATAACTAGGGAGTGTCCGCTGGGCAAAATCACCATTTTAATACCAACCAAACCTTTACTTAATCCATTAATTTAACCCTGTTAGAATAATAATACATTGACTATTAAGCTGAATGTCTATTCAAATCTTTTAAATCAGTTACAATGGTAATTTTAGTGAAAATCTAGACTTTCAAATTTTCTATAATTTTACAAGTAATTTCGAACACACATTAAAACAGCATTAAATACATAAAGGTAAGTGGTTGCCCATAAATTATATATCTTAGGTGCAGCAAAATGAAAACCACAAGAACTAAACTTTTAATTTTAATTTTCAAGTTCAATAAAGTTTAAAATTAATGTTTCGCACTTTCAAACAAAAACAAAGATGTGAATATCATGGGTTGGGCCTCTGTTTTCCCCTTTTTTTTCTTTATTTTCTTTTTTTCAACTCAAAAGCAGATGCTTAACAAAAACAACAAATGATGTCTTTAATATGACATGTTACGTTCAGTTGAGTAACGCTTTCATATTTGGGACACGTCCGGTGTGACCTGGCACTGAAGAATGCTATATAACATAGTTAAAGATCTCGGTTTTTGTTTGAACAAGGATCAGGTTTACCTCATGTTTCCTGTCGCCTTAAGATAATGTCAACAAAAGTGTATACAAGTTAAACATGGAGCCATTTAAACACAAAAATTTACTAATACTGATAATGGGCGTATTTAAACATGCCTTAACATTTTTTTCATCTAGCATCTTATAGGTGTTTTTTTGTCATACTCATTATTCAGGGCATCCATTAGTGTAAGTTTGGGAGTATTTTACTTTTGATTTTAGCTTGTGACTTCCAAAATATAATACTTCCTTTTTTACCTATATATAATGTTGCATATTGCAGTTTCTGACTTCCTAACTTTGAAACTTAACGGAATTGTTATTTTATTTATTAAAAATATTTCTTTTCTGCTTCCAAAACTTTTTTTTAATTTAATAAAAATTATCATTTAAGGACGTGATTGCAGTTTTAGAACTTTGTTATGCTTATCAGCTAATTGAAAGAACTATCTATATATGTATGTAGTTTCTACAATGATTACATATTGTCATAAAAATACAATATCACACGACAATTGGTGATAAAAACATGTTTTTTCACATAAACATCAAAGTGTTAACAACCAATAAAACAGTAATTTCCTTTTATGGGAAAATAGTTTTTTTTTCCTACCATTTTCACCTCAGGCTTGTTCATATTTTTGACATGAAAAATAAGTTTCTTTTTTTTTGTATGTGAAAATCACATTTATACTAAGGCTAGTAAGCAAAAACATACAGTCAAAGAGATTTAACTTTGGAAGGTTGTTGCCCTTTTAATGTATTGGTCTGGCTAATCATTTTTACAAAATAAACTGTTTGCTGCCAATGCCCCAATATTAGTCATATCATTTCCCTAGCTCTAATAATAAAAGTTTATTGAACCCATGACAACTTTAACAATGACCAAATTCAGCTAAAAATTCCTAAGTGCTATTTACAAGACAAAAATTAGATAAAAATAAACATCAAACTGCAGATTAATATCAACAATTTAAATATCAAATTTTCATCTTTTCTTTGAAGTAAGTAAACAATACCTTATCATTGTTAACAATCATTTTATCTTTTGGTTTTTATTACCAAGTTCAACTAGAAAACATGTAATCTCTTTAAATCTTTAATTTTGTGATCCTTTTTCACATGTAGCTTAATTAACATTCCAATAAATTAAATATCGTAGTATAAGATAATTATTCCATTCTTACCTTTTTTGAAATGAGGCGAATTTTTGGCTGGAGTTTTCATAACTTCTAATTTATTATTGTTATTATTATTCAAAGATAAAGTTTCCATCTTATTATACAAATCAACATCCATTTAAGTCCATTTTATTACACCATATAATTTAACGAAGATGAGTCCTGTTCCAAGAAATTATCAGTAAAAGTGTAGCCTAGTCCAGTGTATTTCAATAAATATTCCATTGTTGAACAATCCCTGAATTTTATATCATATTATATAAGTATTTCACTCAAAAACTTCAAAAAGATGTTTTCTGATAATTGCCCTCTGTTCAAAAGAGGTGGTTTTCTCCAAGTTCTCAGTATACCATATATTATATTCACAGTTTGGTCAAACTTTGGTGATTACTTGTCCAATGACACTTTCAACTAAGTTTTCTCAGTTTTCCACAAAATGTACTACAACCAGTCTTGCAAAGGTATTACAAAAGCTGTGAACCACTCCACTATAGCCTCTCTCTGGGGATGTGTCTGCTTCTAAATTAGCTTCTATTCTGACACCAATCACGTTACTAATTGGTTACTTAATGCTTAATCAATTGGAAAATAAAACAATCAAATATGTTTCAAATTTAAAATCCAAATGTCATAACTAAGCAAATGCTTTTCTATCTCATTCACTTTTGAACAATGTGTGTCCAAAGCATTAAGTTAGTCTGCTGATGGTCTTATATGATAAGGAATTCTTAAAACAAATTTTCATTGTTCGAAATTATTCAATGATTGTATATAATTATATTTCCCAATATAAAATTACAGCCACTTTTCAATGGAATGTTATTTTAAACAAAGAGGAAACTATCAAAATAGAAAACTGTAACAAAATGTAACTTCCACACTAGACTGATCTTCAAAAGGTTTAAATTCTAAATGTCATTCAAAAAGTAACTGAATGGATCATAATTGTTATAATGAATAATCCAACATCAAAGTCCAGTTGAAAAAACAAGTACTAATTTTTTATTGTCCACATTTAACAAGTACTTTATATACGTAAATCACACAAGTCAGGAAATAACACTTGTTTTAATCCTAGTTTATATCCTGTGTTTTTCTTGGGAGCATGCTATTTTCTATTAATCCACAATCTATTTCAATAATAACACTTTTACGTATTTCCTTTCCAAGTTTTGTTTCACCCAACCAATAAAGTTTAAAATTCAAACTTATCCAATCCAATCTATTAATGTTTAAAAGCTTACTGGGTAGTAAATCAGTTTTGAATAAAATAAACTTTCAATGTTGTTCAATTTAATCATTCAACGTTACCAGCGCCCTGAGGATGACTTATAAAAATATCGTCTTAACACGTGGAAAGTTTAACATAGACTGGTAGTCAAAACCCAGTAGTGGTTGAGTCATGTATCAGCTTTATAAATCAATTAAAGCCTCCCCCACTATGTTCAAAATACAAAATCCTTTTCATGGGATTTTTATCAGTAGAATCTTCCCTCAAAGTTGCATCTTGTCTGATTCTCTCATTGATAAAAATAGATAATTTAAACATCTACATCAGAAGAAAAAATACAACAGGCAACAGAAAGGTTTGACTGTTATTTACTAGTGTGACGGAATAATAAAATTAACCACATCATGATTTTACGACTGGATGAACATAGGTATGTTTAGTATCCATCCACCATTGAGAAAAAAAACCCTCAGGTGTTGCATTATTTTATAACAATGTAGTTAGTCCACACCTATCCATAATCAAATCTGCCAAAGTCGGTGTTGTTCTCTTTAATTATCTTAAATTTGATTAGGTAGACGGTTATAGACACGAAAATTGATATACAAATGGTCACAACAGTCATTCAAATTCAAAATCCAACAAGAATTACCCAATGTAGCAAACAAACTGACTTCTATGTTTCTGGCATTTTATCAAACCACTTCTGATTAGTAATCTAATGTTTGGAAAAATTACAGAATTAAATGATAGCGGAATTTAAGAGATGAAATAGGTCAACCTTCATTCTTTTTTTATCATAACTTCCTACTTCAGGTTTACACAATTTTTTGGTATGACATGAAAAGAGGGTTTGTTTTATTATATTATTATTTTAAATTAAATTTATACAAGGTAAAAAAGACTCCATAGAACATGAATGCCCCCAAATTTTATAAAAAGTTTGACCGACAGACAAGGGCGAATGAGTATAACCCCCCTATAAAAAAGACTTGATGAAAACTTCTAAATGATTAGTAAGACTGGTTAAGTAATTGAAACACATTTGTGTCAACCAATTTAAAACATTAAAATATCATGTATATAAAAATCTTAGTCATTGAGAGCATGTACAAATATCAGCACACTAAACAATCTTACAGACTGGCTACTTAAGTTCATAAACCTATTGCTATGTAAACATTTATATTTCAATCATTTGCATGTTTGCAAATTAGCCCTACTTCAAAGGTGTGTTTCTATAAGCAAGAGATAGGGAGAGCTGATAATGGGAGCTACATGCTGAAACATTATCTGAAATATTATTCCTGTTGAAGTAATATGTACAAAGATAAGGCTTGTATTTTTTATTCAGACTTGCAGGCTTTTCCACCCTTCCTTTATTACCTGTCAGGTGTAAAATTTACGGCTATTTACTCTAGATTCTTAACCATGTATAAATATACATTAAAAGCTAAATAACATATTTTGTTGAGAAATTTACAAGTCATAGGTCAAACAAGACTGATAATAATGTTATTTCTTTTTTCAGCCTATATGTTTGCTGCAGTCCAGTATATTTAGAATTCTTTTTTTAAAATTTTTACAGCAATGAAAAG